CACACCGTACAGACGCGCACACACACACACACACACACGCTCACACATGTACCGTACGCGTACACCGCACGCACCGCGCGCGCACACACCGTGCGCAAAGCATGTTCATACCGCACGTGCTGTACGCGAACACCGCGCGCACCGTACGCACACACCGCGTGCACCGTACGCACACACCGCGCGCACCGTACGCGCACTCCGCACGCACCGTACGCACACACTGTACGCACACACTGCGCGCAGCGCACGCACCTGAAAAATGACCAACTGTACACCATTGTACACCCCTATGGCCCCATACGTCACACTATCCATATGAGCCCCATGCCACATTCCTATTGAATTTAGATTTTTTTCCCTTAGAGAAAGATGAAACCACACTAGCCTTCCCACCCAGCTTCAAGCTTCAGACAAGCACTGCACTCAAGCTGCTGCAAGGCTGCACCCCATAAGACCAAGGAGCCCATGTACCTTACACCCACTAGCGGCGAGGGCTTAACGGCGCACGCTCAGCCGATCCTTACTTAGGGGGCCCCGGGCTTAGGCCCTAAGGTTTAAGGCTTCGGGTTTAGGGTTTAGGGCCTCGGGTTTAGGGTTTCAGGTTTAGGGCCTTTATGGCTTGACGGCGCACGCTCAGCCGATCCTTAAGGGCTTTGGGTTTAGGATTGAGGATTTAGGGCAGGGCTTAACAGCGCACGCTCAGCCGATCCCTACCTGGACCTATGATTTAGGGCTTCAGGTTTAGGGTTAAGGGGGGTTTAAGGGGTTTAGGTGGTTTAGGGGGTTTAGGCCTCTGGGAATTTAGGGCCTTTAGGGCCTGTAGGGCTTAACGAGTTTAGGGGGTTTAGCCGAGTTTAGGGTTTAGGGCTTCGGGTTTAGGGCTTTTGAAAGGGCAGAGGCCCCAGACCAAAAAAAACTGAACCGTAAAGCTCAAACCCAAAACCAAACCCTAAACCCTAGGTCCTAGGCCTAAGGCCCTAAGGCCTAAACTAACCCCTAAGCCCTAAGCATTAAATGCTTTGCGGCCAAGAAGCTGCTTGATCTCTCTCGCTCTCTCTGCCCACCTCTCTCCTTGCTTCCTCTCGACTCTATCTGTCCTCTCTCCACTCTTTTTTCAGGTCCTCTTGTCCGCTCTGTATGTCTCTCGCCCTTTCCCTTGATCTCTCTGTATCCATCCATCTCTCTCTCTCTCTCTTCTTCTTCTCTCTCTCTCTCTCTCTATCTGTATCTATCTCTCTCTCTCTCTGTCCTCAGTTGGGGGGGGGGGCATGTTAGACGGCATGTTTGTGGGGATGATCATCCCCCCCTGTGGGATACCCCAAGGCAGGCGGTGACCACCTATATGTTAAGGTCTAACACAGTCTCAGGTACTTGGCAAACAGCACGAAGCTCAGTGCCACGGCGGACAGGCCTGGTCCAGAATGCATCTTCCCACCTGCGCCGTACCAATCACAGAATCCGACGTGTGACAAGTTGTGACACGTGGCGTGGGGCCTCAAGAAACTGGGCACACATCTCCCTCTTGCGCTCCACCGACGTCTCGCCTGCGCACTCGCAGTTCTTGCTCGCAAGGCATTTGGTCTTGAAACATCCACAACCTGCCTCTCCCCAAAGCTGCGGACCCTCTTTGGTGCAGTGAGCGGGGGCGGGTCGGTGCAGAATTGGTTTGTCCAAGCTTTCTGCGCAGAGTTTGAAGGAACCGAAGAAAGGGACAAAGACAGGAATGTAAGTTGGAAAGAGAGGGATTAGGAAAGATTCGGATGGATGATTAGAGATTTGAACCCAAAAAGGAAAACATGGGATTTAGGAGGAAACTAGTCAAGACGGGCTTGAAAGGGATTTAGAAACGCAAGGGACGCAAAAAGGTTTTCGAGTGGTGAAGACAGGGGTCGACGGGATGCCAAGCAATGGATGCAGTCACGCAGCATTCACGTGAGAAGCCCGACCGGAGAGTGCCAGGATCTTGGTGAATTGATTGAGGTAAGATGATTGGATGATTGTACACGGGGTCCGTGGTTTGCATCCTCTTGGAAAATGCGTCTCATGGTGAGATTTAGGTTTCCAGCTCAAAGGAGTCAACGGATGCCCCCAGCCCCCCCCCACCCCCCGTAAGATAGACACTTAAAGGCTGTGCTGCACGTGCGTGCCTTGTAAACAAAATACTTTACAAAGGAAACGCCCGCAGAATAGACGCAACACACCCTTAGCATCAGCACACTGTGTCCTGGGCGGGCAGGGACCGGAGGGCGCGGAGGGTGCGCTGGGCGCGGAGCGCCAAGGGCGCAGAGCGCGCGGAGAGCGCCGAAGGCGCGGAGGGCGCGGAGGGCGTGGAGGGGCGTCCACGTGTCCTCCCCTGCTCATCAACCGATGACCGGTCGTCTCCGCGGCCTCGCGTCAAAATTCATTCCGTCCGACCCTCCTCCGTTGACCGTCTCCTCTTCGCGGCCTCTTTCGCCAAAAAGCGATCCGATAGAACGCCTTCCGCGTTGAAGCGCCAAACGAGAACCCAATTTTAGAATTGGTGTTCGGGAAGAAACCAAGAAAACAAAGAGCACGCGCAGAATAGACGTTAAGCGTCCAAGGCACCCCCCCCTCCCCCTGCCCGCTCCCCCCTGAAGCGGATTTCGCAGGGGACCACGGACCTCTGCTTGACATTGCGACACCGTAGGTGCAAGAATTTTGGGCGGGCCATGGCGGGCCTGTTTCGGGCTCCTCCGCGGCCTGTGTCAGCAATTGTGCCAGTGCCATATCCTGAGTAGCCGAACGACGAGTATCAGATACTGGAAGCAAGCGCAAGCAATATGTTCATGTGCCTAGCACCTGCCTTGGTCATGAGATGCAATGAGATAACTTTTTCAACACTGGTTTGGGCGCCTCTCGCATCCACCACGTAGAGCCGAACACTTCACTCACCATGCCAGCTTTCCAGCTGCTGCGGCTCTAGATCCCTTTAAGGGAAGTAAACGACCTTTGAAACAGCCTTGCGAGCAAATGCTGAAACTAGGATTCGGAGTTGCGATATCAGATCAGTCTATCAAAACGCATGAACCATTAACATGTACTGGGAAATTTGTGACCGGTATGCTGACAGTAGCCGCCTATCGCCTATTCATCGTGACACATATGTGAACAGCGCTGATAGGACCAGCCTCGGAAGCTTCGGGAGCTTCAGCAGCAGCAGGCAGCTTCAGGCTTTCTAGTCGACCAGGAGGTGCATGACCAGGAGCGCAGGAAGAAAACTGAAAAAACACGCTCTCTGTCTCATTACGTTGGCGAGGTGCCTCTGCAACACTCTCTTGCAGTGTGCTGTAGCGAAGCTCCTCATAAATCGCGAGGCATCGCCTGACCTCAAGGCCAAGACGATCTCCAGGCCGGCCACCCACATGCAAGGTACGACCTCCAAAGTACAAGTCCAGTTAGTCCACTGTCCTCCTCAAGGCGTCGCATGTTGCCCCAACCATCCCGTCTGTGGCGTTCGATGTGATGCTCTGACTATTTTCGGAGAACGTCGCCGACACCTGGACCAGCCGCCATCATCGGCACGTCGGATCGTTGGCCATCTCAGCGTACTGGCCGCGACTTGCTGAAGTCGGACCGCTGGGCTGCCTTCATCTGCCCTCGGCGGTGGTCCAAAGCCTGGACCTTGCACTGGGCCCTCAACGGGAAGTTGCCAGAACGGTCGTCTTCCTTGAGGACAGGGAGCCGGCGGTTGTTCATGGAGACAGGCCAGCGCTGATCTCCACGCACGGCAACTGAAGGAATGGCGCAGGCTTCTCGCCCAACGACTTCCAGATGACCGGGCCGAATGGGCCATGGCTAGTGTTTCCGAAGCATACCGATCCTCCCCGATACCCATCTCCAGGCTGGCCACCCACACGCAAGGTACGAGATACCCCAAAGGTACAAGTCCGGTTAGCCCCCTGTCCTCCTTAATACGTCGCATGTTGCCCCAACCATCCCGTCTGTGGCGTTCGATCCTCTCCCTGCCAAACTGGAAGATACTGATGTGGATTTTTCCATTTGCAGTTCGGTTCGAAATCTTGAGTGGCAATCGACAAGCAAAGGCAGTCACTCGGGATCCCTACAAGCTGCTGGTTGACTGCTGTGTGCATACGAAAAGGGGCGAAGCAGTTCCCGAAGCATCTTTGCGAACCACTTGAGGCTCACAGAGCAGTGTCCTCATCTGCTTTTGTCTTTGTGCCAGCCCCTGAGCTCCTGGGTACCATGGGAGAAAAGGGCTTAAGGTGAACGGTTCTGAAGTGTCATAACCGAATTTTCCGAACCCTTGAAAAGTGAAAATACCCTTCTGAAAAGCCCGGCAGCTGCGAAAGCAAGCTCTCTTCTGTCTCCTCACGTTGGCGGAGCGCCTCCGCAACACCCTCTTTCCACTGCTTCCTGAAGCAGAGGTGCGCATAGAGACTTCCCACACTTGCAAGTCCCCAGTCTCAGGCCCTCATCTGCTTGCAGTTGTTCTTACAGGCTTCAGGGGGCCGAATTTCGTCTTCAGTGCCGAATTTCGTCTTCAGGGCCTAATTTCGGCTGGGCCGAATTTCGTCTTCAAATTTCGTCTTCGAATTTCGTCTTCGCCCCCCCCCGGAAAAGGGGACCCAGTTTCCCGGGTCAATGTTGTTGTGGCTGAAGCAGGCGAAGGGTATTGGATCCTTGAAGCTTGCCTTGGCCTCCCTGCAGGCAGCGATTGGCCGATTGGCAACTGCGACAGCTCTGAGACCTTAACCATGATGGAGCCCAGTGTTCCCGGTCCCATCAGGCATCCCACAGCCCCGACGCTTCATGTGCAGAGCATGCCGTAACGACGAGGTCGTCATCATGGATTGTCCATAACCCAGAATTGTGCTGCCCTGCTCATCGGAACCAAAATATGAAGCCCACTCATCAGAGTCGCGGGTTTTTCTGTACATCATCCAGTATGGCCGTAGGATGCGCACAGAAAACGACCACGGTGTTTTCAGGCGTCACTTTCAACGCATTTGCGTCGCCGCTCACTGTTGCTTCTGATAAACCGGTAGCTCCTCCAAAACGAAACTGTGCAACATCTCAGACGCACCACAAAGCACTTCGTTCGTAGAATTCGGATGCTTCGCCATCGGAGGCGATAGTGAGCAGAGACCCACCAAGGCCATCTCTGCCCTCAGCATGTCTGCAGCCGATGGAGTCGTGGCATTCGTGGCATTGTCACAATTGTGGGTTGGGATCTCTGACTGAATGGGCTCTGCCACTTCTGACTGCAAGGGAGGGCATCCCCACTTCTTTGCTGCTTCTGCATGCCGGCGACCTGAGATGTGTGTTTCAACACTTGCCTTGTCATGAAAGGGTCCGCAGCCGCATGGCTTGCAGAAATACTCCCGTTGGCCCACACGCCCGGCTGCAGACGAGCAGAAGTCGTGTGTCACAATTCCTTGATTCTGAAACTTCTCAGGCAAGAGAAGCATCTCCTCAAGAGTTTCCGGCGGCCGCGCTTTCCTCTGGTGCAGCTTGCCAACGATGTGACCGTGCATCTGCTCAGTGGATAGAATGGGGCCCGCTTTGCAAAGCTCGCAGTAGAGGCCATCATGCCTCCGAACAATGCCTTGGTGCTTTGCTGAACAGCCCACTGACAGATAACACTACGGAACGAGCCAACGTCCTGCCTTTAGGCTGACTAAAACACTCAAGTGGCTTGCACCGCAGGGACCTCAGCGATTGCAGGGAAGGCGGGAGGGGGCGGCGCGTAAACGAGCCTCTCCCACAATGAGACCTGTGACTGGGTTTCATGTTCATGGTCTTCCCTGCGAGGGGGTCCGATTCGCCGTATTTACTTTCGTGTGCTTTGTTGGATGGCGCTGAGACCTTGAGGTTTGAGATCGTTCGGCTTTAAAGTCGTCTAGCATCAACACTCCTTTCGCCAGGTTTTGGTACATGAGTTCCAATTTGCGGCTGTGAGACAGCGACATGCATCTCCATCATTGTTTTGAGAACCCCACGGATTGCACATTGATGCTCGACACGTCCACTCATTTACTCATCCTCAAGCCAAGGGGCCTTGATTTTCCCAGCCGGGCTCAACTGCCAGGATGCCCGTGCTGCTGTCCTGGCGGCAAGGAGCGCTGATCTCGCTGAGCCTCTGCCACAGCACGTAGAGAAGAAAGGGGAAGTCGACGGCTCCCTTCCTCTGGTCCATCGTGAGAAGATGAGCATTCCAGTCGCAGGCAAGCAAATCCTCCTGTAGCTGAATACCTCTTGACGCCAGACCTAGCTCCTTGGCGATGCTTTCCACATTGTGACACTTCAGACCGAGGCGCTCATCGGCCATTGCATAAATGCTCACATTGTTCTTCATTTCAAGGCCAAAAGTGCTCTGCAGCTTCCGCTTATGCTTCATGGAGTAGCCATCGCAGATTTTGCAGACCAGGGGGTGCGCGAGAAGCTCTCGCACCTGTAGGGCTCTCGGACTAACCTGTTTTGATGTTTCGGGACACTCTCCGGGCGAGGCTCTTCGACCGGCCAAGTCACGTGCTCCGGCAACCAGGTGCCCGTGCGATGCGTACGCAGAATCCTTGGTCTGTGAGCACGGACAGAATGTTTGTGTGCTTCAGAACAGTTAGAAAAGCCATTTCAATTCATGGACTAAACTTGCGCACGCAAGTCTTTGCAGTAAGAGCACTCACACTTGTCTAGTCCCAAGGAGATAGATCAGACAATCAGTGATGCCCATTCTCGCACGAGTTTCACCACTCTCTTCTCGTCGGCAAACTGCAGTAACGAGACACGGTGGTCATCTGTGTCATTGCGGTCCAGAGTCCAACACCTGATTCATGAAGCATTCTTATCCTGGGCATCTGTTTTACAGCCAGTGCGCATATACACATGTATATACAAGTATGCACACGGATATAAGTACATGCCAGGAATATACATGTATGAGCCCGCCGCCTTTGGGGTCTATTTTGCCTAGGGGTTATCTTTTCAATACAAGATGCCTATTTTAAACCTGTATATATTATATGCACACAATCGCCTAAACTTCGTTCAGAAACTTGATTCTGGATTGCTTTGTTGCTCTTGTTTGGGGTTTTTGTGTGTTGCGCTACGATGTTTTTTATGTGCTGCTTACTTCTGTTTGGATTAAGTTTTTGCCTTTGTGTGGCCGGTTTACATACATCATTCTCTACAACACCAGTGCTGAGCATTCCTCCTAGGAAGGGGATAGGAAGGGGTCTCTTGCATGGTCTTGCATGTCTGAGAAGCAATAGTGCCACGGCACATATTGAACGCGATGGGGAGGTGCTGAGCCATTTTGGACTCCAGCCAGGTGCGCAAGACGGAATCCAGGCCATGCTCCTTGGCCAGGTCCGTCGGCAACTCCGAGAGATCCACAAAGTTCACCTCGCACATAAGAAGCCACATAGAACTCATAGAACTCCTACTGGAACCGCTACAGACCCGCTATGAACTACCCTGAACTGCTGAAAGGCGCAGGCCTTGCCAGTGAAGTGCTCCCGCTGGACTGGCACAATACTTCGATGGTGGCCCCGGCTCAGCTTGCGGTGCATGCTTTGAGTCGTGATGCCCAGAGCCGCTCTCGTCCATTCGCAATGTCAATCAGGCTTTATTGTGACATGCATCGCCCGTTGTGGAAAAGGGCTACAATGCTGTGACTTCCTGCCGTTGATGCCCTGCAGATGTTCAGGCCTATTGCCTGCACGGACCGTTCTGCTGTTCTGCTACTCTGCTTTGCTGGCGGCCTTGTAAGGACCATGTTGCGGACCATGGACGCAGACAAGCATAGGTTTGCGAATGAGTCGATGCTTCGAAGTGGTTCGAAGGTCACTTGGCAGGGCATCGAGAACCCGGCATCTTCCAAGGCTCTGAGGCCTGGGAGGTGCTGGAAGTGTAGAGGCGCTGGCGGCGCCGGTGCGTCTGCCACAACAAGACAGTAAGATGCTAAAAGCAGATCAGCAGAACTGCGTGCTGCATAGCTGCATAAGTACTGCATAGCACACATACTATGTGAATTTCTACCGGTGTGGACCCATGTGGGAGACATGCCCAGAGCGTGTCCAGGACATGGGACACGCCATCGGAGTAGGCTCGGACTTTCTCTTAGACTCTTTGATGCAACTTCTGTACAAGTGTAGTATTGCTTCGGCCTGGAGGCGGCGGTGGCAGCGTCTGAACGTCGGACTTGCGCCTGGCGGGCGTTCTGCTTCTCTGCTTGAATACCGCATTTTCCGCACACATGCCATGTCCCGTTCAGAAGCAAAAACAAAACGGCCACACCTCAACTGCACCTGGCAGGAGAGCCAGCAAATTCGTGTAGCGGAACTGAGGAACGTGCACTTTTTCCTGGAGGCCTCGTTTGTTAACGACTAGCCTCAGTCTACGTCCGCTGATGCGGTGCCATGAGTTGACCCTGTCAGCAGCAACGATCAGCCTCGTCGTCCAAAATGCTGCACACATTCAGGATCTGCTGAGCCTCTTCACAAAGTAACTCGAGGGGCCGCTGCACGTGACGATGCATCCCCAGCACGAAACCACCGCCGAAACACATCGCTGCAAATACTGCTGACTACTGCTGCAATCTCTGACGTGTCTTGCTGCTGGCGCCTCCTCCTGCACAGCTGCTCGTTTTTTCTGCACTTCCTGTCACCGAAATATGTCCAGTCTGAGAGCGGCTGCGGCTGCTTTTGGATCGCTGGCTGGGCAAGGTCTGATGAGTGCTGGGACAAGCCACTCTGACTGGCCTCCTTCTCATAGTTTCTGAGCGGTCTCCATACCTAAGTCAATATTTGCTGCAGATGGATGCAGGTCACAGGCATCTGACGTGCCGACTGCACAGAATCAACACTAAGTCATTGACTCGCCTTGTCTTCAGGTTGCCTCGCTGTGATGCATGATCTATGTCCATCTGACAACCAGGATAGTCAGGGGAACGTGCACATACCAGTAGCTTGTACAGCGGACAGCCCTAGTCAGTCCCACCCCTTTTGCCTCCAGTTGCTTCCCAAGGAACGCAGTCCACCCACCACCCGAAACAGTCCCACCCCAAATTTCCACCAAATAATCGCAAAGCGAAATGGCACATATGTTGCCAACCATGAATTGGTAGAAGCCTTCCCCCAAAAGAACGCAGGTCCCACCCACAAGTTTCATGTGGGTTTTGCATACTTCGACATGCACGGCATCTATGACATCCTACTTTTCACTATATGTCGGCATGCACGAAAAACATGTAAAACACCATCTAAAGGCAGCGAAACGCTGCATCGATGACATCCTCACCCGCCATAATAAATGGCAACCAAGCGCCACATTCAAAAATCGCATACCGAGCGTTGGTTTTCGATCCGCCCACAGCCGAAAATCGCGTGCGGAGCATTGGTCTTCGAGCTATGGGTGCATGTGGCGTAAGCTGCGTGTTAAATTCGCGTATGTAGTGCATGAGCATTACGTAAATAGTGCGTAAGTAGTGCGCAGGCCGCGGTCGCCGTTTGCAGCAGGCAGCTCAAGCAAGGTACGGTACGGTACTGTGCACACACAATGTCGCGAACCTGGATTTGCCAAGTACAGAAGGGTGCCACACCAGCTTGGGCTGAATGTAGCTACCATGTGCATAGCGCCGCAGCGAAAGGGGTCACATCATGGTCCCATCACTCTTTTGTTTAAGCAGCGCCTGGCTTCCAAACGAACGAAAGGAGGTGCCACGACGAAAATCTCGAAACACCATGCGAGCGCAAGCAGTGCATGCTAGTGCACTCTCCCATGAGTGTCACAAACATGTGCGTCTGGCTGCAAAACGAACGAATGGAAATGCCAAGACCGACAACACAAATGAGGAGAACCAGTGTCCTTTCTCGAAACACCATGTTTAACAAAAGGAGCACATCAACGTTTTACCATGACTGGCGACTGCGACTTCTTCGATGTATGTATCAATCTTCATCATCCACGAGGTTTTACCAGGGCCTTTCGGAATACCGACCGGTAGTTCCTCGGACTATTCGGAGTTCGATGGCCCAGCCTTTGGCGACCAGCTCTTCGTCGCTGGCAAGGGCCTCGCACTACCGACGTGTAACGGAATCTAGGGTTCGACTTGTTGTCGTCTGAACAAAGGGAGCCTCCTGCAAAATCTTCTCGGCGAGTTCCCTGGCCTGGTAACCACAAAAATGCTGCTGCATGCTTCAGATTGCTTCAGCCTTGCCGGTGGTTGCTTCGTGGGATTCAGTAGGTTGCAGCGACTCTTGCGAGCTCGAAGCTGAACATGGGCATGTTGGGGCAATCTGCGCATCAGTGCCCGCAAGTCGCCACGACCCCCCACCCCTCCCCGACCTCATTCACGCGCTGCTCGGCTTTTGGGGTATCGCTGTCCTGGCAACGCCACTAGGGCAACGTTGCCTCAAACTGCTGTAGTTCTGTTTATGCTGCATTCAAGAAGTGCCCCGCCTCGAGAAGAGCGCGCGCTTCGCAGCAAAGACCAAAGGCTTGCTTCAAGCTGAAGGCCTGCACAGGAAAGCTCTGGAACTGAGAGGAATGAACCCGACAAACTGTTTGTGTAGCAGCTGCATGCACCTGCCGTGTCTACCAGACTGGGATGGAAGGCTGTCAATCCCAATCCGCAAGAGCCCAAAGTCGGAAGCAATCCGTGCTTGCACAGAGCAAGAAAACATTGGCAAATGGCCAAGAGACGAGGCAGGACTTGGGAGGTCCGGGATCGCGAGGTTCATCTCTGGCCTTGTCCCCCAGGATTCGCAGCACCAGCACTTTCAAAGGCTCTGCTCGATGTCGCTGCATCTCGCCTGGCGGTGCAGCCCCAAAGGGTTTTAGTATTAGGGGGGGTTCTTATCGTTTGTCCGAAAAACCAGCAGTGTTTAGGGTCTAGGTATCCCTAAACCCTAGTTTCTAAACCTGAACCTTTAGGGCCTAAGGTTTAGGGTTCAGGGTTAAACCCTGAACCCTAAACCTTAGGCCCTAAAGGTTCAGGTTTGGGAAGGTGCAAGTTTCTGCGTCAGGCTTTCTACCCGGGATTTTGGGCCAGGTTTTTTTTTCTAATTATTAGGGGGATTGTGCAAATATAAACTTGCCAAGGCTAAAGCCGAGATTTGGCTTGGGGCGCGTGCTGCCCAATGGCAGAAAGTGTGTGAGGCGGCTGTTATCAGCTGTTTCGGTTTCGGAACCGGCTGACACTGAACCAATACTAATTGGGGGTGTCTCCTGCCCTGACGTATTGCAAAGTTCCTTCATATGGCGCCATGGTCCGAATCAGGGACTATTGCAGTTGATTTTCTTGTGTACACGCTCTCATCCCATGAACATGCTGCGTCTGATAGGGTCGTTGCAGTCGCATGTCTGTGACTGTTGCTGCGCCGTTCAAGCTTGTCCCTGGCATTCCGGGATGTGTGCTAACACCTCATGCTCAGAGACTGACCCGCCCTCCTTCAGTACTGACAGTATTGACCATAACTCGCTTGATATTGCTTGCATGCGAGGTTGCATTGAACAGGCTCATAGATGTCCCGAAAACGGTGACATTGCTAGATCAAACAACGTGTCTGCCTGTCTGAGCCGGAGGAGGAGGTACTTTTTCTTCCTCCTTCTTCCTCTTCCTGGCACCAGCACCGTCCATGGAGTTTTGTCATGTACGTCAAGCGATGTATTTGTGAACCACATGCCAGCGTAGCAGCTCGAGCTCCCTCTCCGCCGCCGAGTTTGGAACCGCTTCGGACTTCATGTCGGCTCGCCTCACCGCCTGCCAAGGTCAACAACTCTGAGCCCTCCCTGTGCAATGCGCCCCATGGAGCTCTTTAATTTTCCCAAGGCTCTGCCCTTGCCCATTGCTGTAACTTCAGCGGCCCGTATCCTTTGGCCCTGTTCTCGACAGGGCCGTTGAGGTGTTCGCATCATGCGCGGGGATCTCTGCAGATGATCTGAGTTTTTGGAGCAGTTCGACAACAAAGAACTGACAAAGAAGGATACATGTCGGGGTCGGGCCACATCAATAACCTGGGCAGTGTCTAGTCTGCATCATGAGCGAGCGTGCGCACGGAAGACTTTCTTCCACAGCGTTTGGGCTTGTGCATGGGGCTCGGCAAAGCGTCGCTTACTATGCAGCTTGCAAATGGCACCTGCCTTCTTGACCCAGTCCATCCGTCGCTGAACGGACTCGCCCTGCCAGGCAACATGCTCCTTGTTGATTTGTTGCCCTGTCCGACTGCCGACAACCGTGGCAAACACGCGACGTGCTCGTCCCGGAGGAAAAGTTCATGCTGTCATGGCATTGTAGCAAGCTTAGTCTTCACCTTCGTCGTTTTTCAATGGAGATCCTTGCTTCAATGTTGCAAGTAGGACCCCACAGCACTCACCTGTTGCGCGTGACACAGGGGGGTTGCGTGGCCGGTTCTCACAGGGCCGTGCGGTTTTGGGTGTTAACTAGCCTTCCTGCTGAATTCGCCCCGCGCTCCCAAGTGCGGTATCTCCTCCTGTGACTCCTGACCCCGACCAGCACTTTTGTGAGTACTAAAGCCTGTGGCCGGGGAGGTCGGGGGGGGGGGGGGGGGCGGGGGCAACTGCAGCCCGCCGTCATGCCTCGGCTCGGGATATCTCGGGTGTCCCAAACTGTTCCCAAACTATCTGCATCAAGGCCAAGAACTGCCAAGAACACTTCGGGCTGTTTGCCAACGTGAAACAGCAATGTGCGAACATCTGAGAAGTAGGCTGCTGGGAAGCGAAGCTCAGATGGACTGTGCGCGTTGGGACCTTGACATTGCTTGACAAGTGGTAGCACCTTGCTACCAGCTTCGACCCTGAGGAGCATGTATGCAACATGGTAGGGCTGCGGCATTTGCATCTTTCCCTTGATGCAGATCTGCAACCCAATCGTGGTGTGCGCGGTGTACCCTGCATGCAAGCACTTCATGCTGAAAGGGTGCCCGTGTGTAGCAGGGTAGCAAAGTGTGTCGTCCTGTCTCTACAACTGCATGACCCCCCACTTGTGTGTTTTGCAGTCGCTTGGTTTCCGTTGCAGCGACGCCATTGACTTGAACATTGATTCTAGAACGCCTGTGTGTGTGTGGCCAAATTCTGGAAGCAAATACCAAAGCCACAAGGCAAAAAGCCACAAGCCTCGGCATTGAACTTCGATCCTCCCATCCAGCGCGGGAGGACTTCAAGCGCCTCCGGAAGTGTGGAGAGCGGCAGAAGGAAAACAAGTGAAAAACAAGGTGAAAGGCGAGAAAGATAACAGGTGAAAGCAAACACATATCAAACACAATTCTTCCACAAGATGCTGGGCATATCTGGGAATTGCACCTCGGCAGAACGTGCCCGGCGCTTCTCGATGGCTTCCGGGCACATGCGCCGCTTGAAGGGCCTTGCAGGGTAGAGGCTTAAGCTCTCGTTTGACTTGACAACTTCTCAGTGTATTTCAGCGTCCGGGAGAGTTGGCAGAGATAGGGAGAGAGAGCGGCCTTTCCATCAAACGAACGGCGCCGAAGGATGCAAGGGACTGTCCAAGGCGCTCCAAGTTGTGCTTCTGCCGGTCCTGCAGCGAAGCTGCCCAAGGCAATAACTTGCAACTGCAAAAACAATCAACTCTGCATCCCTTCTGGACCCACCCTAGCTTTAGATGGTGGAACATCGGCAACCCACGTTTGCAAAATGCTGCTCAACTTTGGCCCACTCACCACAAGACTGCACTAGACTGAACTAGCTACTAGTAATAGTATTTAATAGAAACAGTGTCGGCTTTTAGGCGGCAAGAGGGTTCAAGCGTTGGGAACAGCACCAGGCATGATCTTTGCAATGGGCACAAGAACCGTGAGCCAGCTTCTGGGTTGGGCAACAACAGTCAGAAGAGCCGCTTCAAGCAAAGCTGGTACTGCCGGGGCCGGAGCCCTGCAAGCATGCAAAGCATGCCAGCGTAGCAGCGGTTGGGTGGGAGCTATGATTGGATGATCAAATTGCCAAACATGTACTTGCCCGTGCTTCGGGATCAGTAGCCCATAGTAGTCCCAAGCAAGACCTTAAAACAAACTCAAACTTAAAGTTACAGCCTCACTGAAGGGCTTCCAAATAGCTTCATTCCACTCGCTGGTGTCTTCTGAACACTCCGCATTGCGTGGCCTTCTCCTTCATGGCTGCTTGGATGCTCTCGGCCAGCTCATGGGCCTATGCAAGCAGCGAGCGCTTGGAGCAGGCTTGGTTCCTCGCTTCCAGCAAAGTCAAAGGCATTCTGAACTCTTTGGCCTCCAGCAGCAATCCAATCTCAACCTTGTTGTCGAACTTCTCCTGCACTTTGGCTCGCTTATGGAACTCTGCATTCCCTATGGGTAGCATGTGACGTTCAGGGGTGCTTCTTCAACAACGAATGCTGCGAAACCATAAATGAACGACGTCATCTAACTGTGCATGAAAGGCCTGGGGCCAGCTGCTGACATACTGGCAACTGTTTGGTCGGTCCTACTGTTGCTCCTTCCTGGGGGCCTAAGTTGGTGGCGATCTCGGCTGAAAAATTGCGGGCGCCTCCGGTGGAGGCGCCTCTCCCTCTTCCCGCAGCTTGATCTCCAGGTCTTTGGCCTCTTTTGCCTGCAAGGTTATGGTTGGGCAACCAAAATCAGCGCTCGGAGATTTCAAGTCAAGGTGGCAAGCCTTTGTTTCCAGAATCTTCTTCATGTCCTTGCAGTTGTGGACCTGCATCATGCGCTGAAAGTCGCTTCGGATGCACGGCTACAGTGATTTTTGGCAGCATCTTCCTGAACAGCGTTCGCATTAGAGCACATCTGCGTTGCGCTTGAAACGCTTCTGGGGCATCCGATATCATCCGATGCTGTGGCAGACCCCAGGATCCGGTATGCCCAGCCCTAGAACTCAATGCTTGGATGGCCTGTGGAGGCTTGTGGATGTGGCAGTAGAAGCCCGCGCACTTGCATCTCAGCGAAGAGGAATCAAGTACAGAATGATGACAAGTTTGGAAACTCTTCGAAACATCCATGGTATCACGGGAGCTTCAGGAACACGCACAGTACCTTTCATGCAGACCCTGAGCCTGCGACATCTCTGCATGATGGTCCAGCTTGCGCCCACAATTTTTGTGGTAGCAGCGGAATCGGTCAAGCATCTGCTGCACCTATCGGGGAGCATGCCACGCTGTCACCTGCCGCGCGTGTCTACAATGTGTCCGAGCTCGGGGCTCCAAAGTGGCCTTACTCTTCAACATTCTCCAATGGCTCTCATGACTCTATTTCAAGCAGCCAACTAACTGCACATACTGTCTATGTGGCTATGCAACATTCTGCAACATTTTCCACGCAGAGAGCATTGAGAGCATGCGGGAGCTTGACATATGAGCTTGATATGCCCAGTCGCGCTGAAGCTTTTCCATTGAGCTCTTCAGAGCGCCTGAGGCAAGATGCAGAGAAATCGGGAGACGACTCACAGAGTACGATTAGCGTACATTTGTAAACTTAGAGCACCTCACAGCGATGGGAATAGATGGAAGGCGCTGAGCATCCGGGAGTGTAGTGAGTGACTACCAGGTGCTGTGCTTCCCTGCCTCGTACAAAGTCACGCTTTGCCTTTTGCAACATTGCCCGTCGATGCCTTACGAGTTGCACAAGGAACTCGCCACATTTTGATTTCTTGCTTGTTGGCCTGAGTCGCAAGCACCTTCCAGTAGTTGGGATACTTGTGGGCCTTGAACTCATCTCCCAGTTCCTGGCTTCTTACGACATGAGGTGTAAAGCTTTGCATTGCCATGCTTCCACCTTGACGAAATCTTTGATGCCAGTCACCTGCCAAGAGCTATCAAGCTCATCTTTGGGTGGCATACGGTCTCTGTGGGAACCCTGGCTTCAGCAGTCGCATGCAGGCACAAACCCAAGCAAGACGCAAGAAAGTCGAAAACACTTTCTGCCTTTGAGGCATCCATCCTTTCGGAGATTCGCTCCCGGAATTTGAGCACGTGCCCCGGAACATTGGCGGCCTCATGCGGACTCAGGACCCTGATTCGTCTCAAGGCATGGCGAGGGTGAATCCAGGAGGTCTTCGAATCAAGACAATTAAGCACAAGGCTGTTCGCGGATGAAAGGTGCACTCGAGAACGTCCTCTTCCTGACCACGCAGCTTTTCGCTTGTGATCCAGCAGTCACATGAGTTTCACTTCTGTCCTTGGAAAAGATGCGCTGCCGCAGCGCCAGCATTTCATCCGAACGAAGAATGTTGAATTCCTCCACGACATGGCATCCGTTGAAATTCAGTGCACGTGTCTCATCTCCGACGAGATAGCACCGGAAGCGACAAGGCTTGCCTTCCTGTCACGCATACACATCATCTGTAGAGCCTCGGCAACTTTGAAGTCTCTGTCAGGATGAAGCCAAGCTACAGTCGTCAATATCTACTACAGAAGCAGTGCCTTACTTCACGTTCACTCTGCCTTGCTACAATACAAAAAATCACCACCCGTGCAATAGACAAGGACTCCAACTCGAGTGCCGTACTCATGTTTCAATGCATGCTTGGAACCTCTCCAAACTCCAGGACCCTACTCACGCCATTGCATTTTCGGTGCTGAAGTTTCTAAGACCTCTGTAGAACTCTGCCCTGAGCCCGCTGACCAGCATTTCATCACCTTCGCTGTCGTGGCTGTGCTTGACTCGCCGGACCTGTAGGTGAGGGCTGATGCCTTTAAAGTTTGATCCTGGTCAAGCAAACTCAGGCAATTGACACGCTGACCCCTGATCTGAATGACGTCACGTTCACGCGTACGCGGCGTACACCGTTTCTGCACAATTCACAAACTTGAACCATCATTTGCCTAAACAGGAGAGCGGGCCTGTTCTCTCTAGTCCCTGCCCGTGCCATGATGGCGCAAGACCAGACATCGAAAACCAAGGCAGCCACTATATCCGTATTGATCACCATGTTAAAGCTTTGCGACTTCACGGAAGATGCCCAGAATCTGCAGCGCATGAAGTTGCCGCACACTGAGCTGCGTGTCGGAAAGTCTTGCATGATTTGCATGCCCAGTCTTACGCCTTCGGTCAGGGGCAGGTTGACGGACAAGAGCGTGGCCTTTCGCAGCCTGCCTGACAGGACACTGATTGGAAATGCCTGTGATATCCTGCAATGCAACTTAACTTCTACACAGGGCAGATCAGGGCAGCGGTGTGTGGCTCTCTCTACATCTGTCTGCTTATTGGTGTACTTATTTGTGTATGATGTGCATATCGTGCATATCACATTCTGGCATGCAGGCTATCTCGCAACCAGCATCTGTCGATCTACTTGGTCTCCTCAGCTATTGCAGCGAAACTTACCTGCCAGTCCACATGCAGCGCCTCTCCACCTGCCGTAGGACCTCCAGAAACTGCTGGCGAAAGAAGGGAGGCGCAAGCCTCCAAACCTGAGATGCTATCCGATTCCGTGTGGTCTCTGTAGCGGCAAGACTGCTTACGAAGACGCCACTGTTGATGCTTCAACACCTCGTCCTCTTCAGGTCTCTCAGACACACCCACCCGACAGCCCCCTTACGCCACCAGTTGAGCAGCCCTGCCTTCATCACTTTCACGGACAGAGCTAAAGCCTGACGGGTTCAGGGCTTTTGATGCATCTGATTCATCTGATGCACTCCTATGTGGAATTTCGGACGTCTACTTGCATCGGCCTCGGTAATTCGCGGATCATTGCAGAACTCTAACAAGCATGAGGCCTCGTTATCAAGCTTTGGCCACGGGCTTTCAAATCGCAGTCGCACCTTGAGCCACTCAGTAGTTTATGGTTAAAACGGCATGGTTCTTCACATCGTCGCTCTACACTCCAACACATGCGACAGCACAATAACAACATTCACGAAATTCATGGCACCCTTTAAGTTTAAAGGGTGCCATGAATTTCGTGAATGTTGTCATTGTGCTGACAAATCTGAAGCAGGAAAACGGATTGACAGTGAACACCAAGGGAGCCACCCACCTTGCGACAAAGATGCTGGGCACCTGCAGTGTCAGATGACCAATGTCACATCTAAGAGCATCTTTAGGGTGTGAGCAAACTGTATGAGCTACAGGGGTTAATGCGCTCAAACTCGGGTCCCCTGATGTGCAACTCCTATACCTACACAAAGGGGTTGCTGGCGTCATTAGACCCCCAACAGCGTCAGATCACAACGATGGCATCTAAGAGTTCTGCTGCCCTTCACACATAACTCGCTGCACGATGCCCACGTTTTTACTTCTTACAACGGCAATCGTGACGAAGCCCGAGCCCGCGACTAGACGGGAGCTTGATCTTGATCCAAAACGAGTGCCGGGCCAATGGCCGAGAGCCCCGGAACCGGCTGCATGATGCGACACACGGTCATGGCAACCTAACCCTTCCAACTCTTAACTTTGGAACCGCCCCGCCCAAGCATAGGACAGCCTGAGGAGCCAACGATGCAGGGATGCTGCGTGGTCACAGATACGTCCTTCTTGCACAGAGCAGCTACACTCTTAGATGGGGCTAGCAGGGCATGTCTTGTCCACACCTGTCAACCAAGCGAGAATTTCACTGTGGAACCCAGGCACTGAACAACACGGGCAAGACCACATGGAACAGTACCACCCAGATCCGCCCAGTAGGAGCGTCCTGTTCTTCAACTTGCTCCCATTGCTCCGGAGAATCGACAGTCGGTGCAGCATGGTTCTTGCTGACCAGGACCTTGACCTGACCCAAACTTCACGCATCTTCACGCACACATGCCCGAGAGGAAATGCTCAGAAGGCTGTGAGCAAGATGCATGCAGCATCATGCAGCTCTGAGTGCTGCCTTCAGCGGCTTTTCCAGCAACCTCTGTAGCCTTTGGCTTTCGCCGCTCAGCTGCGCGCCCTGCCGCATCTCTGCTAGAATCTCAAGATGTCGTGCCACCGCTGGGTCTCTGGAGGGGCTTGAAGGGTTCGCGAATGAGATGTTGCAGCTTCTTGAACAGCACGGAATATGAATGGGCCTTGAAAACCAATGTTAGCGGTTGCAGGAAGTCGTCCGCAAGTTTCGTCAAGGCCTCTGCAAGTGAGAGCCTCGGACCAGTATTGTACAACCACTGCATCACCGAAATTTGCGAAACATGGCGAATGCTTCAGTGTCACACACTCTGGCCCGCACCCCACAAATGCAGAGTCCGCACTTCCGCCAGCATTCAGCTGCAACACCTCGTCTGTTGTTCAACACAGTCAAACACCATCAAGAACGTATAACTCGGAAAACATGGTAGTATGAGTATGGAGATATAGAGTAAAAACATGTAAAAACATAATATAAACAACACATGTTGCTACAGGACGACTGATGAGATCAAACCCGGGCCGGGATCCTGGCATCTCCAGGCTTGACTCGGGAGAGGAAGGCTTTGCCGCCATCCCGCACCTCAATTGATGTGCCGGGTGAAGGTGGATTTAACCCGTTAGATCAGATTCAGTCTTAACGATCACAAGGTTCTGCGGGGTCTGCTTTTACCTGCCTGCTCGATATTGGTGCTTCAGTCTCTCGTTTGTTGGCTGTGTGCGGGACTAAGCGATGAACGTGAAGGGGAGCACCAGCTGACACTGCTTGCCGGATTTCAATATGGATTCCAAGCTCAGAGCTTGTGTGACCACAATCTGCTGGCCACCTCGGAGCTGAAATTCGTGTCGGAAAAACAAAAGGACAACAAAAAATGCTAGTTGGTCGTCAAGAACAGGAGAACTGGAAATCTTTGTCTGTTCGGACTTAGGCTCAGACTGCTGGCTAGAAGAAGGTCCGACTGAAATTCTGCGCGTGTGGAGTACGTCACCTGCTCGCCAGAACGCGCGAGAACGTTGGTGGCCATGTATGCAAACTGCAAAGAGACCTTCTTGATGCTGGGCACAGACCACTCCAAGCCTTTCCAAAAGACAGAGGTCCCATTGGCAATCGATCGCGGTTCGTCTGAAGTAGTCTGACATGAGCACATAGGAGTCTTAGGTCGGGGCGAACACCTGCGCAGCTGTGAAGCCTCCCGAGGTCCATTTGCCTGGCTGCGCGATCGGACTTCTCACAGAGATCGTCCAGGCGATATTTTTTAAAATGCTCTTGCAGGTGCCTGATGCTGAAACGTTTGCCAAGGCTCTGACCACCAGGACCCCCCAAAGATGAACTCGGGGCTATCGATGTTTGGAAACCACCTTTTGCGCAATGCACCCGCAACGAAAGCGCTTGCAAAGTTCTTTGTAGCAGCGCCAGATATCAGGAACTTTGCAAGCGCCAGAGCTGACTTGCGTACCCAGATTTCTGGTCGGGGATAGAAGTGCTGGGTCCGCCTCTGAGCTTTCACGTCAATTCGTACCATCAGAGGAGACTGGCGAATGAAAAGCACTGCAAAGCTGAGGCGACCACAGGAAATGCTGTGGGTTGGACACTCAACAACTGCACCACCACCTCAGCACTCTCAGATGAAACACGAAGCATTGGGCGTCTGGCTTGAGTGCAAGGCCGGGCGTGGAATCAGGAACCCTCAGCGGTGCATGAGATTGGTGCGTTCTGTGGGCTTCATGCAGGTTTCATGTCACCAGCATGCTGTGCATCAGACTCCTCAATGAGAGGCTTCGCTTCTTTGGAGTCGTTGACGGTTCGACACCTTAGGGACATTTTGAGACTATAATGGGATATGCAGCATGCAAGCTTGTCAGCTCCCTGCAAATAGTATGGACCAAAGCGGACATAGACCTTGACAAGGGGAGAAGTCGGCAGAAGCCTTCTCAGGTAAAAATGGCTTGTGGTTGGCGCTGGGCCTCATTTGCCCCAAACCTGCGGCAAAGGTGGGCGAAGGCGTCCTGTACAAGGTCCGCAAAATCCCTCAACAAGTCGATGTGCACATTGGCTGCCAATGGTACTTCTTTCGACAGCCTCAATGACGTACAAAGCAGGGAGATCCGCCTCTGTCCTGTTCCTACAAGCCAGCAAATGGGGATCAGATGAGATTTGACATGATTCGGCAGTGAAGATGCGGAGGCCGCAAGCCTGGCTGGAACAACTGGCCCTGTTGGACCAAGCCGCGCGCCACGTTCCAAGCACCTCAGATCCAGCTGTGCCCTCTAGAGACCACAACGCGTGACGAAGGCTGGATGCACGCGGGATGCCAATGGATGCTACCAGTAGCACTTCAAGGTAGGCACTGCTTGGCACGGTGTCGCATGTAGCTACGGATCTTTCTGGAGATCTTGCTGGCATCTTGCAGCAGGTTCAGAAACCTGGTGAGAGAAGCGACAGCTGCACAAAGATACTCACACTTGCTTATTCTAGCCCATCTTCCCATTCTTCTCTGGCGACATTCTCACAGATGCATTGCTGGCATGGCAGCGTGGGACATGGTGCGGTAGTGATTCCAGCCTCCCCGCTCTGTCGGCATCTTGGTTGAGCCACTTCTGGAACGACCCCTGGGACATGAAATGAGGTCGCCCAAAACAATTGCAATAATCATTGCTGTCGAGTATAGCAGTTCAAAAGTACAGATACAGCACTGGTGCCGCATACGCAAGATACATCCAAAATGCTTGACCCTACTCTCTCCAGCACATGATGTCTTCTTTTCGACACAACATGAGTCATAAGCTTGCATCGGATGCATCGCAAGGAAGACGCTTCTGTCGGTTCTCCTAAAGTCTCGCGGGCCTCTTTTTCTTGAGAAGGCAGCTGCCTTACCAAACATGTGAGCAACAGGCAAGACACAGGCATGACGAGAGTCGGAAGCATACGATCAAGGCAACCATGTTATGCGATGTGTCAAGCTTCCTTGCTTAGCCGGCTTAGCCCTCAGCAGTTTTAATCGGGCGTCCAACTGCCCGGCGGCTGGCTTTGGCGCCCTCAGCTTTCACTTGTTTCACGAAGACTGCCGAAGCGACCTTGTAGGCCTCATGGAATCCTCATGGAACCATCGTCGAGCTGGGGAGGCCGCTTGTCCCTGCTTGCCTGTTTCAGGACCTGTCAACTGCTTCTAACCGGCAGACGCGTCATCGTAACAGCTCTCTTCAACAGCATAGCACTGTTCAAGTGGCAGAATGCTGCAACACACAGGGTCTGAAATGTCTGATCACTGGGTGGCAGTACTGCGGTGTCCGTCAGCAAGTTGTAGGCATCCGTCTCCGCCCTCGCAGAGCTTGGAGCACCTGCCGCACTTTGCACCACGCCCTTTTCAAGCTTCCCTTCCTGCCATCTCGCCTTCCAAGCACTGTTTCAGCATGTGCTTCAAGGTGTGATCGTCTGGAAAGCGCTTGGCAATTGCCTTGGGTCAAGCACTTTCTAGTGCAGCAAGAGTCCTCAGAGCTGGCACGAAGTACATGCATGAGGTGTTGTCTGAGTCTATTGATGGTGAAAAGTCGGAACGATCAATGCAGCATCAAGACTGCAGAGGACAAACGTCTGCAAAAAAAAGATGCCCTCACTGCGAGACCCGTCGAACCAGCGACAACAACTGGATGGAAGCAAGGCCCAAACACCGGCTCTGGGCTGAGCTTCTTAGTCTTGTGGCTGCACGAAGTGTGGCGACACGTGTTTTGTGACTCAAGTCAAGAAGAAGGGTATGTCGCGGTGTCACGACATACGTATGTTGCGGACCTATCTAGGAGGCCTCCTTCAGAGGAGAGGCTTGTCGTGGGGGGGGGGGGGGGTTCGCAAAGAGAATGGCTGTGACATGATACAAATCCAACGGATGCCAAGTGGCCCGGACGAATTCCAAGGCATCCAAACGTGGCCGGGACCGAGCGAGGATGTCGATGTCTCGCTTCTTGCCTCAAAAGCTGGAGGCAAAGCTGCCATTTCGGGCCATCATCGACACTCATCATGAGGACTGTGAGGGCGCACTGGAGCCGCGTGGAGTTATTGCGGGTGATGCCAGGACTTGGGTGGCCTGTCATGACGAGACGTGACCCAGGAGCGAACAGCGCGAATGAAGCTTCGATAGAGGCTGATGGAAGGCTCACTGGATCAATGTACCATGATGCTTGCACCCTGAGGCAGACACGCACCACCCGTCGGACCAAGAGGGCTGGGCTTTTTTATTCTGGCAGCCTCACGCCGATGACCGGCTGCATCACGGAGCTTGTCTTGACACGGCAGCATTGACCGTGGATGATTGGTTCAGCTATGATCATACCAAAGATGACACCTATACTTGAAACAGATGCCCCAGGTTCGAGGCATCATTCTTATGACTCTTGGCCTGTCTGAGGTAAGTCGCCAGATTAGCCACACAAACAAGGCAGAATTTGCTGCAAAGTTGACACACCCCGACAGGGCCCTTAGCAGTGGCCAAGAGTTGTGATTGGCCAGGATGCGCAGCCCCACAAAGTCTTTCATGGCTCAAACAGAGCCACTGCTCTTTCCCAGGAGCTTTGCCCAGGTCAGAACTCGCCGGTCTGATCCTTGTCCCATCTTGGGACGAACCACAACAGAAAGCAACTCCTTAGTTTGACACTTGAGACTTCTGAGACGCTTGCAATCGCTTGCAACTCTCTCAGACTCATTCTTTCGAGCATTTGCTAGTCGACACCCTTCCTGTGACTGCGGCTACAGATTGTCTTGGCAGCTACGATGTTACAAGATGCTACAAGTAGCTGTGCTGCGAATCCGCTCTCTGTTGTGCCGGGTGCGGGCCAGCGTCGTGGGGCAGCCTTTGTCCCAGGCGGTTCAACGGTGAAAATATGCGAGAAAGCGCCTGGTTGGGGCAGACGCGTGCACCACCCTTCAAGCATAGCCCGCAACATCCCATCAAGATCCACAAATGACATGCGCACGACACTACACTACACGCACCACGGGTGGGCCTGGCGCGCTGGCATTGCGGCCACAAGCGCTACGACACTACGCCCTCTGCTTCAAGAAAACTGCAGGCGGATCAAAAATGCAAGATGCAAACTGCTCAGAACTTAGTGACAACTACAGGAATTGGGACTCGATGACAGCGCAGACGCGAGCCTCTGATTACGAAAATGCGCTTCCGCTTATTTGCAAGCATTCTGCGTCGAAACGCCATTGCCCTTGACAATTCACACTCTCTTGACGTTCGGTTCAATGCTATAGCCCTCGCCTCACTGCTTCGCACCATGCGGCTACGCAGCAGAGCGCCACTTTGTTTTCCAAACATCAGGTTGCGTGTTGCGAAGGCGGTGGAAAACTTGCCTTGGCCCGTCTGGTGTGCAAGGGAGGCTGGTTTGACGGTTCGACAAGCACCGTTGACTCTTGACACCCTCGTGGTAAACCCTCCGAAGCCCACCCGCCAGCAGCATGTTGTCAAATGATGATGTCATGTTGGCTAAGGCACATGAAGATAGATGCCGCTCGCAACGAGAGGCACAGCAGCAAGAACCAACCACCTGGCGCAATGCGTGCAAAACGTTTCTTCGAATAGCTTCGACTTTGAAGCTGTCACTGGACTTGAACCTTTCAACTTTAAACCCCGAACGCTTACACAAAGCAATGGGCGCTTCATGTGGCTTTCTGTTACGTAGCGCCAGGCCGTATTTCACATGAGAAGTGGGGCGGATCCACGTCAGGCGCATGCCAAGCAAGGCCTGCTGCAACCTTATCAAGCAGCCAAGCTTGCAAGATCACGAATCACGAGCCACACCAATCACACTACTGAATGGGCTCCAGGCACGCATGTCAAGATAAGACCACAAATTGTGGCCATAACCTTTCGGACGCCACCAGCCTGGGCTTATTGGGCTTGGATCTCTTATCGTTCATGCTTCCCTGCTTACTCTGGTGCTGCATACACCTGCAACTCTGAGAAGTTCAGAGTCATCGAAGATAAAGCTCATTTAGTGCACGTGCTGCACAATTCCTCTGGTCGTCCAGCTCAGAAGCGCTGACACTTAAGCAAACCTTAAGCAACATCGTGGCTTGCAACCAGTTCACCTGTCAGCTCCTTAGTGCGGAGCCACTTGGGTGATGATGCCGACGACAATTCCACCCAGGCCTTGGCAAAGTACCTGAAGAAATCTGATGAGATCTGAATCGAGTTGCCAGAGCTGCGCATTTCAGACGCATCCCCCCAGTTCAATTGCCGAGGCCTCGGGCCGTAGGTGTCTGGGTAGCACAAAGCACTAAACCCCTCCCCAAGGGCCCAAGGGCCTGTGCGCGATTGCGCCCTTTACTTGGCATTCTTTGCTAGCCGACAGGTGTCCGGGAGCGGACGGTGCACTAAGAGCAAGGCGCGGACACCAAATTTTCTCCCAGCCCCACCCACCCCCACCCACTCCCACCTGGGGTGCCTGGTCTATGCATGGAATGCACGAAGCTGAAGCCCTGAAGACGAAAGCACCTTCGCACCCTCGCCACTGGGCATGCCCCGGCCGAGGCGAGTCACGTAGCATGAAAGTAGTGAAACCAAGTGCCATCAAGTACCCACACACAGTTGGAGCGGTGAAGAAGCATGGGGCATGCAATCACTTGATCTCTCACAAAGCACGGAAGCTCTGTTGAGCTGTGCTTTACGGCTCGTGTGCAAGCAAGTGGGTGCAGGAATCCATGTCCAGAGAGTCCAGCCAGCAAAAGGGCCATTCTCTCTCATCCTTCCCACAGGCATCGATGCAAGCACTATTTAACACATTTGATCTGACCTTGCATGTGTCTCGAGGCCAGCCTGTCTTTCAAGTGCAGGATCCAGGGTTTGGGAACGCAACTACAGGGTCTCAATAAACGAAGGTGGTGCACTTGCTGGAAACCCTGGTCCTGACACTGTCGGGCGAAAGGCCAAGCAACGAAGTGGTGGCAATAATCATGCCTGTGGCCAATCTTTGGTCATGGCGCCAAGCAGCTTTCAGCAACCCCGCAGAAGAACATCACTTTCGCAAACATCTGGGTGGCGAACAGCCCATGGAGGCCAATTCCAGTGAAAGAAGGAAGCTATTTCGCCCTCGGCTCTGTAGCGCCCATTCCTGGCTCTTCAAGCTCTTGGCACCCTTGCCTTGAGGGCTCGGCTCAGAGAACAGGTACATGAAAGCATGCCAGGCAGGCCGCAATGCCGCTGCCCAAGCCGCTGAGTGCAGAACCAACTACAGCGCAAGCAAGGCCCAGGAAGCGGTTTTCCTCCGCACCAGTCGCGCAAACTCCCACATTGTCCCCTGACCTCTAGCCAGTCTACCCCTGAAGTACCGCGATTATGGAAGCGACGAACCTTTCTCTCCTCCTCACTGCTGGGAGTTTAACATAGAGGGTTTCGAGTCTACGGCTTGGGTCCACTTGAAAGTAGCGCCCATACCCAACATGCCAACGGCCCAGGGAACCACGGCTCTCCGCGTAGAACATGCCCGAACATGCACAATTAAACTGTTGCATTTACTTGGTGTTTCAGGGTTTGTGGAGGGTTCATGAACAATTGCGTTGCCTGTGTGTGGTAGCTGGTGAATCAACTGAGAAGGGTATTGGTGAGACAGTGATAAATATAGCTCGCAAAGAGTATAACAGAGTGTTAGGGACGTGCTTTGGACTGACACACAGCGCGGGCAAGGGCTTCGCGCGCCTGCTTGTCTGCGTCATCTTCCACCTTCTCTGGCGAACTGTCGGGGATACTCACCTGAGAGCAAGCAACAAGGTGCAAGCCAAGGCCACCGCGTACAACAAAACCGGCAAGGACAACCGGGATGAATTGCACACTGCACACGTCAACAACACTTGAGCACTTCCTTGAGCTGAGCCTCCCAAACTCAGGCCATCCGGGGGCGGGGCCATGATTCCGCCCACAGTGACAAGTACGAGGGCGATGCACTGTTGCAGTGTTTGCTTCCTGGCATAGAACAACCGCATGAAGTTCTGCTGCGCACATGCACGCCCGCAACGTTCGCGGGCGCCATCTTATGACAATCTGAGCTAGTGCTGCACTGAAACCGCATGGCGTGGCATGGCATGGCCTTCCACTGATGACGAAGCAGAAAAACGCTGTAAACAACACTTTGGACTGGTTCAGCACCTGGGCATGCATGAGTGAAGTTCTTGGGGTGTCTCGACGTCCGTTGCCATCCAGCATCAATTCGACGTGCATGCTCACACGATGCGATGCAAGAAGTAGACTACAAATACCCATCTTAGCGGCAGCTTTGCCTTCAAGTGCATACACAGAAAATATTTCACTAGACACACGTCCTTGTGCACGCGCAGCACCGGTGCTAAGATTAGTTTAGGAATTCTCGTCGCGTTGTGTAGGAGGGCACCAGACCACAAAAAACAATTACGCCTAGAGGCAGACCTGGCGCTGCCAGTGAAACAAAATGCGACATTCACATTGGCCACGGACTTGGCACGGGCTTGGCTCTTGCCTCTGAATTCGCCTTAGCCCTGGCTCGCGCCTCGTGATTCTCGGACGTCGCGTTGCTGCAACAACAGATGGACAAGTCGTCCTCAACGCGGGCCGCTGTGACAGCTGCGTCCACTGAGGAGCGTGATAGCTCAAGACCTGCCGGACTGGGCTGGCTCGCATGGGCGGCTTGCCCTTGCTGCAAGTCTCGCACCTTCAGGAAGGCCTTCCCGGCCCAAGCAGGGCTTGCAACATGGTAGAATTTGTTCTTGCGGCAGAAGAAAAGGCGCCGCCGTGTGATGCAGCTGCATCACTGCTTCGCGCTGCGGGGCGAGGCAAGTGTCACGAGACCAGAGATGTGAAATAGCATCCTCGTTGCAATGGCAACCAGCCGGTCCATGTTGCATTGCCGAGTGCATAAGGATCTCGTAGAGCTTGGAGCGCAGGCCTCTGACGTGCAGACTGCTCACGCAACAACCACCTGGTCACTGCGAATCCACTGAATCCACTGCCCGGTGAGGAGCTCATGGATGTACGGTGAGCGGAGCCCAACTTGTATACATACATACATACATACATACATACATACATACATACATACATACCTATGTATGTATGTATGTGATAGCACTGCATGCCACGGGCAGTGAACTGCCCCGTCCTGGCCGGAGTCGCGGGCACTGCCCGAACAGCGCGGCACAGGCCCAGCGCGTCTATGCTGAACTACACCGCTCTCCCATTCTATTAGATCGGTGTGCTCAGCACTTTGAGAACTGGCCAGAGATCTCCCAGCCTTGCTGAGACCGTAGACATAGGTCCTATCCTTCAGCCGAGACACAGGAAGACTTCTCCATGAGCATTGTCCCACTGTGTCCCGCTTTCCGCTCTTTCTTTCTGCTCTTTCTCCTGGACTGTTCGCGGAGGCCATCTGCCTCCTGCCGGGCAGAGAGGAGAGAGCCTCTGAAAGTCCGATAAGAGTTAGAGGGACTCCTCGGGATGCCCCCCTTCAGTGCTAGTCGCATATCCGGACTTCGGCCCACGGGCGTCGCAAGGAAATGAGCATGCGGATGGACATCACGGCCGATGCATACTTTGCATGGTCATGCAAGCATGCAGAAAGCCACCTCGTATCCAGTGACTCCAGTGTCTGCCATCCTTCTCGTGGAGGATGGGTTAGCACACGCTACTCGCTAGACTACATGTGCTGGCAGCCCCACTGCACTAAATTACTTCCCACCGACCCTTAAGCCTTTGACTTACGGAAGCCTTCGCATTCGATGCCCCTTGCCAGCTGAGTACCCAATTGGCAACCGCATCTGCCTGTTGCAACAGTGTTGAGCGCGCTGCATTAAAGACCACCGCATCCAGGTTCTGGTATGCGACCTGCAAAACTGAGGCGCTTCAACTGAGCAACTGACCGTATCGTCGGCCTTGCATCCTGCTTCTTGGTTGCGTCATCATGCTGGGTCCGTACAGACACTACGGGAGGCCAGGCCTGTACGCAGAAATTCTGCACAACGTATGTAACAGAGGGGATGCCTGGCATCGCGGCATATCATGGAGGCCTGCCTGCTCTTGTTGGACTTGAACAGAGCTTTATGTACGAGTCATGTAGCTTTCTGAACCCCCAGCCTGCGGCGAGCAAGCAGTCCTTCAGCTTCCAGTTGCTGAAGCATCTCTTCCCTGTATCGTCTAAGAACCTCACCCAAGCACTTCATTCCATCTCATTTCATTTCATTCTGTGACTGTGTTGCAATGTGTTGCAATGTGTGCAATGTCTTGGAAGGTGTTGAACCATGTGCAAGAGATTCAAAACACTGAGAGACTCTCGAGCTTCTGGCATAATAGCCAGGCAGCTAACCTCAGGGCGAAAGCAAAACAAAAGGCAAAGGCAAAGCGTTGCTCGAAAGGTGGCAACATGGAGCAGGGCGGAGCCTTCTTCCAGTGAAGGGCCATTTAACCGCAACATGTCTCCCCGCTGCAAGCCGCACTAAGCCCTTGACGATCTTGGCCATCTCTGCACAAAAGACCAACGAACTTGTCCTGAGCTGCAAGAAAGTCCAAGTTCGCCGGAGGGTTGACAGCATGTCTTTGGAGATTTGTCACAGGCCGGGTGGTACGTAACGCAATATAGTTCAATCTCAACTTCTGTCCCGGCTTCTGGTACAAGTCTAAGCTTGCTGCACGCAATCCCTGTGAATGAACTGCTTGGCAAGCAAGGGTTGTATACCTGGCTTCAAGCATGCAGCATCGGCCAGGCTCTACAACTCGCGAACTACAGCTGCAACGCTAAGCATACCAGCGAGGCCAAACTGTATCGAGATGAGCATGAGATACCTTGGACACACCAGCACCGAGTTCCTTGAATGGTGCGTGCTTACCCTTAATTACAATCTACAATTATTTACGAGATCGATTTGCATGTCAAATGAGTGTGAAAGTCGCTGAACATTCAAGTTGACATTCAAGCCTTCTGGGTGGCCTGCCCAAGGCCGTGCCTTGCCCGCAGCAAGGACCTCTAGATGCAGTCCTCTACACATGTTAAACGGGCGCCACATGCTACAGCTGCAGAAGCGCGCTGCTCGATGGAAATGCTTGGCGGAACGTGCGAATTCAGCTTGAGTGAGCGGCGAAACGCCGGAAAATGCCATGGCCACAGGGATTTAAAGTAAGGCTGATCAAGGATAAGCAAAAGGGTAGGCAGTTCAGGCGGCCTCTTTAAAGAGATGTTGCAACACAGTGGGCGGAGCAGCAAACAGGATGCCGATTCTGAACAACATATCACCAAGCTTGTGGTGCACGGATCCTTGATCAGCCCAGGCTAACGATGAATGGCAGCAGCACGCTGCAAGGTCCCTATTTGCACCAGGCGTCGAACAGGGTTGGTTGCTAGGTGGAGCAGACTAAGCAGCAGCCTGAAAAACTCCGAACTGAACTGCCGAAGAACTCCCGAACACCAAGTGTTGAACACAAACGGTGTTCAATGGGATCATGCGTGGTTTGAGGCTTAACAGCTTGCCACACTGCCCGCATATGCCACCCATTCCTGACTGGCCACGGCAAGTTGCGCAAGTTGTGGGATGCAAAGTCAACCGTGCCTCTGGATGTTCACCAGCTGGTCGCCACGCGCCCCTTTTGGACACAAGTCAAGCACGGTAGAGTCATCAGAATGCGAGACGCGCAGGCATGCACACGCACTCAGCAACCCTACTCTTCAGCAGCTCTGCAGTCGCGTGCATATATCAGGAAGAATTTAAGAAACCGTTTTGGTAGGGAATTAATGGTTGCTTCGTTCTTTTCGATAAGTGACGCATGGTGCGCATGCCTCCTTCCATCCCGGGGTGACTTTGACGGCACCTCTGCACAGCTCCAAGAAGTGGCCGGCGAGCATGGCTGGAAGCATGAGCTCACAAGTAAGAAGACGACTGCTTTGTCTTCGGCACGTTCTTGTGCGAACACCTGGAGGAGCTTCAAGACCTCCGGTGCCATTCGATGGGAGAAGTGGCAAGCGGATGCACAGCCGATGTATGCCGACGCACCAGTTCTCAAGTTGCGCCGCAAATCACAGAATAATGCAGAAAAGGCCTCGTGATCCGCAAACCCACGAACCTTCCAAAGAAGTATCTGTGCGTACTGTTGTGTTTACAAATTTACGAAGACACCTCAATGTAGGGTTTAGGCACATTCTGCAAACCACAGCAGACCTGTCTTGTGCCTTCTGCAAATGCTGCAGTTACAGTATCTCTGTTTTGGATCCCGGCAGACGCTGTAAGTTACGTTAAATTTTACATGACAGCGGAACAAAGTCCGCCTGTTGCCCTGCACGGGCCCTGTTGGGCATGGACTGCCAAAATCTGTACCTTAGCATTCAGGTTGGTGTTTTGTAGCGATGCAGCTGCCCTTTGATGCTCAAGGCCCCTGCAAAACATTCACATCTCGGGTCTCATAGCCGAACTTGTCCACAAAAGCTCGAGATACCTGAGTCCTATGCCATCCATCTCTCTTCCGCCGCCGGCTCAATAAGCTTAAGATGGCCTAAACTGCTAAGTTCAGAGCTCTTTCAGCTGCACCTTTCCCAGCAACATACTCCTGTGGCGGGCTAGGTGAAGGCACCACCACACTCAGCTTACTCGCACAATCTAGACAGTGTACTGTATGTACTCTGTACTATCGGGAGGAACGCAATGTTCCAAAGCAAACGTGCGCCGACATAGGCGAATGAAGTCCGGAACCACGCGTAGTTACTGGCATCAAATGATCGAGAAAAACACTAGAAGCTAAGTGTACCACAGCTCAGCGGACAATGCACGCATAAACTCACAAACACGTGCTGCAAAAGAGCCTGTACGGCATGCTCTCCACAAAGCAATCCTATGCAAACGCGCCTGCAGCTTGCACAAACGCGCTGTCTTGATAACAACAAGGAGACGAATCCGGCCATTCAATGGCTAAAAGACCACTTTTCCAAATAGACGCTTTTACTAGAAGGCTTCTACGCACAAAATTTTTACGTGAGAAGACTGGAAGGAAAGCGATCCCCACATGCGGTCGAGGCGCTGGTATTCTTTATAATACAAAGCCCATCGCTTCCCAACAGCTCCCATATGCCCCAACGACAACAACATCATATGAACCAAGCGCACACTTCGTCGTGGAAGGAGAACCCACACATTTCGGGAGATTCGAAGGCTGCTTGTACTGAAATGTCGTGAACACCCTGCTAAGCGCTGGCCTGGATCGCCTTCTGCGCTCGTTCCGGCTTCATCAAGAGGCCAAGGCGTCCCTGTGCGATGTCCGGGCCCAAGTGCAACACCATGCAACACATCAACGTGGCAGATCAGATGTTTCCTGGCCTTGTCAGGCAAGGCCAACCAGAACTGCAGCAAGTCCAGGTCCTTGAAGGAATGGAGAAGACAAAGATGCGAGCGCAGGCAATCATGCAGTGGCTTTCTTCGTAAGTCGACAACTTGTATTGCATTGACACCCTCCCGCCAGCGGCCTGGTAATCCTGCAAACTGACATCAGCAGCCACTGAAGAGCAAAACCATGGCTCAATCAACAGGGCAATGTTTTTCAAAAGGGGTTCCGCGCTTACGTCTCAAGCTCAACGCTCAGAAGCTGGGCCCGCGACCGTCCACCTGGCTTCTCCATCGGAGTGCGCTAACACAACACCGGACGGCACCATGCATTGAGGTTGAACAAACTGCTGTGGCAACAAGCTTACAGCTCAAGTCTTGCCTCAGCGTCAGTTTCATGTACTCTGCGGAGGTATCTCGGCCTCATCCGGACACAAAGAAGAACAAACAAGCAGAGTCTTCAAGACGTCTGCCAGAGTCAGACATCAAGATTCAGCTTGAGGCAGCTTGGACAACTTCCAAGCTGCACGCCACACCTGGCTCAGCCCCGGACCCTTCTCTCGATGCCCTCGCCGCGTCACCCTTGAAGTCAATCGCCAAGTTGACGAGAGCAGATACAAAGGCCTCCTGCCAAGGCGTTTGAGGCGAGGCAGCCCAGGGGTATCAAGAGACCTGCTTAGGGCTACTTCTCAGACTCAGAGCATCGCAGCATCACTGATTGGCAACTTCAAGTTCCAAGTTGCGCACAGCACCGCTTCAGTCGCAGCAGGACTGCTTGAATGGTGTGCCAGCCACCAAGATCTACTCAGTCTACATACAGTCTACTCAAAAGGGGGATCGCAAGGCCCGACATGCAAACCGTGACGAGGCGACGTCGGCCATCGGTGCATGTCGACTAGCGGCTGGAGACCTGGCAGGACACCAAGTGGAGCTTTGTGGAGCTTTGAACACCACGAGATATGATCACATTGGACATGTATGCACGCTGTCTGCACGTATTCCTCGCCTGGGGTACAAGCGCTCGCGCGTTTCTCGGGAAAGCGCCTGCGAGGGATCGGAACGTGGTCTAACGATGCAGTCTGTTGTCTTAGTTTGACAGTGCTCTCTTGAAGTATATTCCGGGCTCAATATGGCTCAATGTCTTCTGCAGGTATCCCGTGTCTCAATGGGCACGTCTTTTGCTTGCGCGTGGTCTTTTGCAGCTGCATTCACCGAAAGCTAGGCCGATCAGTTGTTGAGCATCAGGTGATCATCCGCAGGCTGTCCGCGATGCCCTTTGCCAACCTCTGCCAGCAATCCTTGATGCCGATCCCGGCAGCTGAACTGTGGGCGATGCAGGAACTTCAGCAAGGCTGGCTTGGCCGAGCGGAAGCAACTCCTTATGCTCCGCAACTCGGCAGCTTCCTTGCCGTGCAGGAGGCTGAACTGTTTAGCTCAACTGAGCGATATCAACCATTTCTTCTGGCATGTTCTGGCCTGAAGGAGACTTGAATCGGCTGCAACGGCCATGACAGTGCAGTTTCCAGTTCGAGTCAAGTCAATGTCAAGCCGCCTCAGCAGGCGCCGAAGCTCCAGCGTAGCCTCAAGGCATCTCCAAGACCTCGAGCTGCCATACCAGCACGATTTTCTGCTTCAAGGAGGTTCCTGTGATACTCTGCTGTGCAGTGAACCCAGCCAAACTATCTACATCGGCATGTGCTGCACTGCCAGGGCACCAACATCCGAACATCAGCCAGGAGTTGCAGGATTGGCAGGTGCATGTAGCCTCTGCAGTCTGCAAAATCGCTCAATACAAGGCTAATGGAACTTCAGTACTGACCCCAGCCTGGAAACATTGTCCCCAGATGCCATGGCCTCTCACTCGCAGACATGTCTGCAAAGTCTTCTGCTTATGTTTTGCTTGTGTCTGCATCCTAACGTGACCGTAGGCTTGCCAAGCCGCATTTCTGTAGCTTTTCTGTGCCGTGTCGGCCTCTTTCAGAATCACTGGCAGGTCCTGGCACGCGCACACACACACACACACCCTGTATCTCTGTTGACTCAATCAAGCCTTCTCGGGAGCTTTGACCTCCACATTGACCAGGCCCCGGAGGTTCACCACCAGCTTGCACACCTTGAGCAAAGTGTCTGGCATAAAGGGAGGCAAATTCGCTCATTCGCCATGCCATTGCCATAGGGACTGGTGCTTAATATGTGCAAATCTGGGTGCGCCTGCTCTCGGAGGAGGTCTGTTGGGCAGGCCTTCTGGAGGGCCTGCGAGGAGGAATCGGATACAAGAATGCAACCGCTGCGTGGTTTCGTGGGTCGGCTACCTTTTCGTGACACGCCTCGTCCAGAACTTCCACGGCTTCTTGACGAAGGTTGGCAGCAGCAAGGGCGGCTGCTCGGCGGATCCACGCCTCCCAGAGGCATGTGGCAGCGTTTGGCAGCGTGACATCGAAGTGGGTTCTCAGAGTGAGGTCACTTTGACTGTGGCGCTTCCGCCTTCAAGTATCTGGGCTCGAGCTGGCAGGCCAGCTCGGCATCCTTGGGTCAAAACAAGGACTGCAGAGATAAGACCAAAAGCGAAGGGCCCACGCAGCAAGGAAGCGGGGTAACACACGGAAAGGCCCAGCCTGTGCCGCGCGGTCGTACGCATCAAGGCGCAGGAACGCCAACGCCTTACACCGCAGTCAGCGTAGGCCAGGGATCGCTCCGACAGTTCAAAAGGTTACACCATGTTACACCGCAGTCCGGGGATCCAAGCGCGACTGGCCAGGACCACCGCTCGAAAGGGCTGCAACGCTGCCGGCCCGCGGCCAGGAAGCGGCCTGGCTCCGCAGATCTCTGAGTGATTCTCTGTGTGTTGCAGAGAAGGTGTCAAAAAATGCTCAATACGACTGCGGCTTTCCAGAACCCTTAAGAACCCCTCAAGATACGGTCCAGCTCGTGACGGTACATTACTCAGATCCACGGTACTGTTGCAAAGTGCCAGACACACCGGCAGCAACAACAAATCACGGCAGCTGTACACTCCTCTTGCCAGGGCTCTCAGCTGGTATCCATTCAGCGGCTGAGATTTCTCCACCTACAGGGGGCAAGCCAATCAGCCAGAACACAGAATGTCATGCTTGCATGATCTTCTGTGCAGTGTTTGATGCAGAGGCAGCCTCCAAGTAATCCATCATGTCCTGGGCATGACTGAGGGCCTTGTTGGCACGCGAGGAGGCACGATTTTACTGCCCAGGGTGAAAGTGCTTCTGGAAGAAAAAAACGTGTGCCATTCTCAGGTGAACGAAAGAATCCGCTAGACTAGTTTGGGTCGCTGCCACCGCGCGTGACTTCTGGATGTCGCGGGTGCATGGACTGTGCCCCGATCCTGTGAGCGAAAACCGCTGAGGCCGCAGCATGGCTGTACTCCTTGACAGCATGGCGGTACTCACCATTCTCCATCGCCAGATTTCCCTGGTAACAGGTAAGAAAAGCTTTCATGAGGCAGGCAGCCACGAGGATCGATGCCTCTCGCTTGGTTTCAGGTTTTCCAAAACAGCGCAGCCTGCTCCTTGTGCCTCACAGCATTGGCCTGAAAGCATTAATGGAACATTCAATGTGAACACAAGCGGCATCTGGCAAATGCCGCCCCCTGCCTCCATGGAGCTCAAGATGTTTTTTTGGTCCAACTCATGCATTGCCTGCAACATGTTGGAAGCAAATTTGAAGGGGCGGCTGACCCGCTGACCAGAAATAATTGAAATAAGGCGATGGCTGTTCCGTGGCACGAGAGAACATTCGATTTATGGCACGCAGTACTCGGAGCTCGAAACTTTGGTTCGAAGAGATGCGAAACAAATTTCATTTTCGAATGACAAGCCACAAGGCGTGCACTTGAAATCTGCTGCTTGACGCTGTCGGAGCTGGAAAACAACACGCCTGAGGCCTATGCCTAAGCTCTGCCTCATCAGGGTGAAGGGTGGGCGTTTTCGAAGAATAACGAGAGGCTGTAGCCAGCGCTGCGCAATCACGGCGCCGCGCGGTGGCTTATTTAGCACAAAAAGCTTATACACATCAAACGTCAGCGTCACATGCATTGCCCGCGCCGTGGTGTGTAAACGGTGTATCACGGTGCATCGGTGCACGGTTGCGAGCACCTGGGTGGTGTATCACTTGCAGTCTATGGGCGCGCCACAATCGCAAATCCAAACAGGCCCCGCAAGCGAGGAGCCTGGGTCCGTTTCAACAACCAGCGAGGTAGCCTTCTGCACTCCTGCTTACAAAGCCCTACAAGTATGCATCCCTTATCATCCCTTAAGGCCCCAAGTCTGGACAAGCCTTGAGGTGCGCTAGCCTGGCAGACTCGGGACCCAAGGCCGCAGAGGCTGGCCTCGCAGACGCTACAGCGGTTTCGGCGTCTAGAGGCTTTCAAGCTGCGCAGGGTCCAGGGCCTCTAGGACTCTAGGGCTCTAGGGCTCTAGAGTGCAGGCCTTCAGCTTAGGGTGTGGGTAGGGCTGCGAATACCAACACATCCCCGTTGCTTCCTTATCTAGGGGCCACACCTACACTTAGTGTACATGGCTTTCGTGTTGCGGCTAAACTCTAAAAGGATCGGTGCGGCCTCCGCCCCCGCTTTTACTTCACGCCGCCTTCTCTGATACGAAAGTTTGGAGTTAATGAAGTGACCCTGAAGGATGTCAGCCGCTGCGCAAAGAACCCGCCAAAATAGCTGTCCGACCTATCACAAACAAACGCCAAGGGTACTTAAACGCGTGGTGTCTACCTTTCCTTTACGACAGCCCACTTACCGGCCCGAATAGACGCTCAACTAACATAGGTTCTGGCTGTTCGAGGCGCCCCCGTCTATTTTAAGTATCAGACCAACAGGGGGATCTACCCACGCATTCCGACCTGAAGCCATTCTGGTCGGCGTGGAGGATTGACAGGCTCTGCATCGCGATGGAATGTAGACTGAAGGAGCTAAGGAAGCACTACGAGACCTGGACAGGAGTTCCGGCTTGATCCAATGTGCTGCGATACTTCACGGATCACGAGATTCTGCGCAGCAAATCGGAGATTTCTCGCAAATCTCATGCATCCAGGAACGCTCACCTTCAGCCGCACTGCGCCAGCTTGCGACCTGTCCAGGTTGATCAGATGTTTGATTTTTGCTTTTCTTCGAGGCTGCAACTTGCTACAGCAGCATCTTGCACAATCCTTGTCTGCGTTCCAGGTACTCAGTGGGATCGGATGCTACCTTGTATTTCCTTACCTGCATGGCCCACCACCAAAGCGTCGACTGCTACCCGTGCCGGCAACTGAAGTTTGCAGCTCGCCAGCCTGCTCCTCGCTGCCTGCCACTGGTAATCATGCTCAGGTATGCAGCTTCACGTACTAGTAAGTGAAAAACATGTCTAGAATATGCCCAGAATTTCGGGTCCGCAATCCGCAGAGAAAAGCGTCAAACCTGAAATATTCCCCTGTTGCCTCGGCCGCTCGGCCAGCTGGGCGCCAGGCCCTGCTCGAGCGGCAAAAGTGTTGGCATGTTTTCGGTCGTTGGGACTGTAGATCTTTGGCGTTCGGAGTCCTTTTCGGTCGTCCTTCTGTACTCCGTACCATCAAAATGCATCAACATTGCAAAACGTGGCATGGATGGCAGCACCTTGAGGATGACAAAGATTGACGGGTAGCCTCCAATACTGTATGGTTGGTCGGCTCACACTACTAGAGACTAGAGAACATGCCCTCACACACACACACACACTCTTTCTCTCTTCCACTCCACCCTTTCTCTCTCTCTCTCTCTCTCTCTCTCTGTCTTCTTATTCTTCTTCTTCTTCGGCTCGCTTGAAATGGCCCCCCGAAGGAGGTCTCCGGCCACGACGGCCAAACGGTTTGCAGTCCGGTAGGGGGGTCCAGGTATTCAGGCGCCCAGGGTGAAATCAACTTGGTCAGTTTCAAACTGGGCCTTCGGTACTGATCCCCGTTAGGCTGCTTTCTCTCTCTCTCTCTTTTCTTTTTTTGGTTCTTTCTTTCTTTGGGGCAAGGGGAAACCCCGCGCCAAGGCGTGCCCCGATCCAGCGTCTCGCGGAACACTACAACCCTCTCTTTCTCTCTCTGCACACGAGTCGCGAGAATGTCACACGAATGAAGAAGCTCGAAAGGCAGTCTTTGAAACCTTTCGCAACCTCTTGGCCCTTTTCTTGACCCGATTCGCTCTGCAAGGTGCGCCTTGCCGGTTGAGAAGTCCTCAAAAGACAGTCTCTTCGGGCTTCCGCTACCACCGTGTCTGATGTACAATGTTCGACATTCTGACTGCACTTCGCTCGCGTCGTTCAACTGTTCAACTCAATCCAGCGCAACGCATGCGACGCGCGCTTTGGCAACTGGTCGGTGAATCCCCGTCCTCCTTGCGATGTAAACGCATCTGCTCAGGCGATGAGGCTCTGGAGGTCTGCAGTGGATTGTCACATCCAAGGCAATGTTAAGCATCCTGCTTGTAAAGTTTGTATCGCAGACACGTACCCACAGCAGGCGCACCATTGGGTTTGGCCAATGCCATGCTATAGCTGGACACATCCCAGCCCACGTGCGCCTTGACATGGTGCAATCGCAACTCCTTCAGTGGGACCAAGATTGGCCTGACAGTGCAGATGCAAATCTGAGGTCAGACAGAATTCACCGAATTCATGCTTCTTTTCTGGGTCAACTATGGTCAACCACCATGACATTTGAGGCGCAGGCGTGCTGGGACAGACCTGCCTTTTGAGCTCGAAAAAGCTGCTCATTTGGCCTCCGCTCAAAACACTTTCAAATTGAATGGTCCCCGCCTTGAGTTCGCGACATGTACATAACCTTTGCGGCTATTGTGCATTTGGGCCAGCTGGTGACATGATATCGCATGGTTTCGACTCCCTGATGCCGGGGTCGCAGCGCTCCACCTGCTCTAAAGTCCAGCGGCGAGCTTGCCGCACCTGCCGTAGGACCGTAAGGAAGAAAGGGAAGACAGGAAAGACAGGTCGGGTCCGCGAAGGTCCGGGTAAGCCTTGTATTGACCGCACAGAAGGTTTGGTCTGCCTCCTCCTTGGTTGCAGGCAGCACTGGCTCATCCGCCGTCCTGGCACAAACAAGAGCACCCAGCCCAGCGGATCCAAGACGGGACAAACCTGGAAACTGCACGAACAGAACCGAACAGAATCGTGCAGAATCGTGCAGAATCTTGCACAACGGCACATGCCAGCAAGGCGGCCAATCCCAGGCCCCGGGCTCCGAAGGTGCCGCTTCTGAGGAAGATCGCTCGCCTAAGGAAAGCTGCAGCGCCGTGCACATCAAGCTATGACATGTTCGAGATACACAACACAGACTTTCAACGAGAAAACATCAGTGACATCAATAGTCATGCAACGCAGCAACCTTGTGACAAGTGCCTGTAGGCCTTTGGGAACAATCCAGACAACCTTCTTGCCACCGTGGAGCTTGGGCTAGGGGCAAAATACCGAATCCAAAAGCGCACGCCCGCCTGGCATCATATGATCCGCGAAGCAAGGACAGGAACAGTGCATGTGAGACTTTCCCTGGACACCTCCGTTCCCAGAATGGCCTCTTCATCCGGGGTCTCATACCCTATCCGAAGCCGGAACTCCTTGCATGCGGCAGGGTCTGACGGAAGCACTGCGCCGTCGAACTAGGCCAGTTCGTGTCTGTTCATGCAAGTATGCGACAGGAAGCGACAGCTAAGACCTGCTTGCAAGCTGAAGCCTCTGCAAGAGTGCCGTGTCTAGTTGTGCGTTATTTCCATAATCTGGTCTATCATTGCGACGGGTTGTTCGATTCCGCTCATGTCCGTGAAGCATGGAAGTGCCACAGCATGACGACCTCCTCACGCGACATGACACAATGCCCTGCCTTGATCAGCCATTTCAGCGCGGGAAACCAGGCACCCAATCGCAGGTTGAATTCACCCAAGATGTCCTCTCAGTATGACCATTGCTGCGATTTTGCATCACGCTCTGGGGTTCAGCCGCACATGATGTCCTTGTTCTGAGGCCGCTGGAGAGAACTTGTCGCCTCTCATGGTTTTACAATGTTTCGACATGTCACAAATGCCCAGCATCCTGTATTGAATCGACCTGTAGCGAAGCGAAACGCAGTAGCAATCTCTTCACGCATTGGAGATTCTAGATTCACAAGAACAAGGAGCAGCGCGTGAAAGCTAGAAAATAACCTGTGAGGAGCGAACACATGGGATCAAGACCCAATAAACCGCAATGTTTCTTGGATGGTGTGCCCCCCGCTGGCAGCTGTGGCAGTCCATGGTCAATAGTTCTTGTTTGCTTGTCATGAGAGCTTGCCTGTTTAACCCTGAATACTGCATCCACGACAGCCATTAAGATTGGCTGTACTAGAACGTTCGTTGGCCAGACCGCGCTTCTGCATCTCGCCTGACCCTTCGGCAGCTCAGACGGAGGCCAAAGTCGAGAGGATCGCTCCTCCTCACTCATCACGGGTCATTACGGGCCGAATCACGGGGCGAATCACGGGGCGAATCACGGGTCATCACTGGCTCACGAACTCTGAGGCAGCCGCTCCGAGCATGGATGTTGAGTTGCCAGCGCAAAATCTTTGGCGCCCAGCATGCTAATTGTAAGACATATTTGACTGCTAACATGCTGGTTGGGTTCGCAGCGTGGACTCAAGAGATTTCTGAGACTCAAGGTACAGTATCTCCCCAATGCTGACGTTTCATGTAAAGCGCACGGCTCAACATCCTCTTCATGTGCTGTACACATACGACCCATATGCCTGATCAGCAACTCATCGCGGAGCGGCTTGCAGAACAAACACACACACACACACACACAGACACACACCCACGCGAGCGCGCGCGCGCCCGCGCGCGCGATCATGCATGTCTTCGGTCATTTGCTCAAGCATGTCAACAAGGCCATCATAGGCCATCCTTAGTCTAGAATGTGATCATCCGCCTTGCGGGAAGAGGGCAAAACAGCAAGTCAAAAACATCCAACGTCCATCCAAGGGCGACACTATCAAGACCTCAAAACAAGCCTGAACGAAGAACGGCACAAGCATGAGCTCTTGATACCGGCACAGTGCCAGTGCCATTGGAACACCGGCGAAGCACTTTTTGTTTCAACGCAGAACGCCGATCACCTCCCATCCAAGGGCGCGTCAACGCAGGAATCAATCCCGCTCTCAGAGTCTGTTGTTTCTGCTCCAAGCCAGATCTTAAACGAAAACAGCCCTGTTTCAGCAAACCGCTCTGCTTACTGACATGAAGCTGGACAGAGCTACGTACAAAGCGCTGCGGAAACTCAAGCAGTCTTGTGATATTCTGCATGCCGAAAGCCGAGATTCTTCGGGAAACCGATGTCCCTTTGAACGGCGCTGTTCTCCAAAAGCTCTGCGCTGGCGGAGATGAACTAGCTGCAAGGCGGCTTTGCTCGTGCGACGCACTTCCCAAAGCCATTCTGTCAATCCTGTCATTCCCGATGCACTGCCCCGCACTCTGCTTGGTTAATAGTGCATGCTCTACGGAGCGAACCATGCCTTTCATGAGTAGAGGCTCCTTGATTCTTGAGGCATTCCTGCGTAATGCGGCATAGTGGACATTGCTCGAAGGAAGAATGAGAGGCGAAGGGACTTCAGGGTTAACGCACAATAGCTGGTCCCATCATCGCGAGGATTCGTGGCTCTAAGACATCCGCTCTTTCATGAAGGCTCGGTAGTCGTATTCAGTATTCTTTGCTACAGGACCAGCATCTTGCGCTCTGCAATACCTCCATTGACACTGGTGGGTACCTCCGTATGGAGGCCACGTGAGGGCAGAGCCCTTCGATGCAAGTGACACGGAAGTGATGAGAAAAAAAGGCCTCGGCAAGGGAGGCCACAGAATGCACAAGAACATGACAGCAACCGTGGCAACATTGTGGCAGTAAGCCAAGATCGTGCAAGTCTTCCGGGCTGCTTTGCGCACGCTGAGCCTCGGACCTGCTGGCTGTCTGTGTTAGAGGTCCTGAATGCAAACGCTGCAAGGTGGAATGTCATGTAATGTGGCTGATTGACACTGAAGGACTCCATGTCACAAAGACAGCGCTCAGAGAGTTTACTACTAATGCGGGATGGGACGACTCATAAGGTTGAGGAAAGCTCGCAATCAGTCAGCCGTAAAGCGTCAGAAGTCACAAGCGGTCCTTTTTCTTTTTCTTTTTCACAGGCGCCTGAACAGCATCAGGACAACCAAGGACCCGCGCATTGCTGGGAAGCTTCTCGGACGGTCCGGCCAGGCGAGAGCATTCGAGGTGCTGTGTGGGATTGCAACTGCCCACCCCAACCATGCATCCCTTCTGGAGGGCCTCTTCTGCAGGCTCTTCTGCCTGAACAGGTGCCATCAAACAAAACTCTCTGCTTTGCCCTGCCATCAAAACCCATCATCGCAAGCGGCATTCAACTCAAGACAGGTTTTCTTCCGGCACGGGATGCACTACCAGGCGCATGTAATGAAGCGCTCCCCTTTGAGGAGAAAGGAATGCCACCACATGGAGTTGCTTTCAGCAACCTGCAGCGTCACTCCCATGGTTTTGATGGTGTCGGATGTCTTCGAACATCTTTCTTATTTCCTGCCGAGCAATCTTCGACTCGTACCTCATTCTTGCAAGCTGCACACTTTGCGCTGGACCTTGCAGCTGCATGCAGCCTTCCACAAATTCTTCAAGTGAGATCTCCCCGCTTTCATCTGCATCCAAAACCCTCAGCTCTTTCACATGCAAAGTCGAAACGGCAAGATTGGCCCAAAATTAAGAGAAAGAGCATCGGCATTTCCAGAACTCGGGAACGGCACCAACACAGATGGTCTGCACTGCTCCTGGGCCTCACTCCTGGGCCTCATGGCCTTGGGACAGCCCTGTAGCCTCTCTTGTGGCGTAGGATTTTTTACAAGTAGGAACTTTTAAGAGGCCGCCGATCATCCCTGAAGTTCAGCGTTTCCACACCCCTGTGCTCACCAAGGTGCATGAAAAGTGTCCAGATGTCCTGCGTGGAAATGTCCATCGATTCCATGAAGCTCGAAAGCTTCTGTTGCGACAATGCTTCCTGCAGGACTAACCATTCTCACATGGTCCACCCCGTTGCCATTGACCCTAAGACACTTGCACGCAACAACCCTGACAGCGACCGCACTGACCAGGGCGGCGCATGTATTCGCTGGCCTCTAACTCGATGAAGTTGATCATGTTCGACGTGTCGGCATCGATCTCTCGAAAAACACCTCTTGCAGTTCACGGAAAATGCCGCCTCTTGCACACGGCACAGCGCCAACATCGAAAAACCTGCCTTTCAGAGTGCGCAGTTGGCTCTGATGCCATTGCATCTGCTTCATTATAGCAATCTCCTGCAGTGGCGCTGTTCGAAATCCACACTGCATAGCGTTGCACAAGAAGGCAGCGGGTGGCCACGCATCCTTGTCAGCTTTGGCGCTCTCGATGGCATTGTTACAAAAGACCTCAAAGTCAATTTCTACTCCCCATTGCCACGTGCATCCCTCGTGCATTAGTCTGGGCACGGGACCTGCAACACCACACACACACACACACACAGAGCGCAGCAACCACGAACATGAACATGCCACTGAGGCGAGCGCTCCAGTCACCACATTGAGAATTGCGAAAATTGTGATGAACTCGTACAGCAGCATGAGCGCCGCTGCAATCGAAGAGGCATTTCGCAAGGGCTCCAGGGCTTCAACCCAGCTGAGGCCGCCAGTGATTGACATGAACAGGGTAAGCCTTTGCTGCCCAACATGAAAGAGTCAATGCGCCGAGCGTTGGTCTCAGTTTGGGTGTTCAAGGTGAAGCACTTCCGCAAAGCGAAATCTACGGTCAGCCTCTGTAGTCGGCTCGCGGCTGGTTACCGTGGGTTCTCATGCATTGTGCCTTCACTTCTGCGGGGTAAGGGCTGCGGAGTGGGCTGCGGGGGGAGAATGATGAGCGTCTATTCCGACTACAACCACGCCTGAGTGCCTCTCGTCAAGGCTTCTCCAGGCAAAGCTTAACCCGCTCAAGGGAGGGCTTCTGTCGGATGTTCTGTCCGAGACTCGACCGTGCTGCTACAGTGTTGCGATTGCGCCGAAGGCTTTTGTGGCATGTTCGCATGACCAATTGCCAAAACTATCACTCCATTTTGTTGCGCTGTTCCCAAAAAAATGAGCGGAGGAAGTGCGGACTCTTGTTTAACAAGGGAGTGGAGTATTTGGAGTACGGTTTTACATTGCAGGTTAGGCCACTCGCGCCTGGGCCGTCGGTTGAACACGCGGAGCGTGCTGCAGCACTTCTAAGCTGATGCTGGCAACGCAGCAGCTGTTTAAAATCTGCGCATGTCTACTGAGAGTCTACTGTCTACTCACCGACACTAAAGACACAAAGTATGACAGTATGAAAAGGTCGAAGTCGTAGAATGAGCTGGGTTGCATGCTTTCCGGGACGCTTGACCAATACCTTTGGAGTATTGGCGGGCACTCCTCAACCGACGTCGCATGGTACCGACCTCAGTGAGTCAGTGAGTGCTGCTGGCAACTCAATGTTCGACATGAAAAGAAGAATACCATGGGGCAGAAGCGGGAGACTTCCTCAAGCGAATGATCCTCGACCTCTGCTTTTACTGAATTTTACTCCTCGACACTAGCTGGGCCTCAAGCTTTCCCCAGACCCTAAATCGCCGAATCCCTACTCCTGAGCAGTTTGAACTGACGAGATCACGAGAACAGCCAATGCCTCAGGTGTGAAACACGGCGCAGCCTGGTGCTTGGCATTTCAACTTTGGGCCTCCGAGCGTTTCTGGGCTTAGAAGTTTAGGCCCGGCTGAGCCCGCAGGTATTGCATGCCAGCGCGCGAAATCGCAACACCGCGATGCAGCAGAGCCCACAGCCAAAGCAAGCAGAGGAACCGAAGCCTCTCCACCCTCCACAAACCCAACTGGGCCCAGCTTTGCGATTCTATTCTTTTGGTGTGTGCTCTAGTCTCGCCCCAAAAGGGCGTGCATTTTTGTCCCGGGGGGCCCAAGTCTCATTCTAGACGCTTCTGGGTAGTGCCTGCTGTTCCTTAGTCGGGTTTGTGTGAGAAGGATTTAAGTCAGAATGCCTCGGAAGGCCTTGGGGCTTAGGAAAAACGAAGCCCTCCGAAGTACCTGAAGAAACCCATAGAGTGAATTCCGGTTCACGCTGTCAATCTGTAGAGGATAGCAACATGGCGGGGTTTGCTAAATTAGGGTCCCTGTTTGGGATCCCTTTGTAAAGGCGACGCCTTAACAAGAGGGGAAAAAAAAGGACCACAATTTGGAGAACCGCTCATCTTCAAAAACGCGCAGTCAGCATAGACATGTGATTTTAAATGCCCAGCCCAACCGTATTCCCAGAGTTTCACTTCCAACTGCAGACTGCCGGCAGTGGTCGGACACGAGCTGGGCAAGGATGACACCTAAGCTCCGCGTAGCTAGGAAGAATCAGAAATCGCAAGCTTCAAACTTGAGAAACAATTCGATAACTTTTCAATCTGCTTCTCCTCCCCCATAAGGCTTGTAACATCTTGAAACAAAAAGTGAAGAGCATGTTGAGCTCGTGCTTTGTAATGAGTCGCAACCAAGGGCTCAACCAAGGCACCAAAGCAGTAGAACAGGAGAATGAGCAGAACCAAAGTCCACACCAATGACCACAATGTGCTCAGAATCGCGAATACAATTGATCGCAGGGCGGAAATGAAGCGAAGCAGTCGCATAACACGAACCCCACGCAGAGCTCGCCCAAGCCGTACAAACCGCATGATGCGCAAATGGCTTGAGTCCATGTTGCCCACTGATATCGCAGACGCCACGAACTCTGTGGCAGTTTCCAGAACGGATGCAGAGATGATTGCAAGATCGAAAATGTTCCACCATCTGTCTGAACCACAAAAGAAAGTAGCGCATCCATGAGCAATGAACTTCAACACAATCTCTGACACAAAAATGAGAACGATGATCACATTCAGTGTTTGGAACCATTCTGGTTCCTCGTCAGCGGGCAAACTTGCGGCCACATCGACCTCAATACCCAGAAGGACGAGGTTAAGTAGGATCAAAAGCATGATGCCGGCCTGAAAGGCATTGGATGTAACAATCTTGTGCGCAACTGCGCTCAAAACTCCTGGCTGTGCTTGAAGCTCATTGTGAGGCGAAGAAGTCATCGTCGCAGACTTGGCTTTTGCAAACGCCTTCTTCTGGTGCTCATTGAGCTTGGTCTGCAGTTCGTCATCCCAGAATGGGTCGCCTTCAAAAACACCCCCATGAGCCTTTAGTGTGGAACTAGCCCAAGACTTGCCTAAATGACTGCAAAAAACTCCATCTGATTGAAAGACTGCTTGGAAAGCAAAAAAAGCCGAAAACCCACTAACTCCTTGTGTAAACAAACCCTCTACAAATCTGTCCTGTAAGATTTCTCCAACAAGTGCAGGACATTACGGTCGAGATACTTCATTGATGTCCCCGGGCGAATTCGAGCGGTCACACGCGAGGAGGCAATCCCGACCCTTTACAGCCGCCATGCCGCCATGTGATTAAGGGTATGGACTTTGCGGCCAAGCGTTTCTAGATGTAACATTTGAGAGCCTGAGAGTCGGGAACGCAAGCTGGTGCTTGCGGGCGGTGACATCACCAGCGTCAAGCTTTTTAGACCAAGGGACACGAGGAAGCTGCATCGTGCATCCAACTCACCAAAAAAATCACCAAACAACAAGCCCGAAGTCTTTCAAGATCCTGCCTGGGAAGGAGTTGCTGTGCTCCTTGGAGTGGCCCCTCTCACCATTGCCATCGCTATTGGCTTTTGCAGAGTCGAGATCCCCGACCCGTTCGCTGTCGCCATCAGCTTTAGAAGGCTTCGCGGACGAAGGAGATGGGCGATGCGCGAAAGAAGACTCCCGCGTGTGGAACGTGTGTAACCTGTGTCCATGCAGAGGCATCTCTCTTTCCACTGCCGACCGTATCTGAGAAGACAGTTCCTGAAGGAGATCAGCCTGCTTGCCAAACTCTTCTTGAATGAGCCTGCACAGCCTGTCTTCTCTGAGCACCGCGGCACCAAAGGCGTTGTCTTGCAGCTTCCTGCTTGACGCACCATTGATGTCCATGTCCAGGCATTCTTCACGTTCCATATTGAAACTTGGCACCTTTTCTACGTAGCTCACTGCGGCTGCGGATAGGTCGGACAAGCAAGAGCATGCTGCCATGTGATGTCGTTTTAGCTGTCCCTGATGCCACTGTGTTGAAGCGGATGCACCGCACGAAGGCCCGTCTTGGCTTGCAGCGAACTCAGCGAACTAAAGGACGAATATTTTCTTCTGTAAGGCAAAAGACCCGAGGGGAAAATGCCGCGGGGCTTGTCTTCAGCACCTCATTACGCTAGTGTCCCCGCACACAAGCAAAGCTGCTTAACGAGTCACACATCAAATAACGTCTCAGGGTTGTCTCTGCCTCTGCGGCACCCCTAGCTGCCCTAGCTAACGGCAGCCCTTTCCTGTGCTGCCACTAACTATCACACTTGCTGGCTCTGTCATGATACTTTCCATACTCGGACACCAGCCGATAAGCTCTGTGGCGATGGGCTCTCGACTGCCTCAAAGTCCTAGAGAGAATTATGTACTTCTGCTGGGTTCTCGTAGCGCGCTACGATTGTCACTGTCGCTTCCCATGGCTCATTTAGATGCTCAGGGTAAAGTTCCAATCTGAAAAGCATCCGAGAAGGATCAGACCGGCCTCCGCTGTTCGTTTCTTCTTGCCTTTCGCTGCCTCCAGAGGAGCACTGCAAGTCTGGCACTGTGGCATTCCGTACGCAAGGCTGCAAGCCTGCTGACGCTGCAACAGACTTCCGCGTTTATATGCATTTTGAAAATCTGAAAGCCATGGCAAGAAACGACTCCCACCAGATACTTACTGAGAGCGACGACAGTGGTGGACGTCAGGGGGCTGAGGGTGTGGGACTGGGGAGCTGTTGCCAAACAAGGGGTGCAGGCCAGGATGGATGAGTGGAGCGAGCGAGGGGCGAGAGTGGGGAGACTGTACTGGCCCCCCAGAGGGACCATTTATGTTGGGGGCCTAAACGATAAGGAAGTTGAAAGTTGATCAATCCCCGTTTTGGGCGCTGAGGGGATCGCGAACACGAAGGCAAACTTCAAAAAGAAACGGCCTGTTTAAGTTCACCCTAAGTCGCAATGCTGTAAGGTACGGGCACGACCTGTGCCAAACAAAATCAAAGCACTGAGACGACTGCAGCTTTGAGCGCTTCGTCCATCTCCGCTTGGGCTTCTTCGCTTGTGAGCTTCGGAAGGTAGCTCCACCTGAAGCCCAAGTCGCCCAATTCCTCATCTCGAGACTACAAGTTCTGCGCTTTACGCGCCTTCCCTGCCCCAAGAGCCATGCTTTCGGCGTGTTCTCATTGGGCTTGCCCTGGTCGAAGACATGCAGAACAAAGGGCTCGGCCAGAGTCCAACACAGACCCGCCTTTTCTGTTAACTTTCCGGCAAGGATGAGTTTCTTCTTGTCGCTTGAGCGTGGGCCGTAGCCCCATCGCCTCACTCCGACTCCAGGACGTACAGTACAAGCGGGCTCACACACACACAGAGCCTGGGCATGAGTAAAGAGTCTGGACATTAGAAGCACGCAAGGTGCCACTCTGTTCTGAATAGGTTCCTGCTATCTGACATGTCCTTGCCCTTTGTCGGGCATGGTTTTCCTGAAATGACCATCTGATCATGCATCATTTAGATGGAATTCCAGCACCGAATCTGGTCTCAGTCTCGAACATGTTGTACGTGTCGCGCTCCATGATAACACGTTTAATCACCTGAGCATCTCAAGTACAGGGTCTGCTCCGAGAACTTCCCGCACTCTTGCGGCTTTCGTTGCGCAGTGCTGTTGCGACTGAGTCGAATCCCGGCTTTCTTGCAGCGAGGCGCGGCCACGACGCCATGATCGACGGATGCGATCACTGCCGTGGTCATTTGGGCAATACCAGTGGCAATCGCCTGCGCAAAAAAAAGGCGGCAAGCCGAGGCAACCCGAGGCATCCTGAGGATCTGAGACTCTCTGAGGAAAGCCTGACAAAGCCCAGAATCGTTACACGATTGAACCTCTGCAACACCTAGGCGACTTCGGAGATCTGCACAAAGGTCTTTCTTTCGGAAGCCGGAAGCCCCGCGCACGCTGGTCCGGCCTCTCCTTTGGTCGTCATCATGACGATTTCTGAACCAACCTGACCGTGGACCAAGCAGGGTGAGGGTCCGTTGGCCTTACAGTACCCTCCGAGTACCCACATACTGGTATACTGGTCTCGATAGACCCGGGCTTGATACAAGCACGAATGGTGGAGGGCCGAAGACCGCGTAATGCTGCCTCAATCTGCTGCTCAAACCGCAGTACTCCTGGGATCATGAGCTGCGCTCCGTAGCAAATGGCATTCACGGCGCTGTCCTGGACGGTTGGTGCTTATTGCTATATCGGCTTCTGGATGGTTCGTGTGATCCCTCACCAAGTCCCAGACACAAGTAAGGACCAAGTGGATTCAGGATTCGGAACTATGTTACTCTGTCTGCACAATGCTTCTTAAAAATGCGTTCCATCTGACATGTACAACGGAGCTTTGGTAGTCGGCCGGGCCTACGGCATCCGCAGCTGCCAGGGGCTCGGTGTATTGACTCCGATTGCATTGCAGTTGTGTCGCACTTAATTAGCCACCTTCCGAAGTCTTTTCCTGCTCCAAACACTGCATGTTTCAAACACTGCATGTTTTGTCGGCATTGCGCTCCAGGACACGATGTACATTGCAGGAAAAGAAAGTGGGACTCTGGGCTTAGCCACTGGCATCCCCGTTGTCAGAACGACACAGGCAAGACGAGAATATGGAAATAGACAGAAATCCAGTGTGTACGGGCTGAAAGGTGAACGTTCTGAAGCTGCTACTTTGGTGGGCTTGGTGCACACATCCTGGCAAGAACATCCCAGACTCGTTATCGTTTTTCGCTTTGCACCGGAAGCACCACAGTAAAAATCCAGAGTCTGATGTTTTTTAAACCAAGTTTCCATGGCCATTCTTGCGGATTCAGCCTGGGGCCAAACTCTCAGGGCTTGGGCTTTCAGAACCCTCCCGTCACCCTCCCATCACCTTTCCTGACCACTCGGGCCTCCAGACAGAAGTCCTCAATGAGAAGCCCAAAAACTCTATCCTGGCCCGAAAAAGGGGATTTTCTTGTCCAGAGCTCCCACGGAAGCATGTCCCCTATTTTTCATCGACACCCGAGATAGTAGAGATTAGTAAAGGAAGGCGTATTGCATGTTAATGCAAACCCGCTCGGCCTTTGAAACATGGCCAGGCTTTGGGTTGCAGTGTTGAAGCAAGCGGGGGCTGCTGACGCGGGGCAGGGAGAGGGGGAGGGGGGGGTTGAAGGATTGACGGGCTTTGGTGCGGCCTCCCTGCAGCTGCAAATGCATAGCGCAGTCTACAGTATCCTCAGCAATGCTGTATGTTTACAGTAAGTTGAGCCTTCCCAAAACTTCACGGCTGCGAATTATCAGAACACAAAACCAAAACTATGCAGCTCGTGCTGGTAGTTAATTGGGGAGCAGCTTCTGGTGCACTGGCCCAGAAGCCACTGCACGCATCTGGAGGCTGACATGGTGCTCGTCCTTGACAACAATCCGTGGATAGTTCGTGAGGATGAGCTCCAATGGCATCACCACTCTGCGCAAGTACTTCTCATCCCGCATGTTATTGTACCTGACCAAGAGTCGATGCCAAGGAAGAGATGGCACGGAACTTGGATGATGATCGTGCGACTCTCACCAGAGGATATCAAATGCCAATACATACGTGCAGTGTGTTCAAGCTGTCCAGGCACAGCGTGCCTCTCGTCATGACATTTCAAATTTATCCCCTGGTCTTCCCTGTTTCTCAGCATTCTGAATCGCCGCAGACCCAAAACAGCTCTCACGCATTTTCTGCCGGAAGGTTGCGCATCGATGCGCGTGAAACATAATATGATTGGGCTTCAAGGTCTCGGGTCTAGGGGGAGGGTAGGGAACTAGGGCTTGTAATGGAATCTAGGGTTTCATGTTGAGTGCTCAAACCTCAAACCCCAAAGCATCCTCACAACAACATCTCCCTTGTCCGCTTCCACAGCAGCGGAGACAAGGCGATGGGGCGCACAGAGCACTGCCGCATCACCTGAGAACTCTTGAGGGAGGGTTGGGGTCATTAGGGTTGCGGCGTTGTCCGAGGAATTTGGGTCCAAGCTTCCTTGTGTTCTTCGTCTGTGGGGAGGCGGGGTACAAGTTGACTGGCCTTCGCATGCAAGTATCTCTTCCAGGACCCCAGTGACCCAGTGACCCTGACCCCAGTGGCCCCAGTGGCCCCACCCAGTGGCCAGTGGCCCCAGTGGCTCGCTATCAAGTCCAGGATGCGTTCCACATGTGTTTGTTACACCGTACACCGCAAGATGCAATTAATGGCCCAAGGAGATATCTCAAATGCTGCATTTTCGAAGGCCCACAGCGAGCAGTGCGACAGAATTGACGGAATTGACGCGGATGCACGGCAACATGAGCATCAATCGGAGCGGCGAGCATCGATGAGCAAGACACGTGACAGAACTGACGGAACTGACGAAATTCACTGAATTTGCGGCTCCCTGCGTGCAAACGTCTGGTCCGCGGAGCTGCGGCACGGCACGGACTTGCCGCCGGCAGTGTGCCGCGCCGGAAGAATGCCGATCACTGGCCGGAAAACATTGTTTCAAAATCACAATGTCATTTCAGTCATTTCTGGTGCGAGCGTGTTCATTGCCAGTTCTGAAGCATCAAACAAGCGCGCCCATCACGGAAAATGAAATGACAAAAATAACAAAGATGACAAGCGACCGCAAGCCCAAACGCGGTGAAGCCAAGAAGCCGGAAAGCCCAGAAACACGAAAGATCACGAAAGCCATCCAAGTCAGGCCTCTCATCAGTTCGCTGCACATGCGCCGCCGGCGCCGCTGCCGCGCTGCCGCGCTGCGACTGCATCGGTGTTCGTGCTGAAAGAATTAGAAAACATGCTCACAGCCAAGCCACGTGGAGAAATACAAAAAAAAAGACCATGTCATTTCTGTCATTTCGGTCATTCCTGTGATTCCCGTCGTTGGTGAGGAGATAGCCAAGAGCATGCTCACAGCCAAGCCATGTGGAAAATGCACCGCAAGGTCGCGCTGCAGGCCATTTAGGGTTTCCGGATTTCAGGAGGTTTCAGGTTTAGGGCTTAGGCGGGTTACCAAGGTTTCGAGGCCCAGGATTCAGTGCAGGAGCCCTTGGAATTTCCTAAGCCCCATAACTATAACGAGTGTGAACAGTGTGCAACATATTGTAGCACTTCTAGTCTAGGGGTAACACAGTGTGGATGGCGCGCAGCAAAAGGGCCATGGAGCACAGAGAGGCCTGCGGCTCTGGACACTCAGCATGACCTCAGCTGATGTCATGTCGCTCGAAATTGTAGTCAAAACGATGTGGTTCATCATGTTGTAACTGCTTGAACGACACTGTTCGCACTGCATCTGCTCAAGCGTCTTTTCCAGATCTTTACGAAAGGTCGACAAACATGTCATCGAACGCAACAAGTTCCACACGGAGACTGTCACATCTCACTTTCAGCGAGGTGCCTCAGAGACTCAGAGGTCCTGCAGACCAATTAAGAGCCTTGGCATGGCGTCCATGTGTCCGAAAGGCCTTATGGCCAGCCTATCTGCCTGACCACGCCAGCCTCTCGAGCCTGTCGGCCCATCTGCGCCACGAAGGGATCCTGTGGCATGGAAAAATTGTCCGATTGTCTCGATCTCGAAATGGAAGGCAATGATGCAAAAGGTGATTGGGCAGTGGCTACATTCAATTTCTTCACACCTTGTGGCTTTTCCCGACCAATCCCGCACGAGCACCCATGGGTTTCTTCGTCGACCGCGGCGGGGAGTTTCGCCTGGGTGTCAACGTAGCCTCGCACTTCAACCAGCCCTTGCAACTCACTCGGGGTTCCTCCTACAACTAGAGGGCCCTCAAAGACTCTGACGTGCTGCTGCGGTTGAGGAGGTTCAAGGGTGAACGGGCTGTACTTGAGCTCAAACCTTGTCCAAGTGTTTGGAAAACATTCGGGGCAAATCCAGTGTAAGCACCGTTTGGGCCACAAGCTGGAACAGCATCCTCTCGATTCCATGTCCTCATCAGTGTCAATGATTTTGGTCAATGTGGCTTCGGACCAGTGATACCTTGTCTGTGCTGGCCTGCTGCCAATTGAAGAGACTTCAACCGGTTGGAGCACTGCGAAGGTTTCGTTCACACCGACCTCATGGTCATCACCTATTGCCATCTTATTGTCTTTGGTATGGTAGATGCCACGGTAAGGGCAACAGAATTTCCGGATGGCAATCATCACGGCAAGAACTGTGCCAACAGTGGCGATGATGACGCCGTAGTTCTTCTTCCACTGATCGCTGAGGTCCTTCACCTGAGAAATCGAGTCATCCAGGCTTCCAAGGGCTTTGGGAAGACCTTCAGGCTCAGGGCTTGTGCTTTCCTCACCTTCGTCTCCATATCCAACCTCTGCTTCAGGGAATTTTGTCCCGGAATATGCACGTTGGTCTTGTGGAGACCTTGCCTCTCGTGTTGGATATCCAAGTTGATCTTGCAAGAACCCATTCTCTTCTTGAGGGAGCCCACGGTCCTGAGGGAACCTGGTCGCCCGTTGAGGGAACTCCGTCTCTTCAGGGAATCCACGTTGGTCTTGCAAGAAGGGATCCTCTGGAGGAAATCCATAATCATCAGGGAAGCTGGTCAAATCATTGATTGCTCGAAGCGGTTGGGCATTCAGTACGGCAGCAAGCCAAAACACAGAGCGAGCCGCCATTACAAGATTTTTGCACCAATCCAGCTCGGCTAGGTCGGACTGACATGTCTGCGGGTCTGAACATAAATATGATAACAACGCGAACTGAGATGCACCAAGCATGTCTTCGTTTCTTCTGTACATTCAACGACATGTATACTTTTTAAAAGCAATCCAACTTCTGTGCAGCGACCTTCCACAAACGTCAACATAATCATACATCATCAATAGATTCTGTAGGGCCCGAACGCAGAGGCGGACCAAGAAGCGTGGCCTGAAGAAGTCACAAGCACGTGATGCCAAGAGAAAGGCACGTCAACCTCTACCAACACCAAAATTCAAACTAGCATGATTCAGCATACAGTCTTGTCTGGATCAGGACTGATTGGTCTCCCATAATATATGCTTGGTTCACATACTATACTGTTAAGGAATTTGGGTATCCCTAGCTCGCAGCCTCGTTCGTTCTTTGCATCGCCTATCGCAATGCATCCGAGGCAGTGTTGCTCTTGCAGTTTCCTTTCAAAATACTCAGCTATCTGTCTATTTGTAAACGATCGGATGAGAATGTCAGAAACAAACATGACGCATACTTTAGATTTCTATGTTCATGTCAGGTGTGCACTCACGTCATATGACGTTAATGCGCAAATCAGTCTTGTTCTAAAAAACAGGCCTCCTCGGGCCGCTGCCGAAGCATCCTTGAGGGTCCCTCCTGGAGCAGCGACCAGCTTGTCAAGTTGTTCAATGGTTTCGTTGGAATGGTTCGAGTTGAGGTTCTTGAACTTGAACCATGCTTGAACAAAACCTTAAATGATGCAACACGGATAAAATGGGGGCATATAGTCATTCCCGCTCTTTTGCTTCAGGATAGAAAGGGGAGATACGCAGATTACTACCCGAACATCCAATCCCCACTTCGCCCTCACCTTGCAGGAACAGCCTGCATGGCGCATGCAGTGCCACCGCTTCCATCCTCCTGGAGAGCTTCAGAGGTCTTCTTTGGGATGGGTCCGACGACACTATATTCATATCTTGATGAGAGATGGTGTTTTCGTACAAAAAACACAGAAAAAACATGGGCACAATTTGTATATCTGCTTGGTGGTTTCAATCCATCCACCGTACAGTAGCTTGCTCCTAAGCCAAAACAAGTACAACCAGGACCAAGTGTGTTTAGGATTTAGGGCGTCAAAGTAGAATGGTTTAGGGATGTTCAGGATGTTGGGTGTTGGCACCTCATGAGCGCCGATGATGCAGAGGCCCATTTCATCGACGATCTCTTCATCCAGATCCTCGAGATGCGCTGCCGTCTTCCATGGGATCTTCGGTCATGACGATGGCCTACTTATCACTTAAGCTTGGCTCGCCAGCTCCTCAGTTGTGTTTGCCAGGGTCAGAACCACGTCAGGTGCCAGGTTGACTCCAAGTTCCGTCGCATCCTTGCAGTACACTGCGGCCATGTGTGTCTGCCCTGCAGGGGCGACGGCACATAAAGCCAAGCTGAGTAGCTTTGCTGCTAAATGTACGCGGGTTCAAGAAAGCCTGCTTTCACTACTGTGGGTGCTGGGAGAAATCTCAATCCCTGTCTAAGCCAAGGGTTCAAAGCTGAAGTTGTAGACAATCTGCTCCTTCTTTTGCTGACGATGTGCGTTACAAGATGGCATTTCAAAGGTTAAGGTAAGAAACAGGAGTGTTTGAGGTTGCATGGCCCAGTAACGTCCACCACTACAAAAGAAGAACGAACATGGTTTCCATGCGCAAACGGCAGCCCAAACCTATGCGCGGCTTAGGCGGAGCCCACGCACAGCCTACGCGGGTATACGCGGATCACGCTTGGTTTCGCACAGCTCTGCGGCAACATGCTTGGAACGCCCGAGCATCCCCTATAGCCGTTATCGCCGGATCGGACCAAATGCCAGACGATGTCACTTCATTGCATGATGTTCTTCGCGTCCGCAACCAGCGCAGATGCGCGCGGGCTCGTGGAAAGTGTCCACATGCCTACGCGCGCCTATAGATAACGGGCTACGCGGAGAAGGTCATGATACACCACTGTTACACGTATATGGGGCTACGCACAGGACAAAAACACGCTGCTCAGATGACTGCATGTTTATGTCGGCGACTCCTCTCCGCTCTCCACTCCCCTTCTCCTCCCTCCAATGCCACCTGCCTGTCTGAAAGATGTGGAACTTGTCCCCGTATCTTTTACACTGAGCGCAGGAAGCCCCATCAGCCTTCTCAACCCTGCAAGCTTTAGTGATGCTAAGGGTATACAGGGCGTTTTAGCGTTGAATCACCTGAAGTGTTTTTTTAACAAACCGGCCCGGGGTTTAGGGGATTTTGGTGGACTACCCCCCAGAAAAAGCGGCCTCAACGAAAGAGCCGGGCCGCTGCACAGTGGTGGGCCAGGCGTCCTCCGGCCTGCCCGGGAGCTTGGAGGACCTAAATGCGACGTCAAGGTTTTCAGGGCTTAGGGACTTGGATTTTTGGTTTTCGGATCAGCGCTGTGGGCCGCGAGGACTTGCCCGGATTCGGGGTCGAGGGGCTGGTACCCCTCTGTAGCTTATGGCGCACATTTCGCAGTTCAGGCTTCAATTCCTAAACCCGCAACCTACGTGCCAACCACAAAGCCGCCAGCCTTAGCTCAATGAGCTTCTTAGTGAGGACCACAAGCGGGAGCTTTCCCGGCTTCCCTGGCTCGTGCACCTCTTTTCAGGGCGAGGCTTCCTGCTCTGAGGCTTTGAGGCTTAGAGGGAGTTCGGGAGTATCAGCATTTGGCATCTTGACTAATGAAAAAGCGGGCCGGCTGCCGGTTCGTTTGTCACACGTCAATCCTTCGTCTGTCACAAGAGCCTGTTTCGATGGAACGGGCAAGACGACCTGATCGAGGGCGTTTGTGGACAGCATTTCCAGGTCAGGGTCTCGGTCATCGGAGACCACGGACTGGACGGACCTATTGTGACGGGTCTTGCTTCTAGCGGGGCTTGAGTTTTCATGCTCTCGGACGCCGCCTTGTGCAGCAGCTGTTGTCTATGAGCGTGTGCTCAACAAACCTTCTTGGCATGGATCATTTGCTATGTGCATAGCCATTGCTGCAGGCAACCTCGCCCACGGTGCAATGGCAACTACTGTGGAACACATGAGACAACCGTGCGGCTCTTGCCTGGATCAGAAAACTAAGCTAGGCACTTCGCTCCAGTTGCACCTGATTTTGTGAGCACAAACCGCCTCACGCAAAAGAACTCTGAGAGCTGTGGAACTTTGCGGGACGAACAGCGTTTTGCTACTGTAGGCGTTTTCCGTCTGTGTACGAGGATGGTCTAGATCAGGCTGGCATCGTAGCTCTTCTTTGCTAAAGAAACGCAAGCGAAAAAAAATACTATTAAAAAAGACTATAGACTATAGGCGAAGGTATGGTATCAGGATGCTTGGACATTGCATTTTTGGACTGCAGCTGGCTAAGGTGGGTAGGTGATGATAGGTCAGGCGGGCTGGCTGTGTGCTGCTCAGCGGCTCAGTGGCCATCCCGCTGGAAGCAGCAGCACAGCACGCTGCCGAGCCACTCCGCCCACATCGCCAAGTCAGACTCGTCGCCCGCGGGCGTTTTGGGCTGCTCTTGCACCTTTGTCTCTGACGCCACATTGGGCGCTGCCGTTGAGGCCGCCGCCTCGGGATCTCGCGCTTCGCCTGCGGCCAGCTCGGCCCGCAAGGCTTTCTCTGACGCCTTCCAGCGCTGGCCGGCCTTTTTCAGCTCAGCCAGCGCTTCCGCACACCCCCTGGTTTTCAGCGAATTCTGTAACCAGGTCCCGGGGTGCGCCTTCGAGCAACGTCGGGTTCAGTTCAGGCGGCGGCACCCGGCGGCGCATGGCTCGGAGGATCAGTGACGTCAATGCCTGTTCCTATGCAGATATTGAATCCACGGAAAGGGTGTTGGCATTATGTCACATGTCTGCATTGAGGTATAGAGACTGCTGAAGCGAAGTGAAGTCACTTCTGCGCACTGAACTGTGTTATTTACTTCTCTTCTCTCTGACTCGTCTCAATTGCCGGCCAGTGCAGCGACACTTCAGGCATCGACATCGACCATCTCTGCCAGCCCCTTCAGATGCAACAGACATCAACAGATGCAACGTCTTGTGAATCCCGGGTCACATGTACTGCGCGTCGAGCACGTCATGCATCCTTAGCTGCTAAGGTGCAGCTGTTGGAGTATCCTCAAAGAAGGGAAGCTATGTGATGCTATGCTCGACCAGGCCTTTGCTGCAGTCAAGCTTCGTGGACATGTATTTGTGCTCGTCAAGAACACCGGACCTATTTCGCCGAAGCTCCTTGCAAAATCCGGCTTTTGAACACATGCTTGCCAAGTGAGTTGCGCAGTCACGCCTGGACAACTCCCACTGAGCAAAAATTATCGAATATCACTTATGTCACGTCTCTGCTTCCACTCTGATGCAGGGTACAGGCCTGCATGTGTGCGCCGACACCCAGCATGAAGCCAAGATGAACGCAAAGAGTTCTGATGTAGGTCCCCGCCTTGAGGGACCAGTGAGCAGAAGCTGCCATCCAGCTTTAGCATTATTTTGCTTTAGATTGCTTTAGGCATTGGGCATTTGTAAATACAATGCCCCCCCTGTCACGGCCTCGCAGGAAGCCCAAACGACTGCCATTTGTCCTGAGTCACAATGGACTGGCTTGTTCTCTGCCACCGTGCGGAGATGAGATGCATCGACGACACACATGTGACAAACAGCTGCCGCCATGTTCCCATGCAAATTGAACGAAAGGCATTAAGTCCAGTGGTTAGCATTGTCAAGACGAAGGCTCTTTTCGCGTTGTACTCAAGCAGCTTGGCCTGCAACAGCGTAACAGCGAGGCCAACCCAAGAGCTATATAATTGCCCGAACTGATGGTTAGCACGAAGTGACGAATGTCTAAGAAGCAGGTTGCAAGCTGGCAGCTTCCCGAGTTACATGGGCGGATGAAGGCAGATGAGAGCTGAGTTGATCTGCTGTCACAATCTGTCACTCCCGAACCTCGTAGATGGTACCTGGCAAAATGGAGAAGCTATGCTTCTGAGATCTTTAAGGTTCTAAGCTTGCACTTCAGGAATCAAAGCATGCGAAGCTGAGCAACGAGCGAACCCGCAGCTGCCTCTTAACCGCCGAAATTACCGGGGGCCTGCTACACGAATTTCACAACAATTTCTCTTTCCGTGCAATCGAAAACCTCACGTTAGAAGCGCTGCCACTGCAACTGCCTCTGAAAGCACGCGCCAGTCAGCTCGTCCAGCGCCTGGCGAATTGCCCAGCACTCACAGGAACCAAGTCCACGTGATTGCTGGCAGACTTCATCTTCCTGTCAATGCCTTCTGAACCTTGGACGCGCTGCCAACATCAGAGTGGAAGCGGACCACAGCAATGTACCTCGACAAGTTTCCCAATCAACTTTGTCGTGAAATTGCACGACGGTCACGGCGTACATACCTAGATATACAGACTGCAGTCCATGAAGGCGCACTCTTTGCCTGCGGACTGCTGGGCTTTGACGAGGCGCGTTGCCCGGTTCAGGCAAACGAGAAGGCATCCGGAAACCTGACCGCTGTTTCAGAAAATGACCGTCATGACTCGTCAGCCGGAACATAACCAGGGATTGATTAAAGATTAGTAGAGCATCAGGAACATCTAACCAACGCAATTGGAGCCTTGGGATCCAAAGTGCCCGAGTGTCCGGTCTTCTCGCAGTTCATAATCCGCTTAATCCAGGAGACCACCTGGCAGACTGCAAAGGCAGCGCGCAGCGATGCGCAGCGCTTGTGGGGCAGGACTTGCTCTGTTTAACACCTCGTGACTGGAAGGGTTCACAGGCTTGTCCAAGTTGAGAATGCCATAGAGCAGATAAGCCTGCACATGCAAGCCCAACTTTCTCCAAGGAGCTCACCAACTGCAACAATCTCGCATCAGCCAAGGATTCCAAGGAGAGAACGTCTAGTGGCCGAGTCATCGGTGAGCATCCGAAGGGCAAAGGAGTGTAGTGACCCGTCCTTGAGGCAGTTCCCAGTTGTTTCAGTAAGGCGGCTTGAAACCGTTGGGCCTGAAAGAATTCACAAGTTCCACTAGCTCCGTCCTGCAAGCGTGGTAACCGGCTAGCCTACATGTCCACACCTAAGACTCCAACCGGACCAGCAGCTTCGAATAGTTTTTCAGCAGCAGCGGCCACCTGAGAACACGATGCACAGGGCTGTAGCGCGGCCGAAGAGACCTTTCTGCTTGTTTCTCTTGAACTGAGGCCTCCGGCTTAGACGTGTCAATTGGTTTTTGGGACTCCTCTGGCTTTATGTACAGCTCTTCCACCTGTCACGAGTCACGACAAGGCCAGGTTTTTGCAGAAGAACTCGGCGGGGTTTAGAGCCTTTTGAGATCTGCACCCGAAAGACCAGAATGACTGCGATAACGGCTGCAATTAAGTGCACAAGGTCGAAGCTTCACAGTTGCAGTGTCGTTTGGATGCGCCTTTTTCTTCTTCTTTTTCTCGGTTTCTGCCATGGCTGCGCAGTCAGGTTTTCAAAGCTTTTGAGAAGCTGCGAGCCAAGCCCACACTCCGGTGTCGCTGGAGGAGGTACCTATGCTGTAGCTCTTGTGGAGCCCCGGCAGAAAGCAATCGGCGCGAATCGGGCACGCTGCGCTGTGCAGACACTTCTACATTCTACATGGGATTCTACACGCTTTTCTTCTCTGCGCAAGCACTTCTTGATGAGCCTTGAGCTCGAGTTCGTTGAGCTCGTGCTACGTTTCAAGTTTTTTGATTTGGAAATCCTTTGGTGTGTTAATTGTGTAGGTTCTGCAGGATGAACATAATACTGTGTGCCAAGGCCATGTCATGTTCAAGCACATGCGTGCTCCCAGCACCACTGGTACATTCTGGGACACTAAACCCACTCTGGCAAACTATGTCTCCGCACTCTGCGGCACCGGTGCAGATGCGCCCTGGGCACAAGCCGCGTGCTTTGCAGATGCATCAGCTGAGGAAGCGAACCCAGCCACTCCTCGACACTCAGATCGACCAAGCTTGCGGCCCGCAGCGTGTATTGTGTTGTTGGCACCTCACGGCTACAGCCGACGCATCGATGATCGTTCATGTTGCTTCATCAGGGTGACTGAATTCTGTGTTGTCTGATGAACAACGATCACAAAGCCCAATTTCCGCGCTGTATCAGGCATGCTGAGAAGCAGCAAGTCGCTGGGAAGTGAACGAAAGCTGCTTCTGCAAGCAGCGGGTCTGGATTCATTGGCCTTGCAGGCTCTGCCATTGCGAGCGAGAAATGAGACATCTCATTGAGCTTGAGGCTCATCTGTGAAGTCCACTCAGCTAGAAAAAGTCCGCATCTCTTGTCTTACATGAACTGCATCTCATCCTTGCATGGAGCCCTCTCCTTGAGTGGGGTCTTCGAAGCATGCTACTTGCCCTCACCGCCACTAAGCCAGGGGCCCCAGTTGTCTGAACTTCGGCAGGTTCACGCTGGCTCCCAGGTGGATCCTAATGATGGCTCCAGCAACCTGGGATAGAGTAGAGCTGCACTGCACAGCAATCAGAAACATCGGCAAACTGTCGAACGGCTGAAGATGGTCTATATGTTACAAATCGCACTTGTCACCGCACGCCTGCTGGAAGGGGAGCACATTCTTGTTAGCGTGAATGAGATTTCTGCTTGGGGGTGGAAGTGGGTTCTGACCAATCTTGGAATTCGCGAATCCCCAGTGTGCACTTGCCCGAGATACGACCTTACACAAGAAGATACGACTTAACCTACCCTCTTGTAAGCCGTCAAGAATTTGACAGAGCCCCCAAAAGCAGAGGTGGGGTGCGGGAAATGCCTTTTTGAGGTGCTTCTTGTTCGAACTGAGCAGAGCACCAGTCTTGAGATATCCACAACTTTCAACCTCACACCCAAACCGGTGCATGGCCATCATATTGAATGGACGACTGCTAGCCACCACGCTCACGTGCCTCTCTCCAATTCCAAGCTTCTGGAACTTCTGAAGTGGCCTTTGAGCCGACCCGCATCCCATTTGACATCCCGTCCGTTTGACATGAAGAGACTGAGCTGCGCACATCCGCTGAGAGATGCAGTTGGTGACTGCCACCCACTGGCAGCCAATCAGCGCAGTGGCAGCTTCGCAATCAAGACAGATCAAGCGTCTTCTGCGCAGCGTTGAAGACATGCCGTTTCAAGAACCTCCAGCCCGAGGTCAGCGATCATTTTCGCGACGCGCTCGCTGGCATCCTGTCCAGCCCCTTTCAGCCCCTTTCAGCCCCTTTCAGCCCCTTTCAGCCCATTTCAGCCCTTTCAACCTCAGAAACCTTGGGCCCGCAATCCGTCCCAATATCTCACGCTACTCAAAACGCATGTTTACATGTGGTCGGAAAATGTTGAAGGGTATAGGTTGTGAGCACAGGCACGCCCCCCCCCCCCTCCAAATCCTGCCCACTTGCTGGCTTTTGCCTCAAATGGCTACCCCCCCTTGGCAACCGGAATCGACGGTTCGCCAGGACCAGAAACAGTTGAAGCCCGTCCCAGCTTCCCCTCCCCGCCCCTACCACCCCCCCCCCCCCCCCCCCCCCCCCCCCCGCCCCCCCCACCCCCCCACCCCGCCCTACCCCGCTGAATTGGACACTCTGGCTTGAGGGCCCTGGTGCGAGCACGGCCGGGGATGCATTATCGGGACTGGATCTTGATGCTGATTGACCAAAAAGCACTCAAGTGCTTGGTGCACTGGTAAAGTCAAACTCGCACTTTCGTCCATTTGGAGTTGTATGTTGTCGGATCTGCTGGAGTAAAACACCGAAGCAAACTGCAAAGCTCCAGCCGTGGGGTCTGCAAGCCACCGGGTAGAGAACAGGCTCTGAGCTGTGCCCGACCCAACCGCTTTTGATCTTGTCAGAAAAGTCTCTAAGTGAACACAAGACAGAAACAAATGCAATCGAGGTGGGAAAACTGGTTCTCTAGGTTCCAATCCAGGTTCGTTCGAATCCGACCCAGCTCCTGTTTTGTCCATGTTGGCGAATCAGCATCTCCGTGTCTCGCACTGGCACTCTTTGGGACACCCAGGCTCCTACCCAGGAACCTACGTTTGAGAACCTGATTTTGAGAAACACGAAACGAAGAGTCTAAGCCTTGAATCTTAAACCTTGAATTCGAGGCCCCCAAACCCCTAAACCCTAAACCCTAAACCCTAAACCCTAAACCTTTTGCCCTAAGCTCTCAACCCTCAACCCTCGACCTTCAACTCTCAACCCGAAACCCTAATCCCTAGACCATGAACCCTAAACCCAGCCCTGAACCCTAAACCCAAAACCCAACCTTATTGCTTGGGGTCCAGCGACTTGGGCACTGCGGAATCACCATGCTCACGCGGATGCGCCGGGCCGAGCCACTTCCCTCATCGATGTTTTTGGAATTCTCAGCGAAATTATTTTTCAACCTGCTTCTCAGATGCAGCACTTTTGCGATAATATCCAACATGGTAGACACAACGCCGAATGCGACGCTCGAAATCCTTCGCGTCCGCAGCAGGAACTCGTGCCGTCATTTCGAACGCCGCGACCGTTCTACCGTTCTACATAACAAATCTTTACAATTAAGGCCTCTCAGGGGAGAATCGAACATATCAGAACCCTCGATGCAAAAACACGAACAGTTTCCACCTGTTTCCACACAGCGACAAGGTCTGCGATGTACAATTGATCGATGTATTCCGATCGTTCATCTGAATGTTGATGCATCTTGCTGTCACCAAATTTCGGATCAATGTCCGATGTGATCGTGACCTTCGGTGCATGTGTGTGTGTGTGAAGGACGGACCATACTGCCATCTTAGGCGGTCGCGTCCTCCCGTCGCAAGCGGCCGCTGGGGTTCAAACCCTGCAAAATTCAAAGAACCCAACCGATGAAGCAAAACGAACGTCATCGTCGATTTTCAAGGCACGCTGAAGGAAGGCTGCTAATGAATCTCGCGATGCTGCATGGTGTTGATGACCTAATACCGGCTGAATGGATCGGCGGTGATCGATTTAGTCGGCACACGTTCAAGCCGAACTGATGCCATGTTCAGTGGGAAGCGAGTCCCAGACGTTCAAGGTTCTTACATTTACACACTCCCTTCAAGAGTGCATGTCTCGAAGCCTCATCGTCGCAGTATTGGACGGTATAGTCGGTATAGTCATAGGCCGACCGTAATTAATGATGTCCCGGAGTGCCCTTATGGGCAGTCGCTGTCGGTTTGCTGACCTGGACTAGGCATGGGCATGCGCGTAGATAGCAATTTGAAAACGCCGCACGGCCGAATGTCCCGTCTCATTGCGGCGGCCATGTCACGGGCTAGCTCGGTAGGTCGGGAGGAAATACTTCGAGACATATTTGTCAATCTTGGATGTCATATGTGCCACTCGTTTGGGGCACGGAGTAAGGATCAAGGATACTCGTGTCGTCTGACGAGATGAGGGCACCCTGTGTCCCGTGTGTCTGTTCGGGCCCGTCTCTTGTCGGGCCCTCGCAACTTGAAAAGCTCTCTTCTGCGGTGTCTTCGGGTTCCATGAGTTTCATGACTGTTCCATGAAGCCATGGTCGCCGACGTAGCGCATGGCGGGCGACCCCAGCAGTCTGAGCGAAGATCCTACTCACATCGACTCACCACCTCTCCGCATAAGCGGTGCAAGCCTCATGCACATCTACATTGGTTTGTGGTTGTGACACTCCAGCTGCTCAGACAGACTGCAACATGAGTGGCATGGAAATGGCATCGAATCATTCACCACCGATCGCTGGCTGAGTAATTACAGTTCAGTAGGCTTCCTTGCACTCAAGGAATGCAGGTCGAAACTCGGGCTCAACAAGGATCCAGCCGTCAGCTGTCAGCAGCTGTACGCTAGAGGGATTGCAACGCAGAAAGAATTCCAAGTGGACTTTCACCAAAATTGCGATTGTAGGCAACACGGTGAACACACAACACAGGAGGCTACAGTCGAAATCCCTAAACCCTAAACCCGAAACCCTAAACCCTAAACCCTAAACCCTAAACGATTCGAGAAGCGTTGTCATTGCGATGGGGGAGACTCTGACAAAATGCCTTGAAGGCTGGTCACGGCCAAGCTTGCAGAGCACACCTGCAGAGCACACCTGACCTTGGAGAAGTAGCCATGAGTCCCCACGGCGTAGATTCGAGCCTGTGATGCAAAGTCGTGCATCCTATTCGTTGTCTTCGTTGTCTTCGTTGTCTTCGTTGTCTTCGTTGTCTTCGTTGTCTGCGTCCACGAGCAACCCAAACATGTCAACACAATCAGCAGTGGGCGTCAACTATGTTGCGCAAGTCTTTGCCTCCGGCCTCTGGGGCAAAGTTCCGGACTGCCTCAACAACTTTGACTAAGCTGCCGCAGGTGTCGAACCTTGGAGCATGGGCTTTGCTCACTTTACTCGCGATACTCACTGCGACTCATAGCCACCAGTTCCGAGTACTTATGCCGTCCTCGAATTTGACCGCATTAGGCTACCGAACAGAACGAAGCGACACGCCCACATATGCCTAAGGACGATGCCAGCTGCTCATGCAAGGAGATCCAAGCACACGACATGTCATCCACAATGATGACATCCGAGGGGTTCAAGGATGCGTCTGAGATGATCTTCACCTGGGACTGCATGTTGCAATGTTTACTCTTGCTTCTGGCCCCTGGTTCTTCTACAGCTTGGCAATCCAGCCTGGCAAGGCGCCAACTTCTTTGACGTCCACCGCTGACTCACTGCGCACCGCTCTCGTCAAATCTACAGGCCGGGATTGACCTTGGCCGGGACCTTTGCGAAGCTATGTATATACAGTGCGCAGTCCTTCTTTGAGAACACAGCCTCCCCTGACTTCCCGGGGTGGAATTTGCTGTCGATGGATGCCAAGGCCGACGGCCCGCCAGATTGCTGACAACACCGGCCTCCACAACCCGACACACGACGTGTCGGGGTCGTTGAATGCCAGTGCAGTCGGAGCGCAAGAGTTCAAAAAGAAACTTAAAGAATTCTGAAGACCCTTCGAGCTTGGCTCTGAAAGGGTGTAGAAGAAGGCATGCGGTAGCAGTTGACATGGAGAAACAAATCTGTTCAGTGCAGAGCAAGGCGAAGAGCTTCTCGAGTTTCTGCATACATTTTAGCGTTGTCTGCCTCCCTCTCAGTCGAACCGTCCAAATGTCTCGACTGCCATGATTTAAATACTCGACCGTGTTGAGGCCATCGAGCCGAACACGAACCAAAACCCCTTGGGGCCTGCTGCACTGGTGTCATTGTGAAGCGCAAGGTGATCTGCGACACGCAAAGAGACAACCAAAAAAGTGAGGGACTTCTGCGATGAAAACTGCCCTGTGCTGACTTTACGAAGATCACCATGCAGTCGGTGAAGGATAAGGACGCACCTTTCTCCGACGCTCCGAGGCACACTGACGTGCTGCTACTCACGATGCCTGAGCTCATCAAATTTCATTGCATTACATCCCGTGAACTTCTTATCAGGCATCGTCAATCTTTGCGTACGATCGTCGGGACCAAACAGTTTCGGCCACCATCGTGCCGAACACAAGCCATAACCCCATGGTGCCTGCTGCACTGGCGTCATTGTCAAACGCAAGGTGATCTGCGACACGCAAAGAGACAACCAAAAACCTGTGCTGACTTTTTATGAAGATCACAATGCAGTCGGTGAAGGATAGAGAAGCACCTTTCCCCGATGCTCCCCGGCACACTGAGGTGCTGCTATTCACGATGCCTACGCTCATCCAATTTCATTGCGTTTCATATGCGTTTCATCCCGTGAACTTCTCCTGAGGCATCGTCAATGTTTGCGTAAGATCATGTCCATTGTAGCTTTTGCCACTGGCAGATCTGTGCGTGTGAGCTGCGTTTGCAAAGTTCGCACAAACCTGAAAACTCATTTGCATGACATTGCACTACACTTCAGCGACCTTCCGACTTCAGAAGGTTAAGTGCAGGTAGTCTCCATCAAACATCCAGCTCGATGCGAACGAAATCATGTCCAAGACTTTGCATCTTCCAAAGACATCGGAAGGTCTGTCAGGTCATCATCCGCCACATCGTTCAAGTTTTCCACGAATAGCCTGCGCCATGTGGGCGCCTTTAGCTCACTCTTACAGTTGGAGGGACATCAACAAGCATCCCCAGAGAATGTTGATCGTACAACTGAGCATAAGCTACGAGGCAGCCTTGGCACCCTGATCAGAACCACGGGAAAGAGATCAGGGAATTGTCAGACTCACGGACTGGGCCGGGCTAGAGACACAGGCCAAGGCTGACATCACTGGCACCTGGGGAACTTTGATTTTAGGCCAGCTATGCCCAAACATGACCACTCCAAGTTTCATCGATGGGGTTCTTCCATGATGTGAGTTTCAACTCGAACTTCGCCGACGCTGTGGCGGGATGGTTCTGGTCAGGGAACCCTCTTCTTGCCCCTCCTCACACCTCAAACCCCGGCCACCCACCCCCCACCCACCCACCCCGACCACCTTAGTACTTTCTTGCTCTCTAGGGTGTGGCCAGCTGCGGGCGACAGTCCCTTCCGATCGCGCCAAGTCCAGGCTTGTGTGCAAATTACTGATCCTGTACCCTTTGCTTCCGATTTGCCTGTCCACCCCGTCCCAAGGAGCCCTAAGTTTCCAAAGGATCTGAAGCAGATTGCAGAAGATGAGGCGACAAGGCGACCATTCTTCAGGCCTGGCATAGGTGAGAAGCTCGGCCATCACCTCCTTGTGCAAGCCCGCGTATTTTAGGAGATTCTCATCACCGAGGCACAAAAGCGTGGCTCCTGTGCATGACGGCAGACAAGCTTAGTGTGAGGTCTCCACTTCAAGCCATGAACGAGCAACAGGCTCACAACCATAACATTGAGAAGCATGCTGTAGACAGCGTGCTGACAATCTCCAAGGGCAGGCATCAAGGCCCTTTTCGAAGCAGAAATCTACAACAAGAGCTCCAAGCGAAAGTCCTGGTTTCGATGCAGCTGTACCAAGGAAGTTCCATTCTGTCCAGAGGCCTGGATTGTGAGATGCACCACTGATATAGTCACTGTCTCATAAAGCCCTGTAGTTAATGCTCGAGCCACTGGTTTGCTCACAGGAGACAAGCGGCACTGCTCACAGATCCAGTCCCCAGAGCCCAGATTCTCCTCGACGGAACTCCCAAACCTTTGCAAGGGGATCACCGCCTTCGATACGTTCAGATCTTTGGAGAGCAAGTCGTTGCGAATGTTAATGGGTGAAGAAACAACCTCCGAGATGGACTTGCGATAAGTGACCTGCCCTCTGGCAATAAAGAGCATGCTATGACAACGTGGACCGGCCGAAAACAGGATCTCTTCTGTCGCTATGTGCCAGTCACTAAGGCATTCCACACAGAGAGAACTGTGGAAGGCCGGGTACCGGAATCTGAGGCCATTCAAAAAGTCGTGGTTCGCAATGACTGGGGAAAGAGCTTCCTTGCAGAGCTCACGGTACAGAAAATTGGGCAACAAGGGCGCCATCTCTTCCTTCCGTGGAGGCTGAATCAGGGACCTGCTCCGGCCAAGGTATGCCTGAAGCAGGGCGTACTACCGGGCGTACAGCTGCAACGTGTGAAGCTCATTGAAAAGCATTTCTACTCAGCTGTGTTGCACGAATGTTGCACTGCAGCCTACGCAGCCACTCACCACCCCGTGCATGCTCTCACTTGATTCGCCCCCGCTCCACCAGCACTTATAGTGATTCTAGTGGCCCTCCTCTGCTGCATCACCTTCGGCATAGGCTGGGCCCTGGAGGAGTGTGGACACCACAACGGCTTTTGGAACGCGCCTTTGAGTATGAGCGCAAGGATGCAGTGGCTGCATTCCGCAGCTACTAGTAGGACCTCCTCCCCACCCCACCCACAGCATCAAGCGACCTTTCAAGAACTTCCAAGATGTGCGCGGCAACACTTTCGAAGTTTTCTTCAAGCTGCAGCCTGTGGTCTTGTTTTGAAACTTCACCCCAAGATGGCCCCCAAGGCAGGACAAAAGGCAGCACAAGGAGTAGGATGGAGAGTGGCGAATGAGGGGTGTATATGGGGATGAAATGCGTAGCCTTGGCTTTGGAATGTCTTGAGATGTCCAGAGGCCAAACTCACACAGTCACAGGCATAGACCTACAGAGCGCGCTCGGAACAAAAGCGTGTCCGAGCGCGACGCTCATGCCTGCGGAGCAGGCACCTAGTGCACAGATGTGCACAGGTGTACGTAAGCTCGGACAAGCAAAAAGCTTGTAGGTAAGCTCGAACTTCAAGCCCTTGCGAGTTGAAACTAAAAGCAGATCCCACCCCATCGTGCCTTCAGTTCCGCTTCCAAATCCCAAGATACCGGATAGGCCCTGAGATACTTCAGAAGTTCATTCTCGGACTTCCGCTGGGCACTGTGGAAACGCCGAATGTCTGACATGTCATTTGTCACGATGGACGTAAAGATGGAGCCAAACACCATGGCCACTGTAGTTGCCGCCACCGCCATCCAACGTTCCTGTTGGGTCTTGAGCAACATGTTTTCGGGAAGTCGCGAAGGTGGAAGTCGAGAAAGGGCCCATTCGGCAGCAATGCGATATTGCTCGATCGGTGGAAGCCGCTCAACACCTTGATCTTGCACCCATCCATCAGCGTGATTTCCCACTGCATACCACGTGCATGTGAGAACATGGAGCAACAATGCACCAGTCATCAGTGCCAGCCTCACAAGGGAAAGCCAGCGAAAAGCCAGGACTTGCTGGTACTAAGAAAAGGGTAATTACACCAAGGAATAGAGGCGCGAAGGTTTCATGTCAATCTGCTGCTTGAGTTACTAGCTAGCGTGCTAGTCACTCCGCACACGACATCCTTTATCGGGATGTGGAATTCTGCAGGAGCTTTGTGCAAGCCGAGCAGCAGCAGGTTCAAAACGAAGCGTACTTCCCGACTGCATCTCTGAATCCAGGGCCGGGCATGCCTGAGCAAAAGGCAGCCCCAAGCCCTAAGCCCTAAGCTTCATTGCCGGCTGCCAAGGTCATGAATTGCTGAAGCTTGCTGAAGCTCGCCTGGAAGACAGTATGTCCCAGAAGCTGGCAATGTAGGAAATGCGAAGCAAAGGCAGACCTGCAGGCACTCAGGTGCAAGGGAATGATCACTGCGAAGCAGATTTTACCAAGAAAATGCAATGTGACGGATGAGTCCAGGCTGATGCCGGCCTCGAAGCAGAGTGGCGAATGAAAATGCGTTCGGCACAAGAATGCAAGCAGTTGATGCAGCGAAGACGATCTCAAGCCAAAAACATCTCGCCCACTGGGTAGTCCGTGTCTGTCCTCGTCTCATGGTCCATATGACCGGGATGCTGACAAGCCAGAAGGTCAGCAGGAGCACGTCGAAAAGCTGTAGGACGTCCCCGGGCAACGCAAGCAATGGAATCCTGGCCAAATGGGCCGACATGGGCCAACATTTGTTTCAAGTGCTGCCTACTTGGGCACTTGCCCAAAACGTGTTGCTGACCTTGAGTTATCTGCTTGTTGTTGGGTGCATTGCGACAGCACGCTTCAAACCTGGCCTGAATCCGTCCGCGACGATCATCACAATTGCCATGGCTGCCCAACTTTCGAACACGAAAGGCTTGGACAGGCTACTGGGTCTTACAACGACGAGAGGGGCAGTGTTAGTGTTGCAGACGCTCCGTCTTCGAGAGTTCCGGTGCGAGAAGGTCTCGTCGTGAATGCTGCGGAAGAACTCATGCATCTGAAACCGGATGTGAAAGTCCTCGTCATCCAAGTCCTGGGCACTTTGGGCAAGGTGCCTTGACCGCTCAGCCATCACTGAGACTTGTCTGTTCCATCTGGTGCTTTTGTCCCTGGTGCTTTCCTGAGGCTGTCCATGAGTCTCTGAAGACGCCATGCCAGTGATTGGTTCGAGTACGGGAACTGCATGGGGATCATCAGGAAGACGAACGCGTGGGCTTCCGGGAGGCTGGATGTTGTTCTCCGACAAGGACAACTCTGTGCTCAGCTTCGGGCCCAAGTTGGAGGTGCTTATCCTATCGGACTCCTTCTCTTCACTCTGCATAAAGTTGCCACTGAATGTGACGTCGAGCTTCGGCTGCGAAGAGCTCACTGGGCCCTGAATGCACTCCTGAGAACTCTAGCAGATGCAACATGAGTTGACTTTTGTTGCACGGGAAGGAAACAGTCAGTCACTGTGACGGGAAACGACCACGACCACCAGAGCTGGCTGAAAAACTGCAGCAGCCGCATAAATATGCTGTTGCAGACAATTTTCCAAAATGCTCTCGCTTTAACACTTTCCTTGGCCATGTGTCAAGCCCTGATCCTCCATGTCCCGGTTTAGTCGAGTTTGGGATTGGGCTGGCTCTTCTCATATGTTCTCGCTTCAGGTCTTTTGTCGCAGTCCCACGTGCGGTGTCGTTGCTTCTTCCTGTCTGCCTGAAGAGTGCAGCGCCCTACTCCGGCGGAACGGCTTCTGCGTAAGTCGCCGAAAACGTCTCCGAGGTGCCGACGTTCAGGACAAGGCCATGGATTCTGTTTAGAAACTGAACTGAACAGTCTTATTTCGAATCGAGGTTGGCACTAGGAGAAACTGCCAGTCATCCTTTAAAGACGTGTCGATTTGAGTCTCTCGGTTCTTGTCAAGGCCACGTGCAGATGATTGAGTCGAGACTACAGGCGAGCACAAGTTTGTTCATTGGGGCAGTGTTGAAGTAGAAGCTTGGCTGAAGACCAAAGAGAAGCGTCTGCCGACACGTTTGGACGTTAAAGCTTAGAAACCTTCGAGAAAAAAGCTTCTGACAATCAACAAGTAGCAAATGCTGTATACAGCTACACCAACAGGAAAATCGAAAGGCAATCGAAAGGCGGCACAAAGACCCTCTCTGGCAAAGTGATTGTCCCTCGTTGGACGTGAGTGTTACTACGTATTGCTCTAGTGACGCGACACAGCATGATGCAGCACAATGGCCAACAACAGTATACTGCAGTCACACCGATTCCCGCAACTGTGGCTTCTCTGAAACATGCCCGGGCACTACGTCCATGAGGTCTCGCAGGATGATCTCGACTCGTTGGAGGGCATCTTTGAATGCTTCCTCCGAGATGGTCATACGTCCAGGCGTCTTGCCGGCGAGTTAATTTGCCCGAAACATTTAAACACTTCCGTTTTGTCTTCAAACCCTTTGAGGCTAATGGCAGCGAAGGTCCGTTATCGGGACTGCGCAACAACTGGACGCTGCCTGACCACTAACAGCTCACACTCCATGAAAGCACACCAGCAGCTTGAAAGTGGCTGCATCTGCTTGACCGAAACAAGGAATCATGACATGGCCTGGCCGACTTCGCCTGCTTTGGGCCTAAACTTGTCGGCCATCATGAATCCGACCTGGCTTGCAGTCGTTAGACATGACCATCGCTCACCAGAACCCAACAGCAGAACTCAGCCAACACACTTAGCAGCGGTACGTTGTATATATTTGTACATGAACGGCAGCATGAACTGGGCCGGCCTGCCTGCAACTCATCTGCCATTTTCCTTGTCCGCTTGGCACCCCCAGCGTCGGTGGCACAAACCAACGTCTCCTGAGACGAATGACACATCCAGTCTCCCGTGGCAAGATTCGGCTATGTATGAGATATACATATATACGAGTACATATATACATATATACATGTATACATGCATGTATACATGTATACATTATACATATATATACACATATACATATATACATATATACATATATACATACATATATACATATATACATATATACATATATACATATATCCATATATACATATACACATATACACATATACACATATACACATATACACATATACACATATACACATATACACATATATACATATACACATATACACATATATACATACATATATATATATATATATATCATTTCTGATGCTGCGTGCCATCACACGCCACAATACTCCACACCATCTCCGCACGTTTCCATTGCTCACGGGCAACTGCGAGACACAATCGGACTAGTAGGCACGTATGCAGTTCAGTCTGCAGAGAAGGAGAAAGGGACAGAGAGCGAGAGAGATAAAACAAAAACAGGAGGAAGAGAGGGGAAAGGAAGAGAATGAGAAGGAGAGAGAGAGGGAGAGAGAGAGAGAGAGAAGCAGAGCCGAGAGAGCGAGACAGAGAATAAAGAGAGCAGAGACACAGAGAGCAAAGTAGCTTCAGTCTTTAGGGGGGGTGCCTCCGGCTTGAAGCCCGGGATCGCTTCCCGAATAAAGGCTCCAAGGTATTTCCTGAGAGCTTCAGCCGTTTCAGCCCCTTCAGCCCGACTCCACATAAAATTGAAACGCCACCTGCCTACCATCATTGCTTCCCCAAATACGACAACGCCTGCATCTATCAGCAGGAATCACTCATCTACTCATCTACTGAGAATCCTCTACGTGCACTTAACTTGGCGTACTGTCAGGCAATTGCAAAATCAAGCAGATGGTTTGATGTGTTGGATCAACTGCTGGGCCCCCTGCTCACAGGTCAATTCATCAAGCGCGGCCTGTGCTGGGCTAAAGCCAGCTTCTGCCTGGGGCAATTTCTCAGTTCTCAGCTCCTTGACTAGCCGCGTGTGAAAGTGCACCCAACATTGCTTTGCCAAAAACCGAAGTTAATTCAGAAACACAGCTGGCAGTCTCAGTGACTGCCGCACTGTACTACGATCATGGTTGTGATCCTTCGGCAGCTAGCTTGCAAACCAAGTGCACCTGGTTGTGCAAGTCAATGGTGACGAAACGGTCTGCGCCCGCCGTCGCCATCAGGTGGAGCCTTGGCCAACTGGGATGTGTAATCTAATCTATTTGTTTCGCTTGGTGGCAGCTGTCGCTGACGAGTCCTTTCAACGGAGTCTTTGAACTGAGTCGTGCAAGGCGATCAATACTGCAACGCCGACGGGAGACAGATCGAATGAGGAGAAGTAGACTGAGTTGCGAAGAACACAGAACACGTCCACAAAGCACACACACCCAACCCAAGGGGGTTGAAAAAGTTTAGTGTGTTTTTTTCCGCAGTTCTCGGTTTAGGGCGTTAGGATGCATTCAGCTTTTTTTGTGTTAGGTTCTGTAAGGGACATGAGTTCCAGGATCATGTTTCGGGTTGGCTCGTTCTTCCGGTTTTCCCGTCAGTCGATCTCATGCGATCGGAAAGGTTAATGAGCGGAGCGGACGACCTCGCCAGCGCTCCGGCTTATGGAAACGTTCCCAACCGGCAGATCCGTGAGTTCCACGCTCCAGGCCCCTTAACCGCCGCCCCTTAGTCTGACCAACTTCTCAAAATCAAAACTCCTCCCCATGTGATCCCTCACGCAGTCACTCAGCTGCTTTTAACTGCAGGACTAGTTCACCTGGGCCCCTGTTGGCTGATAAACTCTGGGCAGTGCTTGAAATGCCCTGGAAACTCCCGGGGCTAGTGTTGGCCTTACAGTAGCGCCTTTTGGAGGGCCTCGGGTTGTATACATGAACCGAAATCTAAACTTAACTCTAACTAGCCTTGAAGCCCGGCCCATCCAGCAACTCAAGCACCAAGATGTGGACTGGACTGCGTGGGGTGGTTTGGACAGCAGATGACAACAGACTGCCCACAGCACAATGCAAAAACCTTGGTTTTGTCATGAGTCATGTCTGTCAACATGGCCAGGGAATCCGAGGAGACCTGGTGGGCCTGGGCGAGAGCCCGATGTCCCCCCCAAATGTGGCGCCAACGTCAACGCATGCTGCAGTGCACGGCTTCAGCAACCATGCCGCCTCTGTTCGTAAGCCCAAGAACTCCGCATTGTGACGAACAGTGTTTTGGGAATTGAACCTGCACGCATGTCAGCTTCTAGAGAAACACGTCCAGGGCTTGGTTGGCTTTGTTTGATTACGTCTGAAGGAGCTTTAGGTCACCACTAACCACCAACCCCTGAGAAAGGGATGACTGTGCAAAGCCGTGTGACAGGGACACATCATATGCGAACCTTAAGCCAACATGCACACCTGATGCGCACAAGCGGGTGCCCATGTGCAGGGTGGGCAGGCTTGGGGCGAAGAGCTGGCGATGACTTTCGGGGCCGCGTATGCACGTGAGCAGGCAAGGCCTGTAAGGTCTAATATGGTCTGATGAGTTTATGCCAGAATGGTTTGGGTTGCGGCGCAGAGATGGTATTGAGGCGAATGCCCAATGCCGGCTGATGATGCAAAGCACAGACACAGGGTCGCACAAGTAACACAGAAGCTCACTCCAAGGCAGCAGCAAGAGCTTAGGGGCGATTGCTTCTCCAGCCTCGAACTTTCGATCCTCACGCTGCAAACATCGTTCACTGGATTTGCACGACATCTAGGCTTAACGCTTGCATAATTTCAGGACTCAGGCCTGCCGAGCATACTCCACGCAAGGCAGTACCACAGTGATTCGGTGAGGAGACTCCGACTTCAGCGCGTCCAGCATGATCAGTAACTGCCAAAACACACACTCAAACACACGTCACACATGACACGTCCACTGTCTTGCTTTGGCTGGCTTGTGGGGGCCTGGCCGATTCATGCTATTAAGGGCAAGTCTGTTCCACCTCTCGCAGAGCTGCGCACCTGCATGAGCATGAAGTTGATCTCACACTCGAAGTCATCTCGCGCACACACCTGAGGGTTTGCAAGCACCCGGGCAGCCAATGTCGGACAACATTCTGCAGTCCACAGTTCGACCCGCTTCCCAAAGCCGATAGCACACAAAACTGGAATAAGAGCAATCCCACTTTACCCGTAGACTCCGAGAAGACCCAGACTTCACCCATACAGAAGTAGTACAAACCCCCGGCCGCATAGGCCATGTAAAATGCACATGTTGTTTGGCTCCGACACCATGCTGAAGTTTGTAGTATCCTCCCAGCCCTGCCCATGTATGTGATTGCATGCTGCAGAGCACCGTGAGCCTTTGATCCGGAATCCAAGCCTTATTTTGCTGCCCAGGAACCACAAACACATCATAGTTGGACACTGACTGCTCCAGCTTGACAGAGATCTCTCCGTTCGCAAAGGTGCGGAAACGGGCCTGGCTGGACCCGCAAGGACCCAAAGACATGCTTACGCGACTCATTGAAGTGCTGAAAGCTCAAATGTCGGGGGGAAACAAATGTATATACTGGTGGTGTGCGCAACATCTTCTGTGTGAGATTGATTAATACTGGCATCATCTGGCATCCTGCAAATGCACCATACATTATTGGGACAAGTTGTGAGCATTGTAAGCAATGGGACCATGCAGCCACGACATGCCTTCCCTATGGTCCAGCTCAAGTGCGCAACGATCTTCTCGCACAAGTCCCTGCAGCACATCGGAGTGAGCACTGCAGGAAGCAAACGGCGCTAATGGCATGACACTTCTTAGCACACTGTAGCACAACTGGACATGGTGCATGCCCCTATCTCCTGTTCCCTGGCGTGCAGAAGACCACCGGCGGGTGACCAACCTGGCATGTAAAGATGCAGCAACCAAAACCCCATGCGCTCTGATCCCGTGCTTTTGACCAAACATGCCAGCGAGTCAGGGACATGCACCCCCGACATGGCTCAAGCAATATGCATGGCTATCTTAAACGAACCATGCGATGAAGTGGTGGCTTCGCCATCTTGGAACGCCATAGTTGGCGACTGCATTGCTCAAGAAAGAATGATCTCCTTGTTTAAGTGCATCAAGGCAAATGCTGCTTGCTGGGCAAACTGTCTGTAGTAGTTTATCCTCACTTGCGGCATACAGTAGCACCACACATGTTTGTTGCTTGGCTTGCCGATTGTGGGTTTCAGCCGCTGCATGAATGCTGTGGCCTGACGGCGCTCATGCCGCAAGCTCCAAAAACAAGCACTGCAATATACAGAGGCGAGAGAACAGCTATTGCACATCGCTACGGCGATGACAGCAACCAGCATGCGATATGTCGGCGGCTGAGTGGTTTCGAGATGGAAACGAGTCTCGAGTCAGTTGAGGGCGTTGAAGAGCAGGAGGCACAGGTTCGAGCCATGCAGAGGCAGGTTGTGGAGTTCCGGTAGGGAATTTGGAGCTTTGATTCGGCATGTCGGCTTCTGCAAAGGCGACCCCCGGTGGAAGTCGACCCATCGTCAAGGTACAGCACCCAGCCTTGGATGATGTAGAATTCATTGCCCCCAGGTATCGGATGATGTGGAATTCAATGCCCCCCAAAAAGAGACATTGGGCGGGAGCAGGGCACGGGACGCAAAAGTGCTCAACAGCTGCCTCATCATGGTGGGCCTTCACTGTCTTTCTGACTGAGCAGGCAAGTCCCGCATCCGAGCTGCCACCAGAGCTTCATGCATCAGGCCCCTTCCAGTGTGCTGGTAGAAATGCATGCAATTTCCGACTAGGTTGAAGCCCTTCTGGCACGTAGCACATCACATTCCGTCTTGCACAGTCCGTGATTGTGCAGCCTGCCGTTCGACAGGCCAAGTCCAGCAACGCTGCCGGCTGATGCTTGCTCTCAGGATCAACGCAGAAAATGGCAGGGATGCGGACAACCAGCATGCTGACAGTGCCAGCTAGAGTTCACAGGCATTGCCCATGATGCGTTCAATCGCGTTCACCTGAACAGTGTACCAAAGCTGCACTCCATGAATCTAAATGTAAGAACCAAACCACACTTTCCTGCGCACATGCTCTATGACTTGCCATGCCCTGGCAGTCAGGCCACGGAGAACGCGGTGGCATTAACCGAGCTGGCAGGGCAGCACAGCTGCAGGCTGCTGCGGGGAAGCAGGAAAATCGGCCGATTCCCGACGTGCTTTTCCAAAATCCGAGTCTAGCCTGAAGAAAGACAGATCATGCCGAGACTGGGGCTAGACTGGCTAGACTAGCGGCTAGACTACCTTGTCGCATGTCAGGAACCGGAAGTCACATGTGCACTCCCATTTCGGCACATGTCCACTCACCGCCGCTGTCAGTTTCCCCTGACTGTCCCTAAGGATGCACCAGTCTCAGGCTGCCGTCTCAAGTGCTACGAGCACCTCTCAACTTTCGATCATTCCAAGTGTGGTAAACCGGCAAACCGTCAGTGCTGAAAGGAACAGCCTGTAAAGTGAGGACTGCAAAGGCAGGGGAGCGTGTCAGGCTGCTTCTGGCTGTGGCCAGAGCCGTACCACAGCTCCTAGCTGACAGCACGCTTGGCCTAGCAGCAGACCCGTACCACAGGTCAACATCTAAACAGCTGGAGCTTGAGGCCTCTTACCTGTATCGAGGATAGCTGCGGATAGCTTCAATGTCATGTAAGGCAGTGCCCCAATTACTTGAACATCTTCTCTGTCGGCGGGGTTGCGATGCTAGCTCCTGGGTCTGCCTGCACACAGACCACAGGGGACCTAGGGACCTAGGGAAAATCAACCCAGGCTTGGCAGACTTCGCGCCAAGATGGACTTCGAAGCATAGCAGTATCCGAATCTGGAGACTTTGGCTGCTTGGCGCGGACATAACCGGGTCAGGAAAAACCGACACGCCTAGTGCTGGAACAAGAAGCGCAGGTCCTGAACATGGGCGCATGATTCAGACACTTCATGACACTTACATGCGACTGCTCTATGCATCTTCGCGACAGCACTGCGCAGGTCCCTTTCAAGACTGTCCTGTTCCGTGAGCTTGCCCAGGGAGGTCGCAGAACCGTCAATGGAGGCATCGAAGACAAGCTGCTTCTTCTCCTTGCAATGCAACAGCTTGCAAAGCAAACCAGTACTCGGCGCTCGATACTGGATACTGATTGTCACGCCGTTCGTGACACTGTCGCTGCTAGGCCTGGAACTTTTTCGTGTGCTACAGGCCTACTTTCGCCGTGACTAGTAGTTCAGGCACTCAAGGGCTTGTGATGTGAATCAAACACACAGGACGACCAGCATGACGCACTATGACATGTTGCCTTTTGTCGGTGGTCATCACTTTCAGAACCACTCGCGACAATTGACTCCAAAGCCACTGACTCCCGCTGCCCCTGCCTGGAGTTTGATAATTTTTTCTTCGATCGTGTCAGTCGTGATGAATCTGACAGCCTTGAGGGCGCCAGGATGTGCCAGGGGACATCAGACTCAGGTCAAACTCAAGAGGGTGGGTCCGAATATTAATAATATTAGGCAAACTCGCACAAGGCTGAAGTATGGTGGCCTTCACGGCTTTTGTCTGTCCGATGCGGTGTGCTCGCTGGATGGCCTCCATTGGACAAAGCAGCAGAATGGAACGTTAACGCAAGCAAAGACAGAAGCGGCAGTGGCACGGGTTGGATACTGAAGTTTGCAAGGGCCTGCATTTCGCATGCAGGATTCCACCACGGATCCAGGAGGAAGACATGATTGGCGACCTGCCCGGATCTGTGCAAGCTCTGCATGTCTCAGACATTCTAGAAGATCTCACGGTGCTCCTGCTAGAGACGTTGCCGGGCTTGAGGTTTGAATGTGAGATAATGTGAGTCACGGCCATGCCCAGATGTGCCCAGCCTGAAGATTCAGGCCTTCTCCTCCAGCCTTCAAGGAGATCAAGATGACCTTTCTCTCTGCACGATCTGCGCTCCCTTTTAAGGGTTCCAATTCTAACACGGAGCCTTAGTCAGGGCACGCATTCTTTTTTTTGTTTGGGGGGGGGGGGGTGGGGATAACATGGATAACTTGAAGAACGGGCCAGTATGCGGAGGGGCCTTCATGGAGGGATCTTCGTTGAAAGCTGCCAGAGCATCTTCTCGTGCCTGGCACACTACAACACTCGCGGCATCCATGGACGTGCTGCCATCTTACAATCGTGCATACTACGCGTTGGAACATGCATCCATCGTAGCCCATGGTATTCGTGGCCTGCATGGACATGCCGCCTCGGAAGACAACCTTGGCGAAAAAAACAACTCAAGTTCTGAAGACGTGTATGGAACATCTGCCCCCAAGCCACGCAAGAAATGCCGGCCCGCTTCATGCGAAACTCCACCAGCCTGCTCCAGACCCAGACACACGCAGTGTGTTCGCAGCTGCTGTGCCGCTCGCGCTGGCTTGGTTTTCGGCAGCACCGTACCAAAGCTGACTCCATCTTCCACCGACCATGAAAGAAGAAAGGCTTTGCCAAGGCATCGGCCCTCTGCTACACTTCAGCCAAGGGGCTCGAGCATCGAGCCGAACTGGGAAAACACGATCCCCTGACCGAAGGACATGCATGTCTGAGCGAAACTCCTTATTGCCGCTCCTTTGTGTTAGAGTTGACTGGGCTGAAGGTTAAAGCTGGGTCTAGAAAGGTAAGAAAAGCAGCGTCCTTGGCGCTGGGATCGCTCTTCGTCATCTTGCTGATCTCGTCGACGACCGCTTCGATCTTGGTGCTGCTTTGAAACTCGGAGGCCTTCACCTGAATGTGAAAGAATTAGGATTCAACCTTGGCAATACTGCCTACTGCTGCATAGGGCATAGGGGACAGGGAATGCAGCCGCACCTTCTTCATGATGCTCCCGGGTCCAAAACCACCCTTCGCGACCGACTTCGTGGAGGCCTGTCCCTCAGCCGGTGCCTTGGAAGTCGGGGTTCTGACAAGGCTCTGACTTCCCGAGCTTCGGCTCACAGGTCGTCGAGCCCTGTTGGGCACGGAGTACGAGTGACGAAAGCGACCGGACATGTCCAGAAGAAACTCCGCAGGGCCATGGGCTAGTGCAAAATGACTATGACACCATGAAGATTTTGGATCAAATAAAAGTAAACCAAAGAAACAGGAAAAAGACACCGAAGGGAACAATGTAGCCAAAGGAGAAGAAGATGGTGCCAGTAATACACTGATAGAGATGTTAGTACTAATGAGAATGATTTTCATACCCACCCCCCACATAGTGCAAGACCACGACAAGTGTCACTCGCAAGAGCACAATCCAAGGCCCAGAAGCAACGACAATTCTGCACTCCACAAGAGGCGGCAGCAAGAGGCGCACGAAGCGAATCCGTCCAAGAGCCCGACAAACAGACACCGAGCGATTGAAGGACCGAGCCGGGCCGAGTCGGGCCGAGCCGGGCCGAGCCGGGCCGAGCCGGGCCGAGCCGGGCCGAGCCACGTCGGACGACGCCACCAGCTGCTCGTATTTTACGACGGCGCGATGTTGACCCAAAAGCAGCGCGTGCGGACAGCAATCTGGTTCAACTCCACAGTGTTGACACACGACTTGGGGAAACAGAAGCGGCCGACTGCAGAAGAAGTGCCGGCAGCGCAAGCTTTGCCGATGTCTTGGCCTTGCAGAACGCAGGCTTTTGAAGAATGAGAGTGGCAATATGAGTTCCACATAGTTCCACTATGACCAATGCTATGTCGCAGAGCCTCTTTGGCCTTGGCTGCTGGGCTTGCACTGCGTGGCCTGTGCCGAGCTCAAACAATGTCGGACACCCAGTTGGAATCTGCCACGCGAAGCTACGGGTGCTGACTGCTCCGCAGCACTGCAGGACCTGGCAGTCTTCACGGGCGTGCAAACCGCAGCTTTGCGGGTCTTCTTCTTCGGCGTCTCCTCGGCGAGAGACGCTGTCGGACACCACGAGTGCAACCCTTGTAGGATGAGTGGAACATCTTGGTAGTACGGACAGTTAATGCATGTTCACGGAAAGAAGCCTCGTTCTCGTCACCCTCATCGTCTCCATCCTAGCACAAACTACGAGCACAGCACAGGTGCGACGTTGAACCGTTTGAGCTCTCTTTGCAGAATCTCTTGGGTGGGGCCTGGTGCGCTTTCCTGTGAGAAGTCGGCAGCAAAGCAGCCCCAAACCCAAACATGAGGCCTCAAGGTCGACTGTCAACCTTGCAAAGCAGACCGGGCATCCAACCTCAGGTATCAGATGTCGATTCTCACAGACATTCACAGTCCTGGCCAAAGCCCTTCAATACCCTTCAAGCCCTTCTTCCGCCAGACTTGTACACGAAACCACGTTGCACAAACCTTGCTTCAATCTGTCGTAACAATGCTTCGGCATGTGCTGCCATTCTCCACTTACGCGGTCTACTTTCTGCCAAAATGCCCCTCCAGACTTCAGAGCTGGTGCATCGGCGATGTACGCGCGGATGCACTCATCATGGAAGACCTTGGCCGGAGTACTCCCCCCAGAGACCCTGCGAAAAAGGAGCATGCCCGATCAGACCCTTGTCGTACCCTTTCGGCTAGCTCCAAACTGTCACCTGTTAAGCAATCATCTTGCAAAGCTTGCAAAGGCTGCCAAGCAACATGGCCGCATTTGGCCTGTCGGACAGAAGAGGTCGGACAACAGAGCAAATCACAGCAATCGATATCGTAAGGGATATCGTGGCAAAGGCTTATCTTAGACATTCTTTGAATTCTTTGACTCTTGAAGCTGCTGTCTGACCGGACCAAGTGGTACCGTCGACCTCTCTTTTGGTCTCCTCGCCGGTCTCATCTATGTCGTCCTGCACACAGCAAACGGTCACTTGGCTGCCGTGAGAAGGCTGCTTCCATGCGGAATCTCAAGGCCTGGCAGAGACCGCACACGCTTCCAGCGTTGGCAGGAAGCAAACTTTTGCCCGAGGGCAGCTTGTGCGTCGCCTGACGTAGCAACAGCTGCCACTTGCTTCCAGCAAGTCTGAGATTCGAGTGAAATCGAAGGAGGCACAGGCCTGCCCACCCCCATACACAATGAGGTATGGATGGTCCACAGCTCGTCGCAGAGAGGTCAGCAAATCGAAGATGTGGGCGTAGTTGTGCCTAAAACAGCATGGTCTGGAGGTTTTGACGAAACCACGCGCATTGGACAGTCTGTGACTGCATGGTTCATCGGGTCGGAAATGCAAGCACGATTGGCAAGGTGCAAGACCGTGCCCGAGTGCACAAAGGTGTCAAACTTGACCTCGCGTGGAATGCTCCAAAGCAGCTGCAGAAGTGCTTGGCAACGGCAAGCTGTGTATTCATGTCTAGAATCAACTACAAGTATATTCCATGCTGCCAAGAAGCGCAAGACCTGGAGCAAACGTTCAACTGTTTACAATATTGTCTCACTACGTTGGGCAGTGGCAGCATGACTATCATGGAAGCTAGCATGCAGCATGATACCAGTAGGACCTGCTTGCACTCTGCTGACATGCTCACGCAACTCATCGATCTGCTTTGCCGTTGTTGGACATCACGTTTCTCCTTCTGACAACTTTGTTTGCCTCTCAGACCCAAGTGGCTGCATGTAGATGCTCGAATAGAAGTCACTCTCCTGCAGGACAGTATCATATGACCACACGCCAACGGCATTGTCGCAGTGCATGTCGGAATGGCCGCGCCTGCTTTGACAGCTTGTCTTTCCGAATGGTGACCTCAAGGAGATGCATAGGAAAGGGGGCTGCAAAAAACAAAAAAACAGAAAGCACGAAGTACTACTGAAGCTCGACCACACTTGGGTGCCTTGATGGGTGGCAGCTTCAGATCTGCCTGGCAGATGCTTCACTTCCAGCGCTTGCTTCTTATGTTGCACCTACCTCACTCTCGTGTCCGTGTCGGTCTTGGCCTTTCGCTCCTCCTTCGTGCGTCGCAGCATGCAGCGCTGCAGGATGTCCTGCGCCGAAGCCACTCTGCGCAAAAAGCCAAGAAACAGCTTGGGCCTTCAGCATGGGTTTTGCTTTGCAACTAGTTCAGGTGCGCTTCCTCAACATACCTTCCGAAGCACTTTAAGACACAATACACTCCTCGGTGCCTTGATTCATTATGGCATGTCTCATGCAAGCTTGCTGGTGATGCAACGTACTGTACCTATCCTGAGACAAAGGCAATGTTGAAGTCGTCAAGCTCTCGCTCGAGTTACCCGCCCCACTGCTCCTGCCGAAGCTTTTGGAACGCCGTCTTCCCTGCACCCATGTAGCCGAACTTGATGATGGGGTTGGACCTGTGAAGGCTATTGGCCATGGTTCTTCATGAAATGCGACAGCTCTCTCACGTGCTCTCAGCTTTGGGCACGTCTCGCTTGAAGCTCGAATAGTGCCTGAGGGTCCAGGCCGACGCAAAGTCAGCGGAACACTGAAGCTGCGAGCATTCAATGTTTAAACATGTATAGCGACCCTGCAATTCATATAGAAATAGAGTAAAGCTAAGTAATGCATGCCAGGATCTCTGAATGCAGCCAAAGCACATGAAACGTACGTGACCACAGTTCGGGCAGTACCGCTCCCGCATGAAGCAGGCGCACTCGCACTTGCAGCCCTGTGGAAGGCTCGGGAAAGCATCGGGAACTGCAAGCACTGCAAGCACTGCAAGCACTCCCAAAAGAGATCAACTTGTCTCGGCCTATGCCAGGCACGCTCCATCAACGCAACTGCTTTTGCAATTTTACTGAGCTGTCTCGGATTCCCTGATGCCTTACTTTGACACCGAAAGGCCGTCAAATCCCATAACCCTGAGCAGCACATTGTCATCCCGTTTGACTTTGCCGTCCTGCTTCTTGCAGTAGTAGAAGGCATACGGTCGAACTCGCAGAAAGCCTTCAGCAAAGTGCTCAGATGCACAGTAAGGCGACAAACTCTTGCCGACAATTGGACCCCAGGTGGAATGTCTAACCGATGACGCAGGTGCATGTTGCAGGAGACTAGCCCCGAACTCACGGCACAACGAAAGGGATAGACCAAGAGCAAGCAAGACTACTGCGGGAGCTACGTGAAAACAAGCTCAACAACGCAAAGCCACGGATCAGCGAGTAGAGCTCTCCGACTCGATTCTGGAGAGGTGTTCCAGTCAGACACCACCTCACAGTGACACAGTGACGGTCTGGGTCCCGTGTCGTAGGGTGATGTCCCTTGCGGCCAAGCTCAGCTGAACTACGGGGATGCTTTCGTTTCAAATCCCCCATTTGTACAAATACAAACAGATGCTTGCACTTGAGACATCCCAGCCCATATTCTTTCCTTCGGAAAGTCTGAAAACCCTCGTCTGACAAAGGTTGTTCGAATCAAATCAGAAACGCACGGGAATCAGAGTGAAGAAATATGATAATGAGCAGAGAAGAAGGCGAGAATAAAGTCAGACGTTAGTGACAAATGCGACACGTTTCACACTTTTCTCTCAAATTCCGGTCACGTTCTATCGCTTCCTGTCTCTGCTCTGGCCCTCCTCTGGCCCTCCTCTGTCCCTCCAGGCTTCCAGTATGCGCCCTCAACTGGCTTTCAGTCTCGACGGGTTTGGGTTTGGGTTTGGGTCTGAAGATTCGGCTGCAATTCTTGAAGAGCTGGCTCAGGTCTAGATGAACTCTTTCACTGAAAGTGAGATCAGAGATTCTGCGAACCTTCGAGCATCTGAGTCTCGGAGTGTTGCAGCGCAGCATTCTGTTGACAATCAACCTTGAGCAGTGTACGTCCGTTCTGCCGTGGCTTCGGCAAGAGGACATGGCGGAAGGCAGATCCGGAGGCTCAGGAGGAAGAGGCAGGATGCAGACAGCAGTTTTGCGGGGTGTGGAAGCGAGCCGCAGCGGAGAAGTGTGAAGAGGGCCAAGAGGAGGCGAGGAGAAATGGTGCCTGCATTGAGCTTTCCATGCCACCTGCGACTTGCCGACTGAGCGTCCACAGCATCTTTTTAGGCAGACTTCCTCTTCTTCCCTCCCATCTTTAGACAGACATTCCTCTTCTTTTCCTAAACCTTTTGGAAGGCCTCGTGAGGAGCGTCAAACCAGAGCTGCCAAGCGTTTCTGGCGCGAGGGATTTCAATTTAGCCGGTATCCAACTTTTCGTACGCATAATATGGCTAAGTTGCAGCACATCAGGCATCCACATTCAAACAACTCGATACAACAACAACTTAACTAGCAAAAGAAATCGATCTTTCCCTCAGGCCCAGGTGCTTGTAGCCCTTCTGCACTTGCAAGGCATAGGCAGCAAGCGCTGTGCTGTTGGTGCGGCCCTTGATGCGATGAGCCTCCGAAGCAGTCTGACTTGTTTGTGATTCTCTGTCTCATACAGCACGCACTGTCAAGCACAGACTTTGGCTGCTTCGGTCGTCTTGTTGAGGTATGTGGGCAGCATTGCTACAGGGCCTCGTCCAGCACCACCCGGGCCCATTCGATGCTGTGCAGCGGAGACTCACTAAGGTCGAGCTGCATACCTTCAAAGGTCTCCTCAGAATCATGAAAGGCGAGGCTGCAAGCACAGACCCCTGAATCTCCAACATCTCAAGATATCTCCAACACGAAATAGGCTTCGCTTGTGTTCGCTGCCTGCTCTAGACCAGCAGCGATGCCCACCTACAACATTCAGCCAAGGAACGTAGCCTTCCTTAGATCGCCGCAAGACTGCACGATTGCCGCGCACAGCCGCCGCGATAAGCGAGCTCAACAGCCCGATAAACTACCAGTTGAACTGCAACTAGAATCGTAGCCGTTCTCCTCGAAGTCATCACGCTTGCGCTTGGAGCCAACGGCGGGCGATTTACCTGTGATTGTCAATGCCAGCATCCACTGCCAGCATCCACTCCTACTCGCTAAATCCCCAGGTCTGGGAATGAATCTGGACATGACTTCGCAAAATGCGGTGAGTAGTTGTGCATTGGGGCACCCTTAGCCGTTTATAATCTTCCCCTATTTGCTAATCCCTCCGGCCCGCAAAGGCCCTCAGACCAAATTCCGGAAACACCCCTCAAAGCCCCACGCGAAGCAATTAGGTACCAGCACATAGCTTGTGTGTGTGCGTGTGACACGTTTCCAAGATATCTATATATATATATATCACCCTGATTTCCAACCCCACTTTCGGCCTTGCGCTGTCGCTGTAGTCCTCTGTGCGACCGTTCGGGCCAAGCCGTTGCGAGGCGCTGGGGTGGCTCCTCCCTGGAGACAGAAGACTGCAGAGAGAGAGAGAGACTAAGAAAGAAAGAATGACTGAATGAAAAAATGAAGGAGAGCAAGACTTTATACAGGCTTAACAGTTTCAACTGGTTTCAACCCCAAACACGAACCCAACAAGTCGCCCTGCCTTGGCCTTGACGTCTTTGGCCTTGCCACCCTTGCCACCCTTGCCCTTGCTCTCTGCTTGCTCGGCTGCGTCTCGCACCGCTTGAGCGGCCTTCAGCTCCTGGAGATGCGCGCGTCGCAAACGTCTTGGAATTTGCGGCATCTGCCCCCGGAGTTTGCCTGACCTGTTGGCATGACCTTTCACTACAATTGGACCTATGATGGGCTTGCAGTAGCCTACCCTCCACGTGCGGTGACACGCTCTCTGCATACTACTCCGTGCTTCGAAATCCCGGTCCGAGGCGAAGATTCCCAGGTACTTGCCCTGGCAACTTTGACAGAAGCGTTCAAGCCCCCATCCGTGATCCGCAGACCAGAAGATGTGACACATTGTGACTGAACACTTAACACTCCAAGCAGTTTCCTGAACATATTGCTGTGCGCTGTCGTTACAAGTTGCCGCAGGCCACAGTAAGCATCACCAAGCACGGGACCGCCCAGATGGAACCGGATCCCAAATTCCTTCTTCAAACATCGCCCCATGCCCGCCCCGCAAGCTTGAACTCTTAGCGACTCCAAGGCCGAAGCAATCCGCATCAATCCACCATCATCGTCATCAGCATCATCATCATCCTCATCCACCCACCCTGAGCAACATCCCTTTGCTGGGAAGTGGCCAGAAAACCACAAGCACCCAGTTTTCACTCTCATCCTTTGAAAGAAACCTCAAGATTCGGGACCTCCATGGACCTGCCGCGTCCCCGGTTTCCAAACTCCACTTGAGAACCAAATGGGCATGATCCTCGCGGCCTATGGAAGCACCGCAAAGGGCAAACTACCTACATGTGCCTCCCATCTACATCAGCGTTTGCCATGTTTCTGTGTATCACATCGGAATTTTTGGGTCTTATGTACTGGTGTGCTGCTGCTGCTGCTGCTGCTGCTGCTGCTGCTGCTGCTGCTGCCGCCGCCGCCGCCGCCGCCGCCGCCGCCGCCGCTGCGGCTGCGAAGTAAGTCCACTCGCAGGGTTCAGGACTTAGCCGCTACTAGCCAAATAGGCCGTTCGGAAGACCACGTCGCAGATAGACAGCACCGTGGCTGCCAGGGCTTGGATTGCTAAAGCCAGGCGTTCGTGACTTGGTAGAGTAGAGACTCGAGTGCAGGAGAAGCTTTGCCCGCAGTCAGGTTGCCAACCCTGTGGTGGAAAAGACACGTTTCAGTTCAAGACGGCAACAAAACAGCCGCAACGGGCAATCTGCCTGGAAAGAGGCCTGCCATTTGCCGCTGGCCTTCAAGTGTGTGACCCCTTGATACCTGGCGGTGGCTCCAGAAAATCACGTGACTCACTCAAAGCTCTCTTGGAAAATATCTCAAGAACGGTAGGTCCCGGCTTCGAGGAGCAGCCAGTGCTCTTGCGCAGCAGCAAAGGCCTGAGATTTCAGCGAGGCCGGAGCCACGCATACTCCCCATTCTTTGACAAGTCAGACCCCCTGTTTGCTCGGAAGCACCGCTTCTTGCCGGCAATCGCTGGCTTCGCAGGCTGGGCTTTCGCCTCGCTGGAGGTGTAAAGTGTAAACGTGTCGCATGTTTCAATCTCCGCCACGAACAAATGGCGGCAAATTCCGGCCCTTCCCGGGCATCCCGTGGCCTTGGGGGCCACGGATGCCATGAGCTTCATGGCAAGTGTTGCCTGTCGAGCTGAGGCTGCTGAAGGGTACGCCGACAACGGTACAAATAGCAACTCTGTCTCTCGAGAGGGGGGGGGGGGGGGCCCTGAACCCAAGAGAACGAACCGCAGGGAGTCCCTGCATACCGAATCGCATTAATCTACGTCTCTGAAAGGGCTCTCTGCGAGAGAGGGCTCCTTCTTCGCCGGGGTCGACTTGGAGGCAACGCCACGGACGGCAAACTCCATGAGCCGGTCTACCAGCTCGGGCTTGCGGCCAACGGAATCCAGGCCTGGATGCTGGTATTCGGCCAAGCACAAATATCTGATTAAAAAAAAACAACTTTGATTTTGTAATGCATTGACAGGCCAAGTGCAACTGAACAGTCTCTGCTTTGAAGCCCTGGCCTTTCTTCACGCACAGGTCCGTCAACTCCTCCAAGCTCTCAATTGAAACAGCATCCGGCTGCCGACGTTTTCGACTACTTCGCTGCAAAGTGCACACAAACAGGTGTAAACAGGCGTAGCGCCTTCTTGTCCAGGAGTGTAAGGCGTTCGCGACTGAGGCCATCCTCGCCTGCTTGGGCCTGCACTACACAGGCTGACAGCCATGCCGAAACTGGCGAAGCAGGAGGCGGGACTGTCTGTGACAGAATGCACCTAGTATCGCTGCACATCGAACGGAATGTTTAAGAAGGTTTGGCAGAAGATGCCTTTGAAGACGAGGAGGAGGATTTCGCCTGAAGCGCAAAGTCCTAAATCATAAAATACCCCAGCATACCCCAGCTGTTCTCATGGATCTGAAGGCGTGTAGCAGCGTGTAGTCATGCCTGCAGCCTGTCTCGGGTCTCCTTCATGACCTCGGCCGAGCGAGCAGGAGGCAGGCAGTTTTTCAGATGCTCGCTGTGCCTCCTTGTTCATGCAAGGGGCGTTCCAGTAACCTTTGGCCTTCACATCGACCCCCGCCTGCTTCATGAAGTCGCCTTGGGCAAGGGGTTCGACGTGGCGAATGCCGATCATGGCCACAAGACTGCCACAAGTTTGCCAAGGACCGAGCGGTAGATGTTGGTGATGGTCGGTGGGGAATCCTTTGACGAGGACGAAGTGGAAGCGTTTCCAATGCCCATGCTCTGCATGGCTTTCTTGGCAGCAGTCTTCCTGGGCCAAGGACTAAGAGGTTCAACCTCTGCTTTCAGGATCTATTTCTGAGGCAACTGAGACAACTTTAAGAGATATGTGTTTTGTGTCCAGGCGTCTGTTGCTTCTTTGTCTTCTCAGCATTGGGACCGCAGAAGTACCGCTGGTGGAAGGCGAGCTTCCTGGAAAGCACCAACTGCCGAGGGCTCTGACTATCGAGGTCCTCTTGGTCCCCCATTTAAAGTGTGGGCCCTTTTGAGGAGGTGTAAGGCGTTAGGGGGATTCGATGATAAAGGGTACCTAATGGCATCTCTTACCCAATCTCAGAACAGTTTCCAGGACTCGAAGTCATGCAAAACCCTCGCACAACTTCGGAAGCCAAGGCACTCGGGCATAAAGAGCTTGCCGCAGTACTTGCCTTGGCATTGTTTCAAAGATGCTGGGTTCAAGAGGCCAAGGTAGGTGCGGAGACAACAGCTATGTGAGCCATCCGGCTGAGCTGCACTTCAGTCGATGCTTGTGTGATTCACGTCGATAGTCGGACCTTGTGATGCAGGTACTGGGTCAACAGAAAGCTGCCGCACTGAGTACAGCCCGGCTACGGATGCCCGCATGTGTGCGTATGTGCGCATCTCATTGCAACTGCAGGTGTTGGCGATGCCAATGCTGCGGGTGCTGCTCGTGCAACTCACGCTCGTTTCGGCCCGACTGTGAAGCTTTGGGGCTGATGTCCCACGATGTTCAGTGCAACTTATACATGTTACATGCTGACGAACCGGAATCTCTGCACACTAAGCCTCTGGGAACTGATTTGGGAACTGATTGGGGAGTACGTAGGACAAGGACAGGCCAATTTACACCCTGTCCCGATGTTTCAGTGAAGCCAGAGGAGCTCGAGGGTCTGATACGTAGTGATCACAACATCACCTTGGCTTCTCGCACTCGCCCCAAGTATGAAGTAGTGGCATGGTCATGACATTCAGGCACAGCGGCATTTCTTGAACTGCGTGGCCACCTTACCCTTCTCTGAGCCGTGGTAGACAAGTGTTCGCAGTGTTCCTGTTCGAGGCGCTGGGCTGTCAGCTCTCGGCTCCGCAAAACGACCCGGCCTTTCTTGGTAAACTTGGCCTGAGCTTGCACGCTGCAATCATTACCCAAAGTACAGCACCTCCAGTATCACGTCTGTCTTCGTGCGGGCCAAGGGCAATCTCCTTCACCCACTGCTGGACAGCCGCCATTGGGCACACCACTAGGCATGGCCCCTTCAAGGGGCGAGCCAGCAGTAAGCTGATGGCCTCGCCGAAGCTTAGAGGCTCAGAGGCAGTGGGCCCTTTTCGCACAATGTGATCTGCACAAATTCAATCTACCGAACACTATGCTCGAACAGTTCGCCCGACAGCAATCTCCAAGGAACCTGAATCGTCTTGCCCATGCCCATCTCATCGGCCAGAATGCCCCCACGCACTGTGGATTCTTCTTGGTGACACATCCAGGCCAGACCTGCGAGTAGACACAGCTGACACCCTTGGAAGGCTTGTTTCCGCCAGTGCCGAAATATGCAAACCGAAGCATCTTCGATGGCCTTCCTTCTGGAAGGGCAACATGGGAACCGCTAAGTCCTTGCGTCTTCCCAAGCCCATCTGATAAATCTGATAACCCTGATTTGTCACCACCAAGAGCAAAGAATGACTGCCTCATTCGTGTCGATATGTGGCGATGTCTCTTCATGTCTCTCTCTCTCTCTCTCTGTGCACGTCCTTCGGAACGGGTACTGCTGGTAAGTTCTTCGTCACGACGCCCACGGAGCCACTAGAGTACTCTGCTGCTGCTTCGGCACCTGCAAATAAAAGGCTTTCCACATATTTATGCAAGCCCGCGTCCTACTGTTCGGAGTCATTCGGGAGAATGCTGTCTGTGCCACTGCCTGTGCATTGGTATGGTTTTGAAACTCATGGAATATCATTTTGTCTCGATCTTTGTTCCCATTCTCTTTCTATCTCCTTTCCAGCAGTCTTCCTGCAAGGCAGAGGGGAACCAATGACGTTTTTGTCCACTCTGCACCGACGACCTGCTGGAGGGCGATTTCCTGTGCTGTGTCCAAGCACCACGGGGCCCACTCGACTCCTAGCATGTTGAGAGGCCCGACCGGCGCAACAATTGCGAAGAGGAAGCGAGTGGGCTGGAAGGAAACTTTCCATGAAATGACATGCAAGGCTTGCAAGGCCTGCCTGGCGACTATCAGATAAAGATGCACCAGACACCCAATCCTGGGCCACCTAACCTTGCCGAGCCATCTCAAATGGCATGTGCGCCCAAGCTGACCGGGATGGGGGTGGGGCCTGACTGGACAAGGTCTCGACAAGGTCAAGCGATGAAGAGAATGAAGAGAAGGGCTCCAGGTTGGGGTTGGCTCCAGCGGCAATGTAGACGAAACACGAAACAACTGAGAGAACACATCCCCTTTGACCCATTCTATAAAATGAGGGCTACAACCCTCTGTAGAATGGGTGGTCTGGTGCTGTCTGGTCATTTAACTCGTAGAAACAGAGTTGTGCCGAAATGTCCCGGCAAGACAAAGAGAAGTTGGCACATGGCATGTGCAGCAAAATGCATCGGCAGCTGATTTTGCAATCAGGTGGGCCCCGGTTGCAGTGGCGTCGACAAAGTTTACCCACGGAATACGTCGCCCCAGCTGCTGAGGGATCAGGCTCTTTTATGCTTGGAGTTTACCATTTTAGGGTTTGTAGGGGCTTTGGGATGTTTCTGTATTCCTAAACATCCTGCCCAGCTTAGAACTTCACAGCACCTTGCCCAACCAGTTGCTCCTATGAACCCAACGATTGCACTACAAATGCCAAGTCACAGCTAGCTGAACGGGTCTCTTCTCGTCCAAAGACTTCACTGGTATTTCTTTCTCGGACTCCGGGCGGAATCAACGCTCGGCACCCTATGCTCCCGCATGTCACCATACTGCCCGAATTTGCATGAGCATTATTTTATTTAGTTTCTAAGCCAGCATTGTTGCCGTTCATCTAGGAGAACGACGTCTTGATGTCCAGGAGGGAGATGGGGGGGATGAACTTACGCGGTTCGTCAGCATGAGTTTGTTTGAACTGAGCAAGAAGCCTCGACTGTTGCCATAAATCGCGCATTTCTTGCCACACTGCTAAAGCGACAGTTGAGCTCGGCAATATCTTCTGACAATCAATTCACAGCGTCCTCGCCTTCACGGCTGGCCTTGGCCGCACGACTCTCCGAACGCATGGCCTGCCAGACTATTCGCCTCTGTTCAGAAGCTAGCGCCGCATCAGATCGGTGAGTATCGAAAGCATCTTGACATATCTTGACATATCTTGACCTCGCGAGGCCTATTCAGCGAAAGTGGCACCCACGGGCCTTCCACAAGCGTTGGCGCTCGGTGTTGTTGAGCGCCTCATACCCGAAGATCTTATTCCTTAAGTCCTTCTCCTGCACCCAACTGGTTGCGTCAAGGAAAGGTGCATTCATGCAAAAATATGCAAACACGCGCGCTGCAATGACCGCAAGCCTTGAGTACACTTGTTCATGAAGTCTGCTTCTCCATTTCTCAAGTGTCAGAAGCATTTTTCGGAACTGCGCGGTGAAACTCTCGTCAGACGGGTCAGATGTCTTAGACATCACGGGCGACAGGCTTAACCCCCGCCATGGCTTGCCGCCCCCGACCCCAGGCGGCGCGCTAATTGCTGAAGCTTGACGCGCCTCTCCAATGCGATTGCTCCCAGAAAGGAGAGTGCCCAGAGTCGAGGTGGCAAAGCCTCTTGATATATCTTGATGCTCTCGCCCGAGGTGTCTCTGTCGCAGCCGTATGAAAAACGCATTAATATAATTTGTAAGGGAGTAAGTGAACGTAGTGTGACGCGCGAAATGATATAAAGGTGTGAACGCAACAGCTGGACCATGAGGTAGAAACCCCCGCTCGGCGCTGTGGAGCCAGCTCACGGATCGCTTCTAAGGCTGAACTCTCCTTCCCATGGAATCTTCTCCTTGTTCCTTTCCTTCGTTCCATATACTAAATTGACTTGCAAGAAAACACGCGAAGTCAAGGCCCGAGGCCAGAGCCGGGCGCGTGATTCGGCCACGAGGTGTCAGAAGTTCTTACGGACATCTAGGGACCTACTCTACACCATTGTATCATCCTCCTTCATCCCCCCTTTCTCAGAGATTCTGCAGAGAATGGAGAGACTCACTGCAAATTGGAGGTGCCTCGGAGCCCAGCCGACCCAGCAAGCCCCTCCCCAAACCGTTCGCGTTTCCAAGTTTTTGCACGATGACGGAGCACACTGGTGCGGTGGTGCTCAAAATTAGACGTCGTGCTTGTTTCTTCGCTTCTGATTCGCAACTCATTTTTGTGAGGTCGCAAGCCCTGCTGCAAATTTGACTACCCCAACTTCGCGTCGAAGTCCGCTGGGGATGCACTCCATTTTGCTTCGCTCGGGCCGCGAATGCATGACACATTATGACACTGTTTGCGTTCCTTTCAGGTTTTGTGCAAGTCCATTTGGCCCCCAACACAACAAGAGCACGCTTCCAGATCCTTGATGCCAAAGACAGACGACTCGTAGCACTCCGGGTGCAGGTACAGAGTATATGCATCTTCACTTTGCCTTGAGAAGAGGGCACTCTCAGCCACAAACTATGGATGGACTTGCAACATCTGGCATCCATGCTCAGCTTCATTTCTATCCGCCTCCAACGGAAGGGGTATCCCAATCTCAGTGCCTGGGCTTTGCACAGCCTGTGCTACGACTGCAAACGCTTCATCAGACATGGCTACCGATGGCCTGCGAGCTGAAACCCACGATTGCGCTCTCGTGCGCCCACTACCCCCTGGTGATGGAACTGTTTTGGACCGGCCACACCCTTGTCGATCTCCTCTCCACAGCGGCGGCAGCGAGCACGGCCGGTGGGGGCATACTGACCTTGGCAAATCAGGGTCTCCAGACGGTCACGTCCAAAAGCACCATGACTGGTGTATGGTCGCTATTCAGCAAGGTGGCAAAACATGGCGCAGGAAACAAGGCTCTGCTTGTCCTTGCGGGAGAGGCCCACCATATCTTGCTGGCCTGCAGACATGCGTCATCTTGCACAAGAGATCACAGGGTCAGCCACAGGATGGCAGAATATGGCAGAGCATGTTGCCACTGTGCCCCACGGTGCTCCAATGTGTTGTAGGGCAGCGGCCATACCAGGATTTGGCCTCTGGGTCATACCAGGCAGGGCTGACAGGGGTCGGCAAGATACTGGAAGAGCTGGACTTCTCCTGGTTCAAGAATTTGTCAAGCCTTGGTTCAGCCGTCCATTGTTTTTGGCTTCAACGTGCTTGGCATGCAGCATGAGCTGCCAAAAAAAATTGCTTCTGCCGCGAAGGTGCTGAGCAAACTCTCCCATGGGGTCGGCCTGGATCCAGCAAAGCAGCCGGCAACTCAACAAATTTCGATTTGACAGCTTTGCGCAGCACATACCACAGCATGAGGTGCGGGCACTGTGAGACGAAACAGTACTCGCTTCTAACCAGGACTGGAGCCAGCACAGGCAGCAAAGGGCAGCAAACCATCTGCGACAACACCGACCACACTTCAAGGCATTGATGCTCACGCCAAGTCAGACATATCCGGTTTTGTGACTCTGGTTGTGCCTTATGCCCATCCGCAGGTCACAAAATCATTGCGGAGTGGGCACAGCCATAAATCAAAAGTGCGACTCTGCAGAACTGCAATGAGATGCCGCCCTCGACGGCATCTTGCACCAAGTCCGGAAGAGCGCAGGGGTGCGAGCACCAGCAGCCTATATCTTGCTTGCAGGAAACATGCTGTGCTTGCACCCCAGAAACTGCCAATGCACCGGCATTTCCCGAATGGCATAACAAATTAGAGTGAAACAGTGGTGTGGAAAATTCTACCCATCACGTCTCAGGGTTCCTTGCCGTCCTTGAGGATCTGCTCGAGCTTCTTCTGCTGCCTCGAAACGCTCAATGAACATCCGTGTCTGCAAAGCCGAGCATGACACGGCAGAGTGCGGCCACTGATTTTTTGCTGCTGCTCGATGCCGCTGTTTGTGCCCAGAAGACACCAACAGGTCCATGGAGATTCCAGATGTACCAAGCACAGCACACGCCCGCAGCTGCATCTGCTCTGACGACACGCTCAGCGATGGCGGACCGGGGGCAAACGCAGGCGCACCTGGTTAGCCCGTCTGTGTCCAGGACAGATCACGACAGGAGAAAGTTGTTGCCCCTGCTAATTGCAGCGAGTCACTCGTCCTCGCTGCCGGCCATATCGCCGTTGCAAAGCCCACAGATAGCCACATGTCGATGGCCACTGGACTCGGACTAGGAGGTCTGCAGCCACGCGCCCGTCGGATGAAAGTGCTTCCAGGACCTAACTTTGATGACATCGCGTGTTTCAGTTGAAGTCCAAGCCAGGTGACTTGTAACAGTTGAGAGCAAGCTGCCTGTATACATCTGCATCACCCCACAAGGCCACATTCCAAGGAAGCAGTTGACCTCTCAGTTCCTGCTGCAACTGTCCGGGCACCAGCTTCCAGTGAACTCCTCAGTGAAGGACAAGCCCCCCCGGTGCTGTTTGTTGAGTTTTTCTGTGTTTTCTCTGTGTTTGGTGGTTGTTCTGCCCGGCCGGCTCCCGAAACTGTGGACATCTGCGGAGAATCTGTCGAGGGGAAGGGCACCGGGGGGTGGGAAAGGGGGGCCGGCACCGAAAACCGGAAGAGTTGTCAGGGCGTTTTTGTTGCTTGTTTCGGTTTATGACTATGGCGGATCGTGGTAATGTTTGAGGAGGGTCTTAGGAGTTCTGTGGAAAATCAGTGTCCAAAGTGTGCTTCTAAAGAACCGCAATCTGTCGAAAATGTGTACAGACTATGTGAACAATCTGTGGCCTGCGGTTCTGTTGGTCTGAGAACCTGTGAAAACCCTGTGAGAAGTCTGTAGAATATCTGCAATCTCCCGTAGATAGTCTAGGGGTAAACCTGTGAAGATTCTGTGTCCAATCTGTGGGTGTTTGCAAAATCTCACCGTTCCAGGGGACACAGATTTCCACAGTTTTTCCACAGATTTCGGAAGGTGCTGCTCATACCCCCTCATACCCCCAAAATCTGAATCCATCTGAACTCTTGTGGAGCTTCCTGCGCCGACCATGAAGGCCTCGGCGGTGTCGAGCACCGGATCTGCCCGCGCGAGAGGTGCCCTCAGATTGAGAGAAGTTCGGCTCTTGCGACCCATGTCGCTTCATATGTCCATGCCACTCAAAACCTTTCTTCCAACAATCAGAACAGACACCTGATGTTCTGATCCAGGAGCTGCTTGGATCCCAAGGTGCCCTGGACATCGTGCAAGATTTGTGTCAGTGCACAATGCTCATCAGGCACCAAAGAGGCACGAACGCACACGACTACGTTCCAAGCACCTTGGCCCAGTCCATGCCAATGTCCTTGAGTCTCTCAGCGTTGGCCTCCTTGGAAATTGGAAAGGTGCGAGTGTTTGGCACATGTGGGCACGTTCCCCTTAAGGACTCGGCTTTGAAACATTACTATCGCGCCACGTCTCGGCTACTTCAGATAGATGTGGCTGCAGGTCCACAGCACTGGGTAAAGAAGATGCTGCGTGAGACTGAAGCCTTGACAGGTTCGAAAAATTCTGAGAAGCAAGGCAAGGCATGACAGATGATGAGCCATAGTACAGCCAGCCAGGGCCCCGGCAGAATAGACATCATCGCCTGGCACTCTAAAGCCACAACCCGAAGTAAGGCATCACTGCAGCCACACCTTGCTGCATGAGAATAAGACTCAATAGACCTTACATTTCGAACTTTCGAACCCTCCCCCCCCCCTGGCAAATCCTTGGGCCGATTTCCTTTAGCCTCCTCCCTGTATACGAACGAGCCCACACTCTGGCTGGCCGCACAGGTAAGTCCAAAGCTTTCTATTTACGGGCCCCCCCCCCCCCTGCCTGCAACGGTGGGGAGTGAACCGTATCATCTTTTTTTGGTCAAATCGCTAGCCTGATCTGAAGCCACCTTGCAAACATGCGCAATGCGCCTGGACGAAAGGGCCCCTGACGGCCACGCTTACCTCTGCATCGCGGTCCCCGAGCAGGGAGCGATCATTCAGGTTGGCACTGCCGACGATGGCTTCGGCACCTGCGTAGTGCGGAGTGTGCACCCCATTTGTCCTGCGATCATACTGCTAGAAGACCGTGATGATGCGCTGCCTTCAGTGTCGTAGTCGATGGCAACGAGCTTCGAATGGACAAAAATCCCGTAGAATGCTGAAGATGTGGAATTCCTCGGGGCTTTGGATGCTGTGCCTACTACTTCCTGGATTCCAGCTGCACACCGAGGAACTAAGCTGCAGCACTGTAGCAACAATGAACAGATCGGCCATACAATACATTTCTCTTCCCAACAGCAGCAAACATCGAGTTTCAGCCAAGCAGCACGGACACAACATTGGCTAGGTGGTACATTCCGAAGTACTCTGACAATGGGGCGCCTCATCAAAACGGCTCGAGCTCAAAACCATATTCCTGCACTCGTCTGTTGCAGCTTCTGCTCGGCACAAGAAAGTCTTGTTTTCAACGAGGCTCTGATGTGGTTTCTCGCCCAGAACCTCGGACGCGAGTTCGCAGCTACCAGAGCACTTCAACTTGCGTTTTGTGGAAACATGTGGAAACTGATGAACCGGTCATGCCAAGGAGCTCCACCAGCGCCTGCCAGTAGCACACGGCAACAGTTTGCGATGCGTATAAGCCTAGATGTGACCAGCACAGAGGAAGTGATGAGCGTGGACACAAAGCCGCTAGACCTCGCCTCTTGCATGCACTGCGCTGTGCGCAAGTTGGGATACTGGGTCCTGCAGCTCGCTATGCTGATGCCTGCTATGCAACTTTGCAGCTGGTGCTATCATGGTGTGCTACCGTACAGCACACAAAGGCATTGTGTGGTGCTGCAAAACAGGCACGTTACGTGCAGAGACCAAAATGCTCAGGCGGCTTATGCTTCTGCTTTTCTCTGAAGTCTAGTGTCTTTGTCGCACAGGCGGGCCAAGGATGTCCATTCACAGCTCGACGACGACGACGACGACGAGGACGACGACGACGACTACTACTAGGCAAAGTGCTGCGGGCTCTCGATTGCAAAATCGCACTGCAGTCGAGCTTCTCAGACTCCTCCGTCGCAAGTGGAAAAACAATAACGGCAGAGAATTTCTCACCACGCTGGGCCTGCCAGACAGCGGGAACAACCAAACCAAGAAACCCAAAGGTTCCGCGTTCGATGTGCGGGAATAAGGGAAAGATGAAGATGTGAGCAAACTTGCAAAACAGTTTACCTCGTTCCATGCCTCTGAACACCTTGTAGCACTACAGACTATAGTAGACTACGCAACAGATCGCATGCTGCCCCCCAGCTGGTAACTAGCATGGAATTCGCCTCGGCCTCAGACCGTAGTGTACCAGCCTTCCCCTCCTGGGACCACCTTGAACCTCCTGAAGCCCTCTTACCTCCTGCGCTCATGGCCAGTGCAGCGCTGCACAAAGCGACATAATTATGATTTTTCGCTTTTCGTCGTCTGCTACGCGCACGCTACACCCCACGTTGGGCCGGCCAGGCTGCCGAGGCGGCGCGACTCTTTAGAAGTAACCCATCTGCCTTGGTCGTGATCTTGTGAAAAAGCAGGTGTGCCAGGTCATTCTCCGCGGAGCTCTGCAGGGATTGGCATCTTTCCGACATTGCTTCTTCCTGACTTGGGGCAACTTGGGGCAGTCTTCGAGGCAAGCTCCCGCACTGCCCCCGCTGTTCAATGACTCAACACTTCACATGTTCCTGCTGAATAAGGGGAAGTTAGGGAAGGAGGGAACAGACGAACTGCGAAGCCAGGGGCTTTATCTCATGCTGGAAAAGTCTCTGCACTGCTCAAGCGACTGCCGAAGTACTGATTCTCAATGTAAACCTTAGATGGATGCAGGCCACATCTCACGAGCATATCCAAGAGGCAGGCAGGTCAAGGCTTACCGTACTTGCTGGCCGCGCCACACTGCGCGACGCTTTGGCAATCATGTCACGATGTACCTCCAACACCAAGCAAAGCAAACAAACGACGCAGCGTGACGCAAAGTGTTGTTTAATGGCAGTCGGTGATCGGGAGTGCTCCACACTGGAGAGCTGAAGTGAAGCTCTTTGGAGGCTATGCGCAACCAATCACAGCGATTCCAAGAGCCTGGTAGATGTCCGCAACCACCTGGCTGGTTCCCAGCCACATGTGACTTCCTGTCCAGAGAAGGGTGCGTTGTGTTTCAAGTGTACAATTTCTGCAGGCTGATAAGGGCCTTGAAGCAGCAGGCGACATTTGTTTGCTGCCTGTGAACCAGATCAGGTAGCCAAAGGCAGAGCCCTGTATTCTTGAAATTTATTGAACCGGTTGTTCACACTGCATGCTCCGGAGAGTCCCGGGCTTTGAGTATACATCGTTTCGACAAGCGTGCGTGTGAGAACATGAATAGCTTTTGGTGGGACGATGTCTTGAGCTTGACCAGAAATTTCCCCAGACGAGTTGCGGAAGCGTCTAGGAGCTTCCCCCTGGAGTGCGAGATCTGCAGGGTGGCTCCTGCCGAGGTTCCGTTCAATTCCTCTAGTGGACCAAGTCGAGACCACTCCACATGACAGTGCGAGTCCTGCCAGAGACACTTGCTGCGGAGCATCAGTGCGGAAGTCAAGGAGTGGCCAGGTCCTTGAAGGAGAAACCTACAATGGAACCCACAAAGCTTCGATTGACATGTTCTTCTCTGAGGCAATGGCTGCGAGACCTGCTGACAAAAGCAGCCCTTGCCCAACAGTTTCATGGGATCATACCTGCGAGTCAACTGCCAAGCTTTGCAAGCCCAACCGATGAAAATTCGCCTCGGCTTCCTGCCGAGAAGCGTCTGGAACAAGCAGACCCGGATCGGGCCTCCTTCCCCCTAACCCAACCCTTCCCCCCATGCCAAATTTTCTGACGCCCCCCCCCCCTTGTGGGACCCCCCCAATCCCTTGGAGCCGATGCCGTGGAGGGTCCGCTTGTCGGTGGCTCCTGCAGGGGGAGTGCCTCAAAAACCCCCCCCCCCACCCCCCCCCCACCCCCCCCCCCCCCCCCCCCCCCCCCCCCCCCCCCCCCCCCCCCACCCCCCCCCCCCCCGCCACCCCCCCCCACCACCCCCCCCCCAACCCCTCCCCCACCCCCCCCCCCCCCCCCCTCCACCCCCACCCCCCACCCCCCCCCCCCCCCCCCCACCCCCCCCCCCCACCCCCTCCCCCCCCCCGCCCCCCCCCCCCCACCTGCTCTGCCCTTCCTCCCTTTTTTTGCGAAACCCTCTTTCCTCCTTTCCTGTCTTGGGGCCGGCCCGGCTGCCGAGGCGGCGCGCGCAAGCGTTTACAATTAACCCATGTTGAGTGGTGGCGGTAGATCGGCTAAGACCCGACAACAAGATGCAGCTCAGTGGCTGGTTGTTCATCTTCGCAGTCTCGCAAGCTGGATTCTGCCCGGCAACATATGCAAGCGCCTGCAAATCAAGCCCGGTGAGAAGAAAAAACAGTGCTCGGACTTCATTGTTGTGGCAATCGCCGCTGCTGCCGCTGCTGCAGCTGCTGCTGAGGCTCATGATGATGGTGATGATGGTGATGATTACGATGATGACGATGATGATGATGATGATGATGATGGCGATGATGGTGATGGTGATGGTGATGATGATCATGATCATGATGATGCTGGAGTGTGGTGTCGTGCTGGTGAGGTCGTCGATGTGGTCGTTGTTGTGGTTGTGGTTGTGGCTGTGGCTGTAGGTGGTTAAAAAGCCGGTCAGCTGATCGCCGATTGCTGCTGAGGTCAAACGGCAACCCACGCAACGTCGGTGTCGAATCACTGTCGGAAAGCGCGACCGAAGCATCTGGAAGCCTGCCGCCTCGACACCTACCATAGCCAGCAACGACCCCCTCTTCACACGGTGGGACCTCGGCCAGGTGGCCCTCTCCAGTTTGATGCGTGCTTCCGGCCCAGCCGACAACGCAAAGCCATTCAAAGCAAAAAGTGCCACAATGCAGTTCACTCGCGCCCACAAGCAAGCCTGCTCCTCGGTTACAGCGAGTTTGATCCCCTTGCACCACGACTTTGGAATGGGATCTCACTCTGCCCGCCGAGGCGCGGTGAATGAACGAATGAACGAATGAATGAACGAATGAACGAATGATTGAATGAACGAAAGAATGAACGAACGAATGAATGAACGAATGAAGAATGAATGAATGAATGAGCAAATGAATGAATGAATGAATGAATGAATGAATGAATGAATGAATGAATGAATGAGCAAATGAATGAATGAATGAACGAACGAATGAATGAATGAACGAATGAGTGAATGAACGAATGAATGAATGAACGAATGAATGAATGAATCAGTTTGATCGTGGTTGTGGCTGTCGTTGTCGTCGATTCGATGCTGGCTGCTTCTGCTACTGGCGCTGTTGTTGCCAGTCGCCAAACAGTCGGCTTCGGCGAGTCCCTGTCTATGACACGAACAACTGAAGACTGAAGAATGCCTCACACAGAGGGAAGCAAGACCAGGATTTGAGGAATTATTCGAATTAGACGGTTGGACGGTTAGAGCACAGGATGCAGTATCAAAGAGGACTCTGGCCTTGCAGGTGCAAGCCTTGGAGAACATTCCCGTGGCTTGAATTCCTCCCCCGACGGAGCTGCTGCAAGCGTCTCCTGCAGAGAACATCAATAGAAAGTGTCTCCAAAGAACTAGTGACTGGTGAGCAACGACTTCATAAGGCAAAGCCAAAAAAAAGCTAAAACCTGCAAAGGCCATCATGCTTGAAGTGTTTGGAGGCCAGGCACATGTGCTGCGCAAGCGCGGGCGAGACAGGCTCTCGACGCGCAGTGTGCGTTTGCAAGAAAGTATGCAAGATCATGCAGTGCAAGTATGCAAGCATGCAAGCACCCAAGCAGTCGAGCAAGCAGGCGGCCAAGGCAATTCAAACAAGGCAGAGCCAAGCCAAGCCAAGCAAAGCAAAGCGCACGCAAGGAACATCTGCACAGAACCAACTTCCATCAAAGTTGTTCTTGAAGGTGTTGCGTTTACTTTCTATGTGTCACCGGTTCCAAGGCCTTGTTGAGTGCTACCAAACTTTGGGTTGCTTTTGGGGGGGATTCCCGGGCGATTCTTTACACGCGCAGCATTTTTGCATGGGAAGTAGCGTGCCGAGTGACACCACGCCTGTCGAAGTGTTCTGTGTTTGGGACCCGGCTTTTAACGAGTTCATTTGTTGTTTTTGCGTTGGCGTTTTTGCTGTAGCAGCGGGTAGAGGGGGTCAAGGCGTCGACATTTCCAAGGTAGTGCGGCCGTTGGGGCATGTTGGGGCTGCACAGCGTCGAGCTGACACTTGTAGGGCGTGGGCTCGCTGAGCGCTCTCGGCTACTACTGCAAGGCTCCGGCTCTGCAGGATCTTTTGAGGCTTTCGGGACTTCGGGACTTGAAGCTGGAGTGCTTGGGCATGCTTGGGCTGTTGAGGATTCTGCAGGAGGATTCGATTGCAGGCATGGGATGTTTGGCTGCTACACTAGCGCAAGTGCAAGCACGCACATCGCGCACGCCTTCCCCTCCCTTTAGACAGTTGTACGGTCTCGTGTGGGGAGGCACACGGCCAAATGCAAGCTACGGGTAGTGTCTACGCTATCAAGCGCAAGAACACGAGCTTGTGACGCGATGGTACGTCTTGAAATCGCTTAAGGGTGTGTCGCAGACCGTTTCAACCTACCGTATCGCCCAGCCCTGCTCCCGAAATACTGCGTTCCCCATGAACCCTGTGCCTTCAGTAAAGACCCCGCCGTCTAGATTGCAAACAATTTCACAGCTTTCCCGTCGTCTGTCGTTCCTGTGGAAGCAGAGAGACTCAGAAAACATGGCCTGCACAACGGCAAGGGCGGAATTTGCCAACATACCTTCTAGCGATGCTTACGCAAAGGCACTGCCGTCATGTAACTGCTTGGTGCTCCTGCAACAGCTGCGCTGGTCACCGGCGGACGATTGGCGAAAAGGCGACCTGCATGGCACAAGCCACGCCATACCACGTCCCGGGCTGCCGCGCTACCATGACGCGACTGCGGAGACAAAATTGCAACCGTGCTAATTTTGACTACTGTACCAGTTACCGCTACGCATGTGCATGTCTTTATCATGCCACATAAAGCGACCTTCATTACGGCTCTCTAGAAGAAGAGTTGGGCAAAAAAAGCTCTTCGCCTTCGCGGTCATCCACAAACATCTTCAGCGTTGCCCTCTTGGACATGTCGCGTCGGGAACCCAGATCCAGCACAGCTGCTTGTCCCACCGCTTTGAGCTTTCTGACCTCAGAAGACCGATGCCCCTTCAATGACTTGAGACTAATAAGAACCATGACCCGATTTACTGCAAGGACTGGGGTTGCAACAAGAGGACTGTAGCCACCATCCACTGTGAGTTCAACTTCGTTCGTGCCTTCCTCCTAGCATCGTGTATGTCTGACGTACAATACGATCCCTAGGACTGTGTAATGCTTCTGTGAATGCTGGAGGCGGCCGCCTTGGAAATCAGTTTGACAGAGAGTGTCCCCAAGGATGTCAACGGTGGCTTGTTCTTGTCGCGGCACCTCAGCATGAAACTCAATTTAGAGAACTGACCGTAGGACCATGAGACGATTGGACCCCATAGGTTCCCCCCATGACCAGGACCATTAGACGTCGCAGGGGAGGAAATCTGCTGGGTGTCGTGTTGAGGGAAGCTTATAGTCTGACGGTCTAAAGGGTCCGATGGTCGTCGTATGGGCTTGGGAATCTTCATTCATGTGTTTCGAAACAGGTGGCATGTTTCGAAGAATGTGCGTCCGAAATTATGAGTGGTAGACTTGTGTAGGTGTTGCAGTGCAGTAGGTGTTTAAGTATCTAGAAAACTTTAGCGCTTGACATGGTTGAACTTCTGAGTGTTCCGAACTTGTTTGGAGAAAACGCAAGCTCAATAGTTGCAAAATGAAAGTTGCCGCTTGGATTGCCCAAAGTCCCTGCTCGGTGTTAAGGGAACTTCGCCGACTGTTTTTTTGCGAAAACTCCGCAATTGTTTGAAAGTTGTCTCGTTCGACGAAGGCCCCGGGACGCCCACACAGTCCAAGACGAAGTTCGACGCGGGAGCCTTTGTTTGCATTAGTAAAAAGGGGTTCGACGAAGGCCAAAAACGGCCTTTGCCGGAGTCTGTGTGCCATCCCCCACCCCCCTCCCCCACCCCCCTCCCCCACCCCCCTCCCCCACCCCCCTCCCCCTCCCCCCCCCCCCCCCCCCCCCCCCCCCCCCCCCCCCCCCCCCCCCCCCACGCTATCCCCGACAGCCTGGCTGCTGTACCTTTCCAGCAAGTCTGAGCTTCGAGCTGTCCGGTGGCTTGGGGGAGCATCAGGCTCCTTGCACGTGTGGTTACATGGCTGCAGATTCCATCAGGGTCTGCTGCCATTTCTGGCCATATGGAGTGCCAGAAGTAACTTTGTTCTGGCCACGCCACTCGCAATAAGTCCACCAGCGCTCGACAGCTACCTGATGAGACATCTGTGGGACCAGAACTGCCAAGTGTACGCGTGCGGCAGCATCATGGGATTCGATGGAAAGTCGAGGTTTGAGCGCCAGGCTGTCGCAAGGTCTTCCGCTGCTTCGCCGGTGAGCTTGATCATCATGTCCTCCCTGAGCCAAGAGGGATGGAATCTGGTGGCATGACAGCAGTACAAACCAGATTCATCAGCACCTCCCAGGACCATAAACCCTGAAACTCAGTTTTAACAAGCGGCCACGGCTTCGAATATCCGTGCTGACCATGTTGCAGATTCTCTGGTGCTGGAGTTCTGGCCTCTCACCAAACATCAGGGGAACCTCTTGCTTGTTCACCGCTTGGCCACACCGCGCAAGAAAGCGCAGCCTCGTCCGGCAGCTGGTGCCTGCACAACCACATACAAAGGTTCCCCTCATGGCATACTGGTTTGCACTGCTGGAGTGTCGGGCAACCTCGGCGAGTCCAGGCGTGAGTTTGCAAAGTCAATCCCACCAGCATAGGCCAAGCGGCGGTCCTCGGAAGCCCATAACAAGGGTGAACCGGCACTTCTCGTGTTTGGTGCAAGCTGACATGGACTAGAGGAGGTTTTGCTTCAGAGATCTTCAGAGCTGTCAGGATGCCCAGCACTTGCTGACCCGCCTAAAGATTGAAGTCCTAAGCGAGTTTGCGGCGTCTGAGGTTAGCCTGACGAGCAACTTGCAACCAAGCGACGAATACAGCCACCTTGATGTGAGCTGACCAGAGCACTGTGACCTGACCAGCATCAGCCAGCCCACCAAGCAACACGACCGCATTTTCGTTGTTTTGTTTGGTCCACACAATTAATGAGGCCCGCGCCATATCTCTGCTTGTGTCCACTAGCCTCGGCCATCCGGCGGCTGATGGCTACAGGAGGTCGAGAGCGAGGCGTGGTGCATCAGTGATGCCAACAGCATCGTGTGGAATGAAACCTGTCTTCCATTCAGCCAGGTCACGTCTTTACGTTGGGATGCAAAGCCCGCAGCTGTGCTGCCGGCTCTTCAACGGGGTAGCCCATTTTTTCCGACAGAGCCGTTTGCCTAAGTGATCGCATGAGGATGCCATATGCTGCTATCAGGCAACGACACAACAACACGCCAGGGGTTGCATCCTAACAGCAGCGCAGAAAAAAGCGTGTACGAGTACTAGACTTGAGTGCGCGCTTCCTTTCAAGCTGCCAGAAAAGATAGTAGATAATCGCACCACGTTCTGCGGCTGACTTCACGAGTTCCTTATGAGGGCACGTGTCGTCGGCACATGTCATGAATTTGGTTGCACCATGTTGCACCTAGGGGCCCAGTAGCATCACACCAATCCTTCCACTCTCCGAGGTTTTGACATCAAGCCGAATGCTATGGAAGAACCTACTGTCGACAAGATTCTCTCATGGTCATGTTCGGAGGCCGTCCAAATTCTGGACTGAAGATCGGTGAATCCTCGGATTCCGAAGAACGAGCGGTCACGCCACTGTCACAGGTCAGCTAGAGATACATGTCATGATTACGTCGACGAGCTGCGATCATTGTCCACCAACCCATCACCTTGACGCAACAAAGCTGAACAGACTCCGGGGTGAGGTAACGTCGGTTCAAACACTGAAAAAAATAGAGCGAATGGAAAGGAGGCAAGTCGCTATGATTTCCTCTGCAGTCTGGAAATTCATGTACACCTGCCGTCGACAGTGACGATGAAACCGCTAGTCCGCTGGTGACAAGAGTGGCCTCGTGAAAGTAGTCTTGACCGCAGTGCACTGGTTGTGCTTCACAGGGCAGCCATTCAAAAGAATGCCTGTCACAGAGCTGAGTTTCAAGTCGCTGCAGCTTCTAGCCACCCTTCAACCTTGGTTAGAGAGATCCTGCCGCGGTCTTGGTGCTACGTCGTGTCGCTGCATCACAGCTTGCATGTCCGTTCATGAACTCCTAGACATGATGTTGCGCATTCCGTCCAGCACGTCACCAGCTGCTGCAGCCAGCACAATCCCACAGTGCCAGCGCTACTCGGTAGGGCGTCAGCCTTTCTGGGACGAAGCTGTCGTCCGACAGATCCACCTTCAGCACTTGAGGTAGAAATACTGCAAACGGGTAGACTGCAGACAGAGACGAAAGCTAGCTATAGCTAGCTTTCACGAGGGGTCATATGCAAGCTACTTCTTGCATATCAAGCAGATCTTCTCATTCCCTGAGACTAACGTTAAACCACCTCACAGCTTGCAATTGAGACCGGCGCGTGTCTAAATGCGTCAGCTGCGCAAACGCCAAAGAGCGCCAAGGCATATCCTGCCGGGTTTGGGTTTGGGGTGCCTACTTCGACTGTTATATTCAGCCAACGGTGGACTTTCCAGATCCTGTTGGGGGCTTCTGGGCGCATGTGATATTCAGTGCCTCATGAGCTGCCTGCGTACCATGGGCTCCCACATAAATTGTGCCGAGCTTCTCACGGGCCAGGAAGGACGCTCAGGCGATACCATCATCAGATGAGACTTTAGCAAACTACGCGGAAGCTTGAGCCAAAGCAGCAGCAGATGTTTGCATGTCAGTGCCCCGAAGGCTGGAAAACTTTACCAGCATGCCTTAGAGGCCTTAGGCCATGCAACGGTAGGATGCTTGCCTCTCTGGCAGATTTGCAGCCAGGCTTTTCACCGACCTGGCCCACGAAAGCACAACTGACAAGAGCAAAGCAAGGAGGGGTCAAAGCGTGCCGTGGCCCGCCCCTCCCCTGCTCGCGCCACCGCGGCAGCCACTTCCTTCCCAAGCACCAAGGAGATCCAAGGAGATCCAAGGAGATCCAAAGAGTCTTAGAGGTGATGAACTGGTGCAGTGAGAGTTTACGGCATGTTCGGTTGGCTGTACGCGTGCAGATTCCCCGAAGTTCTGTCGACAGAGGGTGTGCTGAGAAGGATTTCCCCATATTGCACGTGTGGACAGTCTGGCTGTGTCAGCGTCGAATGGCTCAGCTACAGCAAGTAAAGAGTCCTTGTCCAGAACGGAGTTGGAGTTCTTCGACCTCAGCCAATCCGGGAGAAGAGCTAGTTATAAAGAGAGGCCGGAGACACGCCAACGCATCAACCTTCAGAAGAGGCAAGAACTAGCCTGGCTTTCCCAAGTGCATGGGCAAGGGCACAAGTAAGCCACAAGCTTGTAGACATCCGCAAAGATTGCTAGCACCTTATCTCAGCAGCTTGCTCGGATTTCATGTTTTCAATGCACTCTTCCACAAGCTGGCATAGCCAGCACGCGCATCAACCATTCTGGACATCCAGGAATCTTACCCTTGGCAATTGCTCCGGCGCCGTAACCACCTGCAAAGACTCGCCACACTCTCGCCACGCACGTACAATGTTTTTAACTGCAAGCATCCCTAGGCATCCCCTAGACCCTCGAAAGTTGTCGGTGAGCATGCGCGAAGCTCACGTGAAGCTCACGTGAGGCCGAGGCGGGGTGGTTCTTGACCACGAGCTCCAGGAGCTGGGCACTCGCCTGAAATGCTTTTCGTCTTTTCGTTTTCATAAACGGCATGCTGGTATACCGTAAGTTAGATGCTATAGAATGGGTTTGGAAGGCTGTGGGCTTTTGGGGTCAAAGAGCCGAAGTCCAAAACATAAGTTGCTGCCTTCTGACCGACCTCCTTGTCGTAGCGCGGCGGCATGTGCGACCTCTTAAGGTGCCGAGCGCCCACAAGATCCCACAAAAGCTCGCGAATCTTCTAGTCATGAGCCTGATGAATTACCAGTCTTTGTCAGGCCCTTTCCACTTGCTGCTATCTTGGGCTCTCTCACTCTCGTGTCGGGGAAGCGCTTGCGAAGCTGATAATCTGGGCGGCAGAACAGCCACATCTGCCAGGCCCCAGTGGAATCACCTCCAACATTCTTCTCCTTTCGCAGATCATTGGCTTTGCGCTCATGAGTTGTCCACTGATGTGTGTACTTCGAGGCCTCGTGCAAAGTCCTACAGTTCCACATTCCGCCACTTCGACGCTCGGCCGCTTGAGCCCTGAGCCTCCGTGAGCCTCCCTGCACCTTGCTGAGCCTCCCTGAGCATCCATGAATTGTCGCACGCTTTGACAACACTCCGTCTGCTCGGCTCCTGGTGCTCGCAGATCATCCCGAGAGCCCAAATGGAGGCGTCGACTGATGCGGCCACTTGCTTGGCCTCGGGTCAAGTAGCGTACTTGGGGAGGCGAGAGCGGGAGGGTTCGGGGGGGGGGGGGGGCGTGGACATCACAAGAGATAGAGAGAGAGAATGCTTTCAACGGACTGAGAGGAAAAGGGAGACACAGGAAGGAGGCTTTAAAAGCGATTGGGTCAGAAGGGAGATCTCTGCCTATGCCAACGCGCAAAGGAAAGTAGCGAGCCTCGCTATTGACAGCCCGACGCCTTCGATGCCTGGCCACTCAGAAGTTGCTCTGCAAGTTGCCTCAAATCCTACGTGGTCCTACATCTCTACATGTCTCTACACCAGGCCTTTCGCCATGCTTCTGCAAAACCCGAGCAAGCTGAGACGCGGCCAATGGGGCAATCTGCGCCTTGGCCCACTGCACATGCATGGAGCCACATTCCGACTGTATTTGCAGGAGGCTGCCAAAACTAGCGCTGCTATGCAAGCTGATTCCACTGCGATGGAAAGCAGTGTAAGAGCAGTGCGAAGATTGGCAATCGTGATCCATTCCCAACCACACTCGCTGAATGCCTTGGGAAGCTTTGTGTGTTGGTGACCGATTCAATCCACCTGTTAAAGTGAGTAGGCTTGTCCTGTCTTAAGCTGATGTATTTTGACGAGCACTCTCTGATTTGTCACGCAATACGACTCTATGTACAACAGCTCCAAGTTTATCGGAGCATTGCCGGGTCATTTCCTGGCATGAATCTTGCTCTCCAGAATGCGCTCAATCTTCTGAGCCAGCGCCAGCTCCTCATCCACAGCCGAACTTGATCGGCCCTCCCCTGCACGAAGCCTGGAGCCATTGTCAAGTTGGACCCCTCGTGAACTATGTACCCAAGCCCCATAAGGCACGTGCGCCTGTTGCGGGAATGATTCTGTCATGCCAGCTATTGGTGAAAGCTGTCCCCAAACTAAGTACTGGAATGAACATGAACTCACGCAAGAAGCCAGAGACGCCACAGGCCGAAGGTCATGAATCTAAATCAAGGCAGGCTGCTGCATGAAAAAGTTGTCCACCTGCTTGCCGTCCTGCTCGTCCACAACGACATCTGCAGCTTCTGGAATGGACTCAATTCCAGAATCATTCTCGCCTTACATGCATCTCTTCCAATCATTGATACGCCAAAACGGCCGTCATACCTAAGACCTAAGACCTAAGTGATGCGTTTGCGCTTTCTCCGATGGAATGCATCCAGCTTGGATTCAAAAAATCCTTTTCAACGGTTCGATTCACTGAACCAAGCCGCTCTCTGCAAAAGAGCAGCTGCAACAGCGAGGAAACAATCAAACCAATGTGGACATAAGCGTGATCACCGTTATCAGCAACTGGATCGAACCGGCCGCACTCAAGTACGTGTGCAAGGAAGTGAGCGACTGGCACGCCCCCGAACACTTGTGGATCCAGGAAACCCATAGTTTCAAAACTTTCGAAGGCATGTGTAGTTCCCTGTGGGGTGTTTTGCTTTCCTAGGTCTGGCCTTCCTTTTGTTCTACACCTCGGCTGCTCATAGGCGGAAGATGCTGTAATTTGAAGTGTTTTCGACGTTTTGCGTTCCTGGATAACTACAAACACCGTGCCAAAACCTGTAAATCACCGTATTGATGTATGTTCGCGTCCTTTCATAAGACCACAAAGCGCAGGTCTGCACGCCATCTTTTCCCGAATATAAACGCAGAAATATTCAAGGAAAGCTCGAAACAGGAGGCCCCCACGGCATGGGCTCCTCCGTACATCCGTGCTTTCTAGCTTTTCGTCTTTAAACATTGTCTTTGCATTGTGTTGTTTATGCTACTTGCCTTGTTCGCTAGTTCGCTCCAGATCAATGTACCGGGCGTTGATACATTACTTACCTGGCTCATCCAAAAAACCATGCCTGACCATGCCAAGCTGCCCATGATGATCCGGAAAAAGCCCTTCTCGCCCCAGTCCTCGCCCCAGCTGTTCTGCAATTTCCAATACTTCTGGCCGCCCTCCTCGCCATAGCCGACAAGAAGCACAGCGTGGTCCACCCTCTCCCATTCAGAGTTGCTTGACTTGCTTGGCGTGCGAGGATCGCTGCTGGAGGTCGGCGAGCGATAAATCCCGTCGGAATACCACATAAAGTCCTCACCGGGCTCGATGCCAAGAATGAGAGGCCCGTTGTGGAAAAGCTCTGACTTGATTTCTTTCACTTTGTCCCCATGTTCTCCGTACCAAGATCCAACATATCGGTGGTTGTCAGCACGAAAGCGTTTGCCTTTGAGAGTCTTGAGGTCACACTCCAGCTCACAACTTCCCTCCGTGCTGTACCTGCCAGGTGCTCATGCTTCAGCCATGCACATCCCTAGCTCTCGGCCGTAAACACTGCAGCGCGCCTCATGCAGTTGGCAGGTAGCAAGCCAACTTCCTGCGACCACTTCGCGGCGAGGATGCCATAGCCTACAGCGAGCAACACTGAACACTGCCCTTCGGATCCCTTCAGCTGGGCTTGGATGGGAGCTGTGACAGATGGCTTCACTGGTGCATTCTTGCTTCAAGATCTGCAGCTTCGGCAGCTCCAGTTGCTCTAGTGTCGCTCTAGCTGCCAGCCCAGGAACCTCCTTTGCAGCCCTGATTGTACTCAGAACATTGCAGGGGAAAGGAAATAGACCTCAGCTGTAGCCGACTGCGAAAGTGTCTGGAGGCAGGAGGTGTAACTTGAGAGCAGGGCGGGTGGAATTGCAGATGCCGAAGCAAGGTCTGACGAAATCTGTGGAGGATTTAGGCTTGGTTATCTACCGTGATTGCGCAAGCTCCGCTGCAATATCCCTACGTTGAAACAAAACCAGGCCCAAAGGTGGGATGGTCTTGGGGGGGGCGGATCAAGAAGACAACGTACTCACGTGTGAGCTTGAACGAGATACCAGGAAGAGCGATTTTGCCCCAACACAGGAAGGTTGTACACAAGAAGTTCCACAAGCTCCAAGGACATTCGTCGGGATTCCACAGTCAAACGTAAAGCATCATGCTTATATGCTACACTACAGGCATGGCAACGACGTTCTCCACAGACACCAATCTCAACATCCTCATATTTCCTGGACACATCCTCATTGATCCTTCACGTTTGAGCTGCAACGTGCTTCATCGCAGCCAAGCCACCAGGGCAGAGCCTCGGTGTCATTCTGCTTGATCTTGTGCCGCGCCGTCAGCATGCGCATGGCAGAGGCCACGTAGCAGCTGCCACACTCGGACTGATCCATCACGGGCTCGAGGAAACTAAGGCCGTTAACGTTCGACCAATCCCAGGATTCTGGCAGCTCGGTGGCATGGGCAGCGTGGGCCCTGACACTCCCCGTTTGAAGGAAGCTCCGGCGCTTCACATGCCCAGAAAGGCGCTTGTATGATGCACCATGCTGTCGCAGCATGTCTTCCGCACGATTCTCACGCTTGATGCCAGCATAGCTGTTCACCTGCAGCATGGACAACCCATTCCACTTGTCCATGGGTCGGGCATTCCATTTCAACGACTCGCGCTGGATCTTCTCCGCGAGTTGGTCAACCACCTGCATAGGACACAAGTAAGAAGCAACCGCCCCTGCTCCGAGTCAACCTTTGGCTAAACTGGATGATGGGGCTGCCTAGATTCACACACGGAGCACCGGCCCTGGACTGTCAGACCTTAGACCCGCTACATATACTACATTGGTATATAAACAGCAGTTGTTGCATACATCTACATAAGAATATACAAAAACGGCTGGTGGTGCTAGTGGACGCAACCTGCGGGGTGTCGCTTTTCAAGCGTTCCCATCGCATTACATGGTTTTAGCGTCAGTTGTCCACGCTTAACGTCTGCAGGTGTCGCTTGGGGAAAATTTCAAGGCTGTAGCCCACCCAACGGTTCATTAACTTAGGGGTGTCGCCTTTCAGGTGTTTCCATCTCTTTACAGGGTTTTGGGCATTCGTGTCTACCCCTTACTTACTTGAATGGCTGGGGGTTTTGGCGCTTGCTCATATTTCGCCATATCCCAGAGCCATGCTGCCAACTGCCTGCCGCTGGTGGTGATGAGACAACTTGGTCTGGTAGAAAAGGGTCTTGGGCTTCTCCGCAAGAACTGGCCGCTTGGATTTCGACAAGTTCGATGCCCGCAGCTTGCTCGCAACTTTGCTGGCATAGTAACAGCCGAACTGAGTGCGGTCCTTGCTATGATACCAACCAACCATGGTCTCATCACAACGGGAGATGTTATGTCTTAGACGCCGTCCGTCGCTGTCCGTTGCAAATGAGAAGTTCGAGAACGCAAAGAAGTTGTGATTGCCAATACTAACCTCGAAGCCCTCATCATAGATCATAGTCCAGGTCCCGTGCTGCGCATCGCTCTCTGCAACATTGGGGTCCTTGAGAGAGATCACTATCTCCTTGTCAGCCTTACCGATGTGATCCTCACGCCCTGGTTGCTGATCCTGCGAGTCTGGACGCAGATGTCCACAGGAGGACCTCTTGCTGCTCAGGAGTCCAAGGCTGAACTTCCAATCTCCCAGGATCTCGTGATGGAGGCAGTGGACCGGAAGATCCGCCGTCACCGTCACCCAGGCAGATGACACGAGGAGAGCATGCAACGCAGTGAACGCAGTGGGCCAGGACATCAAGCCTGGGACGCCAGGACGCGCGACCCAGGCAAACTTCAGTAAAGCGGGTAGGCCCTCAACAAGCAACCTTGCCGGCCCATCAGGGCTCTGCAGGCTACCTGTCAGAGGGGCCTTGAGAACAGAAAAGGCAACGAGAATATCTGCAGAGTTGCAACCTACGTGGCGGCAGACCCTGCTGCCAAACTTCTTTTTTGACTGAGGCAGCTGCTGTCTAATGACGGCGGTCTTGTCTGTGATGCTGTTGCCTGATGTCAGTGTCGATTGTCGTTAGCATGCAAGGCCAACACAGACGGACAGACTGATGTGGGCAGTTTGCTTTTGACCTGCACATCTGGAGAGGTAAGGCGCCGACATGCGTGCTCCATGAAGGTGTTCCAGTGGGGCACGCTCAACCTGCGAAATCCAACTTCGCTGAAAGAACAGACCATGAGAATGCACGGCCCCCACAAGTTTGGCTTGGCCCTGATGTGAGAGGCTACGGCTGGGTCAGGTGGCCAAAGATGTAGGGAGCAAGCATAAAGCAAGCAGGGCTACACAATGGGTACTGGACTTCATGACCTTCGACACGCTGCACTGATGATAAAAACCAAATACCCATGCCGCATCTCCAGCGAGCTGAGAAGGCGGCTCTCCCAGGCATTCAACCACCTCATCCGCAATGTACAGGGCGAGACCTCGACAGAAGCGCTGCTCCCACACTGGACTTTGACTGCTTGAAGCTGCAAATGCTACAAGGCCGTTACTTCTCTCGCTGTCACTGCCATTCTGGAGCAAAGCACGGACGAGCCTCGGCAGGCAAAGATCCCGAGAATCCTCACCTGGTGCCCTCATGATGCCTGTCTTCTCCATGAGGCGGTGGGGATCGTTCGGCTGCACCAAAGCAAATCAGACTTCGTAAGCCAAAGGCTCCATGAAGATTGAGAGGCCCACCTGTTTTATGAAAACCGTTGAAAACGAATATGCGCACACGTGTGCACCATGTGGGTGCACTATTCACCCCTCAGTTGTGACTCATGCCTCAATGACTGACTCATCCCTCGCTGCCTCTGCGAACTCCTCACGGCTGGCCCGCATCAGCGCGCCAGCGACGTCCACCAGGCTAAAGCGGACGGACTGACGGCTCACGGAGCCTGTCACCAGGAAGTCACAAAGTCACCGCTCCACTTCTGGCGCAGCTGAGTTTCAACACCCAACACATCTCAACATCATGTCGAACCGTGTCGAAAAGAAGTGCTCAAGTCGCTCGCAGGGGCTGCCTTCCTCAGAGCTCTCCTCTTTCTCTTCATCGCTGTCATCAACCTCCAACATCTCCGATGGCGTCATGACCGACACTCGTCACAGTCACAGCATGCCGAAGTTCTGCCGAAGCGTTCTGCCGAAGTGCCTTTCCCTGATTCTTCTTCTTGGGCGCTGATTCGGCCTGCAACACCCCGCAGCTGTCGGAAATGTAGTCCCACGATGTCGCAAGACACTTCCTTCAATCTGCGACGAATCTACGTGTGAAGCTACCAGGTGAGGTCTCAGTTTGGGCCCGCACGGGCTCGTTCTCGATTTTCACCCGTACAAGCAATTCGGCCAGCACCTGCAGAAACTCTCGCCGAGTTCAGATTTGCCAAGTCTGCCGCTATTTACCAGACTCCGCCTGTACCAGGTTCAGAACATCCTGCTTTGAGAGGACTTTCCGGCCTGCCTGAAAGTCTTGTGTTCGAGACGATGTGAAGAGCTGCACGCTTTCCGCAAAGCGACCAGCCTTTTTGATGACCCCAGCCATAGCAGAGGCTTGTGCCTTGAACACAACAAACTCGGGGTGTGTGCGCGACTTGGTTTGGCAACAGGCTTGCGGCAAGAGACACGCCTGCAGCTGGGATAAATTCGCCGGGCCCTGCTCCTTTGCTTCGCTGGGAAGCTTTGTCATCATCGCAACCTCTGACGGGAAAAATACCACACAATGCACGAGTGTCATCATGAATCATCATGAATTCTGAATTCATACAGTGAAGCAGGCACAACTCTTCAGCCATGACCATTCACAGAAAGACTCAAGACTTGTTCCACCGTGCTTGGTCGACTTGAGAGCGTGGCAACGAACGAAGGCAGAGGATGGTCCAGGTTTGGGGCGGGGGGGGAGCCAGGTGGGGGCCGAGCGGGAACACTTCGGAAAGAACCACAAGCTTGGAAGCCATACACGGAAGTGTCCAATTTATCAACTTGTTTAAATGATTTAAATGGCTACTCTATGAAACGAACTCTTGCAGAAGTGTTCACCCAGGCTCGCACCGTGCTTCTCAGGAACTCGCCCACGAGCTGACCAACCTTGAACCAACGAATCCGCAGCAAAAAAATCTGGCTCAAAACATGCTGCCCCTAAGGCCCCAAGGCCCTAAGTCTCCTGCAAGCACCGACTCGCACTTGCCATTTTCAGCAGCCGTCCGCGCGCAGTGGACTACCTCGAGAGCGACAGAGACAGTGAGACAGTGAGAGAGCGAGAGAGAGAGAGAGGGAGGGAGGCAGGGAGGGAGGGAGAAGAGCGAACGAGAGAAAGAAAGAGAAAGAGGTGGGCAGGGAAAACCAAAGAAATTTGTTGTAACCTCCCACTGGGCCCCGAACGTGCTCCCACGTTGCATTCGCCTTGTCCTAGAGGGCACTCGTGCACTGTACGGTAAGACCCTCCAGGGCTAAAGAATTCCTCAACAAAGTTCTTCACGTTCACCAACCCACGCGCCTGCACCTCCTCGGACACTGGAAAGTCCATCAGCGGCATCCTTGCAAGCCGCACACGAACACACAAGCAGGCTCATAGTCACACAGCCGTACGCATTCTTTTGCAGCTTGGACTGTCTTTGGAATTCTGCTCCCGGGCCCCGGGCAGTTGCCGACAGGTGTCAGGGAGGAACTCTACAAACTCCTCCTCCAAGGCCTTGGTTTCATTTCGCGAGATGACGCGCTCTCGACGCTGGCAGTATCACAAGGGCCTCCATCAGCGAGGCGATCAGTGTCAATGTCTCGCACATCTCGTCCAGCACCGCTGTCTTCAAGCCCAGAAGCCTTGTCCACTTCACAGTCTAATCAGTCTAGCCACAAGAAGTCTTGTTTCCGAAGCCCATCGCAGTCCACAAGACATCATTCTTGGCCGCAGCAAGAGTTACCTCGAACACTTCGGGTGTCGCTTTCAGCTGTGAGCCGAGCATCACTCCTGGTTCTTCATCACATGTCATGAAACATCATGAAATTCAGGCACGACTTCACAAACTTTGCGGGACATCGCTGGGGTGTTCCGGGAGTGGGTTGTCTATCTCCGGCGCAACCCGGACCACAGCTGATTCAAAATGAATTTCAAAACGTCACTCCAGCATCTTGAAGAATAATTAAGTTGAAATGTTGAGACACGTAGCCAAGAGAATGATTCGACCACATTTTGGGTCAGAAACGTTCGGTTACGAGGGGCTCACTGGCCTGCAGTAGGCATTCCAGCCGGGAGATGTATGGGGAAGGGTCCTGGAGAATAGAGAGGATTCTGTCAGACCCGGCAAAATCGATCGGGCGGAGACCCCGATTGTTCCTGATGTCTGGGTCTGCCCGTGCCATGAGCAGGAAAGTCAGAATGCCCTCGTTGTTGAAGATGGCAGAGCCACCCAGCGGTGTGGTGCTGCAATTTCTGATCGAGCGCAGGAGCAACTGGGGTTTGCTTCTCTTGCAAAGGCAGTAGCCCCTCGCAGTCAGTTCGATCATCCTGCCGAAACCTGGGTGAGGGAAAAGAAAAAAGGCCGCTACAGCTCGTGGCATCTCATGGGGATGGAACTCTCCCAATTATGTTGGGAAGAATCACAAAGAGCTTCTAAACCTTCAACCAGGTACCCTCTGGCTTACACACTTGGTTGATGTTGGCTTTGCCCTCTACCAACAATTGTGCGTTCTGCAAGTCGTCCTGAGAGTCCCCAGCATAAGCCAGGCAAGTCAAGGGTGAGGCGTTGGCGAAGCCTCCCCTTCCCCCAAACACATCGGCATGGAGATCGAGTAGCTTGCGGACAACCACGGGTGGAGCACTGAAGCCAACGGCCACATGCAGTGGCAGATTCTTGCAAGGATCCTTTCCCTGAGCGTTCACGCCTGCCCCATGCTTCACGAGAAGCTCCACGGCTTCCACCGTGCGACAATACCCCAAAGGTGGGCCCACATTGATGTTGGAGACATTGGGATCACTTCGCAACTCCAACAGCGTCTTCAAGACCTTCACGTCGTGGCTTCTGAACCACAAGACCAAATGGATCGGAGTCATCCCTGGGATATCCGAGACCTCCGGCATCCCAGGCGCAAGAGTCTCCAGTACAGCCTTGGCCTCAACCAAGCTCCGCACCAGCGCATCGTCTCCCAACAAGGCAGCGCAGGCCACTGGGCCGAGACCCTTGTGCTGATCAAGGGGCTGGGAGAAGGAAAACGCCACCTGTCGCAGCGAAGGTTGGCTGGTGGAGTTATTATGGACCATTGTGGGAGATCAAGCGCGATCATGGCTTGAGATAGGGATTCTCAGATGGATTACTGAAATACTTCATGACTCATGACCTTGTATCGAGCACAAGATTACAATTACAATCCCGTGTAACCGCCAACCATGCCCAATATACCAAGGATTTTGACAGGCCTCGCCTGGAACTGTTCCATACTGCGTTCCCGATTGCTAAGACCGGCCATGTCAGCAAAAAGTGCCAGATAAAGCCGGTGGGCCGTCTTGCTCTTGTCCAGCGACAACCTCGAGACACGCTGCGCAAGGGCTTTCTCAATGACTGCGCGGCACGCTTCTCGGTCTTGCTCCACTCCAAAGCTGCCAGTGTGCACCGGGTACCTGTGCCACAAGGGCATCGTGAAACAGGCCATGTCGGCGCTCTTCAAGACGATAATGGGGACTTCTGCTCTGGGAGACAAGAAGTGGCACCAAAACTCTGTTCTGCACCAACCTCTTTCTAACCAGCTGGATTTGTTGCACTGCTGTCCCTCGCTGTGAGTGGCATCCGGTACCAAAGCCACAAAAGCACTGCAATTGTCCACAAAGTGCGGGATGCTGTGCACGTACATCAACTGCCCTTCGGTTAGCCCATCCGTTTGCATACCCATTCTCTGTGGGACGGAGAAATAGTCCAACCAAATGTACAAATTTTCTCTCTGCGGAACCCCTTGGTTGCAGAGAATTTGGCTGCTGCCGCGGTACTGCGTGATGATATCCGTCTCGATCTTGATCTTCTTGGCGAAGAAGTTGCGCAGGAAGCCCTGAAGCACTTGCAATTGATCCCCACTGGGATCCGGATGCTGGAGATCCAGCCACTGGTGTGACACGAAAATTGTGAACATCTCTGGACTCCACTCCGACAACCGACCCTCTTTGCGCAAGGTCTGATGGATCTCCATTCGACCAGTCATCTCCATCACATCTGCAGCTTTCACGACCCACATTGGCGCATGCTGCACATGTTGCTGATGTGGAGAGCGCCATTCGGGGCGGCTAGCAGCAGATCCCATGGCTTTCCCACCGTCTTAGATCACTTTCCGGATGCCTACTAGTGAACATTATACTGTAAATAATTCACGGGATCCAGGGCTGGGAGTTGTCTGAGGCTAGAGGGTCACCGTCTGATGTTGACAGTGTCGTGGACATGTTGAATGATGAATGTGATACACGCTCTATCGGATCGATGGCGTTCTCCGCTTCTCCCCAACTTTGGACCGAGTCGTCAAGATGAACCGACTGCCGGCTCATCAGCATCCGCCATCGGAAGCGATCTACAGCCGCGATTCAGGAAATGCTCGCTTTTGCATTGTGGCGAGCTCTGTCTGTTCTGGCCATCAGTTATTACATCGTGGATGCATCTGAAGTTCCAATGCAATCTTCAATTCGCAAGGTGCCTACTTATGCAGCTGGGCTGATGTTCTCTGGGGGTGTACAAAAAAATGCAGGCAAGGGGCTTGCCGTCTTGCAGCACATGAGTGTACTCCTCGTCCTCGTTGTCCTTGGATGCTCCAGGCCAGGCAGCTTGGCAGGGGAGGAGTGGAGGCAGATCCACATTTACACGACGTTACACCTACACCATCGCCCATGATTAACCATGTTCCCTTGCAAGCCACCGACTCCACTTGTGCCGGCTGCTGCTGCAAGACCTTGAGGAGGCTCGGCAGCAACGCGGGCCTGAATCGATTTACACTGATGGCAACTTCTTCCCAACATTCCCGATTTGCAAAGCCGTCAACAGCTGTGTCGAAGCGAGGCCCGCAGGAATGCGAAAGCATCGGACTACCATGCTGACCATGATGGCACCGACTCAAGCCCAGCGGCATGTAAGGTTTGAAGTCCTTGCCCAACACGCCAGCCACACGCCCAGCAGCCTCGCGAAACGTAAGAGTTTTCCGAGCACTGCTTCGGCATGCTTCGGCACTCACAGGCTGACTAACAGCAGCACCACATTTCTGGCGACTACTGCAACTACCGGCTTGGTTTGAGCTTGGAGAGAGCTTGGTGGCTTTGTAGCAGAGCATGTACCAGAACGTTGAACGGTAATTAGGGCATGGACTTTCCGCTTGAAGCGGCTTCGGGCTGGGACAAGGAACCTCATGGACGTATTCTCGGGTCTGGTCGTCAGCTTCGAAGCCAACTTGGAAGTAGCGCACCATGATCTGCATGATCTCGTGTGCATCTGATGCAAACGTCTCCTGGCTGTTCTCAGGGAAGGCCCTTGCCAGGTGATTCAAGGTGATCATGGGTAGTTTGGCTCGGTCCTTGCCGACGCCTTCTCCGAGAAGACTTGCGCCTTCGCAGGCAAAATGTTCTTACAAGCTTCGGAGTCTTCTAAAGAGTCTCAGATGTCTCAGGCGGGCACATTCAAAGGCTTTGCCACGGAGGCTCTTCTGCTCATCTTTGGAATTGGCAATCAGCTGCTTCAACGCAGGCCTGGGGTAACCAGACAGCACACATCACCCTGTCCATTCGCGAACAGAAGATCAACAAAAGAGGATTTTAGAGAACACTTCGGGATCAGGATCCGAATCCCTATCCATCCACGATGAGACAGAAACCGTCAGGAACCATCCGTGTCCCTTTTGCCCACTCGAGATTGAACCTTGCATCTAACACCCTGGCCCAGGCAGATACAAATTTGCAGGAGCCTAGCGGCATGACATGCCCGTAGTAGGGCAGGAAAAGCTCAGACGCAGCTTCTCCCACCACGGCGATGGCCTCAGCTATCCGATAGCGCTCCCCAAAACCCAACCTCGAGTTGCACATACGGAATTGCACAGGGAGTTCATGAAGGTACCAAGGCATGACGGAATGACACAAGGCAAGTGATGGCAAGTGGCAGAGAGGCAGGTCTCCTGCATTGCTCGCGATTGGCCCTGCTGCAGGCGAGTGAAAAGCTTGGTCATCCTTGGAAGAACCAGCTGGCGCGGTAGAAACTTGCAGCCTGTGTGAATTACATTCAGTGAACCACGCCGGAGGCTTAGATTGAAGGAGCTTCCGCTTGCACATGCTTGCGCTGCATTGTTGTCCCATGTTCCGACAAGCTTCAATGCTTCCATGTGAGGCTCGAGGTCTTCCTCATCCATGTCCTGCTGCTTCTCACATTCCATGAAGCGGCACTGTTGCAGTCTCTGTAGTCTCTGTATATATATACTCGCTGCAAACGCCTTGACCAGTCCAACTCTCATCGCGGATCCGATTGACAAATCAACAAGGAGGTGAGTGCCGGGTTCTTTTCCGGAACCCCAAATCTCCACCTAGTGTCCCAGAGCAGAGATGAGGCTAATTTAATCCGAGCATCTGTTTAATTGGTGGGGGGCCCCCCCCCCCCCCCACAATAAGGAATGCAGGGTTCCGCAATAGTTGGACCGTGGCCCTGTATTGATTCTCTATTAAAAACAATAGGCTGCAGATCCCTGAGGTGCTGTAGCTTTGCGTCTCCGCAAGCAAAACAAGAAGCCTGCCGACAGATTTTTGAACCCCCCCAAAAAAAATTCCTTTAAATGTGGGGGGTTTGTCCCATACGAAATCCACCCTAATGGAAAGTAGTCTTCCGGCGGGCTTCCGGCCAAAAAAAATTTCTTTAAATGTGGGGGTATAAATTAAACTGATGCTCGGATTAGGCCCACAACCAGGGCCCTTGCTTGCCAAGTCGGGATTGCGACATCACGAAACATCAATGTGGCATCACATTGAGACGATGAAGTGCCCTCTGATGCCCTCTGCGACTCCTCCATGCTAGAAAGAGCGCTTGCCGAGCTTGTTGCCACGCGGATGTTCTTGTCATCCAACCCGGCCCTTGCATAAGACTCATGTTCACAAAGCAAAGCCAGATGAAGCCTGCTGACATCTGCTGACCTTCTCTACCGCACGCAGAGACCTGAGGCGACAACAGTATCAACGGCAGCAGGGTCTCTGCATGGTTCCTTGGGAAGGAGGACATGTGTGTCTGTGTGTAAGCGAAACAAAAGCCAACGCGGAAAGCAATGAAACACGGCACAGGCATGAAATGTAGACTTCCGGTTCTAGAGCCCTTTCCCGATGCCGCCACAGCTCTCTGCGACATAGGGGTCGTGGTCATAGGCTGTTTGCCCAACGGCTTGGAATGCAGCATACCGAACTCGAGGATGCGCATGAGACGTGTGTGGCACCAAAAAATCTATGCACCTTGGCTGCACCAGTATTGAGGGGGGCGCGTTTTGTAAAACATCCCAATGTCCAGCTGACATGTCGTGATGGGAGAAATGGAGCATGGGAAAATGGGAGAACGGGAGAATGCGAAAAATGTGAAAACTGTGAGAATGGGAGAATTGATGGTCCGAAGCACTGGTCCACCCAGGCTTCCTCTTCGATGTACTCCACAACCTGAATGAAGTCGGGTGCTTTCATGTGAGGAATGTCAGGCTGAGGCAAAGAAGATGACCGGATAAGGTCTTCGAAGATCGCAACTGGTGAATTTTCTCATTACGCCATGTCAATGTGCTCATGGCATCTAGAAGGATGACATCACATCCCCTGCACTTGCCTGCGACACGGCCATCACGCATGATCGCACCTGCTTCCAGGTGCTGGCGGGTGCAGATAAAACCTTGGTCTGGGCGAGCATGAAGCTTATGAAGGTTATGCTCATGCATGCGTCCAAGCGTTCACGTTGCTTTGCCAAGATGTCATGACAAAAAGGCGGTGCACTACTTGCACTATTTCCAGCCAGACGCTGCTCTCAAAACCTTGAAGAGAGTGGGCATGAAAGCCTCTTCGAGGGCATCCTAGGTTGCGCTGTACAGTGGCTGTTCCGGCACAGCTTGCAAGCAACGAAGCGACATGGCAGGCTGTCCCATGATACCATGATCAAAGGCACTTTTTCAGCACATTGCTGGGCCAGTCGGTCAAGGTTTTCTTCGCCGATGCCCACCAGATCGTCATCGATATCTTCTTCCTCCTCTTTTCATGGGGATCCCCGATTCTCTCGGTGCACCAATGCAAAACAAAGACAAGGAAAGCCAGTCCTGGTCTGCACTCGAAGTCCAGGTGTCGACATTTTCCTCAACCTCCAACATCCACTCGAGATTGAGCAAAATCAACTGCTCCAGAAAGGGCTGCCCCTGCAGGGAACGTGCTGCGACTCATAGCGCAGTTGAAGCACGCAAAAAAAAGTGCAATGTCGATTCCGACGGCCTCGGCTTTGCAAAAGTCCTCGCAGAGGCCCTCAAAGAAAGTCATCGCCGCTTCCATCGCACCTGAGAATTCGACCAGAAGACACCACACTGTCGTCAGTAAGATCAGTAAGCGAGCTCGAGTCGGACAAGGGTTCAATTCTAGAGTATATCCTGCCGTCTCGTAGCTGTGTCGGACTTGAGCGTCGCCCCAGTGATCAGCCCGACCTGAACAGTGCACGGATCCCGACTGTGGCGCGCACAAGCGTTGGCGAGGGAGAGAGGGAGGAAGAGAGGAAGGAAAAGTAAGTGAGTGAGTGAGTGTGTCTCTCTCTGTGTGTGTGTCGAGATCTTTTCCCATTGATGATATGAGACGAGCTCAGAGTTTACCTCTATCTGAGCCAGGGGACACATTTCTAGCAGCAGCGGCCACACTTGCTGCAGGCCATTTTCCTTGAAGAACTCTGGTTCCTGCACACGGCCGGAACAAGGGCCAGCCTACCTGCGCTTCTTTCCCAGGCTGTTCTCATCCCGGCCTCTTCGGCTGCCGACATCAACGACTCTATCGTTTCCTTCAGAATCTCCTGAATCAACTGGCCGTCGCGTCTGTTCAGACAGTACTGAGTGACTACTACTGCAACTTCCGGACCAAGCTGCTTCATGCTCTGACTCCACGGCAAAGCTCTTTATCACCGCAAAGAGCGTGGGCATCAGAGCACCTCAGCTTCGAAGCAAGAGCACAAAGCCTCGGCAAAGCCTCGGCAAATCAGTCGGCCAGCCTAAAGGTGCCGCTACGTCCTTCTCCAGATCCTCCACCTTACGTGGGACATGGTATATCAGCTTGATTCAGCATGGTATCATCGTGTACCAGCACGGCACCTACAACTCCGCAGCACTGCCAGCCACCAAGACACCATTTGCAGAGCTAGTTGGGCAGCTGCTGCGCGCACCTGGAAAACTATGCACCGGACGGCAAGCAGACACACCTTGCACAGTACAGAGAGCAAGCCTCTGCAGATGGAGTGCCGAGACAGGTCTGCAGCATTGTTACCTTCGGGCAAGTCTATCAACAACCGCTGCCGAGAAAGTCCCATCATTCTCAAAGGCCCCCCCCCTTTCCCCCCCTTCCCCTTCCCCCCTCCACCCTCCCCCCTCCCCTGTTCATGCATTTGTGGAGCTTTACATGGAGACATTTTCGTGCGACGGGACTGAGGTCGGGCATGACCTACTGTACAGTGCGGATTCCTTCAGTCGTGACAGTGCCGCCCCCGATTCGATGACTCCCCTCGAGGGGCCGAGGCGGTCGATGCAGCTTGCAATACGACCGCAAACGCCAGGTCCTGTGTTGCAGTGGAGTCGCTGCTTGCGGCCCCTGTTTTAGAAGCTCGTCACCAACTATCTCCACCAATTCTTGCAGGACCTGGCACGGCACAACAGCCTCGACTGAACCTCGTCGGCGCTATGAAAGCATTGAACCAATCATCCGTCATTGGCATTCTTGGCATCATTGTTGACGTCGCGGCCCTAAGAATCGAAAACTTCCAAAAGGCCTGAAGGCAGGCTGTCACCTGATCAGCATCCGCTCCCGCACCTCGGCTGCATATCCGGCAATTCCCGGCGTACACAAAACGTGGATGGGCTCCAGCGCAGCACTCGCAGCACTCACTCCTCTCCCGAGCTCCACGCCAACAGTCTGGGACAGGAAAGGCAGAAGCTGAGGCCATGCCTGGCAGTCATCGACTGTACTCAAGTAACACCCTTTCTTACCTCCCGAAGTGGTAACCACGCGCAACCACGTGCAACCACGTGTAACCACGTGCAACCACGGTGTAACCACCCGACCCACGGCCTTCATGAGCTCCGCATAATTCTCTGCGACGGCGTGCGCCACTGTGCTGATGACGTGGCCTGCCTGGCGCCTGACTGGCTTGGAGGGGTCCTCACACAGAACATGGGCAGTAAGATGCCATGAAGTGATGCCATATGGTCGAGTCCCAACACATTGCTTCATAATGCTTCATAGCTCCTTGATCAAGGACACAACGATCTGCTCCTGAACCGCCTGGCTGCGTGGAGTAATTTTCATACGCTGATTGCATCACTGGATCATCACTGCTTCAATTTTAAAGTCAACTAAAGTCACTCCGCGGCACTCCTGCTTGGTGCTGGGATCGAGCTGATCCCAACAACAGCGCGCGCTGTTACCTGCGCACTGCCTCCGGGACTGCTTTTCGTGCTTGGGGAGGTTCAGGAAGCTGGGTAACTGGGTATGGCTGCTGCGCCTTAAAAGTACAACTGCCTCAGACCGAAGTTCGGCAGGAGCACCATTCCTGACAGTCCAGAGTTCCAGAATGTTCGGAAAGTTCCAGACGAAGCACAAGTAAAAGGCTACTCATGGTTACTCCGCGGCCGAAGGTCTCACCGAAGGCAAGCAGTACCGCCAGCAGTTCCTTCACAAGCTCATTGGGAGCACCTGCCAGCAGATCTACAACATCGAAGATACCGAAGATTCTCACACCTCGAATGTTCTCTCCTCGCCTCGAACCGCCTCCTTCAGCCGCTCTTCAGCGGCCGTGCGCGTTGCTCCGTCCGGGCTGATGAACGCCCTGAGCGCGGCTGCCATGACTACTGCAGCAAGGCCACACCGAACTGTAAAAAAACGAAAATCTAAGCCAGTTACTTAGATTTACTTAGCCCCATCTCTTACACTCTGTTTACACTGCACACGTCGCAACACGTCGCAACTTAGCCGGTCCTCAGCAACTCGCAAGTTCCCTGGTTGGGCACGGCCATGCTGCCTGCACTGCATTCGGCGCACTTTCCGTGCTTGTCTCCGCACTCGTTTAGCTGCTCACACGCTTCACGCTCGCGTACGCATGCTCGTACGCACTGCTCTCCTCAGAACTCTGACAGAGGCTTCGAACCTGGCTGCTGCACCACTGCTCCGCGGCAGATGTCTGCAGTCTTAGTGCCGGCTTTTGGGCACAGCCCAATGAAGCGAATCTTGTGTTGTCCTTGTTTGGTTGCTGTGAGATCACCCGCTTCCGTGTCTTAGAAGCGTTAAGGTGTTGCATCCTCTCGGGACCCTCCTGGGATCGGCTGGAGGCTAATCGGCTATAGTCTTGCACTTTGATCCCAGGCAAATGAAGAACCGGAGCTTCCTGCTTAGCTTTCATGCTCAGATGCGTGGTGCGCTCTTGACAAGTCGCTTGCCAGTTGTGTAGCAGCTTGAGAAGCCATCAGAAGCGGAGGGTGCTAGCTGTCAGCAGACAAACTTCAGCAACTTCTCTCAAGGTTCATCCAGAGTGAAAAAAAAGTGCGCTGATGTGCCCCGGACTGCTCGCAGAGCCCGGAGTGCAATTTGTCCGCACTTGCCAGGTGCAAACCGCCTCTCCTCTGGAGATGGCCGGCAGAACCACAGCGCTTCACGAACGAAGGACCCGATTGGCTTGAACCAGCCAGGTCCCTTCGCCTCACGAAGTACCTGTACACTGAGTCCGCACATCTCTCCATCCTCTATACTAAACATGCACAATAGGCATGCCTCAACCGGCATAACGACATCATAATCCTTGCCAAGCCAATCCCAATACACATCCGATATACACTGCATCCCTCCCGCTCAGGTCTCGAGACGCTTGCCTGGCAACTCCAAAAGTATCTTATCCCTTGCACTCGAGGCTTACATTACGTTGATGCTGTTCGACATAAGCTTGGATGGTTCTTTGTGTCTTGTCCTGCTCGCTTGTCTTTCTTGAAGACTGGCACTACCATGGAGTCTCCACAGATCCACAGAGCCAAAGAAGGCAAAGGGAGGGCAGGCTAAGAGGACTGAGAGACGGCACAAGAGAAAGCAGGAACAAGATCGAGGTGGGGATGTCGCTTCAAATCGGATTTCGCTTCCTCCGGTGTCCTCAAGCACGGTGCCGGTGCTGATGCGCATCTGTGGAGACTGGCCTCTCGTAGCTCAACCAAGCAACACTTGCCGTTTCTCAGTTGGGCTCTCAGCCTCGCCAAGTTGGACAAGATCTTCCTGAGAACCACAATCAAATTTCAAACAAATGAAACGCTGAAATGCTGGAAGATCTGGGCACACGCAGCAGTACGGGCTCTGTGCTGCTAGGGGTCTTCTGATGACCAGCACTTGCTCCGTAGCCCACCTCCACCTCGTATGGCAACGTGACCATGGTCTTCGCGGCTGATGGTTTTCAGCCTTCGCCTCAAACTGGACGTTACAGTTGAGCCTCGCACTGCCTCCAGAATTCGCCGGAAGTGAGCCTACTCAGGGCCACTACGATACTGGCTACTTGCCAAGTGGGGCCCGAATGTGTCTGGCACATTCTACGACGACAGCAACTTGTCTCGAGCTCGCCACCTTCATCTGCTGCTTGTAGACCACCACGCCACACCTGGAGAAGTCAATCTTGCATCAACTTGCACCGGTCACACTACAGGGAAAATACTTTCACTTCAGGAATCGCAGCGTCGCAGCATCTCGACTGCGGACTGTGCAGCCCACGATTTCAGTAGCTGGTGTTGGGTCGCGCGCAGATGCTCCTGCAACACTGGCGAAGCATCTCTGCGTGACAGAGCACAAAGGACGACTGCAAAGCCCAAAGCTGATGATCCTTTCTTGGCATTTGGGGCTGCTTGGCCGACGGAGCCTGCAAAAAGCAGCATCGGGAAGTCAACGTAGACCCCAAGCAGTGAGCGAGACCATGTGACCGCAGACGTCCAAAAGTGACGACAGTCTTGCAAAAGCGTCGAGAACTTCGCATCTTGCGATGACAGCTTCGAAAACAGTGGCCGCGGCCACGCCCGTGCCTAGTTGATTGTCCAAAACGCGAAAAGGCCTCCAGAAAAACCATGGTCTGCCATGGTTGGCCGGAGTCCAGCGCGTCGATCTGTTCCGTCCCTCTTTGGAGCTCCAAACCCAAATCGGTGCACTGTTCGCTTGGGCTGTCGCGATGAAGCCACTACGGACACTACAGCATGCAATCTGCACCGCACGGTGCGAACGCCTGCCAGCTCCATGGCAAGAAACACCCAGTCGTGAGAAAAAATGTCGTTTTGACCGATGGCCAGCGGAAACATGCTTGCCTTCTGCGCTTGGGTCGTCGTTGCGTAAGCCTTGACATACGTGAGCCTGGCTTTATTGCAGCCACCTCGTCTCCTGGCTTCTGTGATTTCCGCCAAAATGAAATTCCTGTCATGTTCATGCACAGCATAAACTTCTGCTGGCCTGGCCTCCTCAGGCGGCCGGGCAGCTGCTCGTTGAGCCGGTGGTTTGGGCACCGCCGGCTTCCTTTCAGCTCCCGTGTGCCAAGCTTACACGCAGGTTGCGTAAGTTGCATGCAGGTGTCATCCTTTGCGCTTAGACTGCGCTACAAGAAGCTCCTCGGAGATGGCGAAGCAGAGCTCGACGCCAGTGGAGATCGCGGAGATCGCGGAGATTGCGGGGACCGCGGGGAGAGCGGAGCTGCCGAGGAGAGGGCCTGGGAAAGCATCAACACAAGACCCTTAAACACCACAGGGCAGATCTGTCGAGCATGAACATTACACATATTAAACGCCTTCAAGCTAACTACTGAGAATGAGAGGAACCCCACAGTGTGAGCACCGGAAAGCCGCAAAAATCTCTCTCATGTCACATCGCGAACCTCGTGACACTTGAAAACACTTGAAACTCGGCACCTGACACTTTGCTGCAAAGGCGGACGCAATCGCTTCTTCAGCGACGGGCGGTGTGCCAAGAGGGCCGACACCTCCGGATCCTTCAAGACAGCTGAAAAAGAGTTTTGCTCACGGTTGCTCTCTGCCCTCTCGTTTTCATTGCCGGTTGCTTTGGTTGCTTTGGTTGCTTTGCACTTCGAGCTGGCACCGGGCCCTGGACCTTTTCGGCTTCTAGCTCTGGGCTGCGTGGCGGCGGGCGCGCCTGACTCAGAAGCTTCGGGGACTCGAACACAATCTGAAAGAATCGTCGCAAGCTGTGGATTGGAAGATTTTCGTATGAGAACGAATGCTGTGGGTTACGGTGGGCTTCATTTCGCACCGGACCCAGTATGACACCCCATGTCAATCAGAATTGGAAGGACATGCTGGTGCATGAGGAAAAAGGAATCGGAATGGACAGCTCACAAGATGCAATCCGTGCTCAGCGATTCGGGATGCAACAACAGATGCCAGCCTTCTGCTGCAGCTCGCGAAGCCTTGTTTGCCGCTCTTCTCGCCGCTGGGCAATCTGATTGTTGAGCTGAAACGTAAAGGAAAGGATCTCTGAATTCGCAGACCGCGCCTGATTCTCCCGCCGCTGCACATAGGCCTGCGGCACGTGAAGATGTTGACAAGAAAATCGTGTACGCGAAGCTGACGGGATGTGCTCACATCCCGTCCCGGCAGCCTCCGCTAAGGCCTTCTCGTGCTGCAAGCGCTGGGATTCGAGCTCCAAGCCCTGGAGGCGGGCCTAAGTGTAAACCAATGCAAACCAGCGCAATCAAGTGCAAACCAGTTCACAGCAGTGCAAACAATTGCAAAAAAAAGCGCAAACAAGTGCAAACCAGTGCAAACATGTGTAAAACCTCCAAGGTCGAGCCGAGGCAGTGCCAAACAAACGGCCACGTGCTGCTGAGGTGCCCGGGCGAGGGATCGACGCAAGAAGACCAATCGCTCGGCCTCTGACACATGCTCTGGTTGAGTCTGCACAAGGTTAAGTAGCACGCAATGGAGGTTAGTTGTCCCTGTTCCGAATTCTGACTCATGCCGGAGGTTCTGAATTCCTGGCCTCTGTCACACCATGCAAGGCGTCCAGATCCTGATGAGATTAGCGGTTAGCGCTGGCTCTGAAAAGCTCCAAGGACCTCATCAACCCGAAACTCGTGCTCCCAAGCAATCGGTCTCCTCGTCTTGCTTCCACTGGCGCGGCTCCGACCTGAGCATCACTGGTGTAGCACGCGAAAATGGTGAGATGTGCGAGTCTGGGGGCTGGCGGTCCATCCCCAGGTCGTGCAGCCATAGACCAGCGGGCTGCACGAAGTGTCTCGAGATGAAAGCTAAAGATCCTTTAAGAATCTCCTTACGAGTCATTGCCACGTCTCCTGTCTGCGCTGACTCAGAGCACTATCTCTGACATAGTTTTTTCTAAGTCTGCAGAGCCAGCACCGCAAGGTCACACGAGCGAAGATGGCGTGGACCGAAGTGTACCAGAAACAGAATTTCGCATCGGCCACTCTGACCGCCCGCCAACACCAGCGACAAGGGACTACATATTGCAGTGCTCACAAAGCACGATAAGGCATGCCACCTGCCACCGTTTATCCACCTCGGCAAAGGCTCTCTGCAAGCTATCCGGCGAAACATATGCACAGTTTAGAAACACGCCAGAAATTTGACCGTCGCACCCAACGACCAGCTACGACGCGGATTGACTTCGCCGTACTGTGGAATACCCCGGCGCTGGTCTGGTCCACTTGAAGTGTAGGCTGGGAAACCCCGATGACTTTCGACTTCGCATCACTGCAGACTATAAACATAGTACAAACTTCAGCACCGGCCAGAAAGAGACACGTACATGCCCTGGATTCAGCGGTTCCGCGGCATCTCAATTGGCATTGGCAAAGGCATGCTCAATTTCGTCATCCTCATCGTCTTTCACCTCGCTGCGTTTGCCTGGGACAGATTGCACTGTGGGAATGTTGCAAACGGATGTGGGTCCAAAGCTGGCACGGAGTAAGTGTCCAACACAAGCGCATCCTCTCTGCACAAAGCCATCGTTCCCAATTGCTGTGGCCGGTCCTCCCAGTGTGAGATTATGTACCAATTTGAACTCACATATTAAATAGATCTTGGACCTTTGATAGAGGTATGGCAGGACGGCGTAGGAAGATGCAGGATGCTATTGGGGCTGAGTCGGGCCTGCCGCCAGCCAAGTGCTGCATCTCCGGGATCTTTCTCTGGATGAGCCTGTCGAAAAAGGGTCTTCTGAGTTCCTCCGCGCCCTACAGCCTGACGGCCACTTTGCCTTGCCAGGATGTCGAAGCGCGACTCCTCCAAGATGGCCGCACCTAACAGGAAGAACGTACACACAGCAGAACTCATGAGCGAATAGGCTGCAACCGCAATCGCAAGTGTCAGTCCTAGGGCGTCGGCAAAGGCGTTTCCCCTCTCGCTCACCCTCGCCTGTCACCTTGGCTGCATGCACAGTGACTCCGCCGAGTAGTGACCGCGAAAAGTGAGAAACGGGCGACTTGCGCACATGAGTCGCTACAAGTACGAGCTCCCCTGCTTCGGAACTCACGCGTTGGAACTCGCGGGAAGCCGGGCTTTGCACTTCGCTTGCTTCGAAGCGAGCGATGCCTTCCTCCGGCTTCACAGCCTGCGCTTTGCGCGGGCCGAAGGCATGCAAAGGCATCCAAAGGCCCTACATGGCCCTACATGGCCCTACTCAACTTAGACTCGGCACCCCTGAAAGGCCTGTAGGTGGCGCAGACTGCTGCACGTGGAGTCAATCGCCTTGCGCTTCGCGGCAAGCATCTGCGCAGGGCTCTCCTGGCATCAGGTTTGCGCTCTTGTGGGCTCTCCTTCGTCACGGTCAGACTGTGTCTCAATGTCCTGGTCGTGCACGTCGTGCGTGTCAAGCCTCAAAGAGTGCTTCAAGAAAACGGAAGTCATGGGAAGCATCGTCTCACAGCTGACGTCCTTGCAGGATGTTGCTGGGTTCCGCACTCGCTGCTGAGACGCGCAGCCACCAGCTTGCAGCCGCTACAGAGTAACGGCCGCGCATCGCTGCCAAAGTCGCGCTTGAATTCGTTCCTCCATTGCAAACCAACAAAGGACAAACGCATCATCATTTTACAGCGAGTTACATCTGCCCATCTCCTGACAGTTTTCATCTCCACATGGATCTTTCGCTTCTGCTCCTCTTGCAAGGCTTTGGCAAAATCCAAATGGGACCTCGGTTGAAGATGGGATGCAGTCTTGGACTGTCCAGAGTTGAAAGATGGCGCTGCTGCAGCACTTCTCAGCAAAGGGCTGCTGGTCGTCGGAGAGCTCTTGTGGCTCTGGTTCTTCTTCGGCCTGTAACATCAAACCAGCGCAACGACAGGGCACAACAGTAGCAATGACAGCATTCCGCACTGCATACCTCGCCCAACAAGGCTTTGAGCTTCTCCACCTGCTGTTTCAGCACGACTTCAGCACTAGGCAAAGGTCTGTTGGTGTGACAGGGATGCTTGGCAGGTGACCGTCTTTCTTGTTTTGCTGCCCTTCTTGCCACTTTGTCCTTGACATCACAAGGGGTAGACTTCACCCGCTCGGAAATTGAAGGTCCAAAGAACCTGCAAATGTGATTCAATAGTGCTGGAGCAGACCCAGATGGGTTTCATTCCAACGAGAGAACAATTTCTACGAAGCTCTCAACCATCAGCCTTTAAAAAGTTGGCCATCATCATAATTCAACATTTAGTATATTACCATAACGGTCCATGGAACCTTGATGTCTGAGAGCTAGACCCTCTTCCTCCAGCTTTCTCAACGTATCTCGGATGACTTCCTGGCGGTCAAGCCCCATGATGGCAGAATGCAAACTGGTACTGCACAACAGCAAGACAGCGACGCCAACCAAACGATGCAATCAGGGTCTTGTCCTTGGCTTTCTCATCGTCGGTCTCTGCTTGCGACACAGTGGCCGACGCCTCTGCCTCTTCAGATTTGTGCGCGTCAGTGACGAGTCGATTGACGGCATGGATCGCTCCTTCTGCTTCTTGGTATCCTTTGCCTTCGCCTTCTTTTCCCCCTTCCTGCCGAATGAACCGAGGTCTGCTTCAGTTCAGAGCGTCACAGTGCTAGCTCAGGTTCAGCAGCCTGGCCTTGTATTCAGAGACCTTCTTGGCAATGCCACCGCCTCATCACCTCCCTCCAGCTTGCTAAGAACCTCATCGGCAAACCCAAGAGATCCCAAGAGTCTAAGAGACGCGGCGACAACAACATCCTGATGCCTGCACCCCGGCCTAGACGGTCCAAACAACACTCCCCCAGAGAGGTCTGGATCATGGCACATCTTAGCACCTGGCATCCTCAAGACTGTCAGACCTCAGCGCTCGGGAAGCTCAGAGGTCTGACAAGTCCGGGGCCCCAACAAACCGTAGCAGCCTTAGCACCAGGCTCCGGCTCCACCGCCGGCTCTGAGAAGACCCTCGCGGGCGTGCCCTCGAAGACCTTCGCAGCCCCGAGTTGCACCAACTTCAAGCGGCCCCGAATGGAGGTCTCTCCCGGTCACTCCCACCTGTTTGCCACCGCGGCTGTGCCAGGACGTGCCTCATGAGAGGGTCATTGTTGCTGCAATGATGAACCCCATGTAGGGATAATGAGAACGAAGGATGGAAAACAAACTGTGCACGGCATGTTATGACGATGTGGTATGTGCACATCATGCGTGCAACTTGTATGTCTTTGGATCGAAGCGAGCCTGATGCAAGCGAAGCGTTCCGTAAACATGACACAGAATTGAGATGAATCTAGATCTAAGCGAAAAAGGGAATCATCCAAGAAGCTATGTGGATGGAGAGCTCGCGTCTCCTGGCCAGCCGTCTATGTATCTCAAAAGATCAGGCGTGGCCCCTGCTGGCTGCAGTGTGTCCTCTTGCGCCTGGCGCCAGAGCCAGAACGCGCCGCCAGAAAGCATCAGCAGCCCAGCACCAGCCAGACCTAGACTGACCCGAACCAATCTACTTCGACGTCGAAATTGAGTGTGGCACGCAAGAGGCAAGCTTCGAAGAACCGTACGAGACTTACGTGCCACCAACGTGAGGATGCCTGACTTGCTGTGAATACGCATGTGTTGACCCCTGGAAGATGCTCCGGGCACCAGTTGGACCGCGAAAGCCGTCTTACAAAGCTAAACCGCGCAAAACATCGCGTTTCATGGAAATCGCTGTGAGGAACAAATCTCCCTGGGCGCCGGTGAGGACCTGGCGATTGCAACGTTACACATCGAAAAACGAATTTTGCATTGCCCCAGGCAGCAGCTTGGAGTGCTTCTTCCTATTCTTGGTGGTGGCATCGGTAGCGCTGCTAGATACCGCTGCTAATGCTGCTGTTCGTCTTGTTCCCCAGTGCGGGATTGTTGGGTTTGTACTCAGCTACTATTCTCTTCACCCCCAGAGAATCCCGCAGTATCCCGGAGTGCCCACTCCTCGAGAATCCAGAGAGAAACCCAGGAATGCACAGTCCAGTCGACTCTCTCACACTCCCAGATCCCTACAGTGACCATCAAATTGCCTAGTCTTAGGCTGGGAATGCTTGAACTTCCTTAGTTTGCGTGTTGTTCTTGGCGTACTTGGCATTGCAAAAATCGTTTCAGTGGTTCAATCTGGTTCTTGAATGAAGCGCTTGCGTGACAGAAATTGGCACTGCAACATCAAGCTTCATCCAAGTAAAGGTGGTGCCGCATCGACAAGGACACGGAAGCTGATGATTTGAGGCCGAATCTGTTTCGAATGTTTGCTGTGGCCATGTACGCAGACGGTCGACTCTTAAGGCAAGTTGACGAAGTCAGACGCAAACCCGTAAACAGACTTGCTCAAGGAGGTTGAAGCAAAACGCCGTCGAGCCTGTCGTTTGTGTCATGTGTGGCTTCGATTCGTTCTGACGTCTTGACTTCTTGAAACTGAGGTTCAGTAGACTTTCGCTGCCAGTGTCGGGAAAGTCGCTCGTTGTCCGGCTTGGCCCAGGATTCGGAGATGCTGTGCCCACCAGGTGTCATTGGGTTTTTACACAAGGAGCCCTTCCAGCGGTTGTCGTGCAGTACTGCGCACGTGTGCCCGAATGATCTAGCCGAGTTCATGGCCAACTGCCCAAGGCTGCACGGCCTTCAATGAGCTGGGACGCTTGGCCTTCGACCTTCGCACACAAAGGAGCAGCAAGATTGCGGGTTGCAACAACTGAAGAAAGGTACAGGCTCATCCGGTGTGTGGTCCGGCTTCTCCACGACCTGAGCAAATCCCACAGCAGTACTAGCTGCTAGCACGTCCTGCCAAGTCCTACCGAAAGGTCTGCTTAGAGTGAGCGTTCCCAGAAAAGCCGTCCGCCTGAGTTTCTGAAGCTGTGGAGCGCCGCATGGCTGGAGCTCAAGCAGCGGTAAGCCGACAGATGAGCTTCGGTGGTCAAGCTGTGATCCGGTTGCCTTCAAGTCGCACAGGCCCCGAGAACCTAGGTCCCGTCGGACCTTTGCGACACTCTTTGCAGAACACTCTTCGTTTTGTCGTGCTCTCGCGATTTTTCCCATTGCGGCCTTTCTCAGGCCGGAACAGCAAAGACAGCAAGTCACATCCCCAGAACCTGCAGAGCGCAGGAAAAGCGAGCGATCGGCCCAACCGCCAAGCTGCATCTTCACATACTTTGCCGAAAAGGCCCAACACTTAAAAACTTCGACGTCAGTTGAATTCTGCATATTGCGCCGACGACGGCACTGCTCGCCAGTGCGCTTCCATGGCTGCGCGTGTGGCTCAAATCGAGAACATCAGAAGTTGTTCTTGTGGCAGCAGCCAGTTGCCCTATGCACGATCCCTATGTTGACAAGAGACTCCTCGCAATCAGAGGGCGCTACTTGGTGGTTGAGCATGCACATTGTCACTCGTTTCATGCTTCCCATGGCCGTTCCATTTCCAGCATCACCAGATATTGTACCGGTCACACTGGGCATGATGCATTCTTTTTCAAAAGGAAGCATAGTCAGCAGGAGGCGCCGGCCAGAGTCGTCCACCTCTTGGGCTTGCAAGGCAATGTTAAACTTCTCTTAAACCACGGTCCGTATATCGTTTGTAATTCAGCGAATAGGAACAACACAGCGCCTCCTTTATGCGAACGGAAACTCTTGAGCCACGAGCCACCTCCTGTTACGGGCACGCGAAACTTGGATGCCGTTCTGTGCCAGTGTGTGCCAGTGTGCTGGCAGGGCTGCGGGCGGGCCTGGACAAGATTTCCATCGAAGTCCTCCTTGGCAAGGATGCCAACAAAAGGCTCCCCCAAGGGCGACATCACCTCGCAAAGAGGCCACTCTGTGATGAGGCCTAGTGGGGTCTTCTGAACGACTGCTGCGCTTCGATGTGCTTCGTGAACAGAGCCACCAAAGCAGAGTTCCTAGATGTTCCTGGATTTCCAGGCACCTTCACGTACACAGCCCAGTTGGACATCATCACCACCTCTCCCGCAAGCCATTCCTCAAAAAGGCATTGGTCCGGAACACGGCAAGTCACACTCATGGAAGTGGCGCACGGGCTACAGGACTGACATCCGTTCCAATCTGTACCAAAGGGCTCCCGGGTCAACATCCAGAAATGATGCCACCTTGGCTGGCCTGACCCACCAGGTGTTTAGCACGGTGCAACGCACACGGTGACCCGTTGAAACTCTGAAGCCTCCTTGCGTCCGCGACATAGCGATCGGGACGATCCAAGGTCCCCGAGCGCATGGTGAGGTGAAGTTTACCTTTGCGGCGAGGCTCGCTGAGCACACCTATCAAGCCTGGATGTCTCGTGGCTTCCGCCCCGCAATCTTACGGTGTCGCATCTGATACCTCCGCCTCCCCACGCTGCCCGCATCAGAAGCATCCTGAAGCCCGAAGCTCTGGAAAGAATTAGATTCACGCCAAGCTACCACTGTCCCCGTGTTCTCCGTGTGGATCTGCCTCTCCGTGGTCCACCACCCTGCACACTATTGGACTTGGAGCTGCCTTGCCACAGAAGCTTAGGCAACCAGCCCTCTTCACAGCCTTGCTTCCGGATTAATGTCCAGCACCCGCGCGGCAATTTGATCTCCAGGCTTGTACTTGAAAGGCCCCTTCTGCGGGAAGCCATCCCCAAACTCCTGAGAACGGATATCTGCCAGCCTCTGCTACGACTCAAGATGTAGCACCATGCCATGTACTCTGCCCAGACCTCCACTTCCAGGAAAGCAAAGGAATCGGAGCAGCCCACATCTACCGACACGCCGCCGGGGCAGTAGATTTGGACAACTGTTCCTTCCACATGCTCCCCGACCTGTCCAAGTGGCAGACCACATTGACCACATTCTGTAGGCCGACACTCTGTGCAGCGACATGCAAAACAGGAGGCAGTTATGCCTTGAACTTGTCCAGCGGACGACCACCGCGAGCCGTCGACGCTGCCTGCAGTCGAAGCTTGCCTGCCTCAGAGGCAACATCCATCCGGGCTGTTGGTGCCAGAAATACTACCGTGAGCTTAGAAAGTCTCAAGTGTCGGCATGCATGTCGCAAGCTTCTCCGCAGTCTAGGGCAGCCTACTGGTGGGCATCTTCATGTGCTGTAAAAAATGCTATCAGTGGATGGATCCCGGGCGAGGTGTCCGCTTCGATGGCAGGCGCTGCTGGACTCGCTGGAGTTACGTTTCAGATTTTTCTGTTCTTGTGTTTCGTGCGGGGCGTGTGCGAGATGCATTGAGGCATACCAGGAAAATGGGGCATCAGTCTTTTCGGTTTATGTGTTGGACGTGGTGCCACGAATACGTCAGTTCTTCACAGACCAAGTGCGTACAAGTGTGTGTGGGTGTGTGCGTGTGTGTCTGTCAGTGTCACTGTCGGTATCTCGGTGTCGGTGTCAGTGTCAGTGTGACCAAAATGCCCTGCAGGGCAACGGGTTCCTGGCTGACCACCAGCCACCGGCGGGATGCAAGGACCATGCCGGACCCTTTACGCGACTGCAAAACCTGAGAGAGAGACGCGCACTGAGATAAACATCAAGGAAAACCTGAGAGAGACGCGCACTGAGATAAACATCAAGGACAACGAAAGAAGGAGCTCTCGGTGGCGTTTGTTCATGTTCATGTCCTGTTGAAAACCATCACGACAATGATACGACACGTGCATCAGAACTGAATCAACAACTTCACGTAGGACAGGGAACTAAGAGCTACTGTTGAAGACCTCCGCTGCTTGCGTTACCTTGCTTTGAAACTTGGCCCCGCTAGGCCAGAGTGACATGCGTGGTTCACAGTGCTGTCAAGCTGCCAGGGCACCAGCCAAAGAGGCCACCACTGCTGAGTGCAGGTGAGATCTCGCCTGATCGGGATCATGAATGTGGAACGCTGCTTCCAGTACTTCAAGCACCTTCGTCTTTCCAGCGAGCGCTGCGCCAGGAACCCGCAAGCCACGTTGCGCCTGTCAAGGCTTCTTCGAGGCGGACCCAATGTCTCGACGAAGTCGTCTTTCAACGACCCGAAACTGGCAGACTTTCATGCATCAAAGTGCCAACACTCTGGCTCCGGCACTGCGAGCAGCGAAACTCAGCATGAGTGTGGTTCACAGCACATGCCGTCCAGATGACAGTTTAATGACAGTTTTGTGTCCAGCATCAACAGAGGCGTCCGGTGACAACATGAGATCCTTGAGCCGGGGTGCGCAGCTTTCAAGGCTACCGGGGTCTTGTTGAGCTTCCTGCGGGGGGCCGAGAGCACCGGGTACCGGACAGGGCGGCCTTCGGCGAACCAACACAGGCGAGGTCTAGCACCGAATTCCTCTGTGAGTGCCCCCCCCCCCCCCCCCCCCCACCCCCCTACCTTCCCCCGAAGAGGAGGGCATATTTTGTCAGCTGATTGGATGGCTAGCAGAAAGCTTCTTAACGATTCACGGCTTGAGCGGCGAAACGCTGTAGAATGGCTGTAGACCGGCCGATTCAGCATGTTCATGCCCACATGAGAGTGCTTCACAACCCGGGTGGCAACAACCGCCCGTGCAGGACACCAGGCTCTGGTCGATGTGGGATGAGAGACCAGTCTCCACAAAACAGTGGCCCTGGACCAATTGCCACAAAGCCCGATGCACAGGCCCAACCAGAGCTTAGCCAAACAGACCCTGCCTGGAGGAGGCCAGGCAGCATGGGGCCGGGTACCGACAGCATGTGTTTAGGGGGTTAAAGGTCCTGAGAGATAGGGCATTGGGAAGCGCTTAGGGTCAAGCTGCTGTTGGCAGTCTTCGACTGATGAGACGGGTGAGTGCAGGACCTTAGGGGCTTCTGAGTCTAGCCACATGCGCCAAAGCTTCGGACTCAAACTTTAAACAGCAGCAGATTAGGAATGATATGGGCCAGGAACACCTCAGACTGCCTTCAGGCTCTGCCTTCCCAGAAGGGCCATCTTGTGCTCAGATATCTTTCCCGCTCAGCATCGCTCGACATCGATGGTCTGAGAGGTGCGTGTTCTAATTAACGCCAAGCCTCGCAAGTGACACTTTGGACAGCTCAATCCAGTGGCGGATGGCCTTTGGTGCTGAAAATTGGAGGGTGCTCATGGCTGCTGTCACGCTTTGGTTCGTTCCCCAGATCGAACTCAGCGTGGAGAAAGCCGGCACAACCTCCTTTGATCGTATCAGCTCATGCTGATGCTATGCAATAATAAAGGATTCTCGGTGTACTTGTGACACCTCGCGCTTTGGTCAGCGTGTCAAGGGAAGTCTGATCTTGGACTCTCCAGGACCAATAGCGCCAATAGCGACTCGAACACAGATATATCTGTGAAAACAGAAACATCTGTGAGACTTCGCAGCCACTTGCTGGTTTCCTAAAACTAATGAGATTTGCGGATGTGCGGCAAATCCATCAAGATGCGGCTGCCTCTTGCGGGCGTCGTTGTGGGCTTCTATGTCCCGATCACTACCAGTCGCCTCTGCCTGGTGAGAATGCATTCTACTACCCTCAGACTTAGCAATGACTTGCAGCCGCAGCCAGGACCAAAACTTGCAAAGTGTGTCAGCAGTGATGCACATGCGCCACATGCTGGCTCAGCACAATCTAATTGCTGCAGCGGTCTCAGATTCAGATTCCTGAAAGCTGCACGAGAGCTGCACACATGGTAAGATGCGGCTTGAAAGGTGTTACTCCGTGCTGAGCTTCACTCAGCTAGGCGTGGACTTTGCAGCATGCAGGAACGGACGAGTTCTGGCAATGGGAAAAGCATTCCGTCTAAGGCATCTCCTCCTCGTCCCACACGGTCTATTGCCCTTCTGGCCTGCAACGAGCAACTACCCTCGCTCAAGCCGATTTCTGAAATTTCCTCTGAAAGTGAGATGCTCAGAGTATCTGAAGGGACAAGATTCCCACCTGAAGGCCGAAAGCCTTTGGCAGCACTGCCAGTGGAGGCAGTGGCCTTGGCAGCACAGGAATGAATGATGATGAATGCCCAGAATCCGCATCTTCCCACCCCTATCATTTGGTAGAACGATCAGGACGGTTTTGCCAGGACACTTGCCGCCCACCTGGCATCGACGCAGTGCATTTCTGAGTACTAAGAGGGGTTCAAGAGCTTGGCGGTAGCTATGGTGAAGGAAGCAGAACAACATTGCTGGAGTCACTCGTCGGGACTCTGGATTCTTTGTTGTCGGCTGAGACCCTTCCTCGTTTCGGCACTGCAAGCATCTACTGGCTTTCACAGCCACCTGCCTCTGGATGAGAATGCGCCATGTGTTCAGCATTGTTCACCAATGTTCCGCCGAGGGCAGCCTGCCAAGCTGGGTGCGCTGCTGGACGGCCTTGCTGCACAGCCTCAAGTTACAATGGAACAGGGCAGACGACGACTAGACAATGAGTCGGCAATGAGTAGACAACAGGATTATAGTTCTGGGCCCCAGGCCATGGCATCCTTGCGAAGGGGCCGGACCTGTGCTCGGCACATAATGCACATAGCAGGAAAGCGTGTCATCCTGCCTGCTGAGCCAACACCTCCTGAGTTGAGAGGGTCTCGCCTGCAGCCACACTCTGCTTTGCCTCGGAAAGCCTGCCTGAAACCCTTAAACCCTCTGCACGATCTTGTTCGCCTAGACGTTCACGCAGCCGAGCGATGTCCTCCAGCTCCAGCTCCAGTGCCACATCCTTCGGACACTACAATTGTAAAAAAGAGAGGGTTCGGACCGGCTCTGGAAGTTCTGTGCCGAGGCATCGCATGCCAAGACCATCCAAGGCCGCTGCAGAAGACTGGGTCTCACCTTCAGAGAAAAAACCCACGTCACCGCTCCGCTTTCTATAATGTACGGACGAATGCGACACGGATGCTTGTTTTTTAGGGCCGAGCTCCAAGAATCAGCTCTGATTCGAGGTTCCTGATCAAGATGTCATCAAGTTTAACGGCAGTGAACTTGTGTGAAGTATCAAACCGTGCTCGAGCAGAGACCTGAGCAACTGGGATCATGTAAATAGCATGACTATACAAGCATGCTTGAGCAGGGGGGGAGCTGCGAAGGTTCGCGAAGGCTTGATGCAGCTCAATTCAATGCAGCGGCGCAAGCAGTTGTGGCACTTGCCCCTTCACGGTGCCTCAGCTCTTTGCTCACATATGCCCGGCAGCGTGGAGTCTTCCCTTGGCAACAGGATCACGAGCGTGCAGACGCGCCGTTCTTACCCCAACTTGAAGCTTTGCTCTGAGCATCTCTGAGCATCTCTGAGCATCTCGCAGGCGCCGCGTCCGGCTCGGCGAGGCCTCGGGTGAAGCTGATGCCATGGGATGCCTCCTGTTAAGATGCCTCTTGGGACTTAGGGGACGTTGCTGGAATGTCGCTGCCTCACTCCCACTCTGCCTCTGCAGATCCTACGGGTCCAACATGCTCCAACAAAGCGCTTGAACAGCCTTGCCGACATGCACCGAGGCCCTTGAAGCTTCCGAGTTCGTGAGCTTGATGTCTATTTGATGTCTCCTGAGAATATCTATATGATATATATATATATATCTCTATATCTATATATGTCTCTCTCTCTCTGACGAACTGGGGAAACCATAAAACGGCCTTTGTCGATGATTCTGCGGCTCAGCGGTAAAATGCAGCAAACATGGGCGGCCCAAGCATGCCGCCGCTTGCTGCACGCGGCGGAGTCACTGCAATCCTTTTCTGCGCATGTCCCATCCCATGTTACATCATGTTACCAAAAGTTGAATGTGAGGCAGAATGTGCGGTAAGTGTCGCGAGCCGCTACCAGACTTTGTTGGGACATGCCAGGTGAAGAGACGGCAGGACCATCGGGTTTTCTCATGGCAGCGCTTTGCGGCACCATGGCAACTACTTCGGAAGTACTTCTGGCTTTCATATTGGAAAGGAACTCCCGCTTTGCGAAGGAACTCCACGGCCGCCATCTCCAGCGTCCGTCACACGACAACCTGGTCCTCCTCGTCGGCGCAAATGGACACCCCGGGCGCTGGCAGAATCTCCTTCAGCAGGGCTCAGTGTGGACATGCCAACTCTTTGCAACCCAACTCGCTGAACATTGGGCTGGATGTTGACAACCGCAACTGTACAGAAATGTAGCTTCTCCGCCTGGGTGGTCGCACCGCATACGCCAATCTGCATTTGTGGATTCCTGAAGGACACCGGTCTGTCGCGCCACACATGTCGAAAATGTTCAAACAGGGCAAACAGAGGCACAGGACGCGGCCTGCCTCGTCGCACAAGAAATCTGCTTTGCGTTCATGCCGGTCCCACGGAAGGGTTTAATGTTCATCGAGCGGTCATCAAACAGCCAGACATTCGAAAGGGGGATTGAGGCGCGGCTGGCAAGCCTCAGGCTGTGGAATAGTCAGGGTCTGCATGAGTTCTAAGCAACCTGACGAAGTTTTTTTTAAGCCCATGACCAGGCAACGATGCCTTTTGCGGCCTCCTGCTTTGTGCCATCGAGGCATCCTGCGAAGAAACGGCAACGCCTCCGCATTGCTTAGCCAGACCCAGCATGCAAGCAGAACCTCAGCAAAACAGGCCTGTCACCAGCGTAGACTGCGCGTCCTGGCCGAAAGGACCCATCTGGCCACAGCAAAGGCAGAACAGCCTGCCCGGGCCTGCGGAGTGCACGCCCGGCGCGCTTCACCAGACTTGGAAGGACCAGACCTGTCACAAGCCATGAAAGGCCAAGATGATTATTGTGATGTGACACAACCTTGACAACCTGACAATCACGCTTACCAAAAAATTGAGCACGGTGCCACTCCGTCACTGGCAGCTTTCCTGGATGCAAGATGCAACATGATGGAAGCCTCAATTGCTAGCAAAGCATGGTCAGAACAGCGCAGGCTGGCGTGCAGCTGAAACGCCTCCAGAAGACTGCAGATGCTGCACCAGGATCGCACGCTCCTGCACCAGGCGCTGTAGCCATGATGAATCGACGATCTTAGACGTACGTTTCCGAACGGCAAACATGTCGACCAAGATGGCTGTGTGGTGGTCGTAGGAATAACTCTGAACAAGCCTTCTGAATGGACTCCCGGATTGGGATATCGCTAAGATTCTCTAAGCACAAACCTCGAATGAGGGCAAGAAACCAGAGATTAGGCAGGATGTTGCTGAGCTGTGCTGAGCTGTAACACTACTGCTGATTGCAAGTCGTTTCGGGATGCCTGAAAAATTGAACAACCACTCGAACAGCAATGACACCGAGAGCGGTCGTGAGGCTTAACATGCCACCATTCGTGGACATGTCGAGTGAGGCTTCATTGGGCAAGCAATCCGATGCATGACTCTGCACAGATGCTCTGCTTGAGGCCGCTCGCACTACTTGGAGCTACAGTGGGGCGCTTGCCGAACATTGCATCTCAAAGAAAGTCTCAAAGAATACTTACAATCGGAACTCAAGTGCTAACGGCAGCAAGTACTTGCCAAAAATGCGTCTCACTGCGCGGTCCTGACTGTTCGCTCCACTGACATCCCCCGCGGTGACAATGCCCACGAAGCAGTTGGTGCAGAAAGTTCCTTTGAAAGACTGGCCAACCTGCAGCCCCGTCTCAAAGCCATGTTGGGGGGCACAGCAAAGTGTGACGAATGAAGACGATAGCCCTTTCCCGCCGAAGCACGGGCCGGGCAGCTCAATTCGGCTGCTAATAGTTTGCTAAAAGTACAACGGCGTAGGTGTGCCAAATGCAATATACAACGTGCAAAAGAACCCCGAGGTTCGAGCTTGGGGCGATTTCGAGCTTGAAGAATCAATCCGAGAAAGCCTCCAACCCCACCCACTTCCCTCCACGACCACAACCCCGCAAACCCTCAAAAGCGAACCCCAAACCCCAGAGAGATCCAAAAGGTGATTTTCGGCATGGTGCTGAATTGCTTGGTACAGCAAAAGGCGTTGTCACGTGACTCTTCCCTGTTTCAGTGGCAATGTAGCGTGCACGAAGGAGATTACATGTACGCTTCCAATGGACTTTCTACTGTGTTGAACTGTTGCAGTGCTTGTTTGATCGGTTTTGACAAGTCAACGTTGTCATACCGACATTGGAAGTTGATTAAGAATCGTATGTTACTTGTTGGGGGTATCAGCGGCTTGGTAGTTGTCAACGGAGCCTCCAAAGTTTCAAAGCAGGTTTGTAGGGCTTTCTCCATGTCGGTTCACATTTATTGAGTCATTTGCTGCCTTGCTTGTGCAGTCGGTCTCGGCACGGCAGCTATCTATTTTGCTGGTAGCTTCGTTGTTAGTGTGCTTGTTGGTATTCCTACGCAGGTCTTCCAATGTGTCGCAGTATAGCGAAGGACAGGATCCGCGAAGGGCAGACCTCCGCGAAGGGCAAAACGTGCGAAGGGTAAGACCCTCCCGAAAGCCTGTCCAGAGAGAGCAGGTCACTAGGACTCCACATCATTCTCATTCTGGAACACTTCATGTTGAAAGCGAGAGGTGAACGAATCGTCTGCCGCCGCGCGAAGCGGGCTCGGGCGGGGGGAGGGCTGGTGAGGGGATGGTGGGGTGGTGGGGCTGGTGGGGCTGGTGAGGCTGGTGGGGGCGGGAGGGGGCTAGTAAAGGGGTGGTGGTCGCCCCCATCCCCTCAAAGTGGTCCGACCAGAACGTGGAGAAGCATCATAAAGCTGAACCTTCCGTACAGCACCGAAACCGGACCGAGCCAAGGCCTGCGACAGCGTAAGATCTCCTCCACCATATGCTGTGTCCTACCCGGGAGCACCAGCTGCTGATAACCAGCAAGAAGGCTAGGCGCATCAGCATCCGCCGTCCTTGATGCCGGGGTGGACTTGATTCTGAGAACCTTGCGATAGTCACGATGATCACTGCCGCCAGACTGCAGTGTCCTTCCCTGAGCTTGGTACACTTCGGGCTGGTTAAGTCTTGCTGGCCAGTCAGTGTCCGGTCCACATCGAAGAGGCAGAGACAGTCACCCTGGCTCCTGTTCAAGATTGAGGCAGAATCCAGCGGCACGGTTAGGCACGCAGCTGCTGCATGCTGCTGCACTGCTCAAATGGGCTCCCTCGCTCAAGGTTGATTGCATCAGTCTGTGGCTGCCCCGTCTGCGTGTCCTATTCAGCGATGCCACGCACACGGCACTCGTAACCTGAGCAGATCTGTTTGAACCCCACTCTCTTGCATCCACGCACTTCCAGTGCTTGAGAGGTCCTTGCTTGTCTCAGGAACGAATATGAGTCCACAGGACAAGAATCACAGACACGAGCAGTTCGGAGGCAGTTGGGAGGGAGTTGACTTTTATCCGGCCTGTGCGCCTGCTCTGAATCACTTCGCTCCCGTGCCCCAGAATGTCCCGGACTCCCCAGACCAAGCAGCCACCAGCAATGTAGCAAGCGCACCTCGGGGAAACTTGGATTTTGACACAGCCAGAAGACTCGAGCTCCTGGCCAGCCTTGGCGCACATGTCTGAGCCCGGCGCCTGCCATGCCCGCTCCTGGAGCCAGGGATTCTCAAAAACCCTACAAAGCCCGAAAAGCAATGCTCAGACAAATCAAGGACCCGCAGGGACTCGTAAGGACATGCAAGGACCCACAGGTCACGAGGCCAGGCCAATATAGGCCAATGGAGACCAGGAGCTCAAGCTGAACTCAAAATGCAGTTGATCCCGGGTGGCAAGCAAACACCAGTTAGAACCGGCCCAGGGCCCAGGGCCTAGCAGACCGCTGCCCCAAAGCCTCTTTGGTCATCCACAATCCATATCAGCCCATGGATTCCATATCAGTCTGCTAATTGTCAACTCACAGTCTAGTCAAGAAGTGCAAGGCAGCCAGGAACTAATGCTTGTGTAGTGCTTGCTCCCTGCAAGATTCACGTGCAACAGCGAAGGCTTCACGGGATCAGTGAACTCAAAGCACGATGCAGCTCATGGACGCTGGACATTCACAACCAAATCCTTACCCAAGTGCCATGGCCTTGGCAAATAAGCTAAACGTCGACCTTTCAAGTAGAGCCGAGCTCGAAGGCCAGGTTAGACCTTAACTAGACCAATGCTGCCCAAGGGTCAAGAAGCCGCAAATCCGCAAAACGGTCCGCTGCGCTACAGCAAGAGCCAAATGTGCAGCGGAAAGAAGCAGGTTTGCGCGTCGCGACAAAGATGGCGCTACACAGCTACACTACCTTGCTTGGGCTGGCATGTGGCCAAGCTGCAAGGCGCAAGCAAAGGCACAGATTTGTTTAATTTACAGCCGTTACATGTAGTGGGGCTCTTATTCGGAGTGTCTGGCGACGTGAGTGCAAAACTCTTACAGTGAAGTCTGGGAACGATGAGCAGCTCAGCCACCAGAGCGGCGCAGATATCCGGTGCCTCGTATCAGGTGGGCTTCAAGGGTCAGGAAAGTGGAGACGTCCCAGCCTCTTTGACACTCAAACTTGAGTTACAAATTTTCAACTGAAGCATACAAAGGCCTACGGACTTTTGCTGGCAGGTCGCTTTGACGTTTCGTGCACCTCAGGAATAGTGGAGAGATCAGCAGAGATGCTCAGCGCGTCAAACGAGCAAGTCCCTATCAGATTGAACCTGTGATTCCTCCTGCTGACAAGCGGACCCAAAACAAGGCCCACGACGTAGGCCACGCGGGACTTTGTGCCAAGGTGCCGCGTCGTGCTTGTCGTGGCTTCGAAGCTTGCCGCCTCATCAGCTGCGAAGCCGTCACTAAGAGCTACGACGCCTTCGCAGCACATTGCCGCACTTTTCTTGACCTTTTCGAGAGGAAAGAAGGATCAACAGAGCGCCCGTCTCAACATCTGTGGCTCCGGCAGTGGCTCCCTTGCCACCATTGCAAAATTTTGCTGCAAGGCTAACTGCGGAAGTCTGCTACTAGTACTTAGAAACTGGCAGAAACGATTCTGAAAAATGGTAGCCTGTCCTCCAAGTGATAGGGCAGTTCATGACGATGTCAATGTGAAATCAGAAATCAAAGGAAGCATTGAGCCTATGGCTGCAACACCCGTCCGAGCACAGCCAAGCCGTGCTGTCAACTGACCAGCTCATGTGCAAAGTCAGCTTCTTTTCCCGGGCCTAAAAATGGTAGCTGCAGTTAGTGACTAGCCGCCTTCACACAACTAACTGCTTCAGGACTGGCCCCACGGCCCACCGGGGTGGATCTGGTCGCTGGGCACTGCCATCTCGCCGTTGACGACCTCCTGCCATGCCGCCACAGGCCACGAGAAGCCACTGGCCATGCACGTCAAGGCCAAAGGCACGTCGATGTTCAGCTCCTTAGCCTCATCATTGGTGCGGATCAGGTACGAGCGCCCGGCCCAGCCAATCCAGCCAGCAATGTAGATGAAGATGGCCGCAGGCCACATGGCGCTGCCCCTCACATTCCACTCACCAGTGGCGATGGTGCGTGGCAATCCATCCTTCTTGCCACACAGCCTGTCACCGTATGCCTCCTCACGCATATTGATCAGCTTGATCTTCTTGTTGAAGCGAGCGTAGGCAGCAGAGCCCTCCGCAAACTTGGACTGGTTCTTCTTCACCTTGTACAGCTCATCCTTGATCTTCTTGTGGTACTTCTTGTTGTCCTTGCAGGGCTCCAGGACAGGGGAGGCCTTGATTGTCCAATGGGCCGGCGTGTCCTCCAGGTCAATGTCCACATCATTGATTTTTGTCAATTCGGCACTCGCAGGAGCGCTGGAAGACACTGCCATCACCAGGCCGGCCAGAAGGCCAGCAGCAGTCCATTTCAGGAACGATGCCACAGGAGATGGCTCTGCAGCTGCTTCGGTGCCTGTCACAGGAGACTCGCTGAGCCCATTGGGGAGCGCCTTCCCGCTCACCTCCACTCCACGCGTCTGGGATGCTCCGCTGCGGGGTCCCGTTGGCGCAACAAACGCCACAGCGGCCGCCAAGACGGTGGCAGCCGCGACGCAGACCAAAGCGTTGCCAAGGCGCGCCATGATTCTGGGCCGCAGTCTGGGCCTGCTCTGAGCCCGCCCTGCTGTGGAGGCATTGCGACATGAACCAGCGCCAGCTTAGCATGCATTCACGTGCCCAGTAATTCAGCACCTACAAACTGGCTCTTAGTGAATCATGTCACAGGTCTTGAGCAGAGTACTTTTTGCCACGGTCGTGCCGGGAGGGTCAAAAATTTTGCAAGCAAAAGCCAGCTCAGGACTGGCCCCACGGCCCACCGGGGTGGATCTGGTCGCTGGGCACTGCCATCTCGCCGTTGACGACCTCCTGCCATGCCGCCACAGGCCACGAGAAGCCACTGGCCATGCACGTCAAGGCCAAAGGCACGTCGATGTTCAGCTCCTTAGCCTCATCATTGGTGCGGATCAGGTACGAGCGCCCGGCCCAGCCAATCCAGCCAGCAATGTAGATGAAGATGGCCGCAGGCCACATGGCGCTGCCCCTCACATTCCACTCACCAGTGGCGATGGTGCGTGGCAATCCATCCTTCTTGCCACACAGCCTGTCACCGTATGCCTCCTCACGCATATTGATCAGCTTGATCTTCTTGTTGAAGCGAGCGTAGGCAGCAGAGCCCTCCGCAAACTTGGACTGGTTCTTCTTCACCTTGTACAGCTCATCCTTGATCTTCTTGTGGTACTTCTTGTTGTCCTTGCAGGGCTCCAGGACAGGGGAGGCCTTGATTGTCCAATGGGCCGGCGTGTCCTCCAGGTCAATGTCCACATCATTGATTTTTGTCAATTCGGCACTCGCAGGAGCGCTGGAAGACACTGCCATCACCAGGCCGGCCAGAAGGCCAGCAGCAGTCCATTTCAGGAACGATGCCACAGGAGATGGCTCTGCAGCTGCTTCGGTGCCTGTCACAGGAGACTCGCTGAGCCCATTGGGGAGCGCCTTCCCGCTCACCTCCACTCCACGCGTCTGGGATGCTCCGCTGCGGGGTCCCGTTGGCGCAACAAACGCCACAGCGGCCGCCAAGACGGTGGCAGCCGCGACGCAGACCAAAGCGTTGCCAAGGCGCGCCATGATTCTGGGCCGCAGTCTGGGCCTGTCTCTGAGCCCGCCCTGCTGTGGAGGCATTGCGACATGAACCAGCGCCAGCTTAGCATGCATTCACGTGCCCAGTAATTCAGCACCTACAAACTGGCTCTTAGTGAATCATGTCACAGGTCTTGAGCAGAGTACTTTTTGCCACGGTCGTGCCGGGAGGGTCAAAAATTTTGCAAGCAAAAGCCAGCTCAGGACTGGCCCCACGGCCCACCGGGGTGGATCTGGTCGCTGGGCACTGCCATCTCGCCGTTGACGACCTCCTGCCATGCCGCCACAGGCCACGAGAAGCCACTGGCCATGCACGTCAAGGCCAAAGGCACGTCGATGTTCAGCTCCTTAGCCTCATCATTGGTGCGGATCAGGTACGAGCGCCCGGCCCAGCCAATCCAGCCAGCAATGTAGATGAAGATGGCCGCAGGCCACATGGCGCTGCCCCTCACATTCCACTCACCAGTGGCGATGGTGCGTGGCAATCCATCCTTCTTGCCACACAGCCTGTCACCGTATGCCTCCTCACGCATATTGATCAGCTTGATCTTCTTGTTGAAGCGAGCGTAGGCAGCAGAGCCCTCCGCAAACTTGGACTGGTTCTTCTTCACCTTGTACAGCTCATCCTTGATCTTCTTGTGGTACTTCTTGTTGTCCTTGCAGGGCTCCAGGACAGGGGAGGCCTTGATTGTCCAATGGGCCGGCGTGTCCTCCAGGTCAATGTCCACATCATTGATTTTTGTCAATTCGGCACTCGCAGGAGCGCTGGAAGACACTGCCATCACCAGGCCGGCCAGAAGGCCAGCAGCAGTCCATTTCAGGAACGATGCCACAGGAGATGGCTCTGCAGCTGCTTCGGTGCCTGTCACAGGAGACTCGCTGAGCCCATTGGGCAGCGCCTTCCCGCTCACCTCCACTCCACGCGTCTGGGATGCTCCGCTGCGGGGCCCCGTCGGCGCAACAAACGCCACAGCGGCCGCCAACACGGTGGCAGCCGCGACGCAGACCAAAGCGTTGCCCAGACGTGCCATGGCCAGAGACAGAGATGCCCGCCTAATGCGAACTTGAGCAAAACAATGACAAGACAAAGGCACAGCATGAGCGAACCTGTGCCAACAGAGCATGCAAAAGAGATGGCTGCCCATGCTATGGATCTGTTGTATCTGTGGCCTGTGGCCTTTTTGGATCTGAAAAACAGAGCTCACAAGCTCCTACAACGAAATTAGGACTGGCCCCACGGCCCACCGGGGTGGATCTGGTCGCTGGGCACTGCCATCTCGCCGTTGACGACCTCCTGCCATGCCGCCACAGGCCACGAGAAGCCACTGGCCATGCACGTCAAGGCCAAAGGCACGTCGATGTTCAGCTCCTTAGCCTCATCATTGGTGCGGATCAGGTACGAGCGCCCGGCCCAGCCAATCCAGCCAGCAATGTAGATGAAGATGGCCGCAGGCCACATGGCGCTGCCCCTCACATTCCACTCACCAGTGGCGATGGTGCGTGGCAATCCATCCTTCTTGCCACACAGCCTGTCACCGTATGCCTCCTCACGCATATTGATCAGCTTGATCTTCTTGTTGAAGCGAGCGTAGGCAGCAGAGCCCTCCGCAAACTTGGACTGGTTCTTCTTCACCTTGTACAGCTCATCCTTGATCTTCTTGTGGTACTTCTTGTTGTCCTTGCAGGGCTCCAGGACAGGGGAGGCCTTGATTGTCCAATGGGCCGGCGTGTCCTCCAGGTCAATGTCCACATCATTGATTTTTGTCAATTCGGCACTCGCAGGAGCGCTGGAAGACACTGCCATCACCAGGCCGGCCAGAAGGCCAGCAGCAGTCCATTTCAGGAACGATGCCACAGGAGATGGCTCTGCAGCTGCTTCGGTGCCTGTCACAGGAGACTCGCTGAGCCCATTGGGCAGCGCCTTCCCGCTCACCTCCACTCCACGCGTCTGGGATGCTCCGCTGCGGGGCCCCGTCGGCGCAACAAACGCCACAGCGGCCGCCAACACGGTGGCAGCCGCGACGCAGACCAAAGCGTTGCCCAGGCGCGCCATGGCGAAGTGACGCCAGTGTGCAATTGACCTGGCTTGACCTAGCAAGTCCAAGCCCAAAGGATGGCCGCGACAAAGTGAGCTACTTGTACCGATATCTTCTGATAGGTGAGAAGCAAGCACATGAGATTGACATGAGATGGCTTTTCCTGCTTGGACAGATGACAACGCGTCATCGGATCCCTCAAGGAATCATGAAACTCCAGCCGCCGCAAGCTCCGTGATTCTAAATGGAGCAAGACAAGAAACAACACACTTCGACCCAAAAAAGCATCGTGGGCTCAAGCAACAATAACTAAGGGACTCAGGACTGGCCCCACGGCCCACCGGGGTGGATCTGGTCGCTGGGCACTGCCATCTCGCCGTTGACGACCTCCTGCCATGCCGCCACAGGCCACGAGAAGCCACTGGCCATGCACGTCAAGGCCAAAGGCACGTCGATGTTCAGCTCCTTAGCCTCATCATTGGTGCGGATCAGGTACGAGCGCCCGGCCCAGCCAATCCAGCCAGCAATGTAGATGAAGATGGCCGCAGGCCACATGGCGCTGCCCCTCACATTCCACTCACCAGTGGCGATGGTGCGTGGCAATCCATCCTTCTTGCCACACAGCCTGTCACCGTATGCCTCCTCACGCATATTGATCAGCTTGATCTTCTTGTTGAAGCGAGCGTAGGCAGCAGAGCCCTCCGCAAACTTGGACTGGTTCTTCTTCACCTTGTACAGCTCATCCTTGATCTTCTTGTGGTACTTCTTGTTGTCCTTGCAGGGCTCCAGGACAGGGGAGGCCTTGATTGTCCAATGGGCCGGCGTGTCCTCCAGGTCAATGTCCACATCATTGATTTTTGTCAATTCGGCACTCGCAGGAGCGCTGGAAGATACTGCCATCACCAGGCCGGCCAGAAGGCCAGCAGCAGTCCATTTCAGGAACGATGCCACAGGAGATGGCTCTGCAGCTGCTTCAGTGCCTGTCACAGGAGACTCGCTGAGCCCATTGGGCAGCGCCTTCCCGCTCACCTCCACTCCACGCGTCTGGGATGCTCCGCTGCGGGGTCCCGTCGGCGCAACAAACGCCACAGCGGCCGCCAACACGGTGGCAGCCGCGACGCAGACCAAAGCGTTGCCCAGGCGCGCCATGGCTTTGGCTTGAGTGATGCTGAGCCGAGAACAGTTCGAGCCACCATGTCCACAAGTTTCTTCCTGGATGCTTCAGATGTCGTTTCAACAGCTTGGGGAACATGGCACAGCATGATCACAAGACAGGAACCAATTGCAAGCTTGCAAGCTGTCGAGCGTCCAGCAATGTCCAGCACGCCACCCAGGGCGAGACTAGCTGTTTTAACGAAGCGTGCAGGGCCCGGTCGGGCCGCAGAGTCCATTGTCCAATTGTGTCTTGAATTAACGCAGAAAATCAGGAAACAATGAAGTTACAGAATGTCACATGTCTGCTAATGTGTTGGCTCTAGCAGTAGTAGCGCTGCTTCTCTCGAATCAGTCTTCGTATTGGCCCTGTGCAGCAGCGGTGTCTTTGAGGAGTTGAGCCACTTGCTGAGGGCCCATGCCTTGCAGCTGCACGATGCTGTCGATGATGTGCTGGACTTTGCACTCGTAATTCATGGACATGACGGCGGGAACTGGTGCCGCCTGTGGCACGTTGATGAAGCCTGGCCACTCTGCCCATCCGAAGCCATCGTGCATCATTGGCTGCTGGTATGAGTAACTTGGCATGCCTGCATTCACCATGTTGGTCCATGTAACTGGGCTTGGCATCTCTGGCACGACGTCTTCCATGCACGTTTCTGGATGATTGGGGGTGCGTGCATGAACGGCGTGATTGTAGAGCTCTTCTCCTGCAGTGCGATACTTGTGCACCAGGTCCTGAGCACGATTCATGTCAAAGTTTGCAGCCGCCGTTGAAGGTTTCGGCGTGCGGCGCCAGTCATCACGCCTGTCAAAGAGATTGCAAGTAAAATTTACGCTTGTGACCAAGAACTGTTGGCTCTTGTGATGCACATTTGGCGTGCAGCGTGCAGCGTAGCGAGTATAACACGAGAAAGGGAGATCCGAAGATGAACCACCGCACCTCCACTGCCAGTTGCCATTCTCCCAAGGAGCATAACCGCTGTTCTCACCCCGGCGGCGTCGGCCGCCGTAGTGATTGTAGGTGTTCGTGCGGTTTGCCATTGCTTGATCAGATGACGCTAAGGCGTCTCAATCCACTAGCCACTATAACTCGCTCTGCTGTATGGCAGCGCTTGTTCTGGAACCCATCCTCAAGCAGAACTGCCATGTCAGGGCTTCCTTAACAGATTCCTGACCTTAGATCAACCACAACAACATGTCTCGTCCGCTGATTTTTCTTTAGCTGGCGAGATGGAAACATACAGCCTCCAGCGGCTTATCCGCTAACTGCTTCAGCAGCTGCATGGTCTCGTAAAGCCATCTAGTAACTAGTAACTAGAACACAGCCGCGCAGCCACGATAAGCCCCTTTGGGCAATTGGAACGGTGCAGAACCTAGTCGCTCAAAGTGATAGGGCTGGGTCACCTCGCATTAAACCCAGCAGCCAACGCATGCGAAGCTTACTAGGCACGGCGTGAGTGATCCACAAATACGGCCCACGCCTCACGGTGCTGCGCCCAGAAGCTCACGCTTCATGTCGTTACACCTGAGAACCAAACCGTTCTGCGAGTGCTGCTGGAAAACGTAATGCTAATGCTCGTGCGAACTTCCAGGATGATTTCTTTTTGGGTGATCGCTTTAAACACTCTCCGCTGCATAACATGTAACAGTCATGTAACTGTAACTCTCGCTCTCGCTCTGAGTCCAGAGCTCACTCGAGATTCGTCGAAACATTGTGCGCAGCTCATCTGCCTGTTGATGCTATGCACGTGATTACCACCACCACCACCACCACCACCACCACCACCACTGCCGCCACCACCACTGCAGCATACCCCAGCAACACACACCAGCAACACACACCAGAAACACCAGCAACACACACCAGCATCACCTTTGGGTACGTGGTGGGCTGCCTTGTCCTCCCATGCTCTAGCTCTCAGAGTTACCGATAGCCCTTACTGCCCTTACTGCTTCTCAGGCTTTGCGTCCGAAACACCCCGCCGTAGCCAATTCTTGTGAGGACATGCTCGACAAACACTCATTCTCCAACCACTTATGGATGGAAAGGATGGAAAGGATGGAAAGGATGGAAAGGATGGAAAGGATGGAAAGGATGGAAAGGATGGAAAGGATGGAAAGGATGGAAAGGATGGAAAGGATGGAAAGGATGGAAAGGATGGAAAGGATGGAAAGGATGGAAAGGATGGAAAGGATGGAAAGGATGGAAAGGATGGAAAGGATGGAAAGGATGGAAAGGATGGAAAGGATGGAAAGGATCGCTGAAGATGCTTTTTGACCAGCACTGAGCCCACAAGCTGTTTTCTGATGCGCCTGCATCGGGGCCTGCGACTCGAGGAGGCCGCTCAATGCCTCCACAGCGTCACTCTGCAAAAATCACGCCTCTGCACACCCCTGTACTTACAGATCTTTACAAGCGTTCCACAGCCGCCCTTCCTGAGAAAAGGAGAACAAAGATACACAAGATTGCAACTCCGCCCAAGCAAAGACTCAATTGATGATCGGGTGCCGCCACTCATTTCACTAGACGAAACAAGAGTCAGATGAAGGGGTGGTGCCTCTTTCCTAAGCTTCTCTCATCGACCTAATTCTCTGGGCGGTCACGTACAGGATTTCAAGACTGGTACGGTTTCTATGTTGGGTTCTTTGGTCAGTGGTAGCTTCCAAGTTTGTATGGTGGCTCATGAGTCCTTGCTTGTGGTAACGTGTCAATGCTGGGTTTGGGTTGGGCGGGGCTCACGAGGTCTCAACGTGTGATGTCGCACCTTTGCGGAAAGGGTTTTCACTAATGAGTGATGGAGCGCCTTCAAGCGTGCATTCCAGCTCCCGTGCCCGGCTGTATGTCGAACCTGGCACTGCGGACAACTGAACGACTATCGAACACACGTACTCAGCGCATTTGTTCCGAGAAATCTCTTTGTAAGGGTGGCACCAAACGGGCGGCATAGTCAGCCTGCCGGAAACAAAGCGGATTGCTGGTGCCAAGTGCTGGGCATGGCCTTCCGCAGAATGATCACTTCTGCGCAACACGAATCTGCAGAGCTGTGTAACTATTTCAGATTATTCAGGGTCAGTTCCAGCTTCGGCACATGGGGTGGATTCCCCCCCCTCGATTCCAGAAAGCCAAGAGCCGATTTGCCCCCTCCACAACCCAGCAAGCGCACACGAGGGACCCCAAGCGTCCCGGGTGGATCTACCCTGCATAGCTGAACTGGGTGGCATGGGCAACAAGCAGTGGTAGGCGGCCTCACTCTCGCCGTCATCTTCGAGGACAGCCTGAAGTTGGAAGGCCAAAGATGTTTATAAAGGCGCCTAGGTGAAAGCATGCAACAGAAAGCCACAAGGCTGCCACAGCATATCAGCGTCATAAGCCGTGACATTTAGGCGTGAGCAGAGGTCTAAACTCGAGTGAAGCTGTGAAGCTGTGAAGCTGCGAGAATGCCCACATTGCGACGTTTCCTGGTGATGTTACGACCTTCTCTGGAGCCGTCGAAACTTTAAACCCTGAAAACAAAAAAACTAAAATACTGGAACCCTGAAACCCAAAACACACAAACCCTAAACCCTAAAATCCTACTACCCTGAAACCCAAAAAAGAACCACCAACCGTGAGAGGGCCTCCAGAGGGGGAAATCCAGGGCCTCTAATTTTTGAGCGCTCCAGAAAGCCGGGGCCTGCAAGGTGGGGCCTCCAAACCGAAACTCGTGGAAACTTGTGGCGACGTGTGGCGACGTGTGGCGACGCATGCATCCTGGTGGCCTCCAGCAGACGCTGCACGCGAGGCAGCTCATTGTCATCCGCGCCCTCGCCCAACCAGTCACGGACCAAAACCTGCAAGGCACGGCAATTGCGAAGCGCAAGGCACAACAATGTGTGACTGAAGGCGCAGTCTAACTCCCTCAGTGCGAAGCGGATCCATGGGGATGTAGAACGCACGACACCGGACTGTTGTCCACCAGCACCTCTGCAGGCAGATAGAGGGGAACGTCGATCTGTGCACACGATCGTGCAATGCATGCACTGCGTGCTAGCAAAACCCATGCTGGGCCCGCCGCCCTGCGACGCAGCAGCTGCTGTTCCTCGGAGAAGCTTTAACTAACAAAAGGATTCGAACCCACGTCTGAATCATAACTAATAAAGAACCTCAAACAAGAAAAAAAAGAGAGCTTGAGGTGAGCAGCAGTCGCATCCTCCGCGTCGTATTTCGACGGGATCTGGGACATCTCCTGAAGAGAGCAAATGGGGAGAGGAGCGCAAAAAAGAGCTTCAACTCGACACGCTGTCCTTGAGGAAAAACCCTGGAATTGTGCACGGCTTACATTTGTCCCTGGTCAGGACCTCGACACTTTTCAAATCGAGTTCATTGCACCGGTGGCGGCAAAGCACACCATCGTCCCGGCCCGTCAGCTCAGGCTTTCTGGGGTCGAGGCTCGCATCGCAAAGATGCGACCTCCCGGATCCACGTGGCGCATCAGGGCCTGACACCAATGTCCGGAACGGTTGTGCCGCACAGAAGCCAGTGCCTTCACCGTGTATGCCCTGCAAGTCGGCGAGCCTTAGTGTAGTTCGGCGTGGAGGTCGTGTAGATCCACGGACCTGTGTGCAAGATGAGAGGGGCATGGAGGTGGAGTCCTATTCTTGTACGGTCATCGACCTTCCTGCTTGTAGTTGTTACTGTCTTCAGAGAGGAAGGCAATGGCACGACACCAGAACCGACAGCCGAATGCTTTGCCATTTTGCTACATAAACGGATATGTACACAAGCGCCACGCGGTCCACTAGGCCGTGTCATGGCTCCTGACACTGCATCATTATGCATGATGCACTTCACGAAACAATGCGCAGTATTTCAGCGCAAGCTGCATTGGGATCTGGTGGGCTTCAAGCCTCGACCGGCTCCAATGCGTGAGCTTCAATGAGCTTCAATGCCTCTGAAAGGCTCTGCTTGTGCAACTGGTGCTTCCGCAAGACACCTTTGACAAATGCTCGCAGCGGCAAAAGAAATTCTGTAGATGTCGTCAGCGATCAGCATCACTCAGGCTGCTCTCAGAGGGCATTCGGGATGCGATCGGGTTCCTGGGAGAAACATGAGCCAAATCACATGCTCAGCTGCGATGAGCTTCTGGCGTGCAAGTTGTTCAGATGACATTTGGCTGAGTTGTACTGTAGACCTGGCCTTTACGTAGATCTAGCCTTGCTTGCAAAACCGAGCCCAGGGATCGAATCACGTGCTGCAACGCGATGACCATCGACTGGCTCTGAGGGTCGTGAACGCCTCCGGTGCGAAAACGGCAGAACAGCGGACTCGCAGCAGACTTGCAATGATATGCCGCAGCCTGCAATCGTAAACTCGTTCTGGGACTCCACCTGGAACAAAGCTGAAAACCACTCCCACGCAGTTCTGAACTGATTCTTGGGCATCCTGCCTCCTCCCAGCTTTTCTTCGCATCTTCTGGTCTCAGGATCTCTGCAGACTTACACTTTGCCTCGAGCACATGGCACCCCATCGCGTCCGAAAACCCGACAACCAAAGCAGAAAAAACAAGAACTTCAAAATAGTCAGCCCGCTGCAAATCGATCGGTTATCCTTGAACGAAGCTGCGTAAATCAAGTGGAAGTGCGCATGGTCCTTCACGTACATACAAACCTCAGCTCTGTGTAGCAGATCCCGATAGTCGGAGCTGGATCTATCTCTCGTCATCGGAGCTCTTGCGGACGCACAACACCTTGAGCACCCTGAATTCAACATAATAGAACTACCAAGGTGCTGAGGCCAGGCTGCTTGGAATCCTTACAGGGAGGTTTGTAGGATCTTCGTTGTGCGGACCGCTGTGTGAGATGGCGCTTCACCCGCAAGGTGTTTACAGATCCGCACTCGTACATCGCACAAAAACGGTGCCAGAAAACACGCCTGCTTCACGACAAACGGCAACGACTTCTGCCTAGTTTTGTTGCAACTTCGACGATGAAGTTCAGCTCGTGCCATGGAAGGGCCACCATCGCTCTGCTCGCTTTTTTAGGAACAAGCACGACCACGTACGGTAGGACTTGGAAACCCGTGGAATGGCAGCATCCTCTCGCAGGCTAAAGAAGCCAAGAGGCACGGATCTGTTGTCTGCTTTGTACGTCAATGTCTGGTGCAGCTTCGGCCCAGGCGCAAAATGGACCATACAAATGTCCATGAGCGCCTGTGCCTGTTCAATCAACACAAAACCCCCCACTATCACTCGCTTGCGACGATCGTTCTGACCCACTGCCTCATAAACCTGATACTTCTTGGTGATGGCTGAACCAATGAAGTGCTCATAGAAGCGAGCGACACCTGGGCGCAGCTGCCAGTCGCTGGCTCACATACAAAGGTGCCAGGAAACTAGCCAGTTCACCCATATTGAAGTCGAGGTCGAAACGAGCAAAGCTCAACGTGCGATGCACACAAGTCGGAGGCGAGCCGACGCGGATGCAGGCAACAAAGTGCCGCGAAACATCAGGCGAAAACCGCGGGAACATGACCGCAAGGTCTGAGGCAGAAAGGGTGTTCAGGGATCGGGGGTGGGAGGAGGGAGGACCGGGGGGGGGGGGGGGGGGCGTAGAGGGGGTGCTTGCAAGAAGACAAGCGATGACATGGTGGCTGTGTATTACTGTATGATGCCCACACCACACACACTTGAAGACAGTCGTTGCGCAATCCCAAATTTACCCCTGACTAATACAGTTTGATACGTCGGTGGTGCAGCAGCTTGGTGTCCAGTGTGGAGTTTTTGTGCCTTGGCCTGATGGCGGCATCGAAGGAATTTTCTAATGCTCACGCATGTGCACAAAAACAGGAGGCGCCGCCCCAGTAGGTTTTGACCCAAGCAGAAAGAAACGGTAAACGACCACGTGCTCTCCAGGAGCTAGGCTTCAAGATAAGAAATCTTCTACTTTTTGAATTTTTTGAGATTGCGGAACTCTCCAAGGCACCCTGTATCTGTTCTCGTTTGGGCAGCAGAACCACAGCCTCGGACAGTGCCAGGGCGTTCTTTCCCCGGACGTTGCTCCTGTGCGAAGCACACATGCCAGGCGGCCATGCACGTTCGATGGGAGGTGTGGGAGGGTGGAAGGGAGAGGCAGAGAGAGAGAGAGAGAAAGAAAAAGAGAAAAGAGAAAGAGATAGAAAGAGAGAGCGAGCGAGCGAGGAGCGAGACCGGGCATCCAATTTGCATGCAAGACACAGCCCCGACGGAATAGACCGAATTGCTGCTGCCCAGCCCGAGGGGGCCTTCCCAGCACAACTTGATATCTCAGAAATTCTCAGAGCCTAGAACCTCGCTTCTTCTGGCGCTCCTTGCTCTTGCATGCGCTGCACTGTTCGCACGTCGCACTGTTGCACTATCACCATCCACATCATCCACATCAGCCAAGGATTGACCCTACGAACTCCATGTTTTCTCTTTATGTCCCTTTGGGCGGGACTTTGCGGCACTCGATTTGCAAAGGCAGACAGCACGCTGCTTCACACTGCACCACGCTGCACTTGCGCCTCGCTGGCCTGAACCTTGTTGATGTGGCCAGGGTCGTGCAGCAGCCTCAGCTGTGTTGGGAAGCACATTTTGCAGTGTTCCGCACCCTCTGCACCGTGACTCCCTCTTCTTTGCTACGTCGAGGTACAGCCACGAAGCTCAAGAACTTTCTGTCCTGGCACCAACCCAACCACGACCTGGCTTATGCAGTCCAGCCACGCGGCATATTCACCGCCAGTGGTGGCTTCACGCATCTCGGCCACCAATTTTGTGTCCAGCGTACGTCCCAACATGTTGAGCATGTCCTTAGATCGGATCGTGCAGCATGAGGCAGCATCCTGGAATCCTGTGTGTTTTGTCAAGTATGGCTAAAGCACGCAGTGTCTCGGCAACAGTTCGAATGTCCTCCACCCAGATTCGGATCCTGAGTCCGTGGAAAAGTCTCTCTGGAGGCCTGGGACCTAGAATTGACGGGAATACGTGAAACTGCGGGGAATATGCATGAACACCCCGAGATGTCGGCTCCCCGGGCCACTTTCGGACGCTGCCCTCGCTCATGCGAATCTGAGAAGGGCCCACGTGTGCCCAAAGCCTCACTCAAACCCCAGTGGGTGGAAAGCTTGATGATACATGATGATGCTCTCAAGCCAGTTCTCCGCACGAATGTGAATAAGCAAAGCCGTTGTACTGCGAGTAGCTCACCGATGGACTCCTTGTAACTCTCAATGGCACCCAGGCCGTTGATCCAGTAGTCCTTCGCGTCCTCAGAGCACCATGCACGCGTAAGCCTGCAAGTGTGAGGTCACAGGTTGAAAGTCTGCACATGAGCGGTCTCTTTTTGCGCTCCAGAGCACCACAAGCTTTGGCACCGTGAGGTCAAGGTGCCCTGCAAGCAAAAATCTCTGGGAGGCAAGTGGAGGTGGGTGTGAATTCGTCTCAGGGTCTCCTGCCTAGCAGTGGCAGAGAGTCCTTCGGCGCAGGCTGTGAATGCACGTCCTTGCTGCCAGTTCCCAGCACCAGTTTGCGATACCTTGGGCGACTCTGACCAGAAGAGGCCTCAAAATTGAACGCGCCTGGCATGCAAGCAAGAGGCCACTCGGGAGCTCGTTCAGGCAGGAGCCAGTACTGAATGCAGCTCCTCCAGCGCTTTCCATACACTGGCACAGACTGCGCACGTTCAAAAGCTGACAAATCGCAAAGACTTCCCTGCAGCTTCCAACATTCAGGTGAGGCTCTGGTCCGGTGCGCACATTTCCTTATCGTCACCAGCTCAAGCATCTGACTTCGTGAAACTGGGCCTTGAAGGGTGGATGAGTGAACTAGCGGAAGCGACCCGGGAGGCGTGGACCAGTCACAGAAAACGGCCCACAAACGCATAAACCATATCAGAAAACAGAAGCGACCGAGCCAGAAAAGCATGGCTCATACAAGGAAGCAGGGCCTTAAAAAACCCTGGCCGTGTTATGGTCTTTCGGAGGTTCAGGGTGGGGGAGGGGAGGGGGGGGTGGGAATGAACGTTCCTGCCGACCTTAACCCTGAACCCAAACAGAACATTTAATATATTGTACAAAGAAGCAAAGAAGCGCTGTAAATACCAGTGTTGTGGGCATAGTCGCCATATGAATGGGCGTTTTAATTTCGCCACCCCCCCTCCCCAGACACCAAAAAGACAGAACGAAAGAACGAATTACACAGAAATAGAGAGAGAGAGAGAAAGAGAGAAAGAAAGAAAGAAAGAAAGAAAGAAAGAAAGAAAGAAAGAAAGAAAGAAAGAAAGAAAGAAAGAAAGAAAGAAAGAACGACACAAAGAAAACAACTACATAAAGAAACACAGTAAGCAGCAAGGACAGACAAATACATAAAGAATGAACGACAAAAATTAAAGTGACCGACAGAAGTTGACAACCATTCAATTCAGGAAGGAGCCAACAACATAAAGATGCGAAGAAAGAATGGAACAACAAAGACAAAGATAGACAAGAGAAATGAAAATACAAAAAAAGAGAAATGATCAACGTGCTAAGCAGAATACATTGTTCTTTACAGTGTTTTGCGTCTGTATGCCTCTTTGTACAACAAGCTGTAAGGAATCAACACAACACCCAAAAACTAACTAACACCGAAGCATTGCAAACTCTCTCGATACTTTTTTGTTTGGAGGTACCAGCTGCGAATGGCAGAAGACTTCATTAAGGCTCTGGCCGCCATTTCCTGAACAAGAAATAGTGTGTTTTTGCATGTCACAAAAAAGTTCAGATTTCCGCAGTTTCGGATGCTAAATCTGCCCAACACATCGGTTTTTACGAGGTTTTCAGCAGCACCGTGTGTGGTCCGAATACTCTTCGAAATTCCCATGCTTGACAACCCAAAACCACGCGAAAACTGCGTGCGCAGCAGTTTATGTCCAGGTTTCTGGCGCGCCTGCGCCCTCCTAAAAACACCCTGCTTGTTTCAAACTCGGCCTACTGTTTTGTGCCTGAAGCCCTAACTTCCGCTTTGCAGGAATTCGAGGACAAGTCTCGTGGCATGTCTTGCCAATTCGCTTTAAAGCGTTCATGGCAGCGATCCAGGGATGCTTGACGCAGCTACGACGATCTAAATGGCTGCGACAGCTTGAGAAGATTGCTCACTGCTAACTTTGCTAACTGCTGGGCGCAAGATCCTGGAGAATCTCAACTCTGGCGGCCTTCAATCAGCCCTTCTCGCCGTCTCTCCTCCCAACTGAGAACTTGAGACATAAGACATCCCACACAATTGAGCATGCATTCCCAATCCGTTCGCCCGGGCACAACAGAATCAACAGAAGTTGACAATGGGCAGTTAATATGATCCGCAACATGTCCAGCAGCTTCTCAGAGCACCACCCACCCAAAAACATAGAAATTGTCTAGACAGGAGCTGCGATAACATGTGCAATCCGCACAGCTCCAGCTGCCCATAGATGCACGGCGTTGTCACACGAGCACCTGAACCTTAAGGTGTTCAAGATTGCCCCTGGCACAACTTCATTGAGCATCACAGAAGCTCCTTGATCCACTCCATGAAGCTCCTCAGCAGCTGAACTGTACTGGCATAAGCGTCACATGCTATGAACAAGGGCATTCGGGGTGTTGGGGCACATGCGCGGGCACTGGACAGCCGCAGACAGCATACAAGTCTCGAGCTGAGCCCTAAAGGGGTGCGGAATTCGATGCAATTCGGAGCTCCGAGCTTGGCGCTCCAAACCAGGCCGCAAGGCGACTCCGCAGTCGAACCTCACACTCCGAGGAGAAACGTACGCCCCAGGTGCCGAGCTATGATGTTCGAGATGTTCGAGATGCTATGAGCATTTCAATCTTCAAAGCCCTTGCACAGCCGCTTCGGAGTTGTCCAGGAATCTTGGGTTACGACCAACGAAACAACTTGAGATGCTCATGCAAGTCTCGTTCTCACAAGAAGCTGCTGCAGCAAACCGATGAAGAAGCTGACGGAGATCTGAAGCTGCAATTCTCTATCAGCCATTTCCTACCTAAAGAACGTGACGCCCTTCGAAGCCAGAACGGGACTTCGCGGCTTTGCTGAGGCTTTGAGGCGAGAGCGTCGTGGCTTTCGGCAGAGCTCCCACTTCGATCGGCACGCGGAAGTCAACTGCCCGCACAACTTCCACATGCGCGTCAAGATGTGTCAACGCTGAGTCAACGCATCAATGCAAACAGGGCGAAGCCACCGACTCTCAGGTTCCGATTGTGGTGGACGCCCTTGCAGCAAACTCGCACCTGGCGACTCCAGGGAACAACTATACTTTACTTCGTTGGGCTTCACTGTGAGGCCTTGAGCTTCGGTGGCATCAGTGGGCGCTCTCATGCGCTCTAATGCGCGAGTGTTACAAGATGCAAATTGAATCATTGAGAGTTCTACTTCCATGGCGGGCGGGCCAGCGTCTCATCCAGGTCTAGGACAAGCCTCCGCACGGACTCACACACGACAGGCTGTTGTTCAAATCCCCCCCCCCCCCCCGGTAAGCCCCCGTGCACTCAGGAGCTGACAAGAGTGGCGCTCGCCTCTGTGCAATGCCTGTGGAATAAAGGAGGGCACATGAACAAGTCAGCCCCTTGAGATGATTGCAGCACTTTGGTCGAGGTCCGCCTGCAGCTCGCCTTACCGCTGCAGTTGGTGTGAAAACCATTGCCACGCCCGAAGCATGGCCAAGGGAAACAGAACACACTGAAAGGTGCCTTGGCCATGGAATTTGCATCAACCCTTCTCTGCGCTGCAGGTCGAACTGAACCATCCAGTTCTCGCGATTCATGTGTCCGCACATCGACGTCATACTGTAATGAGACAGCCGAAACGGCTCACACGAGGCTTGTGGAATGACCTTGGCAGCAAGAAAGCTAGCTGTCTGCGCGGGTTGTTTGTTTAACCAAGCGTGAGGCTATTGCTTCATACGGAATCTTGTGTTCCTGGCAGAAGTGCCACGGCTTGCTTTCGCGAACTTTTTCGGTGTCTGTGTTCATCCAGTTTCAAACAAACGACAAAACACAACTTCACGATTTTGGCGAAGGTCGTCTGTGGCGGCAACCATCGATACTCTTTCGGAAAACTATGTCTTCATCTCAGAGTACCGTGCAATTCTTCAGTGACATGTATCATCTTAGACGCAGTGACGAAGGTGGCCAAACTGTGGCGTGAGCGATCCGCGTTGCTTTGTTCATTGTTGCACATCTCGAGTTAAGATTGAAGCTACAGGGTGATGAGAGCACTGGAAGATACAAGGTGCAGTCTGTCCCATGGGCAAGACATCTGGCAGACATGAGGAATGATGCCGTCACCCATTGACCGATTGACGGAAGCGGTGCAGAGGGAGAAAGAAAAGATTGAAAGTCCGTTGAACTGGGACGGTGTTGATCCTCTACACAGTATCGAAGCAGATTACTCCGGAACCATGCACTTTCGATTCGTGTGTCCGCGCATTGGGCAATGTGCCGTCATAGGACAGCCAAAATGGCCCAAAAAGCTTCTGGAATGATTCTGGTCTTCCAATGGTCAAGGCTCTACCAGGACCATTGAACTTACCTACCGGTTCTACCATGCACAGGCACCAAAGTACAAGCTACTGTTTTTACGCTGAATCTCCTTTGGCAAATGTCACGTGCGGCTCCTTTTGCAAATATCACAAGTCAACAGCAAGTCAATCTTAGAGTCATCAGCCATTCTGCGCTGCTTCTCATGTGCGTGCGCTGCTCACCTGTCTGTCATCGCTCGGATGAATCGATTCTGGGAGGTGGACACAGATGCTGGCCACTCTCTCTGGGAAGCACATGCTATGTGTTGTCAGTTGAAACTAAGCAAGTGTAAAGCGGAACTACTTCAAGGGCTGTCATCTCCTTGCACTCAATGTAACCTTTGTGCTCATTGTGTTCACTGTATTCATTGCACTCAATGTACCCAAGTTACTTATTGTACTCATTGTCCTTATTGTACTTCTTGCACTAGATGTACTAATTACGGGAATTATACTAGGTGCACTAGTTGTTCTAGTTGTGATTCTTGTGTTAATTGTACTACTTGAACTGCTTGTCTACCTGTACTAATTGTGATAATCGTAATATTCGAACCCTCGGCAATCTCGTACTTTTCGTCAAGGCTAAGGGCCCGTAGTCCCAGCACGACTCGGACTGCATGGTTGTGGAGTCTGCGATCCACGCATCTGACGCCCAAGAGTGAATACTGTGGTAGGCAGACGTAGCTTTGCGTCACCTCTTGAAAGAAGATAAAGAAGGCTGGCAGATCTCCTGCCCCAGGCTCAGACCCGATCCGTCCGGGACATTGCAGACAATCCCACGCTTTTCGCGAGACAGTCGCTTCGTCACCGTGGTGTCGGCTCCTGAGCCCAAAGAATATGTGAACGTGGCAGCATCTTGGTTTTGGAATGCTGCTGGACACTCACGTAGTCGCTGCTTGACATTTCGCCCTTCCATCTGCGAGGCAGATGATCGCTTTCTGGCACACGGAGGTCGACCCCGCGGCTACTTGAATGGTGGCAAAGGCCGGATCTAAAACGATCTTGAAGTCTGTGCCGCCGCTCCTGAAGTTCTGTTCATTCATCCATCTCTTGATGCTGTTGCGACTGGCGTCGCTCGCAGGAGTCTGGTGCCCGGAGTGTTGCGCTGAAACGCTATGGTTGACGAGGATCACGGCCGCGTAGTCCTTCCAGCCCAGTGCATCCAGCACAGCTCCCATCGCCTGCCGGGCAAGTTTTGGGCTTTCAAGTTTAGGGGTTTAGGGTGTAGGGTTTAGGGTTTAGGGCCTTAGGGCTTAGGGTTTCGGGTTTAGGGTTTAGATGACTGGTTGGGATCCCCATGTAGTAGATGTAATTTGCCCTTTTGCTCGGGTTGCTTTGCTAAGCTTCTGTTTCGCACTAAGGTGGCCCGCACATTCTAGCTTTGTTTGTACCAGTACAAGCTTGCAACTGATTCTGCACCCTTTGCCACGCCCAAGGAAGAACGCTTGCACCGCGCCTGCGGCTGCTGGAGCTGTGCATCCTCCTGCGGATCAACGGAGTGGAGGCCCCTGACAGTGGCAAGAGTTGACTTAACATGAGCTCAGCATGCGGCTGCTTGCAGCGCTTCACTGTTCTTGGCTTTAAATAAGCTGGAGCCGTGTGCTCTCGATTTTCCTGTGATGTGGGTCTAGGAGCCCTACAGGCCCTCATGGCGAGAACTCACTGAGAAGCTAACGCGCTCTTCCAAACGAGGGCGTCCTCCACGAAACAGATAAGGATCCAGGACATCCTCTGTGTCCTGCAGCCGAGAGCAATCAGCTGGTTCCTGTTGGTGCCACTCCGCGTTTGCAAAATACCCATCTTATCGTCCGGAAGCAAGTCAGTTCCGGCCGGAAGTACAAAACGAAGCGACTCCTGCTCGTCCTTGACCGTCTGCTCCGTCACGGAGCAGCAAAAGAGAAGCCACCAAAACGCCATGGAGGCGATTCTGCTTCGTGAACGAGAGCCGATACGCTGCAGTCAGCTTCAGTTCCTCTGCACCCATGAGGACATGCAGCATCGAAGCATGTCCGGCAAGCACAGGAAACATGGGCGGGGAGAGAGAGAGAGAGAGAGAGAGAGAGAGACAGACAGACAGAGAGACCAGAGAGACCAGAGAGACCACCAAAGAGACCAGAGAGACCACCAGAGAGACCAGAGAGACCACCAGACAGAGACCACCAGAGAGAGAGACCACCAGAGAGAGAGACCACCAGAGAGAGAGACCACCAGAGAGAGAGAGACCACCAGAGAGAGCGACCACCAGAGAGAGAGACCACCAGAGAGAGAGCCCACCAGAGGGAGAGAGACCACCAGAGAGAGAGAGACCACCAGAGAGACCACCAGAGAGAGAGACCACCGACCACCAGAGAGACTACCAGAGGGACCACCAGAGAGACCACCAGAGAGACCACCAGAGAGACCAGAGAGACCAGAGAGAGGGAGCGATGACAGCTTCGGCGCTGTTGAGATGGGAGTATCCTAAACAAGGCGCACCCCAATATTTTTGGATCGAGTCTTTTCCCACACGCCATCCAACCTTCCACGCATGTGCTGCGACGACCTGCGGCACGGCTGCTCTACATGCCAGTTTGTGAACCTTCTTTCAGCTACGCATACTACGTACTGGTTTACTGGAGAAGTGCAGCCGCCTGCAATAATGACAACAGCATGGAAAATGCAGACAGGCTGTTGTCACGGCCAGTCTGAGCATTGCAGGCTGCTAGACCAGTGGCGGAAAATCGAAAAGCTTAAGCCAATTACACATGCCAACTTACACAGCTGCCGGCCCAGTTGGATCGCAAACTTTGCGATCCCCTGCTGCATCCTATTTGTATGCCTGACAATGCAGCTGGCTCGATATTGTGCAGTCATGAGAATACATGCCGCGAGATGTTGCGTGAGATGGTACGGTGCTACAGCAGCTCAGTATCTGCTACTTGGCCGGGCCTTGAGCGACATCGCGCCTCCCTGGAATGAAACCCGGCTGCGGTCAATTGGCAACAAGGGCCACTCCACCGTTTTGGCTTCGGAAGGCCGGCAGATGCCGCAGGCAGCTGCGGGGAATTCTATGAACATTGCCAGTTTGCGGCACAACAATCGGAAGAACTGAGTGACTGAGGGCAACTACTGGCGGTGGCATTAACTTCAGGCTTCACATCACAATGCTAGCTTTCGCGCTTCAGCCAAGACGAAGCCTTTGAATTGAGGGCAGGTTCACCTGCTCAGCAATGACAGATTTGCCAAAAAAAGGCTGGGTTGACTGTTGCGAGCCTTCCGGCATAAAGCTCCTCCTCCACGGAACCCACCGCAAACAAGCGGTGGACCTCAAAACTTTCTGATGCCGCAAAGAGGTCGAAAAGGACTGGTTTCACAAGTGCACAGAAGCACTCAAAGCGCTTCACGGGTGATGTGCTCAGAGGTGCTGGCATGCACGGCCTTCTTTTGTGGATATCGCCGCACCTCCGTCACCCACGGAGGAAGAGTCTTCGGGGTTCATTTCGTTCTAAGAGCTGACTTCACGAGGCCCGCGCACGACCAATGGCTTGTGCCTCAAATGCCAACATCTGAAGTCGGGAGATGGAGTCCTGCACTCGCCAAGTGCCCCTTTCCAATGTTGATACGCCTTACTAGCCGCTACTAGCCCTTCTAAATGTTGTTGCACCAACCAGCTGAGCTCCCCATACAATGTTTCTACATCCGCCAGCTGTGCTTCTTCCAATGTTATTTCACCGACCAGCCCAGCTCCCTGCCCAATGTTCTTACACCCACCAACACCAATGCCCGTTCCAGTGTTGTTACAGCCACCCACCAGCCCAGTCAGCCTGGGCGTCCAAAGGTGTATGCAAAACGCACAGCACAGCATGTCACAAGGTCGAGGCAAGCAATCAGGAATGAGAGTCTTGTGCAAGCATGTAATCAACCTACAAACCTCCATCCGGCCGCCCACCGACGGCACAAGCAAACGGCATCATTCAAATCTAGCCTCTGCATATCGAACCTACGCCCAAGCTCCCACGGCCCCAACTCCCGACATCGTGACCGTTTGAATCTTCCTTTTGAGTCGTCGTAAACCTGTCCCAAGTTCGCGAATGGGCGAGATGGCGAGGGCACGCTTTCGGTGTGCCACTACAAGCCCATCTGCGTTAAGACTCCCCCAGCTTGAACGAGCACACGGGTTTGGTTATGCCTTGTGTTGCAAAGCACGCCTGAGAACATGGCCATCTACATGGCCCCAAAGCCCTGCTTGCGCCATCGGTGATGCAATGGCACATGCTCCGGTCCTGGCTTGTAGCTGTCGGCGTGCAGTAGGGATGCCTCAGCTCGGATTCTCGCGGAGTGACTTCTCGGACACTCTCACCCTGCACTCTCGCTCACCCTGCACTCCGGCATGACATCAACGTCTCAGAACAATGGCGCTTGCATATGCAATAGCATATGCTCTCAACATCTTCAGCAGGGAGGCACGATCACCACGTGCCGCGCCATCTGGCAAGCCAAGTCCACATGCTTTGGGAGGTGATCATGCACCGAATTGAGTTCATCAAAGCTCTTCTTCGCCTGCAAATTGATGCCAGAAGAATGTCGCTGGCTGGAGAGGAGCAGCACCTCCGCATCAACACACCAAAACATCCTAAAAGATGTGGCATGATGCGGCATCTGCAGCGTGCTACTTCATCATGTAAGATGTAGCCCTTTCGCAACAAATTGCTCAAGCCCACCCTCGGCTCATTGAGGCTCCCGAAGCGACTCAGGACGTCCATGGTCTCGCGCAGCTCACCCACCTGAGGCCCCACAACATCAAACTCACAAAATCCATCTTATGCCCCCTCATACAAAGTCGAGCACACTACGGGTACCCGGTCACTAACCCCGCATACAGGTCGACAGGGGTGCATGACGGCGTCTCAAAGACGAAGTGCTGGAGCAGTGTGCCCGAGGGCAGCACCAGGGCCAAAGCAGGCACACCCTGCTGCTGCAGCACCTCTTGTAAATAGACCTCAAGAAACAATCTCGCACATTCAAAGAAGCCCTCACATAGAGTGAGCACTTGTCGCGTGGCCAAATCCTATTTCAAAAACAAGCAAACAGCCGCCTTTCAGCGAAACACATCAAGTTCATTCGAGTACTGCCTTCCACGATGCACTTCGAGACAACGACAGTCTCCAACGGCAGCTTTTTTGAGTTTCCGGCCACGTGCGTAGCCCACTGCGTGTAAACAAGAACACGCTCCTGAAGTGTCTTTGCAACTGTGAGAATCTTCAGTGGCTCTGAGTGCCCCGGGATACTCGAGAATTTTGAAACACACATAGAAACACGTTTGAAAGTTCGTCTGACCGTCTCTGGCCTCTGGCCCGGAAGCCAAGAGCTCCCTCAGCAGCGACAGCAAGCGTTGCAGCTTCGACGGGAGGACCTGTCGAAGCACAGTGGAACAGCTTACTTACAGCTGCTGTGGTGTGCACTTCAATGGCGAGCGCAGGAAGCTGGAATTCTACAGTACTGGTAGCACTCCATGTTCTTTGCCCGAAAATGAGAAAATGCCTGAGCTTCAAGGTTGCTCCCAATGCCATCAACGGCATTCTCGCTGCCTGAGTCTGATCTGTTCGCCAGTGCCAACGACAGAAAAAACAATCCACTGAGCCACTGCGCTCAGCTCGGGAAATGCGGGACCGAGTGCCGCACTGCGCTGCATCGCCGGAGAGCCTCCTTCAGCCTACAAACGGCTGCTCGGCACACCACGACAGCTCGATTCATGCTGAATTCAAGCTCGATTCAAGCTCCTACGAGTTCTAGACATGCAGAGGCGGAGCGCCTCAACAGCCTCACCGAGCTCGGCCCTGCCAGGTGCGCGGAAGACGACCACATCCAAACCTCCGCTGACATCGCAGAGTTCATTTCGAGCACTGGGGGCAGCAATCCAACACCTCCAACAGCACCTTCACCTAATTTTCACCCCAATTTCAGAATTTCATCTACACCGGCTGCAGCTTCGGAGCGAAAGACTGACGTGCGGCACATCGGACCTCTGCCGGACGCTCCAAACAACAGCCGTAGTCAGAGCCATGGAAAGAACTGATGCGGAACTCCTATGTTCCTGCTCGTTGCTGCCCCTCGCATCACAATCACAACACTATCAGTCGCGGACAGCCAAAGGTTGGATCCATTCCAGCCTAGTCGGCAGTCTGCACGATATGCAACATCCAAGTGCATGGTCCACCTTCACATGCCCTTCCACTGCATCGAGCCGATTGACACAGACAGCAGGGCCTGCTGCTCCAAGCAAGAACGACACAGAATGTGAAAGCCTCAAAAAACAGACAGGCCTTGACCCTACACTGCTGGTATCACTGCGGTAGGCACATCCTGACGCAGCAGCTGTGGTCCGTGCAGTCAGGAAGCACCGCAAAGGCTTCCGTCTCTGCTCCAGACTGGCATCACATTCATCTCTACAACAGAAGCTTATCAAACGAATACGACTGAATACGCAGAATTCTTGCGCACGTTCGCCCACCTGGAAACACACCGGGCAGTGCGCCTCGTTCCTGGCAGAACAGGTGCTGCACAGATGCGTCGGCGTGCACTCAGTCAAAGTACACGTCCGGCACGGTACATGCCACTCGCAGATGGCGCCTCTCCAGAAGCGCCCGCATCTGTCTGGCAAATCGGAGAGAACGCTCACAGCGATCGCGCTCCCCCCGCAAAGCCTGACAGCATCTGACAACGCCACCGCGCTGGCTCAGAAACACAACTGACACAGACTCACTCTCTGACATACTATGCTTAAAGGGAACGTCTGCAGTGCGACAAGATCTACAACGAAGTTTCTACACATGTAGTGTTGTTTGCATAAGTTACTAACCTGACATTCGCAAGAAGAAACATTTCTTATGCTTGGGTTGCATACCTGCAGCTACCCGCTGAGAGTCATCTGTGATCGGAAGATTGACAGGTCTTTTGTCTGGCTCTTTTGGCTCTTGATTCACACCCTCTGGACGAACGCTTCCTTGTTCACCCATCACACCTTGAGACCCTGTTAACGCCTGGTCAAGAAGATACCGAACCACCCCTCGACACCCCCATAAAAGACTCTGGGACCTTACCACTTGGGCTAGAAATTCATCTTCATGACCCACAAATTAAACCCTCTATCTCTAGCTCCTGTTAATGGTTGATCTCTCTCTTCCTCTCATAGTATTACCACCTTCATCTCTAGGACTACTCCCCCTTTGACACCTGTCATCTAATTCACCCGTCCCTCTATCTCTAGCTCCTGTAGTAAGACCACCATGAAAGGTTAACCGCTCTCTCCCTGTCACACCTTGAGACCCAACCTCTGTTTCTAGTGGCTTTCCCCCCAGATCTGGCTCTTGTTGTTCACCCATCACACCTTGAGACCCTAACTCTCATATCTTGGTCTAACCGTTCACACCCTTGGAATCGCATGCCAGGTTAACCGACGAAGAGACCACCATCAACACCCCTAGAAAGCACAGAGTTTTGATTACTTCTTTAACCATTCTTGTGATTCACAGTTCTGATCGAGCGCTCGTCTTCGGACTCTTGGTGGGCACTTTCGCAGGCCACGGCCAACAACGACAGCGTTGGAGCTAAGACCCTTGTCATATCAGGTGAGTTGTCCAAAGTCGACTGGCTGGGCACTGCCCATGTGGCTTGGAGCCTTTAGTGAGCTCGGCTGTTGGACACACAGGAAAACACTGCCACTGGCTGTACTGCGTCACTGTGCCTTCAGCTGTCTGTGCAGTGCGGTGTCCACGGCATCGTCTGCGATAAAGGCCTCGGAAGCTCGTGGTGGCAACCTCAGAATCCACTGAAAAGCACTCCAAGGCTCTGGCCGAGACAAGGCCTTCCTCCACATCCTTGTCGTCCTCGGGGCTTTCCTGGATTGGCCGATCCAAGCAGTTCTACGTTCTACGGCATCACACATACTCAACAAGTCAAGCGACCTGGGCAAGCAGAAGAACTTGCGCTGTGACTGGCCGATTGGCAGCCACACAAGAGAAAAGGGAATGTGCTAGACGTCGGCTGACCATGCAGGCTGGGATGCCTTCAGGGAAGGCAGCTTCGAGATGGCAGGTACGACGTGAGCTGCACTCTACATAGACACGAACCCGCTCCTTCAGATCAATCCAAGGCTCACACTTCCGCGGGGGGAGGATGGAAAGATATGGAAAGGTGCAAACGGGCAGAAGAGTCAAGACAATATGAGTACCTTGGGCCTGGTGGCGCTCGCTCGTGAGGGTAACCAAACGGTCTTTCTGACCCAGCAGCAGCAAAGATCACAGCGATGGCGCCTGCCGCCTCGCAAGACGGTAGAGCGGTCGGCTGTAGCTGTGGCTTTGTTTGGTTGTGACTGTCCGGGTTTGTCGGCATTAAAAATACTTGTGACTTGCTTCTTGGAAACTTGATCCGTCGAAGTGACAAAGACACTTAGTTGTGACTGTTGTTTGCAAGCTTCTGTGTCGTGTCACCATCTCACCTTTCAGGGTGTAGGTTTGCCAAAGCATCTCATGTCTTTTCAAGCTTTGGATAATTTGGCTCTTTGCACGTGTCCCCGTTCGACAAGAGAATCTTCGGAGTGCCCTGCAACATCAGCGTCTCTTCTTGGGGTCAAGGGCTTCCGACACTAAGATCTCCTCTTTGTCTGAATCCCCCTCAACTCTCAAAAAGCCTGCGCAGAACTGGCGGCAGAAGCAAAGTCGCCGTCTGCAGGCTCATCATACAAAGCAACGCAGCCCGCTTCGCCAACTCCTCGGGCGACAGCACCTCAAAGTCTCCCAAAAAGCGCTGCACTGCACAGCTTTGCTGAGATCTCAGAGCTCACTTCTCCAACCTTTGTAACTTCTCCCCAACTTTTCCAACTTTGAGTTGATTGTAACCTTCATTGCGCTGCCTGTGTAGCCACGGCTTGGCAGGAGAGCATTCCACTCCGCAGCACAAGCGGGCTCGGACGCCTTTGATTGCATTCCCACAGACCAAGCCAGACTCAGCAGGACATAGCAGGACATGCGTGCACGATCCTTCGGTGAGCCATGCTGTATCATTTGTGAAGTTTTTTGAACCAACATAAGCAAGGGCTTGAAAAACCTGAGCATGCCACAGAAGGCTCCACACATTTCATCGACTGCCATGCCTTGCTGCTGAGCTGCGTCACCATCCGGCAGTCCTTCCTTGGCACATCTGCAAGCTGTCAACGCAACAGCAACAGCAACGCCTGCACTGTGTTGCAAGTACAACAGACACACCTAGCTCATGTGGAAACAGCGTAAGCGACTGCTGCGGCAGCGAAAAGCGATGAATGGAACACGGAAGTGCTCATGCCTGCCAAGTGACCACATGCACACGCACAGTCTCCACAGCCAGGAAGGACAAGTCTGGAGCCATGGCAGCATCGCCCCCTGCAAGTTGATAACGCAAGCCCTGCTGGCTCTCCGTCGCCTGCGCTTGAAACGTGCCAGTTGTGTTGTCACGGTGCACTTGCAACAGCGGTTGATGCCTCTAGTTTGGCAATTTCCTCTGCAAGCTTCTCCAGCTTCTGCTGGCTGCGCTGCGCCACAGTACCCTCCCAGTCAGCCAAGGTGTGCTCTGCCGGCGGCAAAAGCGACGTGCCAACACAGTTGTGCCTGGCGGTGCTTGCAGAAGGGATGGAATGTAACTAGAGGCACGATACCAAATCTGCTGAGACCCAAGCCAACCCATCTGCAGCAGCAGTTGGTCTCTCTCCTGTCATTGCCATCGAATCTGCACTGGAAAGTTTGCACGATTGAGAACTTCTAAGCAATAGGCGACGCAGTGAAACATGCAGCACGCTGCCCTCACCTGAGCTGCTGCAAAGGCCGTGCCAGCGCCAAACGAGAGAAGCAAGATGCTGTCCTCAATCATCTCAGACTCAGGTAGGACATGAGAGTTCTGCTGGCAAACCGGTGGCACGGAGAAACGGAATCAGTTGTACATTGATTGTAGGTGCAGCCAAACTCAGTCTCATGCCAACGACCTCGTAGGTTATCTCAGGTTTACCATGTTTACCCAGATCTTCCCACCCGGCTCCAGCACGAATCCGGCAAGGTTGGCCACAGCAGCGTCGGTGCTTTCCCGGGGCCGTAACACCACGGCCTGGCAAGAGGGACAGCACATCATCCAAAGGCACACTCAAAAAACGAGCCCAAATTACACACAAGATGTCTAAGAAAAGAAGACTGAAACAATGAAGATCTACTCAGACATTTCAGACATCTTGACTCCCAGAAAAACCTCGTCGTGCCACTCCAGGGCCGGTCGAGGCAGGCAAGCCCAGGGAGGATCTGCCAGGAAGCGGCTCCGGATCAGGTGCGCGAGCTGCGGGAAGCCTCCCCCAAATCTGTACCCAAACATCTCTTCGGCCCAGAAGAAGCCCCCCCTATTTGAAAGCAAGAGATGCCCAAGAGTTGGGTTTCGGGCTTAAAATTTTCGGACTTGTAGACCCCAGGGCGAGCATCCCTGCTAAGCATTCGAAGCGGACGTGATGGCGAGCTTCGGAAGAAACCTGATGCATTCCCGGAAAACTTCCGCTAAGAAAGCCTCTGCGAGGGTCGGACAATTTGCTTTTGAGCCAAGACCGCACCAAAGAGAACTTCGCAAGCTCAGAATGAAGCCGAGAAAAAAAACCACACAAAACCTAATGTTCAAGAACTGGCCATCTTCTTAATTACGTCTTTGAGTGTGTACACGGTACTGTCAGTGTATCTGTCCAGAAACCCCCGCAAGCGCTTTCCAAGATTACTGGCCTGTCCACTCTGCCTGGCGCCAGGCCACATGCCAGTTGCGTCGGCCAAGCAGCAGCGGCCCAATGGAATCCAGATGGGAAGGGGCAGTACCGCAAAGCAGCCAGATGGCAGCCCCTTGGATGTGAGCATTGCCCCCTCGGTACCGTCTTAGATCGACAGGAAACATGAGGACACACTAAGTCTCAAATTTCTCTCATGGCTGCCATCGTCGCGGAAGCCATCGGCAAGGGCCAGCAAAGACTGCCAGTTCTCTGATCCAGGGCAGTCCTTGAACGTCCGATGCACAAGTGCGCTCCAGTGCTTGAAGCTTGCCATTCTGCAAAACTTTATGCAAGCGAAAGGAGAACACAAACCTTCCGCCTACAAACACACAAACCTTCCGCGAAGCTTCCGCAACTCGCCCTTCAGGCAGTAGGAAGCTTCTACAAATGCTTCGGTGGCAGTTCTTCACATCATCGCTTGCGAAAGCCTTTTCCCCACCCTCGGAGTGGGCCTGCTATGTTTGAAGACCTTTCACTCATTCTCCTGCCGAACCGCCTGTACTCCTTGATCGGGTGTCCGCCTATGGACTGCCAACCACAAGCCCTCGAGAAATCGCAGGTCCTGGGGCTCATCAATCACTAGCCGCTTCCACTTGCCAGTTTCGAAGACAGTGCGCTCCACAGACTCATAGTCTGCAACCTGCACGGTGACAACTCGAGGACAACAGCATGTACATATACATACATATATATATATATACATGCATTACCTTATTTACGTATTTATACATCTATTTCTATTCTACATAGATTTGACTAACTGTCTTTAACTTTGTATGTACTTATTTAATTAGTGTAGTTAGTCGTTGTATCGCTTCAGAGCCAACGGGGTTGTTCTCACGTTTTGTGGGTCGTGCTCTTTCTCTTTTGGATCATTTTGGGTGCAACCTGGCTGATTCATTGCGTTTGGGGGCGGCTTCAGGCATCAAGAGGGGGTCCAGGGGCGTTCAGGGATGTTGGGACTGCAGACTTGGGTTCAGGGTGAGTTGTGGCCGCACAGTTGTGGCCGCACTGAGACAAGGCCGCATCTGCGAAGGGTGCAATACTAGAGAGCTAAAAAAAATCGCTGCACAATGCTGGCGGACATGCCCCCACTGCATCACTTTGCACTTTGTGGAGTTCAAAGTCCCTCTGTTCGCCTCGGCTTGCAAAGCACCTTGACCTTCCAGTTCCTCCTGCCACTGACGACAAAGATGAGCAGGACACACAATCCTGAGCCAGATCTCGCACACGGCTACCCTATAGGCCCAACAGCAAGGTTCCATCACGTTGAACTCATCTGAACTCGTTCATCTTTGGGTCAAGGTCTTCTTGGGCTGTGGAAGCTGAAGCTGCGCCGCCACTGCCGCCTGCCAATGAAAGGTTCTCCAACTGGATCTATTGCACCGTACATCACAATTCGGGGGGGGGGGGGGGGGGGGTGACAGAAAAGCTCCGAAAAGCGGGAGCCTCGCGGGGCTCTGTGTGCTGCGCCCGATCTCCACAAAGCCACTGCATCCAGCTCACCTTGCACCAAAGCCAACACGTGATGAACCCAATGTGTTGTGGCAGACTTGAAGCACCGTGTGGGACGGTGCGGGTCTATCAGGAATTGTGCTCTACAGTTGTAACTAGATGTGGCGAAAGCAACATCCTTTGCGTTCCTCGGCAAGCCGCCCAACTCCTCACTTCGGCCGGACGGTCGGAGCCTCGACCTCAGCTTCTTGTTCTTGGGTCACCTTTGCTTCACTTCTTCACGCTCTCGCTAGAAACTCTCAACAAAGTATCCGCCATCGCACAACATGAGAGGATGCGAGGGCCTGACATTCCAAAGGTCAGCGTAAAAATAAGTGTGGAAATCATTGCAATTGGGCGGCTCTGAAGTGCCTGCGCTCGGTCACCCTGCGCAGCGAAGGCCGCTACAATGCGCGTTTTGCCTGGGGCCACATGCCAATCTCGGCATGTGTCGCACGTGGGCGTGGTGAAGGAGCCGTGACAAAACTGACCCTCAAAGCAGCAGCCAAGTCACCTGAACCGGGCGGGTGTGCCACCACACCACCGCAAGGGAGGGGCAAGTCATACGAGGAACCCAGGCTGGTGCCTGCGAAGCGCAGAGGCGCCACCTGACCACGTGCCCGCTGCCGTACGACGGACCGGACGAGACACCGGAAAACAATGGGAAACAAAATGAGGCAAGACTTTTGCACTCCTGCAGACGTTGTGCTCCTCTTTGCTCGATGGTTTGCATCCATGCAACCGTCGCAACCTGCAAAGCTGCAGGCATTCTCGATTTGTGCCTTCTACCATCAATGGAGAAAGGACCAAAACGCACGCTCGGCATGTGGGCAAAAGCACAAAAAAAGTCCCTTCTGCCACACCAAGTCTTCCAGGAAGGACGACATGAAGGAGAACATGCCAAAGAACGATGACAAAGAGCCTGATGAGGGAACAGCCCGCTCGCGCCCGGAACAGCCCCACGCAGCTCTGGGTCTTGTACTGGCCTGGACAAGGGCAACAGCGGTCGTTTAAGAGCTCCGTTTGCTTGAGTGCGGGCTCCCCCTGCACAAACGAGCTCAGCATTGTACGTATCGAAGGCCTTTGCAACAAGCTTTCGACGAAGTCGCCAGAAGCCACCTTTCAACGATTCAACATGCGATCAAAGCGCACCAAGGGATGAGCATGTGCATTGACGACTGAGCGCAGATCAGCTATGCAGCACTTCCAGAGAGCTGAGCATTTCATGCTGCAACATGCTGCAACAACTTGAAGCTACGTCTTGCCAGGGCCTCCGAAGTCGTGGGCCACTTGGCTGCTGAAGGGGATGCCGCAGCGGCATGGAGGAACTCTGACAGCCTCTTCCTCTGCAACCCTGCAAAGCACGACGGTTGCAACCAAAGATGTGATACACACAAGTTGCGCCCGCAGCAAACAAGCGCACCTGCATTGCCGAGCATAGCAGCATGGCCAATCTGTGCGAGAACCTCTGTGGCTGCCATTTCGTCCACCACAGTCACGACGCGAACATCACCCTCGAATCCGGGAATGGCAAACAGGCGCAGAGTTCCTGTGCACGGCATGACCAAGCAGCACTCAGCACATTTCTGAGCTTGATCTGATTTGGTGAATTCAGTTCCTCATAGTTCGGCCGCCTTCTCGGATGTCTTCGAAGTCTAAACGCTGCACCACAGACGGCGCCAGGCCATATCGGACCTCGGCGAACACCTGGCCATGCTGCGGCTCTATACCAACACCCACAAACGCCGCTTACCAGCCGCCCCTGACAAAACCCCCTTGCCCGCCTCGTTACTGACCAACGCGGGCTCGGGAAAGCCTCGGATTCTGAAAGCAAAGACAGCGGCTTCACGAAGAACATGCCGAAACCAAAATAGATAAATGCATCAACTCGTTTTGCTGCTCGAGGCCGGATGTGAGATGAGTGTTGGAACGGTGGGGCCACTTAAGACCGCCTTAGGACTCCCTTAAGACCTGCACGTGGGCCTTGGGTCACTGAAGAGTGTGTGTAAAATGCGCAAGGAACTGTCCCAAAGTGTCACGTGCACAAGTGGCTAGGACAACCTGTGCAAATCCGTCGAGGCCTCAGGCCGTGTCTGAACACAATTGAAGCAGGTACCCCACCCTCCGGGGGCCGCGTGATGCCACCCCCCTCCCCCACAAGATCCAGCGTTTTGTGGACCCTAAACTTAAACCCTGAACCCCGAACACTACGTCTTGTTCGCCCCATGGAACCTGTCATGCGGACCTTGCCTCAGCGCTGCAGTGGCAGTAGGTCCCGGCCGAGGCGGGTCGCGAGCCGTTAAGACTTTCTCGAGGTGTCACGTGTGTTGGGAAAAATGCTCGTTCGCCTTCGGCCCAAGTTGTGTCCACACCACAACTGCCCCAAAATTGTGGCACATTTGAGGTTCCCAGTGGCCACGGCAGTCGATGCTGGCGACAGCAAAAAGGCGGGCCAACAAGTCTATAATGGGAGCGCAGAACTAAAGGGACCACAGGCAGAGGCGGCCCGTTCACTGAGCTCCAATAAGGTCACTCTCACTGATGAGTCCAAGGTACCCAACTCTGCATGCACCTCGCGCCGCGGCGCCAAGAGGCAGCGGCCCTGACGAAAATCTGCTAAGATCTGCTAAGATCTGCTAAGCAAAGCAAGTTGCTTACTCTGCTGATCTTACTGGCAAGGACGGAACACAGGCACAGAAAACATGTGAGACAGCAAACGTACGCGTTTGGCCCTGAGGCCCCGTGAATATGCTCAGCAAAAGCACGTGAAGCACACATCTTCCAGGCCTTGTGCTGTAGACGCAGGACCTGGCTGGAGAAAGCGCATGTGAGGGATTCAAGGCAAGACAAAATTTGGTCGAGGGAGTATGGGGTGCAGAGGCCCGAGACCTGCCTCCGAGGGCAATGGCTTCGTGAGCGGTCGCACTATGAAGCCACCCTCCTCAGGCACTGAGGCCTCGGAGCAAGACATGCCACAACACACACACACACACACTAACAACACACACACACACACACACACAGAAACAACACACACACACACACACCCGCACGCGCGCGCGCACAAACACACCATCAACTATTTACTTTGATCATCGCCACCCTGCAACTGCCTGGTGTGGGAGGAGACTGGCTGACTTAAAATCTAGCAACCGCACATCGAGGTGGGGAACAAGGGATCAAAGCGACATCGCCCCAAGCTCATGAGAGCTTGCGGCGACCAGGCTCCTGACACGGACGGATGCTGGAAGTGGCGGTGCATCCTGGGCTCTTCCGAGGCTCTTCCGAGCCTCTGCCCTTCTTCCCTGTGTCATGTGAGGCAACAGGCAACTGAGGACCTGGCTCTCAACGCACTTGCCCAGAAAACACCCCAGCCTCAAGGACTCCACTGGTCCAACCGAAAATGTGCTTTTTGTTGCGGTGTTCTTTTAGTGTGGCGGCACCGTAAGCCCTTCTTTATGCATCTTCGTACATGAGCGCCTGCAACTCGCTGTACAGGGGTCGAAGCATGTCAGGCAGGACTCAGTCGGTCTTACGAGGTGACACAACCGGCTTCCAACTCATGCCTTCTCCTTCAGGGCTGCTGGTCTCAGGCCATGCAAAGTCCGCCCTCCCCATCGTTGCCCCGAGCGTGCAGGGGGATCAAGAAAAAGAATCGGTTGAGCACATGAAAACTCTTGCTGGGTGAATTGGGTGCATTTGTGCGCTGCTCCTGGCTGAGGAGGAGAATACTTCCCAACGTCCAGAGCGCGGCAGCTGTCCAGAACACTGCTCTACGCACGTTTGGGACCTGTCCAACAAGGGACCCAGCTTGCACAAGCACAGAAACCTAACTCAAAGGGACTGACCTCGTGATAATAGAGGAGACCAAAAGCTCCGGAGGTCACCAACTGGATGGCTTGGTTGGCAGGCAGCATGACAGCCTCATCTGTTAAGCCAATTCTTTGCTGAGCTTCCCTGGCCACTGCCTGTCTCGTTGCAGTCCAGGCACACTGCCTCCTCTGACGACCGCCGCGGTCTGGCAGATCCAAAAGCATGCAGGGGTCCAAGAAAGTAGCATGCCCAAGAATGAGCTTGGCGGAGGCTTACAGTTGAAGGTGCCACCAAAGGAAAGTGCCGAATGGATGTGTGCACGCGGTGGGTGGACATATACAGACACAACACATGCGCAATTATAGTGCTCAAAATGGGCCTGGAAGAAGTTGCCCAAGGCCCAGAGAAGCCCGGCCGTAGAGCCGGGACCTGCCAAAGCCTTCCAGTGGGGCGAAGGCACCGGTTTCCGCCTGAGCTGCGTGTTGCGACGAACACGGCCCTTCTAGGAATCCCTTCGATGCCCTTCAATACAAGATCTGGCAAACTGAGCTGGTGTTGAGCTGAGGGCAAGACCGGATAGCAGCATGGAAAACAACGACGAGCACAAAAACCGTCGTCACAAGAAGTGCCCCAACGCCGAAAGAAGCCATCCTCAGTTAAGCAAAGTTCACCACCTTCCTCGCACACCGATAGGAAGAGAATCACGCAGTTGAATCTGTGCTGGCATTGGCATGCGGATTCAGCTCGTTCTCAAGAACTTCAGAAAACTCTGTTTGGCAGGCTCATTCCACAAGCGAAGCTCGCCAGAACAGCTTGACTGCAAGGGCCCTGTCCGTCGCAGCTCTTCCCTTTTATATTCTGCGGCCTCTCCTGTGAACTGGCCTTCTCTTCGCCCGGTCTTCCACGCACGCAAGCAGAAAACCGTTCGAAGTTTGAGTGTCTCAGACACTTGTTAAAAAGGAGTAGTTGAGACACAGCCACAGCAATGGTCCTGGGAGGAGAGAACACACGCCGCACACAACTTGAGCCCGAAAGCCTCCGCCGTAGTTACAGGGAGCCACCCTAAACAGCTGCAAGGCTAATCTACCTGCATCGGCATTCGAGGGATGATCCTTGCAGCCAGACTGCCAGGAACCGAAGTTGTTGAAGGCTTCCACAAAGTCTGGTGGGCATTTAGTTATGTCCTCACAGGGTTGTCAAGCAACCATGCCGTGAATTTGTTAGGACTGTGATGCCTCGGCACATCCAGCAGCTCGCTGCGCGCTTTGCTTGCCCAGATTGACCGCCCCATATTGAACGGCACTGAAGACACCTTAGGGCGCAGCCAGCCTTTGCTACTTGCATCTGCTCGCTCATTCCTGGAAGAAGTAAGGCTCACACCCACCGACACGGCAAGCAGGAATCCCACCATTCCCTTGCCAGTTACGTGCAGCCGTAGAGGTCAACATTTTAAGGCTTAGGCTCCCCAGGTCCCTTCCTCCGAGCTGTCCATTCTGTCCATTCAATGTACATCTTTTTGACCAGGTGCTCCTCTTCCTCCTCGTCCCTTGATTATCCTCCTCTTCCTTCTAATGTACCAGTCCCTACATGCACCAGCAAGGCAGTAGTGGGCTGCAGGATTGGGTGATGCGGGGTATAGCAGAAGTATCTTGCCGTGAAGACTGCGATTGGGAACTCCGATGCACCCGAGTGTGGAGTCGTGACGAGATCAGCTTCGTTTGTCAACGGCGCCCCTTACTTTACGGGCGACGGGTGAGAGGGAGGCTTTCATGAAAACGGACGACATGGCGAAATGAGGTACGGAAGACCATGCGAAGAGCTTGCGGAGAGCTAAATTATAAATCGCCAACTAAAGCCGTGTAAGTCACTATTTCTCTTGCCGCGCACCCTCTTCCTTGAAGAAATCCCCCCTCCCCCCCTCCCCCCCCTCCCGCCCTGCGCCTTGGAGCGCCTTCCGGGCTCTTCCGGCGCAGGCCGGCTGAGCAAAAGACACAATGGTGAAGACAATGTGAAGACAGAGAGGCAGCGAACGGAGGTACAGAATGATTGAAGACAAGAGCTTTCAACATCGCGTGCATACAGCGCAGCGTGCAGAATCATGCCACTCATTCTCCCAAACTTCTCCAAAGCTTGGTATTTGCTCTGCTGCTTCTGCATAGGAGCGAAGCACTGGCCTGAAGCCTGTGGCCAAGACCATTCCTGCGCAGAACTCGATCTGGCAGAACATCGCTGCTGTGCTGAAGCTGCCTGCCCCGGCCTACAATCCCAAGGATGATGCAGCCAAGATAGACTGGTGCGAAATATACCCTTGGCTGGACATCAGAGACCGCAGGAAAGTCTATGTCGCAGCTGCGAGGCAGAACGTTGGCAGAGCGACATAACTTGCCTCGCTTTGACCAATATGCCCGAAAAGATCCAACTTTGGGCAGGATGCAGGTGCCCTCCAAGGCTGTGCTCCTTCATGGACTCTCCGAGAACGAGCCAAAAGACCAGGAAGGTCAAAATGGATCCGCTGCTTGTTGAAACCTTTGGCCGCACCATGCAGCTGAAACGAGACTGGAAGATGAGAAAGGCAGATGTCGTAGACACCTACACGAGAGAATCCGGGTCACTGAGTAGTTTTCGCATCACGCACGACAAGACGAGCACCACCGCAGCTGTCTCAACTCTCATGCAGGGTGCAATACTCATGCAGGGTGCAATACCTTGTTTTCATTGCGCTTTCGAATCCTAGTTGAACCTCTGCTAACATGGCCCAAAGCTAAAGAAGCAGATTTGACAATGCCCTCGAACAGGCACCGAATGTTTTCACATGTTTTCACACCGCTGAAGCTAAGGCAGCAGCAGCCACTGTCATCCCGACGCCGAGACGTGGCACCGCCGCTATCGCACCTAGGATGGCCCCTAACACCGTCTGAAACATGTTCCTAAGTATCATCCTCTTAAACCCAATAAGGGAAAGAAAAATAAAATATCCCAAGGGCCTGCCTAGGCACAAACACCGCTGGGAATCCTGACACACGTGGCACATGCTGAACACGGCGCAGATTGGCACACCTACCCCCTGCAGCCAAGTCTCCAACCCAGGGCGCTGACAACGCCCCACCATGTGGGACAAAAGACAGGAGACTTATGTTGCCACCTGGTCGGAACAAGTCGTGAAGGTTGCCAAAACTAGGCCTGCGGCATCATACTAGGTCCAAACAGGAGACTGCAAGCTGTCTCGCCCCGACTCCGCCAAGACACCAGCGCGGCAGCAAGAAGAGCCAGCCCGTGAGGAATGTCCAGAAAGTCCTGAGAAGCAACAGCTTCACGACTGATTAGCACCACAGTAATACCCTGAAAAAGGACCAGGCAACAGATAGCAACAGCGCCTGAGGGCACCTTGAAGCGTGTTGTGTCGAGCTCAAGGTCTTGTGATTGTGAAAAGCGTCTTGTAGCACTGGAAGATGACCGGATGGGGGCTCACCTTCAGCACCCGCGGTGCCTCTCAGACTTGCAGACACTGGCATAGACGTCGAACTCACGAAATTAGGCACCAGCAGGGCAGTGACAGGCCTTGATGGGAACAGGATAGGCTCCCATAAAGAAGCCCCCTAGCAATGAGAAGAGGAGTGCCAACGCGTCGGCTTGCTGATCTTCCCCACCTGAGGAGATCACCCCCATGTTTTCTTTTTGTTCATCGTTTGCAGGTGACAAACGACATCGAAGGATGCGTGGCATGATGCATCTATCCCCACCCAGACTCCGCCCAAACCTTTCACTCCAGAAAAGCGAGAATAGAAAATTGGCAAGACTTGTGCGTTCGACTCGGTTGCTGTAGGTCTCTGTAGGTCTCGGACTCGACGACACCATTTCCGGCTCTGCCGACTGGAAAGCAGGGGCAATGGAGCGGCAGAACTACCAAACATTACCAAGCATTACCAAGCATTACCAAGCAGCATCTTGATCTCGGCTTCTGAATGTATTGCTTGCAGAAATTGCAGATCACGGGCATCAAGGAACAGAAGCTACACAACCGGTGGGCAGTACTGATGATTTCAGGCGTCATGGTTCTTCTATGTTCTTCTTACATGTCGCCCAGCTCACGAGTATGGTGAAGCTAGGATGAGAAGCTTAAGCTAAACAATTGGATCTTCGATCACCCGTCCAATGCCTTGTGTCGCCACTCGCACGGTTCGGCTCCTCCCGACCAGCTCGCTACACGCTCGGCTGTTGAGGCATTCTCGGGTACTCATGCTCTCCTGCGGGGCATCCGGCACCTTTGCTTGGCAAGCGCACATATGCCTGAGAGACAATGGTGCACAGTTGGGAACATAAGACTGAAGGAGATCTTCGTCAGCAAAGTGGTGGGCACACATCTAACAAAAGCGAGTCGCCCTGATCGGCACAAGAATAAGGCTTGCAGCAAAGAGCCGCCGCATGACTGCCAGAGCTACACACAACGACCGTGTCCTAAAGGATGCTAAAGATGCGAACGTTGCTTCAAGGCTGCGCAATGCACGTCTCAGGCGTGTAAGACCATGTGGGGGCATGTTCTTCTAGGCTTTGTCTGCATGAACTCTCTGTTGTCACGTGAGGGAAGCATGAAGCTGTACAGCAAATGTGGAAACTTGACTTGAGACAAAGGCGGTCACGAACGTGGTCACGAATGTACGAACAAAACCCCCCACGTCAATGCGGAACCCGGGCATTTGGCTAGGAGCCGACGCCACAGCCTGAGAGAGGGAACAGTGCTCCGCAATGCTGAGCATGCAGTAGATTGCGGTGTCGAATGCGTCTGATTTACGTGCAATCTTCGATGGCCCCCGGTGCTGATCATGCTGATCAGGCCTCCGGAGCATCAACTGCGAAAAGCTCTGCCGGCGAATCCTCAAAAACGTTCAAGTGATTCAAGTGCGATCACGTGCCTTGGGCTGACAAAGGGCCCAAGAGCTTGGCCAAACCGACAAGATCTGGATGACGTATCAGGACATCTCCAACGAGCAGGCTCTGCCTGGGAGGTGCGCCCGCCCCCAGCTTACACAACGTACAACGTGACTGTATTTTTTAGAAAAGAGAACAGCCAGGAGATTTGCAAGGCGGACTTGCAAGGAAGTCTCACCTTGGAGCATGGACGACCAAGCAACGCCACAATGCCACCAATTCTGTCGGAGAGCTCAATGCCAGACTGTCCAGTGGAACTAACGCAAAAGGGATTTTCACAGGCTCAAGTTGAATGTGTTCTTCGTCGGATCAAGTCTCCTCTATGCTAAACGATGTGCCTACAAGGAGTTGACATGCGCAAATCACCTTCTCCAGTTAGACGACCTGAATGAATGGACCGCACCGGGCTACCTTGCAGTGCCCTCAGAGACCCTGTCTCCTTGAGAGAATCAGTACTTGAGCAACTCATGGCTCTCAGCATCCTCAATACTTCCACCCACACGCAAGCATTCTGCAGTTGCTACTGTCATCGTCGCACCATTGACACGTGCAGCGGCAGTTTCTCCAGGTTCTCCCAACACAGGGGACATGAAAGACCCAAACTTTGGAGTGGCTCCGACCATGGCCTAGAGTCCGTAGAGCATGGGCGCGGTCAACTACGCAACTGCATGGTAGGTGTGAGGCCCGCACAGCCCCGGCTCCTGGCAGGCTAATTTCGGCACAGCTTAGCAGAGCTCGGAGCAAGCACCCTTTCCACTCTCCCCTTCTTTTGGAGCCTGGGAGTCGCTGGGCCGCACCCCGAAAGCCATCGAAAGCCTACCGATATCTACCGTGCCTTAGATGTGCCTTGGATGTGCTGGTCTGCGCTGTTCCGTATCACGACTTCTCCTCCGGATCGTCTTCTGAACAGGCGACAATTGGCTGGTCCAGCTTCCTACATACTGGTCTTACTGGTCTTGACACGCACCTCTAATGCGTCAATGCTTGTACGGCCATCATGGACAGTCGTGGCCAGCATACAAGACCTCTGTCATCATCTCTCTGTCAAAAACACACCAAGGCCAACGCAACAGCGTGTAACAGTGTAACACCTTGGAAGCCTTTTCATGCAAAACGCGCAGACTGCAGCAATCTCGGTTGTGAAACTGTTCTTTGAGAAGTGAAACGGTATTTTTGCGAAGAATAGAGAGCATGACCTAGGCCGATCCTTGCGTGCCGACTGGTGTCGAGCGGTGAGTCGACAGTGCGACGATACACCATGAATTACCATGATATACTCTGCACAAGTGTTCCTGGAACTTCGTGTTGACATGTCCGTGACCAGGCGGCTCGCTCTTTCAGGATGAGGGAGCTAGGAAAGACTTGCCCGTAAGCATCTACTGCGCAGAATGTTTCACGAGCTGGTATTGGTGCAAATGCTAGCACATGCTAGCACGGCAGAACGCAGAAACATCCCACAACTATCTGCCAAAGCAACTCCAGTCAAGCAATGGACCGGAGGTGTTGGCGACTATACGGCAAAGACCCCGGCAGGTAGCAACTAGCCCTGAGGGTCATTCGTTGACATCACAGGGTCCATGCTGCATAATGGCGAGATTGCTAGCTTGCTGCTTTGCAAGTGTGAGACATGACCTATGAGGCCTCTTCCTTCGAAGTACTCCTGCTCCTGGCAGAATCGAGTGGTGGGTGTGTGTTGGCTCTCGAACACCGGCTTTGACGTTGGAATCAACCCTTCACAAACGCCTGACTCGTAGCACGCTGTTCTTTAACTCGAGCTCTTTCAAGAGATCTTCCCTGGCACAGTGCACGTTTTCGCATGCCACACTCAGTGCGACATCCGGTAGCTGCCTTTCACAGCAAATGCAGTAAATCTGGGCACACAGGGATGACGCAATCGTTGCTACCAGTAGCCAGTGCCGTTCGGATCCCTCTGAACTCAATGAAGCAGGCCCAAGAGACAAGCACTCTTTCTCAGCGGCCATCGTCCTGTGGTGGCAAAAGAACATCATATCGACGTCAGGCAAATAGGCACGGGCCAGAGCAACCAGGATCACCGCAAAACATGCTGGCAGAAACAGAAAATCCAAGTTGATCAACCAAGCAGATACGAAAAATAGTTCACGGGTCGACAGCAATGATGCTGCAACAGCACAGAGGCAGTCCTAACCTCAAAAGTGCGAAGAGCCCCAGAACAGGACTCGGAACATTGCTAAGCTGACAGGTGCTACTTCCCGGGAAAAAAGGGGCCCAAGGAGACATCAGGCACATACGCAACGAGTGACTCGTCTGCCAATCTGAGTCCTCTTCTGGTCCTGCAGCAGCTTTAGCCTGAACCATTTCTGCTTCGTGCAGATACACTTTAAGTCTTGTCATACAGAAGAGAAAACAAAGGTCTGAGACGCCGCACTGGAGAGCCATGTCTGCCGCCTTCGCCCTGGAGCGGGTGCGCTACATAATCAAGGCCAAAACCATTTTCCCTCGGACATAAGATGGCAAAAAGCTCTGGCCTGTCCACCTCAGGGGACGCCTTCAGCGCCTCAGACGAAGCGCTTCAAGGGTTCTCGGTAACATGTTCGATAGTTAGATAGAACTCTATAATCGTGAATAGCACAGAAGAGGGATCCGAGTGCTCACCTCTGCGGTCTCCGCAAGCTTCTGGGTTACCTCCTTCCACACCAGCAGCCACCAGCACGCGATATCACGCAATAGCACACGTTCCGTAACATGAACTCTGCAACTGGTTCTCGACATCCCTACAATTAGATCATGTCACATCCCTGCGTCCTCAGGCTTCTGTGTAGTTTCCAAAGTTTTCCTGGGTCGTGCAGGGCTTCGGAGCTTCACACCAAGACTTCAAGATGCGTTGCATCAGTGCCAGATGCAGTGCCAGATGCATGTCTGAGTCTGTCTGAGTCTGTCTGAGCACCTGGCTCCGACTCACCTGTGCCCGCCGCCTTGTCTGCAAGCATCAGCAGGACCTTTCCGCTCTCAGCGCCATCTCGTAAAGCATTGCTTGCCTCCTGGCAAATCTCTTGTGTCCGCAAATCACGGACGTCCTTCAAGGCCTCTGTAAGCACGCCTGTCTCCATGCTTCCCGCCATAGCCTCACATAACTTCCTCTTCAGCTGGAACACCTCATCTGTCTCATCCGGCTTTGCCAGGACCTCCAATAACCTTCCACTCTGTGCACCCAGGATCAAGGCCTCTCGAGCCTGCTGCCGCAGGAGTTCCAGATCGTCGGGGCCCTCAGCACTCCTCTTTGCAGCTTTCTGCTCGCTGTTTTTGGCCAGAAGCTGCATAAGCTTCCCTGACTGTGCACCAAGCAGAAGTGCTTCCCGTGCCTGTCTACGCAAGTCATCCATGTCGTCGTCAGCAGGTGGCTTCTTTTCCGTCAGAGCCTCAAACAACTTTCCGGACTCGGCACCCGCCAACAGTGCTTCACGAGCTTGGCGGCGCAGCTTGTCCTCATCGTCTGCTGAATCTGTCGGTTCCGGCGGGGACGCAGCCTGCAAGACTTCAAGCAACTTTCCACTCTGCGCGCCTTCCAACAGCAAATCGCGCGTTTGCTGTCGAAGCGCGTCGATCTCATCCGTCTCACCTGCTGCGCCGTGTTCCTGCTGGATATGCTCTTCTCCATCCTGACTGGCTGACGGCTTTGGTGTTTGGGCTAGCACATCGAACAACTTTCCGGATTGCGCACCCGCCAACAACGCTTCACGAGCTTGCTGGCGCAGCTTGTCCACGTCGTCTGCTGGCTCTGTCGGCTCCGCTGGAGATGCACCCTGCAAAACTTCCAGCAGTTTTCCACTCTGAGCGCCCTCCAGCAGCAAGTCCCGTGCCTGCTGACGCAGTGCATCTATCTCGTCTGTCCCATCTGCTTTGCCCTGTTCCTGTTGGACCCCCGTTGCTTCTGCCAGCACATCGAACAACTTTCCGGACTGTGCACCTGCCAACAGCGCTTCACGAGCTTGCTGGCGCAGCTTGTCCACGTCATCTGCTGAATCCTCCTTGGGTGGAGACGCACCTTGCAAGACTTCAAGCAACTTTCCGCTTTGCGCTCCCTCGAGAAGTAAGTCTCGTGCTTGCTGGCGTAGTGCATCTATCTCTTCTGTCCCATCTGCTGTTTTGCCCTCTTCCTGCCGGACTCCCGCAGTCTCGGCCAGCACATCGAACAACTTTCCGGACTGCGCGCCCGCCAGCAGTGCTTCACGAGCTTGCTTGCGCAGCTTGTCCACGTCTGCTGGCTCGGTCGGCTCCGGTGGAGGCGCGCCCTGCAAGACTTCCAGCAGCTTTCCACTTTGCGCTCCCTCCAGCAGCAGTCCCGAGCCTGCTGACGCAGTGCATCTATCTCGTCAGTCCCATCTGCTTTGCCCTGTTCCGGAGACGCACCTTGCAAGACTTCAAGCAACTTTCCGCTTTGCGCTCCCTCAAGAAGTAAGTCTCGTGCTTGCTGGCGCAGTGCATCTATCTCTTCTGTCCCATCTGCTGTTTTGCCCTCTTCCTGCCGGACTCCCGCAGTCTCGGCCAGCACATCGAACAACTTTCCGGACTGCGCGCCCGCCAACAACGCTTCACGAGCTTGCTGGCGCAGCTTGTCCACATCGTCTGCTGGCTCTGTCGGCTCCGCTGGAGACGCACCCTGCAAAACTTCCAGCAGTTTTCCACTCTGAGCGCCCTCCAGCAGCAAGTCCCGAGCCTGCTGACGCAGTGCATCTATCTCGTCAGTCCCATCTGCTTTGCCCTGTTCCGGAGACGCACCTTGCAAGACTTCAAGCAACTTTCCGCTTTGCGCTCCCTCGAGAAGTAAGTCTCGTGCTTGCTGGCGTAGTGCATCTATCTCTTCTGTCCCATCTGCTGTTTTGCCCTCTTCCTGCCGGACTCCCGCAGTCTCGGCCAGCACATCGAACAACTTTCCGGACTGCGCGCCCGCCAGCAGTGCTTCACGAGCTTGCTTGCGCAGCTTGTCCACGTCTGCTGGCTCGGTCGGCTCCGGTGGAGGCGCGCCCTGCAAGACTTCCAGCAGCTTGCCACTTTGCGCTCCCTCCAGCAGCAGATTGCGCGCCTGCTGGCGCAACTGATCAACATCTTTTGCTGCTGTTGCGTGCGCTTCCGCCTTCTCTGCGCTGGTCTGGGCAAGTGCATCAAACAGCTTGCCAGATTGCGCGCCTTTCAACAAGGCATCCCTGGCTGCTTGCCGCAGTTCATCGACGGAAGCCGACTGCTCTGCGACGTCTGCCTGCCAAATTCGAAGGCTTTCCACAGCTCTCAGGACATGAGAAAGAGCGAAACACGCCGGTCACAAAGATTACTCTAAGGGTTCAATCTGTGATTTTGCTTTCGCGGCGCACGCGACTGCTGCGCGCACTTTGGTGCCTCACCATGCCTCACCCTGCTGCTCCCTCCCTGAAGACAGAAATACACTGGGTATCCTTCGACTCGGCTCAGATTCCTCCCGGGGGTGAGACTGGTAACTGTTGAACCTGAGGGACCGTACATAAGGGACCGTACAGAAGTGCACAAGGTACATGCTCACGGTTGTTGTGGATGGAGCACGGATGGCACGGCTGCCGGTGGCCAGCCCACAAGTGGGACCTGTTCACATATGCCAAAGCCTGGTCACATCAGAGGTCATGCCGTGCACAACAAGGCAACTGTGTCCGGAAGACTGCATGGGTCAAGCTTGGCTTCTCCATGGTGATGTTGTTTCTTGCCCAGGTTTGTGTGCTGCAAGTGCTAAAGCTTCTTCATGTGGTCCAGATCATGCAGACACTGGAGCTGGCGCTGCTGGTGACGACTCCGTGTCCAAGTTGGCGACGGTCTCTAGGGACGTACGGCAGTGATCAATGGGATTCTGTCTTTACAATGAAATGCCTTGGAACCTGAAGTTGTAGCGGTCTAAGGAGTGAGTCTGAGGCTTTGGTCCGGCCATGTCGGGGCAAATCCAACCCAAAAAAAAAAGGTGCAGGAGATGTAAGGTGATGTAAGATGTAAGCCCCCACACGTGGCGGAGCTTCTTGTATGCCTCCTCCAAGGCCGCCCTACATCTGAAGGTTGTGCGGAAAGGAACTGTCCAGGACACCATGGCTGGAGCCTAGGTATCGAACCTGCAGTGTGGTCGGAACTGCCGCACGCAAATCTGTCTTTGATGTTTGCCTTTGATATTCTAGAGCATGCTCATTTGTTCCAATTCCGTTGTGGTCAAGCCTATCAGTGGCGTGTCGTTTGCGTACTCGACATGGGAAGCTGGAGAAGGGGTACCTCCTGGATGCTGGGACTCATCCACAGTCAGTATGATGGACAGGACTATCATGAATTAATCTTCACTTGAAAAGTGGGCCGAGTGTACACGCAGTCCACCAGATCAAAACAGATCAGGTGAAATTCCAAATCTTCTGTGCGCACCGAGTCGAATGCCTGCTTCCAGTCCATAAAACAAACACCCAGTCATGTTGGCATGCTTCATAGCTCCGCACGGAACCGCAACTGGGACTGTCTGAGTAGGGGTCCATTATGGTGCATGAATGAACTTTTCGGCTTTGAATGTTTGACTCGAATCATCTTGTCAAGCAGTATTGCAATGAAACAAGCGCGCGGATCAGCAAAACATGCAGATAGCACGAGCCACAAATCTAATGATCTCCAAATCAATCAAAGAGATTTGGCTGCCCTGCTTCAGATGCAACAGGACTCAAAACTCCAAGCCTGGGCATTAGCACGTTCCGCGTCATTTTGCCTGATTTCTGCGTGCCTTTTGTTTGGCCCGCCCCGCTGGCGGTTCAACACAGGGTGTGGGGCAAAGGCATTCCGGACCTGCGGCTAAACACCTTGGCCGGGAATTCTATCACAAAGGAGTGAGGTTCTGTAGAGGTCTGTAAAGGGGTGCATAGGGTGTCCATAGAAGCATCCAGGATCTGTGGAGTGGCCCCTTTTTGTGCTACCTTGTTCCTTTGTGTGGACCTCCGACCTTCCATGATTTGCCCGTGCGTTTTGAAAGACTTTATGGAGACTAGGCTTTGGATGCCTTGGCCCCACCCCTGCGCCTCCTTTGACCTCCTATGACCTCCTATGACTATGGGTCGTGGCCCCGCCCACTGGACCTCGTATGGACCTCGTATGGGACGCCCTGCTCCACGCCTCCCCAGGCCGAGGCCAAACACATGTAGCCGTGCAGCAACAAAGTGAAAAAATATGTCGGAACAAGCTGTGTATATTTGGTCACATGATGTCATATTCCTGGCGCGAAACCAAAAATGAAACCACACGCTTCCCGTGCAAAAGGTGTGTGTGGCCTTCGGCAATTCACCGGAAGTTGGGCTGTTGGCTTTCGGCGTTGTGCCGTGGCGAAGGACCTGCAGGCTTTCATGATCAAGCCAAAAGACTGGCTGACTTGTGGGCTGTACCTCCAAGAGCTTGCCCGACGTTGCACCGTGCAGGAGAGCATCACGGGCGGTTTGTCGCATCTCCTCCAAGGTCGGAGCCGCCTCCCGAAACCATTCTTTGCATTCTTTGCACAAGTCGAAGGAGGATCGTAGGATGCCACGTGCAACATTCGAGCACATTGTTACAACGTGCCCGCGACAAGTCAAGGCATGTCAAGGCGTGGGGAGGAAAGCCGCCACCACACACATACAGACACACACACACACATACACACACACACACACACACACACACACACACACACACACACACTTGCGAGTCCAGTTTTCCGCTCCAATCCAAGGCACTTTGCAATCCAAGGCACTTTGCAATCCCAGGCACCGAATGTCTGACATGTAGACTGCATGTTATAACTGTCGATGTATATTCAGGGTGCAATTTGGGATGGACAACAGCGAAGTTGAAACATTGCACAGCGATGACGAAAATTAATGATTCACATTTCATCTTGTTGCAGGTACAGGAAGCTGATCAGCCGTCCATTCCCATGTCACTGGTAGCTTCGTTGGACACAGTCCCAGGGACATGCTGTGTCCCCCTGCCGCTGATACTGCTCAACCAAAGCATCCGTTGCTGGAACAGGTAGAACATGGACCGCAGTCACTAGTGGTAAACTTCTAGTTACAGATGCACACACACACACAAGACACTACACACACTGGTCATTGGATGTTGCCCCCACATCGAAAAAAGTCCAGTCGGGGATCGACAGGCTCGGGCCAAGCACGTCATGCTTTGCATGTAAAGGCTACTGTGCGAGGGAAGGAAACCACGTCAATTCCACTGCACAGCAAAGAACTCGCTGTCAGGACTGCTAGCGCATCACAACATGTCACAAATTTCAAGCCTTGCCATCGCAAGCAAAATTGACTTAACGAAAGCTGTCCGGCAAAGCAGCAAAATTGTCTGAAGAAATTGACGTAGCTACTGTATGAAAGGCCTGTCTCGCACGGCTCGTGTGTGCTGTCACTGCAGGGTTAAAGAGTTCCGCCCGCCTTCTTCGAGACAGAGGCAGATGCAAACTGATCTGCAACCTCGCAATGGAGCTATGCAGAAGGGCTGAGCGGAACAGGCGCAAGAGCAGCCAGATCAAAGTGGCAAGGCCTCTGCCTCTTAGTTGGAGGTAGAAAACCAACCAAGTCTTCTAACTCCAACTGTACTCAACTTCTGCTGTGTGTCAAGCATCAGCCCTAGGAACCCGCGCGTATTTGTAAGGATCCTCCGGCCTGCAGTCACGTATGCCAAGTGGGGCAAAGTTACTTCGCTCCGGGCCAGTTAGGCAAGTTGGGCACCATCAGTTAGCTCTTCCGGAAAAGTAAATGGGGCAAGTGGCGCATGTGTAAGTGGTTGAGCTGGCGAGTGCGTGACACACGTACACTGCAGAAGCGGAGTGACCATTAGCCAGGAAGGCCACGTTCACACAAACAACACGGGCAAGTGAAGCAATTGCACGCCTGTCTCGGATGACCCCTTGGAGCACACCCTGGATGAAGGTAAGCACCTTGCTCTCTTCATCTAGTTCAATTCCGCCGTCTCCACACATCCCCCTGAGGTCAGCACCCCATGCTTTCCAAGATACTCCTCCGTCGCACTAGCCAAGCCGCGCTTCTTTGCAGCACGCTCGTCATGCGACCTGGGCCATTCCGTGCATTTCAATCCTTCCTCGTTCTCCGAGGAATCCAAAGCATGACCGCCCCCACCCCCCCCCCCCCCCCCCCCCCGCACCCATGCAACATCGCGGCATGTTTCACGTCAAGTGAGCAAGCGCAAGCTGCAACTGTGGCCCTGGCATGGTCGAAGGCTCACCTGCAGGCCGTGTGATGGCCATTCGGCATTCTCCGGTTTCACGCTACACTGCTACGCTGATGCCAAGAGCACGCTCTCAGCCAACACACGCGGTATAGCACGTGGCATAGTGTACGGCATGGCCTGACGAGCTTCTCACCAGAAACGAGACCTGCACAAGGCGGGTCCGTTGCCGACGTTCACGCAAAAAAGATGGCAAGAACATGTAAAGCCGACACTTAACCTGACCACTTGGCCTCTGCCTCAGCAGCAGGCTGGGCCTGGAAGACGGCCAAGAAAAATCAAGAAACCCAAAGGCAATACGTGTGAGCGCTGATGTGCGCAAAGATGCTCGAAATCAAGGCTTGCAGCTATCACGCCTCCACGGAGCTCTTCTTGGTCATCTTCATCTGGACATCTTGTTCGCCTGCCGAGCGCACCAAGTACGTCGCTGTGGCAACACCGGACTACCAGAATTGCCTTCTGGCCGGAGAATGGCCCGCGCCGATGCTGTAACGGTCATCAAGTCGACCTCTGCGCCCAAAATGCCCAAAGCTGCTCTGCAACAGTCGCCAATGTTTTGCCGCAGTATGCCTTGATGGCGCCACATTCTGCGAGCTGACAGGGAAACCTCAGGTCAGCTTATAGACTGCACCGGCATGCAGCGACGCTGGAGCAGAATCTAAAATCGAGGCCCTTGCTTAAAGGGCTTGTCTGCCAAGGACACTGGCACCTCGCGCATCCCAAAAAATGTACACAACCCGAAGACCCGAAGGACTCAACAGCATTTAACGCATTTAACGCAGGACCACACTGGTGGGCTCAGCTGCCTGGCGACGTGTGGAGCCTGCCCTGATGGAGATAATGGTCTCCGGTGACACACCTCCAAATGATACAACTTGGGTTTTAAATTTGCACCAATTTGCAGAAGCCACAATCCACGTTCGCAGCTCACTTCTTCCCTTCTCACAGCGCATGCAGCGCAGGCCTTTGGTGTCTTTGAGCACCACCTCCATGGCCTCGAAAGAATGTGGTGTATCGTTGCCGCCAAAACAGGTCCGGGCTGAGGCTGAAAATACAGCGTCAAGTCCCCGGCAACTTCGAACCAGGGGTGACCAACAAACGGCGAGAACTGCAGAAAAAAGCTTTGTCTAAGATTACCTGTGTCTGCGTAGGTCTGTACTTCTGCTCAGCCTTAGCCGCGCCACCCTGCTGGCATCGTCACTAGTGGAAAAGTGTTGAGGAAAACTATTGAGGATGGTGAGCTGACAACGGCTGCAGCCTTTGCTTGCCTGACATCCACAAAGCCAGCCGAGGCATTCAACTCCCACTGCCAGTTTACACGTGCCCCAAAGCTTCGTCTAGCTCATGTCCACAAGGTGCGATGGCGAGAAGAGCAACTAGATCTTGGTCGAGGAATGAACCCATCCCAGATCGCGATTTTTGGTTTTCGACTTCTGGCTTGAGCTTGGGAAGCTCTCGACAGGTTCTCTGGCCGACCTATTGTGCAACCTGTCGTCTGGTGCTCAGTCTTAAGGTTTTATGGCTGGCTCCAGGGCAAAAGTTCGCCAAGGTCAAAAGGTCTCCAGCAACCACAATGCGCGACCTGCTGACAAGAATGTGGGGGCCAAGCTGAAAATCAAGAAAATCAAGCAGATCACACACAGAACAGAGGGAAGCCACCGCGCCTCAGCGACGACTCTCCACCAAGTCGACTGCCCACATCTTCACACAGCCTGCACGGTTGCCGCAATCTGTGCATCCCACAACGTCTTGAGTCTTGACTCCAAAGGTGCAACAGACGGCAGCAACCGCGCCTCAGCGACGACTCTCCACCAAGTCGAATGCCCACATCTTCACACAGCCTGCACGGTTGCCGCAATCTGTGCATCCCACAAGATCTTGAGTCTTGACCAGAGGTGCAACAGACGGCAGCAACCGCGCCTCAGCGACGACTCTCCACCAAGTCGACTGCCCACATCTTCACACAGCCTGCACGGTTGCCGCAATCTGTGCATCCCACAAGATCTTGAGTCTTGACCAGAGGTGCAACAGACGGCAGCAACCGCGCCTCAGCGACGACTCTCCACCAAGTCGACTGCCCACATCTTCACACAGCCTGCACGGTTGCCGCAATCTGTGCATCCCACAAGATCTTGAGTCTTGACCAGAGGTGCAACAGACGGCAGCAACCGCGCCTCAGCGACGACTCTCCACCAAGTCGACTGCCCACATCTTCACACAGCCTGCACGGTTGCCGCAATCTGTGCATCCCGCAAGATCTTGAGTCTTGACTCCAGAGGGGCAACAGACGGCAGCAACCGCGCCTCAGCGACGACTCTCCACCAAGTCGACTGCCCACATCTTCACACAGCCTGCACGGTTGCCGCAATCTGTGCATCCCACAACGTCTTGAGTCTTGACCAGAGGTGCAACAGATGGCAGCAACCGCGCCTCAGCGACGACTCTCCACCAAGTCGACTGCCCACATCTTCACACAGCCTGCACGGTTGCCGCAATCTGTGCATCCCACAACGTCTTGAGTCTTGACTCCAGAGGTGCAACAGACGGCAGCAACCGCGCCTCAACGACGACTGCCCTCCCCCAAGTCGACTGCCCACATCTTCACACAGCCTGCACGGTTGCCGCAATCTGTGCATCCCACAACGTCTTGAGTCTTGACTCCAGAGGTGCAACAGACGGCAGCAACCGCGCCTCAACGACGACTGCCCTACCCCAAGTCGACTGCCCACATCTTCACACAGCCTGCACGGTTGCCGCAATCTGTGCATCCCGCAAGATCTTGAGTCTTGACTCCAGAGGTGCAACAGACGGCAGCAACCGCGCCTCAACGACGACTGCTCTCCCCCAAGTGGACTGCCCACATCTTCACACAGCCTGCACGGTTGCCGCAATCTGTGCATCCCGCAACGTCTTGAGTCTTGACTCCAGAGGTGCAACAGACGGCAGCAACCGCGCCTCAACGACGACTGCTCTCCCCCAAGTGGACTGCCCACATTTTCACACACAGCCTGCACGGTTGCCGCAATCTGTGCATCCCACAACGTTTTGAGTCTTGACTCCAGAGGTGCAACAGACGGCAGCACCCGTGCCTCAGCGACGACTCTCCACCAAGTCGACTGCCCACATCGTCACACAGCCTGCACGGTTGCCGCAATCTGTGCATCCCACAAGGTCTTGAGTCTTGACTGCAAAGGTGCAACAGACGGCAGCAACCGCGCCTCAGCGACGACTCTCCACCAAGTCGACTGCCCACATCGTCACACAGCCTGCACGGTTGCCGCAATCTGTGCATCCCACAACGTCTTGAGTCTTGACTCCAGAGGTGCAACAGACGGCAGCAACCGCGCCTCAGCGACGACTCTCCACCAAGTCGACTGCTCCCACATCTTCACACAGCCTGCACGGTGTCCCAAAGTCTTGAATGTTGAGGAATGTTGTTGTTGAGGGGGGATCGTGGATCGTAGGAATGGCCATGTTCGGCCTATGGGATGTTGATGGAGGGGGGGAACATGTTGAGGGATGTTGGCGGGGGGTAGGAATGGCCATCTTGGGGGATATCTGAGGGATGTTGATGTGGGGGATTCGGTAGGAATGTCCATCCAAGTTCGCATGTTGATTCGCACATTTGTTCGAAAATGGCGCGCCTCGCGGGGGTTCTTTTGGTCGAGCTGGCCTCAAGGTCTGACTTTGACGTGATTAGAATCGTGACCATAAATATATGGTAATGTACATGAGAAGCCGACTTGCACACGAGGGCCACGAGGAGTCACAAAGAGACTCCGAAGACTCCGAGAGTCCTGATTCCAGGCCCAAGGCCTCGCTGGTGCACCTGGCAAGCTGCAAAAACGGGGCAAAAAGAGAGGAGCCCCAAATTTAGCTTCAGCAAGAAAGTAACAAGCATGCCACTTCCATGTGCTGCAATGAATGTGGCGTGGCTCCATTTGCAGTCGCCTCCTTGTCCGCAGCAAACTCCAACAACAAACGTGCCACCTCTAAATGGCCCTTCTCAGCTGCGACAAACCTGCCACCATCTGCTTTGGCCAGGTCCTTGTCTGCGGAAAGCTCCAGCAAACGTGCCACTTGCACATGGCCGAAACACTTTGCCCTGAAACGTGGCGTGGTTCCATCTTCTGCGGCCCGGTCCCTGTCCGCACCCCCACTCAGGCAACGAGCGTGCAACTTCCAAGCGGCCCTCCTGAGCTGCGATGAGAAGTGGCCCACTTGGAAGTGACACGTTTGTTGCTGGAGTCAGGTGACTCCAGCAACAAACGTGCCACTTCAGACTTCCCTCCAAGCTGCGCTCTTAGTGGCGTGGCTCCATCTGCCTTGGCCAGGTCCTTGTCCGCAGCCCGACTCCAGCAACAAACGCGCCACTTCCAAGTGGTCGTCTTGAGCTGCGATGACAAGCGGCGGGGATCCATGTGCTTCGACCACCAACTTCAACAAGAAGCCCGCCACTTGTGGTGTTTGGAATCCCAGTGCGTACTCAGAGGTGAGGACTACTTTGGGAGCTAGGCCTTCAGTGCCCTTTCAACTCTCACACACTGCCAAGAGGCCCTTCTCAGCTGCGATGAAAAGTGACGTGGCTCGACGGTCTTCTGTTTTGTGGGCTGGTTGCCGCACCAGCTTCGAGAAGCAGCGCTGTGGTGACTTTCCTTCCATGCCAAGCTGCAACATGCAAGGCTGTCATGTCTTGTGCGACCAGCCCTAAAGCTCTGTCTCCAAAGGATCCTTGGGCATCCCCCGGTCTCGACTTCGGCTCTTGCTTGGATCCTTTGGAGACAGAGTCTTGGGGTGCGCACGTGGCACAGTGTCGCCGGCAGTGCTCAGCAACTCCTCCATCGTCACGCAAGCCACCGCTTGGCCAGTAATCATTATGTGAATCCGAACCTGCAGCATTGCCCCACTGAAGCGGGATGTCCCTCGATCCCTATACCGGGGCTGACTCAAGTTAAACCTCGAGCCGAGCTAGGACGGAAGAGACTCGAAAAGGGGCGAGAAAAGCAGGAAAAGAAGAGGGCTCGGAGCAAAGGGCCTAGAAGGCAGTTCAACTTCGCACTTTGACGTGAAGTTCCCAGCAGGGCTGCGCAGGCCACCTTCACGGAGTCTCGACTGCAGAGGTGCAGCAACCACGCCTCGACGAAGACTGCTCTCCACCAAGTCGACTGCCCACATCTTCACACAGCCTGCACGGTTGCCGCAATCTGTGCATCCCACAAGGTCTTGAGTCTTGACTGCAAAGGTGCAACAGACGGCAGCAACCACATCTGCGAGGTCAGGAGAACAACGTGGCAACAACTTCATCATGAACCATTTGAGAGGTGCAATGGGTCTAGCCTCCTAGCCGGCCGGCTTCTTCAAATCTGATATGCAACCTTGGTCGTAGCATGCACCAGAAGTTTGAAACAGTCACTTTTTAAGATTAGAGCTTGACCTTCCTGGAACCAGCATACCAGTAGCAGCTCTTAGCAAAAGCACCTTCATTGAAGCGATTGATCGCCGATGAAAGCATGGCAGTAAGATTGGGTAACACTTGACAAGAAGCTAAGATCATGCTGCATCTGTGTGCATCAGTAGGGTTTGGAGACTGCAGGTGACAATGACATACCATGACATGATTGCACCGCTGCTTGCTCGACAGAAACTGCGGTCGTGTGAAAGCCACGCACACACACACACACACCAGGCTTGCACCAATGCATGAGATGGCAGGCTGACGGAAGCTACTTCAAAAGCTCTAGATTCAACCGGCTTGCTGTGCAGATCATTCACAAACGTCTTTTCAAAAGCTGAAGCTTCAGCAGCCGCTCTTGCTAACTTCCTCGGTTCATACTCGCCTGCAGCTGGCTGAACCGACCATTGTGCTCAGGCTCCTACTATTCATGCATCCCGTGCATAGCAGCTTTGTGTACTGCGCAGGCATGAATCGAACAGCGGATTTCTAAAACGGCCCACTAGTGTGAAGTCAGCTCCACCTACCCACCTGTCTCAAACGTTCCTCAAGTTCTTCCGGTGCACACAATCCTATGAATATCATGGCCTCTTCTGAGGGGGTGGGGACGATGAAGATTCAGAGCCGCTGCCAGACTCGGAGCCCTTGGAATGGGCGCGCTGTAAAAGTGTAAGACTTCTGGTGATATTGACGCAGAAACTGTAGTGGTGTGCTCCGTTCGTGCTAAGGTTGTTGCGCTGCTCGAGGATTCGCTCTCACTCGACCTGGGGTGGTCTGAATGCAACATGCAACACTTCGCAGACTTTGCATGCAGCACAAGACGTAGCGCAAAGCGAAAAGCACACATGCGGCTTAGCAATCAGCTGCTTCTTCTTCGTTTTGGCCTTGCCTGCAAAAGGAACTGCGTCCATATATGCGAGATGTTGAGCCGTGAAGGAAAAGTCAGCGAAACAAAGTCAGAAACAACGAGAGAGCTAGGTGTTTGCGTGTTGAGACTCTTGCGGAGTAAAGCACTCGAAGCACTGAAGCTGCATTGAAAGGGCGCCTTTAGCCTTGGCCTTCGGATCTTTTGCAGCTGGCTTCTTCTCCTTGGAGATGGTGGCCTCCGGGACTCTGTGATCACCAGGGCTATGCTGAGACGCCCCTGGTCCCCTATTCATCTAAAGTTGTCAGCCCCTGTTTCTGTGCCTTCACAGCTTTCTTGGCAGCCTCACCAGCCTGGGCCAAGCCATGTAAACCCACATTCGCCTCCTCATCGAAAATCACATCCATCTCCCGGATCTTGCCTGGGCCTTGGCTTTGTCTGTCTTCTTGGCTTTGTCGGCCTTCTCAGCCTGAATCCAGCAAGGACATCTGCCTACACCGCACGGCTTGAAGAGCATTCCAACAAACAAGCACTGCAAACTGGTGGACAAGTCCAAAAACAAAAAGGGAGCAGTACCAGTTCCTAAGCATCGTTTAATAAAAAGCTGCGTTGTTCAGCTCTGCATCAAAAGCAGAACCAGCGATCCACCAATTGTGTTCAGCGTGGTCCAGCTCACCATCTCAACATCATCCGAAACCTTCATGGGGAATCTGGGCAGGGTGGACACTCAGTCCATACGGATCAGCGAAAAAGCGACAAACACTGGCAAGAATTGCCTCGAGCAACACGCCAGGATCCCCACGAGACGAGAGAAGCGAGCCACCCACGACCAAATTCCACATGGTTCTTGAGATTGACACATTGACATGGTTCTTCCGGTTCACGAAGCAGGCTGCAAGAAGCTGACTTCTCTAAGTGTAATGAAATGAAAAAAATTTGCACTCCTGACAGCAGTCGGAGATGCATCCCGACTGTCGGAAGCTGCACAATTGCAGGCTTGCTCGCTCATACACACATCTTTTTATGTCAGCGATCTGACATTGCACATGGCAAAACATGGCCGAAAGCCTTGTCAGCTTTCTCTGGCTCCTTCGCTTTCGTCTTTGTCGCTTTCGGCTTGTCAGCCACCTGCAATCACATTGACTGAATGACTTGCTCACTCCCACCCCCCAGAACTCCGTACATCATCCCCTCGGCTGGGTGCGCACCGGGGGAGCACCCAGCCTAGGGAGCACCCAGCCAAGGTGCTGATGCATGTCTCCACGAAACGGGCAACACTCTACGAAGTCCCTCTGCCTGCACCCGCCCCCAAAAATTGTTTATAATCAGCAGCTCCCGCCGAAAAGCACAAAATTCAAGATGCAAGGCCCAATAAGAGCATCACAGGCACAAGGGCATTAAAGGCACGAGCGGCCCAGCAGGGTGCCAAAATCAGGCAAAATGTTTCTCACCAAGCCACGAATGCCACGATAAGCTCGTAAAGTGCAAGGCAATGGTACCCAAGGAGGCCACCCCACACGCAAACATCACATGTCAAGCCGCTGAATGGCCAGCTTCGACATCGCGCACCAAAGTGCCTCGAGCCAAGCACAGCAATCAGCACGAAGCAAGCAGCAAGCACTGAAAATGCAGTCCCCAGTAAACACCAAAAAAGCAAGCATCTTGCAAACGAGCAGCGTCGCATTTAAAACATTTGGCCCAGCACGGCACCCAAGGAGCAAGCAGTGCTGGGGAAGCACAAGAAGCCGTGCCATCATGAGTGTTGCATTGGCTTTCTTCACTTCTGGATTCTTGACCCCACTATCCCTCTTGAACTTAGTATTATTCCGTCATGATGGACAAGGCGAAACGAGCACTCATAATGGAGCTACGTGAACGACATGAACGTGAGGACGTGTGAAACACTCAAACCAAAAATGCAACGTAAAGGAGTTCGCTCCTGTTCCGCGCGGTGCGTTCTGGGGCCGCCCGAATCCGGGACGGCAGGAGGCTTTGCCCCTAACCCCCAGTGAGACACTGAGGGGAGGCCAAAAGTGGCTTCAGAAAACAAATTGCAATCCGGAACCCATCCGAAAACCATCCGCGCGCTGGCCCCGAGATGTTGACATTTAAGTGGCACGTGAAAAACTCCACGTGATCCAGCACCAGAAGAAAAGTAACCAATAAAAGCGCGCTGCAATACTTGCTGAAGAGCCTTGGCTTTTTCTTCCTTTTCTTTGGCCTTGGGCTTGGCCTGCGAGAAGACGTGCATCCATGGCTTCCAGAAAGCGCTGACAAACTAGCAGTAAGACGTTGTGGGCATTTGCCCTAAGCATCCTAAACGTTGCTGTTGGACAGAAGGAACGCTACCATCCATGCCTTGGCTTTCTCATCTTTCTCCTTTGTCTTCGTTGGCTTCTCCGCAGTCTGGAATGCAGATTCGAGATGTCTTGAGGCAGAATTTCTTTCACAAGCTCAATAGGCCTTCGACTTTACCTTTGGCTTTTCTTCGGCATCAGCCTGTTCAGTGCAGCATACCCAACAGGAGATGGTCACCAAAGCGGAGCGACGTCCTCCTTTTTCTTCTTCGCAGCTGGCTTCTTCTTCTCTTCTGTTTCCTCGTGACAAACATGTCATGACACAAAATGTCCTGCCAAGCCCATGTCTGCGAACCGGACGACCAAACGGCGCATCTACGATACCTGACCTTGGCCTTAGTCTTTGCTGGCGCCTTTGTTTCCTCCGAGCAGCACGCGTAGAGGTGAAGTGGCACATAAAGAGCACCAGCATGCAGCCATGCCTGCACAAGACTAAGGTTGTTGGTTGCTCCATACCGGGTCCTTCTTCTCCTCCTTCTTCTCCTCTTTCTTGTCTTCCTTCTTGGGGGCCGGCTTCTTGGCTTTGGCCTGCCACACAAAGGGTACAAAGATGTTCAAAGATGAAAACCACAAGCTAGGCCATGGTGGGCCTACTACTGTAGACAGCCTCGAAGACCCTAAGACTCTCAGCAGCGCCCCGAAAGGAGCGCAGTGCCTTGGGAATCGACTCTTCCTCCGAGTCCTCTGCACATGACATCCCTCGCAGCTGCACGAATGGCTTGACACTGCACTTTACGACGCTCCATTCTTTGCCGCTGCCCTTCCAACATCCCTCCGAGTCCTCTGAGTCGGACTCATCGTCCCTAGCTCGAGCCTGACGAAGAGGAAGGCAGAAGTGCCTTTGCCGTTGACCTTGCCTGGAAAACACGTATACGTCCCTAAAATGGAATGCGTGCCTTGGCCTTTTCTCGCTCTCTCTCCTGGACAGATTTGGACACAACAGTTCAAGCACTGGCCTCAGAAAGTCCACAACTGCACACGCCCTTGCTGCGGAATCCAATGCAAGGCTTCACGCTGCCGCCATACAGCCGTCACATATCCAATTCACCATGTAAATCATATACGTGTCCTATGCCCTCAGCCCATAGTCCCTGCCTTTTCCTTCTCTTTTTCCTTCTCACGCTCAGCTCTTTCTTTGTCCTGGAGCAAGATGGCAGAGCCATCGAAAACTCGCATGACATCAGTTCCATGCTGAGCGGGGGAATGTATGTAGCAAGGTCTTACACTGTCTTACACGGTCTAACCATCGGAAAGCATCTCTAATTTGTTTCACGCCTTGGCCCGTTCCTTCTCCTTTTCCCGATCTCGGTCCCGATCCTTCAAACGGGTCAGCAATGCACCAAAACATACCAAAACGTAGAACCAACAGCAAACGGGTGAGATTTCCAAGGTTTTCATGCGAGATGAACTTCGTGACGGATGTTTTCAACTTGCACATGAGACTGGTGATTGGTGCTTCACAGCAATACTCAGCTCTTCTCCCGGTTACGGTCACGATCGCGATCGCGATCCCGGTCCTGATTCCAAACATGCCGAGGCAGACGCCAGCCGAATACGAGGGAATTCGAAAGAAAGAAAAAAAGAAAGCATCTTGACGATCTTGCTAAGCCCGGCAGGGCCAGACTCCCCCCGACGCAGAAGACACTTGCAGCAATCAGAAATTGCACAAGGCCACTATAGGCCACTGTCACTCCATCTGAGAAGGCAACTCGGCCGCTGCGGTCTTCCCTGCCATCCATGGAATCCATGCAGAACAACACAGTAGATTGCACAGCTGCCTTGCCTCTTGGTTGCCTCAGCTCGGCGGTCACGGTCGCGATCACGGTCCTGTCACTCAAGGGGGGCCATGATTCTTTAGCCAATATGAGTGCAACAGAGGTGAGAGAAAAGATAAAGCAGAGGCAACTCGCACCCGATCGCGGTCTCGTTCACGCTCACGCTGCTCGCGCTGCTCACGCGCAGGCTGCTCTCGTTCCTGACGCACTTGTGCCTCAAAGCTGGCTTTGCACGAATCACGAAGTGTCATGATCCCGGTTCCGGCAGCAACCCTTACAGCACCGAGCTTCTTTACATCCCGTGTCAACTGCGAATGATGCCCAAATTTGGTCCCGCGCCACGGGCGCTGTTCGCTGCACCTGATAGCATCTGTTCCCTCAACAAATCCGGGCGAAGTTGAATGAACAGCTGTCTTCTCAGCTCAACTTGCTGAAACAGCACAGTTTGATGAATGTAATTGCCAGCAAAGCTCAATTAATGAGCTGAGCCTGCGTTTGTGTTGTTCTGCATGTAGTGTGAAGATGTTTGTGTGTGTATACTATCCCACATGCTGCAAGGCGACTCGCGGTCGCATGGGGATAGCCGGCGTGTGCTCCAGCCTCACAACACTCTCGCACAAGGAGCTCTCCAGAGTGCTTGCAGAATTCGTTGCATCTTCCGGGCAAGAGCCAAATAGAGCGAATCACGAGCTGTGATCTTTGGCCTTCGCTTGCGGTCAGCCTGGTGCTCCACCTTAAACCAAGTTGCCGGCACATGTAGAGACCAAAACTGCAGCGTCACGGAATGGCTACCATGACTCATCAAACCTAGGACTACAAAACTCAAAAAGAGATCGATAAGATCACGGCCCTGATAACATTTCCGTCGATCTGCCCACTGTTCATGTGAGAGATCGCGCGGTCGGCCTTGGAGGCAAAGCGGCGCCAAGGCACTCCAGAAGCATCTAACTCTTTGCGTAGCAGTCGCACTCAAAAAGCGGGGGCGTAAGTTTCCCGAGCTTCCAGCATCCCTTTCTTCATAGAACTCGACGTAGGCATAGCCTGAAAAGCTCTCGGCTTCTCAGCGCAAAGTCACCACGAAGTGCAACTCACAGATCTTTGAAAGTCGTTGAGCTCAACACCTTTGGGAAGGCCGGCTGCCTTGTCGATGGCTAGGGTGGCTTCCTTGACCTGGCACGACTCGTCGGCAAAACTGCACAGAGCACAGTAGCACGTAAGATGTGCTTTTCCACCTTGCCATAGTTTCCGAAGATCTCTTTGAGATGGTCTTCATTCACCTAAGAATTTACTGCAGCGAAGTGGCTCCCAAGCCACAAGCATCAAAACTCACCAAACCAAAAGTATGCTTGTCAAAGTGAAGCTACATTTCGACTCAGGTTGGAGATGGCCAGGGTCTTCCGATCCTCCCGCCTGGTGAACAACACAACTGCTGCATTATGCCAACTTATGCCTTCGTCATGATGCGCAGCTCCGGTGACAGAAGAACACGCACAATCAAGAGCCTCGGACCTTCTACCATAAACCAATCTACGCCATGCCCTCATAGCCCTCACTAGGGGCTGCTTAACGTCCAACAAATACAACAACAACCTCCTCCTCCTCCTCCTCCTCTAGATGCCAACTACAAAGTTGCCTTCTCTCTCTGTCTTTGCCACGGCTACGACTTCGGTCCTTGGATGACGATGAGCATGCGCATGAACGCAGGAACCGAGAACCGAGCACATGATGTGAGGCAAGCAACGCGATCTCTCCGATCCTGCGGCAGATGGGTTGGAGACAACATGTGGCACCACTGCGCTACCCATGACCTTGTCGCGATCTCGTGATCTGTCCCTGGAGCGCTTCTCCCGATCACGCGATCTCTCCCGAGAGCGGTCTCTAGACCTCTCCCGAGACTTTTCTCGCTCCGCAGGCTTGTCATCGTCCTGGTTGCATGCCGGGCTTTCTTTGCAATTCTGCAGGGGGGCTCGAAACAACAGGCCATCAATTGCCACGATGGATGGTCCTTGTCTTTCTCATCTGTGTCTTTGAGCTGGTCTTGCTCATTCGGTTCCTTCTCCTCTTTCCTCAGGATCAACTCTCCTTCAACCAATATCAGCCTTTCAACTACAAGACTGCACAAAACCAAGGACCAAAACGGCCGAGCTGAGATGACACAATCACATTGAATCCGGAACATGCAACTGCAAACAACACAGTTGCTGTCCAGCCAAGTGGCTCTTTCTGCCCATCTGACTCGTTGTCCTTGTTCTCTTTGTCACTATCCTGAGAACTTGCCCATGAGCTTTCGAAGTTGGCAACGGCGCAATGCAGCGCTGCGCAGCGCTGAGCTGTGCAACGCAACGCAACGACATGCAATGTTCAGGTCCATTGGCTGCATGTACACACAAGCTTGCGGATACCTGCGTGGCTTGATCCAAGAAGCATCGTCCCCCATCGCTGGGACAGGCCGCAGAGTCAAAAATGGCAAATATCAGCAATCTGTGCCGAAATGGCGCACGACACACGATCCGCTCACATATCGTCAGTCGTCTGCAAACGCAAGTCGGACAAATTCCGGCATGCAATGTCAGAAGCATAGTAGATGCCTTTAGCAACCATATGGACATATCGCTATATCCGCTACCTACAATATGGGTCAAGGAAGTTAAACTTTGGGCTGATGCCAAAACATGTGCATGTAACTCGTCAAATCTATGTCATTCTGGTCAAACAAACACACAAAACACACGCAAACTTGCGATGACTAAGCAAGCTTGATGACTGACCAAACTGATTGCAAGCACACGGAGGTTCACACGACGCAGTCCAAGTTATTGGGAGATGTTACGTGCACTGCAACGACATTCAGAACACAAAACAAGCCTGACACATGCACGTGATCAGTGCACAGGCTAAGCCTAGGGTGGTGCAGCATTGTTCCTTCTTCAATGCCTACATTGCTTTCAAGCTGAACGGATACATCATAGATATTACATATCGATGTCCCTTCCATGTACGACCTTAGTGAGTGAGCAGGGCAACAAATGAAACTTTTAAAAGTGACGACTTTTGCGAGGATGGCGCACTCCAGATGCTTCATCCTCGTAACTGTTTGCACTATTGAGCCGTAAACAACAAAACAAGATTAAATGATTAAAATGTGAACAGTCACCCCACGTGTACAAACGAAACTTCAAAATTGACGACAGTGGCGTGGATGGCGCCACCCAGATGCCGCATCCTCGTGATTGTCCGCACTTTTGAGCCGTGAGCAACAAGCAACATTGAAAAGTGACGACATTCAGGAGCATGGCTCACCCCACCTTTCAAAAACGAAACTCAAAACAGACGACGAGTATGAAGATGGCGCGCCCAGGTGCCTCATCCTGTAAGTGTCTACACTTTTGAGCCCTGAGGAGGATGGCGCACCCCACGTGGCCCATCCTCATGATTGTCTGCACTGTTCAAAACGAAGCGAAAGGGTGGAGGTCGAGTCAGCAAAACGGGTCGAAAACGCAAAAGCCCGGAGTCAGAAAACGGAAAGGCGTGAGTCAGAAAACCGAGGAGATGCGAGTCAGAAAACAAAACAGTGAGTCAGAAAACGGCCCCAAGCACACAAAGGGGCTGCGCCCCCAACACCCCCCCCCCCCGCCTTTTTAAGTCGGGCAAGCTTGTTTCAAACGAATCCCAAACCCTAAACCTTAAAAAATAAACCCTAAACCCTAAACTCTAAACCCTAAACCCTAAACCCTGAACCCTGCCCCCCAGCCCCCCGTTTTTTGTTTAAATTTTTTTTTAGTCGGGTAAAGCTGTCCCTTCCAAACCCATGATGCCGGCATTGTGCTTAAAATTTGAGGGGTGGCTGCCCCCCCCCCAACCGCCCCCGTTTTTTCTTAAGTCGGGCAAGCTTGCTTCAAACGAATCCCTTCCAAGCCCATGATGCGGGCATCGTGTTTGCAAATGGGGGTTGGGGGCGGGGGGGGCTGCCCCAACTCCCCCGCATTTTTTAAGTCGGGCAAACTTGCTTCAAACGAATCCCAAACCGTAAGCCCTAAACCCTAAACCCCAAACCCTAATTGTTTAAGTCTTCTTGTTAAGTCGGGCAAAGCTTTCCCTTCCAAACCCATGGTGCGGGCATTGTGTTTGCAACTGGGGGGGGGGTCTGCGCCCCCCCCCCAACCCCCCCGCTTTTTTAAAGTCCCCCCCGGTTTTTTTAAGTCCTTTTCTTAAATCGGGCAAGCTTGCTTCAAACGAATCCCTTCCAAACCCATGACGCGGGCATTGTGTTTGCTAATGGGGGGGGCTGCGCCCCCCCAACCCCCCCGGCTTTTTTCAAGTCGGGCAAGCTTGCTTCAAACGAATCCCAAACCCTAAACTATAAACCCTAAACCCTATAAACCAAATAAACCCTAAACCCTAAACCCTAAACCTTGCCCCCCCCAGCCCCCGCTTTTTGTTTAAGTCTTTTGTTTTATAGGTCGGGCAAAGCTTTTTCTTCCAAACCCATGATGCGGGCATTGTGTTTGCAAATGGTGGGTGGCTGCGCCCCCCCCCAACCCCCCCGCTTTTTTTAAGTCGGGCAAGCTTGCTTCAAACGAATCCCTTCCAAACCCATGATGCGGGCGCATGAGAGTCCATGAGGGTTGGGCAGCTGCACCCCCCCAACCCCCCCTTGTTTTTAAGTCTTTTGTTTATGTCGGGCAAGCTCGCTTCAAACGAATCCCTTCCAAACCCATGATGCGGGCATTGTGTTTGCAAATGGGGGGGTCTTCTTTTAAGTCGGGCAAGCTTGCTTCAAACGAATCCCTTCCAAACCCATGACGCGGGCATTGTGTTTGCTAAATGGGGGGGCTGCGCCCCCAACCCCCCCGCTTTTTGAAAATTTGATTCATTAAATATGTTGTCATTTAATTTTTAGTCGGGCAAGCTTGCTTCAAACGAATCCCAAAACCTAAACCCTCAACCCTCAACCCTCAACCCTAAACCCTAAACCGCCTAAACCCTAAACCCCAAACCCTAATTGTTTATGTCTTTTTGGAAACGTCCATGGGGATCCATGACGGTTGGAAACGTCCATGGGGGGTCCATGACGGTTGCAAACCTCCATGGGGGTGGTTGCAAGCGTCCATGGGGGTCCATGACGGTTGCAAACGTCCATGCGGGTCCATGACGGTTGCAAACGTCCATGGGGTCCATGACGGTTACTAACGTCCATGGGGGTCCATGACGGTTGCTAACGTCCACGGGGGTCCATGACGGTTGGAAACGTCCATGGGGGCTCCATGACGGTTGCAAATTAACGTCCATGGGGGTCCATGACGGTTGCAAACGTCCATGGGGTCCATGACGGTTGCACATGCCATGGGCCATGACCATGGGGGTCCATGATGGTTGGAAACGTCCCTGGGGGTCCATGACGGTTGGAAACGTCCATGGGGGTCCATGACGGTCGGAAACGTCCATGGGGGTCCATGACAGTCGGAAACGTCCACGAGGGTCCATGACGGTTGGAAACGTCCATGAGGGTCCGTGACGGTGGGAAACGTCCCTGGGGGTCCATGACGGTGGGAAACGTCCAGATGGGGGTCCATGACGGTTGGAGACGTCCATGGGGCCATGGGGCTCCATGACGGTTGGAGACGACAGACATTCATGGGGGATGACGGTTGGAAACATGACGGTTGGAAACGTCCATGGGGGTCCATGACGGTTGGAAACGTCTGATGTTTCTACAGCTTTGTACAGCCAGCTCAAGCAGGCCTCATTTTAAACTCTATTCCTTGTAGGCATTTCCTTTCCCTTCTCTGAGGCATCGGCAAGTCTGATTCCAAGGATGCGCTTGCCTTGTGTTCTTTTCTTGTTATCGCACGTTCGTGGCAGAGGTAGCAGCCTGGGCCTAGGAGCTTTAGGTTCGTCCTTTGCTCTTCAAAGGGATGAGGTAGGTAGCTGCGATTATCGCAGTGCAGTCCCCCCACGCCCGCTCCAACGCCTAAGTACGTGTTGGGTCTTGTTGCTTGTGTGTTGGTAGTTTTCGGTTTGGTCTTGTTTGGCTTGTTTAGTCCTTGGCTAGGCGGGTCCAAAGGACGGAGCTGGCACGGCACGTTTCAATGGGCTTTTAGCTAATGGTCAAGGCACGTCCGAAGGGCGGAGCTGGCCACGGCACGGCACGTCTCACGGGCGGGGCAAGCCAAGGGCATGGCGCCTCTCGAAGTTTCAGAATCGCCCGCTATGAGCAGAGCCCGCTCGCTCAGCGTTCAATAAAAAATAATAATAATAGTAGTAGTAGTAGAAGTAGTAGTAGTAGTAGTAGTAGTAGTAGTAGTAGTAGCAGTAGCAGTAGCAGTAGCAGTAGCAGTAGCAGTAGCAGTAGCAGTAGCAGTAGCAGTAGCAGTAGTAGTAGCAGTAGTAGTAGTAGTAGTAGTAGTAGTAGTAGTAGTAGCAGCAGTCGTAGTCGCAGCGACAGGGTTGTGCGCGTGTTGAAGGGACTAAGAATAGCGGGTGGGTTTGGGGTGGCGTGGGTTTGACCATGCTTTGGGTGGTTTTGAGCATGCTTTCACGGGGCTGGGATGGGTTTGACCATGTTTTGAAGGCGCTGAGGGTAGTTTTCGGGGGTTTGAGGTTGGCTTGGGCGGGTTTGACCATGCTATGAAGGGGCTGGGTTGGGTTTGACCTCTTTTAAAAGGGTTGGGGTGAGGGGGGGCTTGACTGTGTTTTGAAGAGGCTGGGAAGGGGGCTTGATTTCCACAGTGCTAGGAGACCGAGTCGTTCGTTCCTGTACAGTATTCGGAAGTCCTTGTTGGTTGCTGTGAGAACATAGCGAAGGTCACTTTCCTGCTGCGTGATGGAGGCCCTCCACCCCCATAGAGTCTTAGCAAAACGGACCAAATTGGCGAGCCTGCCCGCGACGGCGGAGTTGTTTTAAAAACATTGTTTTGTGAAAAACTTTTGAATCCGTAAAGACGCCTGCAGATTCGAATCACTCAAGTCACATGCTACATGGGAGCAACAGGTAAAACAACTGCAAAACATAATATCTGGGCATGCTGTAAATCGGGAAAATCCTAAACACCCCGCCTCCAAAAGTGTGAAGCTAGGCGAAGAGTTTTGGTTCAAAGGATTCCCGATGCCCAGGTATGAGAAACAACAAGACACTTAGTTTCAAATGCTCCCGTGAAACAACTGCAGAATGTCTTTGCATCTTCGAGCTCTGCCCATGGGTCGTTGGCTCGGTTTAGGCTACAACTACGTTGTACCTAGCACCTACTGTGCTGCATGCTTGACTGGCCCAAGCGGAGACCTTCACCATGCTGCACACTGTCGGAATGGCAAGCAAGGTGGACACACGTGGCATTGCACTGTGGAGATTGTGATGGCCTATCTGCCATCGCACGAGATTTTGGGTGACCAACTCCCAAACATCAAGGCATTCGGAGTATCTCATTCGAAGTCGGAAATGAACAGGATTGGGCAAGAATGTGTGTGCATTGCTGAACCCCAGGTTCCACGAGGAGTAGCAAGTGAAGTTTCATGAGCATCACAAGCTATGTACATAAAGCTATATACATGCGACCACTGCGCAGCATCATGAACATTTCCAAGTGGAAAGAAGTTGCACTGTATCATGCTCCACACTCCTTGCAGGGCTTGAAACCTCGCCTGATGGCCTCACGCTTGCTGTACCTCAGAATTCGCTTTGCACATCTGAGCTTTGGGCATTCACGTGTCCGGTGGAATGCATATCCACGACTCGCAGTCACGAACACAACATGATTCTCTGCTGGATCTCGCACTGACGGCAGGCAAGCGTCCTGGCCGCACTGTTATCGCAGAAGGCAGTGATCTCAAGAGGTGGATGCGGTGCAACGAAGGTGATGCACGCTTTCAAGAGGATGCTGTCAGCTATGGCGGATATCATCGAGTGATATTCTGATTCCGCCGAGGAAAGACTGATGTTCTTTTGAGTCTTCGAGTGGCTATATATGGTCATGGAATCCCACAACACCACAGCGGCGCTCACTGATTTTCTGGTCTGGCGGTTGCCAGACCAGTCGGCGTCAGAGAAGCATTCAAGGATCGACAACGGGGTATGCAAATTGTCTGAACAATCCCGAATGATACCCTTTCCAACAATCGGCTTGGCAAGTCCCACGACATGACTCTCGTGGCTGTTGATGTACGCGGTCAGGTGCCTCAGTAGCTTCCAGGATCCCTCTGTTGGGCAGTGGGCATAGGTTGACAGGAAACGAATCCCAAACTGGCAAGCGGGAAGGTCTGAAGCAACGTACATCAGGATGCCCACCGCGGTGCGATACTTTGATGCACTGGTGGCATCAAGCTCAGGATCAGGCACGCGGTCTGTAGGCATTGGACCTGTAGGAAAAGGAGTCGCCTTGTACCTTTCCTTTGCAGCGGCAAGGCCGGTGACCTGCATCAGCTTCTCCACATACTTCACGTTTGGCTCGATGACCAAGAGGTCTTCACTCACCAGGCGGTGTGTTCTCTTCAGAAAACTGACGCAGTCCCCGACGTTTCGGATCCACTCCGATGACACTTTAAACTTGCTTTTGAGGTGATTCTCCAGCTTTTCAAGCTTATCTGAGCGTCCTGCGCACATCATGTCATCTACATGCACCATGCCGCCACCTTCAGACTCTGGCAGTCTGAACAGTGCTGGTTGCTCGGGTAGCAACTCAGCTCCAACTGCACGCTTGATCTCCTCTGTGAAATCTGCAAACCACGTGACGCTCCCGTCACGTTGACCGGGTAGCATGCGGTCGAGCTTGAACCATCTGTTTCCCACCTTCGTGCACGTGGGGTGTGCCTGAGCACACTGCAGAAAGGCATCTGCAATATCTAGCGATAGCATGCTCCAGTTTTGATCGCGCATTCGCATGAAAAGACCTGGCACCACACGCAACATGATTTGCGCAGCGGTCGGTGCAAACAATCCACTTCTGCCTTTGTCCAACCATGCAAACTCTCTGGCAACCAATCTGCTTCTGCGAACCCAAACTTTCTCCTGGTTTAGCACTTTCGGCCGCCATGATCTCACACTCTTCGACGACAAAACTCTGTGATCTTCAAGCTTGCTCTGAACTTCACTCAGCACGTGCATGTTCGTCAGTCTGCTCAGCTCAAAGTTGTCAGCGATTTCGTCGATGTATTGCAACTCCTCCGGACTGCATTGTGGCTCCGTTTGGGAAAAGGGTCTGATCAAGCAACTGGGAATCTCTGCACTCGGTGACGCACCAGCGTCATCGTCGTAGTTGTCCCAAGCCTCGGACTCCTCACAGTCCATGAAACCTTCAGCAGCCTCATCGAAGAGTTCAATCTGTTCATCGACATTGTGTAGTTCGTTGCCGTCTTTGTCCACTTGAACTGCATCTAAGCGCAACCGGATTCGTGCCCTTTTGGGTGCTGGCTGCTCATCCCCGCCTGCCCCTGATGGCCTCGCCTCTGGTGCCGGACCAGGAGCACCCAACGCTTCACTAGAACCACTAACACCCCCTAAACCACTAGAAGCGCGAGCTCCACTGGCCTCCTGCTGTGGTGGTGGTGCATCGGAATCAACAAGCATGGGCGTGCTAGGCTCGGCAGCCGTGGGAAGCGGTGTCTCGGCCGATGTTTGAACAGGCGTAGGAGGTTCCGGTGTGCCTGATGCAATAATGGCTGGTGGAGGAATGAGTTCTTCAAGCGGTGCATTGTCAGGTAGGACATAACCGGGATATGGAAGCGGTGGTCTTTCAGGCAACACAACCTCAGGCAGAGGCTGTTGCACCTCTTCTTCTTCTCCTCGAACAGGGGTTCTCTGCATTCTGGCCTGGCCGACTTGCCCTGCAAGGAAGCTTGCTTGACTCCATGGCATGTCACGCAGTGACTCAAGCAAAGATGCATCGTACTGCTTTGGCAGCCGTCTGACGCTCCTGCTGGAAATCAAGAAACCTCCAGGTGTGACTCCAACATGCAAATCTGATACCCCCAACTTTCCCAACCACAACATCTTTATCCATCTGGCTTTGCCCTTGATAGAACTCTTAATCCTTGCGAAAACAACCTCTCCAAACCCCACAACTTTGCCATTGTACGGGCGCCCTGTTATCACTTCAAACGGACTGGCAAATCCACTGCGCCCGTAGCGCATCTGCAGCCAACACGCGTGCTTCCACGCCCACGCATGGAGTGGAGACATCGTGCTGACCTTTTGGCCAGTCTCGGCTTCAACTTGGCTTAGCAGCGTTCCCGTGAGCTGCCTGAGCTGATCCACGGTTTGCTCGCTGGGGTTTGCTTGGTGGTCAGCGGCCTCCAGTTGTTCAAGATGCGTATCAAGTTTCATCCGCGACCTCAACTCTTTTACCCCTTGCTGCAAAGCAAGACAAGCCGGTTCGCCGTCTGATCTCAAGGCGATTTCCGTATGTCCACAAAAATTCAAGAATTTACACACTTCAGCAACCATGAACTTGAACGCCACGGTTCCTCCCTTTGCTGGTGTAGGGATCGCGCAGGTGGCACCTGTGTGTGAATCCTTGAGGATTAAGCAGATCAACTTGTCACCGGGGCGACCGGTTTCACGCTCAGTGAAGGCAAAGTCAAACGAACATGTGCTACACGCCCTAACATCTGGTCTTGCTTGGACATGGCGGTCAGCACGGGCTTGGAACTTGATGCAGTGCTCGCACCAAGGCATGAAAGGGATATGCGACAATGCGTGGCGACGCACCTCCTCAGGTGTTGGCTCAGAAACGGGTGCTTGTTCGCGGGGCAATTGGACTCTTGCATCCTCGACCTGGTGTCGTTCGAGCAATCTCTGGCGGTCCATGAAGTTGTGGATGCGCTGCAAGACGGTCGCCTTGCCTCCACTCTTGCCGATGCCCAATGCCGTGCAAGCAGCTCGCAATGTGGACAAGGTGCATCCCTCATGAAGCTCAACCCCTTCCACAACCACATGTGCACGCATGGCCGGCTGCATCACTTCCTCCGCCTCTTGCCCCGGAAGCTCATCTCCTTCCTGAATTTCGTCATCGGGTCCCGCTATGTTGCCAACTCCACCTATCGGAACGTCTGGTAACCCTGCATCGGACTCTGCATCTTCCGATACATGGTCTCGCCGGGCTGGCGGCACTCTCCCAAACAGTTCATCGATGTTGATTTTGCTGCATGATCCGATGGTGATGATATTGTGGATACGGCTCGGCACAAAGGAAGCTTCTGACAGGTCAAGTGAGCTCAGCGGCGTGTTCAGTTCGAAAACAGCCCAGCCACTCGCCTCTTGCCTTAGCGTAGTCCGGAACTGGACTCCTAAGTGCGTCAAAGGGACAGTGCAATCAAGAAGGCAGTCGGACATGTCACGCCTGGCATACACGCCTGATGTCACTTCCTGAAACCGATCATTCAACGCAAGCCACGGACCAGAAATTTCGAGGGCCAAGACAGAAGGCCCACGATCATCACACGCCGTCACGCTGGAAATCATTCCAGTCGCGTGCAGACTGTTGTGGCAGTAGTGCATGGGGACACGCAAGGACGCATCGGGATTCATCAAGTGAGGCACGCCGTGCTCATCATGAATGATGTTCCAACCTTGCTTCATCAACTTGCCAACCGAAAACAATGGTCGGCTGACACTGCTCAGCAGCCATCTCTCCTTGAACTGCACTTGCCCGATTTGCAGAACAGCCATGCGGGTCTTGGAACCAGTGATCGGGTGCCCCTGTGCATCTCTAAAGTTCTCCTGGCTGTTGGCGCACTCGATGCCTACATCTCCCCAGGACAGTGGCAGACAGGATGCATCCGAACCCGAATCAACCACTATCTCTATATCCCTGCATCCACCCTGCTGGCCTGCTGTGCTCTGGACTGTCTGAACAAAGAACGTAGCAGGGTTGCTGGAAGGATAGTGAGGAGTGCACAGGCAAGCATCCGTAGTGGCTGTGGCAGGAAGCACACCATCACAAACGGTCCAATCTTCATCACCGTCTGTTGCTGACATATCATAGACCTCAACACCGCACTGCTGGGCAAACACTGTGCATTCTGGCTCGGCAATCGCCTGAGCAAACACTGTGCATTCTGGCTCGGCAATCGCAATGAGATCGTTCTCCTGCACTGGCACAAGGTTGGGGAGGCTAGGGTACCTGTGCGGGATCAGGGCTAGCGACTTAACAACCTTGAGGAAATCATCCCCGGCAGCGGGACAAGAGTCCGCGGTGAGTGCATTGATGCTTCCACCGCACCAGTCACCCGTCACGTCGATCTGAACCATGTTCACAGAACGCATTGTTGTGCTGGTGTCAGGAGATGGCCTGACTTGCGACGCTGACGGTCCAGCCGTGCTGGGGGCAGTGGTGCTCGCATCATCTCCCTGCACATGTTGCACGTTCTGCCAGCACTCACTCTTGTAATGCCCTCGCTTGCCGCATGCATGACAGATGACATTCTGTCGGGCACCTTTGCCTGCATCAGGACCTTTGGGGTTTCCTTTCTGGCCTTTGTCGCCTCTGCCCTTGCCTTTAGGCTTGCCGGACTTGGGGCCTTGAGGGTTTCCTCCCTTGGGACCTTTAGTACCCTTAGGTGAACCACCACCCTTAGGACCCTTTGGCTTACCCTTATACCCCTTAGGATTACCCTTGCGCTGCAATGCATCGACCTCCATCGGCACGGGCCCATCGTTAGGCCCTGCAGGTTGCCTCCTGTTGGCAAAGAGGCTGTCTCCTGCAAACAGATTGCGAGCGTCCCACTTGGCATTCATTCTTTCAAAACGCAAGGCGGCTTCCCTCAAGGCATCATACGTGACATCTTCAGTAAGAATTGTCGCGAGATGGTTGCGCATGCTCTGGGTGATTGAACGAAGAAAAATACTGGTCTTGAAATCATCGTCCAATTTCTTGCCGCTACTGCGTTCATACTCCTCAAAGATACGTTCCATATCTAAGACTTGAGGCAACAATGGCTCATTGCCCTTGAAGTGGTTCATGCTGGTGATTGCACTCAAGATGCCAAGCGATCGCGTTCTCGACGTCGGCTGAAACAGCTGGATGAGCTGCCTCAGGGCCTCGAAGCCTGACTGGGCAGGCACTCGCTGGATCAGCTGCAGGCCCCTGCCCTTCACAAGGCTGCACAAGAGTGCAAACAGCTGCTTGGATCGTTGGGCTGCCTCAGGACTTTTATACCCTTGACCCTCTTCATCAGGGTGCTGCTCAAGATATGCAATTTCATCTCCAAAAGCAGAATCAAGGGCACACAAGTACTGCTTGAGGCTCCAAAACCACTGCAGCCACATGCCATGCTCTTCCTCTCTCGTGGCAGGCTTAAACACATCGGGTTTCGGGAGAATGCGGGCCATGTCACTGCCTGCAATTCCCTGCTTTGCATTGCCTTGCGACGTTGCTGCACTCAGGGCAGCCTGTGCAGCGGTTGCTGCTGCAGTCGTCGCCTCCATCATCTGTCTCATCATGGTCATCATATCATCTGGCGTCACATACATACCCTGCGCTTGCGGACTGCCAGGGCTGAACGGATTCTGTGCTGCTGACGCTGAAGCCTGGCTCGCCTGTGCACCTTGGGGCAAGTGCACGCCTTGGCCAGGGTCAACCTCAAGATCGCTTATGTCATCTTGCGATGCCATCACAGCAGCAATCAAGCACTTCGGGAATCTCTCAACTCACTCTCAAGATCCACAGCTTCGGTCTGGGGCACTAAGGATCTTTGGAACTTGGCAGGTTGCGTTTCACACAGATCGATAACAGATGGCGAAGACTGCAACGCTCTCTTAAACGTCGGCCGGCTGTCCTCTGCCAACAACTGTTCGATCAGTCCAAGTTCTCTTTCGAAATTTGGACCCTCTTGCTCTGCCTGGACGAAGCGAAGTTGCTTTGCAAACGGAATCGCCTCCTCACACACTCGGTCTATACCAAGATCTACAAAGTTCTCCTTCAAGCCTTGATCTTTCAAGCAAGTGTTTCCGAAGCACCAAACTTGCTCAACCGTATGAAGAGTTTCCAGCTTCTTCTGGAAAGCAGTGTGGATCCCTACCAAGACAGCTTGCCACCCGTATTCAGTTCTGTTGGCTGGCCTGGGCCGATTCAACAGTTGTTCAAGATACAGGCTGTCCAAGAGCTCTTTAAGCGAATCGCAACTGGCAACAGTTGCCGTGTTCACGAAAGTCACTTGGACGCCAACCGGCTGTCCAGCCGGCAGGTCAATATGGCGCAAGCTACGGCTCACTTCCTACAAAGGACCCCGAAAGAAGAAAACAAAGATCAGAAAGCCTGGGCCCCCGAACGCACCCAAAAGATGCTAGAGACCCCAACGACGTGTCTCGAAGCTCGGGCTTTCCCGGGCTCCGCTACCATGAAAAACTTTTGAATCCGTAAAGACGCCTGCAGATTCGAATCACTCAAGTCACATGCTACATGGGAGCAACAGGTAAAACAACTGCAAAACATAATATCTGGGCATGCTGTAAATCGGGAAAATCCTAAACATTTTGTTAAAGTCCACGGCACTCTATTGGTAAATTGCAATTCGGAAGGACTCCGCCGACTCCGCCGAGGCTTGATTAGCGCCGCGTAAGGGCAGGGGTGGAGTTGCGGGAAGAGCACGACGTGACTACTAGCTGGAAGTGTATTAGATAGTAGAAGCAGAAGGCAGTGTGCGCGTGAGGCTTGCAGCTGTGATTCTGTGACCTCCAAATCTGGGGTCGAAAAATCTAGGCAATTCTGGCTTCGTGTGTGTGGGCCTCCCCTGTGCAAGTTTTTCTCATGTTGATCACTTCCACAAGAAAGCTGCCTGCGGAGGTTGTGGTTCTCAGTAATTGTTCTTTCTGCGTTGAGCGCTTGTCTGTGGGCCAGAGTCGCCTGAGTGTAAACGCCAAAATAGAAGAATTCGCTGCCCCAAACCGGGCCGCCAAACGGCTCCAATTTTGGGGTCGCAGTTTCACCCCCCCCAATCTAGTTCCAAATTCTAGTGCGGGAGCTGGGTCCATTTCGCGGCCCCATTTTCGGGGCCGCGAGACGGCCCGTTATTTGAGCCTGTCGGTGCAAGCAACCGGATCGCGCCTGCCCTTTTTCTAGTAACTTTGGGCCGCGTCGCGCTGAGCGTGCGGGGGCTTGTCCGAAGCAGCTGCACTTCGTCCTGGCAATGCTGCTGGCCCGCCAGTTGATCTGCAGGTCTTTGTTGGTGTTTTCTGTGGATAGGAGTCACGCTTCAAGCTCTGGGGAGTTGACCAACGTGGCCTCAACGTTTTCTGCGGTTGTGCAGAATCGTTTGCTAGACATTGCAGAATGAGAGTTTTTGGCAGGCTTGGGCTTTGAACAGCAAAGATATTTAAGCGTGTTGCAGGCCCGGATTTTGATTTACCATTTTTCAGGGCACGGAAAAACCATGGACGTTTCCAACCGTCATGGACCCCCATGGACGTTTCCAACCGTCATGGACCCCCGCGTACGTTTCCAACCGTCACGGACCCCCATTGACGTTTCCAACCGTCATGGACCCCCATGGATGTTTCCAACCGTCATGGACCCCCATGCACGTTTCCAACCGTCATGGACCCCCAATGGACGTTTCCAACCGTCATTGGACCCCCATGGACGTCTCCAACCGTCATGGACCCCCATGGACGTCTCCAACCGTCATGGACCCCCATGGACGTCTCCAACCGTCATGGGCCCCCATGGACGTTTCCAACCGTCATCGGACCCCCATGGCCGTCGTGGACCCCCATGCACGTTTGCAACCGTCGTGGACCCCCATGAACGTTTCCAACCGTCATGGACCCCCATGAACGTTTCCAACCGTCATGGACGTTTCCAACCGTCATGGACCCCCATGGACGTTTGCAACCGTCATGGACCTCCATGGACGTTTCCAACCGTCATGGCCCATGGCATTTGCAACCGTCATGGACTCCATGCACGTTTGCAACCGTCATGGAAACCCATGCACGTTTGCAACCGTCATGGACCCCATGGACGTTTGCAACTGTCATGGACCCCCATGGACGTTTGCAACCGTCATGGACCCCCATAAACGTTTCCAAGCGTCATGGACCCCCGTGGACGTTTCCAACCGTCATGGACCTCCATGGACGCTTCCAACATGGACCCCCGCATTTCCAACCGTCATGGACCCCCATGGACGTTTCCAACCGTCATGGACCCCCATGGGCGTTTCCGACCGTAATGGACCCCCATGAACGTTTCCAACCGTCATGGACTTCCATGGACGTTTCCAACCGTCATGGACCCCCATCGACGTTTCCAACCGTCATGGACCCCCATGGACGTCATGACCGTCATGGACCCCCGTGGACGTTTCCAACCGTCATTGGACCCGCGTGGACGTTTCCAAACGTCATTGGACCGCCATGGACGTCTCCAACCGTCATGGACTCCCATGGACGTCTCCAACCGTCATGGACCCCCATGGACGTCTCCAACCATCATGGACCCCCATGGACATTTGCAACCGTCATGGACCCGCGTGGACGTGTCCAACCGTCATGGACCCCATGGACGTCTCCAACCGTCATGGACCCCCATGGACGTTTGCAACCGTCATGGACCCCCATGGACGTTTCCAACCGTCATGGACCCCCATGGACGTTTCCAACCGTCATGGACCCCATGGACGTTTCCTAACGTCATGGACCCCCATGGACGTTTGCAACCGTCATGGGCACCCATGGACGTTTGCAACCGTCATGACCCGCGTGGACGTTTCCAACCGTCATGGACCCCCATGGACGTTTCCAACCGTCATGGACCCGCATGCACGTTTGCAACCGTCATGGACCCCCATGGACGTTTCCAACCGTCATGGACCCCCATGGACCATGGACAAATCGGCTTACCGCTTGTTCCAAACTGGGTTTGAACCCAAAAGCCCAAAAGCCATAACATGAAGAATCACAGAGCACATAGCAGGAGCTGCATGTCCCTCACATTTTTCATCAGTGGGCGAACCAATGATCGCATCCTATCATGTGCCGGTGCACACAACACTGTGCACATACATTGCACATGTGTCTCACCATACCCTAGCGAACCTCAAGCCCCCTTTGAGGGCGAGGTAACTGTACATGCAACACTAATATGACTGCCGATGGCACACAGGGAGTTGCAGCCGCGTCAGCGGGCCCTGTCTTTGTGATGCCCTGGGTGGGCTGGGCGGGTCAAAAATTTTCGCACTGAGCTGTGGAGCCAGCGCTGCACACACAGATCTCCAGCAAACGAAGTTTGCAAATTGTCGTTCGCAATACCAAGCATGACAAGCATCAGAAACTTTTGGGTTACAAACCAAGAACAAACGGCACACACCGTTTTTCGAAGAGACATTATGGAAGCAAACGGTAAAACACCATTCGCTCGCGAACAGTAAGCTTACCGCTTGTTCCAAACTGGGTTTGAACCCAAAAGCCCAAAAGCCATAACATGAAGAATCACAGAGCACATAGCAGGAGCTGCATGTCCCTCACATTTTTCATCAGTGGGCGAACCAATGATCGCATCCTATCATGTGCCGGTGCACACAACACGGTGCACATACATTGCACATGTGTCTCACCATACCCTAGCGAACCTCAAGCCCCCTTATTAGCCGACAGTCCAAGGCAGATGGCATCCAGGTGCTCTGACACGTCGGAACACGGGACACTGATGCCACCCCACAGCAAGTGCTGGGACACCAGTCTTGACGGGTGATCTGCGCAGTTCGACGGGGAAGGGACTCGCGAGAACCAAGGGATGAACTCGCACCCCACTTCCAAGCCCACAAACATTGTAAGCAGATTTTTCACTATTGGGGACCTACCCCGACAGGAAATTAAAATATCCCTAACCGCATTGTTGTCGATGAAAGCCACAACAGGTGAGTGCGCAACCCTTTTGCCCCAAAGGCGGAACGCAAGCAGCACCGCAACAAACTCCGCCTCCATTATAATTGTGTCCTTGTTAAGCTCACCTAGGAGCTTGCGGGCATCACTGCCAAGGGCGTGAGAGAAACCAGCAACCAACACACCCTTGTCATCAAACAGGAGACCGCCCACGCCGCAAGGCAGTACGGGGTCGTCTTTCGAGTAGGATGCATCAGTGAAGACATACCAGGTTTGCTGCTTGCTAACCTGGACTAGTCGAGAACGGCCGCTTTCCAACATGTCGACAAGAGAGCTGAAAGTGTCGATGCACTCAGCCGGCAGATCGGGAGGGGCACAACCGTGGGCGTACTCCGAGAGCTGTTGCAAGCAAAATTTGCTCTGGCGTCCAAACAGCTGTCCACTTGCAAACTGAAGTTTTCCTCTCAGCTTGAGAGCTTGAGGCGCACTCATGCGCCGGTCCTTCTGGGCCTGCTTCATTGTCTCAACGAGGAGATGAACTCTCTTCTCCGTATTGCAAATAGTCACACGACCCAAGTGGGCACTTGATAGCACTATGTCAACTCCTAATGCACAAAAGGCCTCAGCAAACGGTACATCCTTCTTTCCACCCTGGGCGAGGTCCCATCCCAACAAGGTGAAGAGCAAGGTGATTGTTTGGTGCACATTGGCCACCTGTGTGCCTTTAGCAACCGACACAAAGTCATCAAAGTAGTGGGACCAGCAAAGGGCGAAAAAGAATGCACCAAGGTGCCAAATCGAATTAACGGTTCTCAGAAAAGTCGACACCGACTTGACAGCCCCGAAAGGGAGGGCATGTAGCTGGAACACTACTACCCTCTTCAGGTCAGGATCCCACAGCCCAATGTACGAGGCCCAGGCCCCTGTAGGGTCCAGAGCCAACTGCCTGTAGGCACTGACCAGGTCATAGAACCTTCCCTTGAGACTACAACCTGGCTGCACTCGCATCAGAGATAGGCACATGCCTGCGATGACGTCAACGGTCTGGGAGCGCACAGTCTCCAATGTCTCGACGGAGCTATTGATTCCTGACCCTGAGAAGTCATCAATCAACCTGATTTTCCCATCCTGCTCGATCCCGAACCTTCGAGACACGATGGCATCAGGCGGTAGCTGGTCCACCTCGATGGGACCTGACAACCAGCCCCTATCGCGCTCCTCGAGGGTTTTCGTTTGGACCTCGCGATCGAGGGACTCCCCCTGGGACTTGATAGTGGACAACAGGGCTGCCCTAGAGGTGGGGGCATCTCTTTTGAGTTGCTCAACCGTGACCGACGCCGGCTTGAACTTCGGGGCAAACACACCTGTATCAGGCACCGGGCCTCCCAGGTTAGTACCTGAGATCACTTCATCGAAGATGGCCACATCGTCATAGGAAGCCTCAATCATCATTGCCTTCCACAAGAGGAGACGCTTAGGCTTGAGGATCGTCGAGACCTGTTTGTGCATAGATGCCTTCAGTGCATCTTCCTCACTTCTGAGGTCTTGTGCAAGTTTGAGCCACTTTGCAAACTGTCGCGCCCTCAACCCGCACAGCTCCGACTCTGTCATCGAGGCATGGGTGCACACCGCATCTTTGAGAACCTGTGGCAAGGCGACCTCGAGAGTTCTGGGATGGCCAGCCTTAACTGCCTCACGGACAAACTGTTCTGGGGAAAAGGGAATACCCCAAACAAGCTCGTTCCAGAGCTCAGAACCAGCACTACAACCCTTGCCCCCGGAGCCACCACTTGAACTCCCCTGCTTAACCGGGACAATTTGCAGTAGCTGGGGGGGTGGAGTTTTTTTTTCTTCCTTTTTTTTTTTTTTGCTTCCCTTTTTTTTTTGTTTTCTTGGCTTTTGCTAGGAAAGCCACCATTCCCTCCGTGTTTTCAAAGGATTCGTACTACTCTTACTCGGATTAGGAGCTGGTTATTTTTTGGGGGTATTTTTTTGGTTTTTTTGTTGGGTGTTTTTTGTGGTTTTCATGTGTCATCTAGAAAGGTCCTCTATTTACTATATGCGAAAAGGTATATATGTATATATGGTATATAGTATATATGTATATAGTATATATGTATATATGTAATATGTATATATGTATATATGTATATTGTATATATGTATATATGTATATATGTTATATATATATGTTATATTATATTTGTATGTTATTATGTACTTATATATATATATATATATATATATTGTTTTATTTTAATTATTTATATTTATTAATAATTTATATATTTATATATATTCATATATATATAATATATATACATATAAGATATATATATATATATATATATAGATATATTATATTATATATATTTATACGTATTTATGTATATTTATATATGCATATATATATATATATGGATGTCTAAATATACCCATATAATATATATGTTTATATATAATATATATATATATATATATATTATTTATTATTTATATTTATATGTTTATATGTGTTTGTAAGTGTCTATATATATATATATATATTTATTTATTTATATATACATATATATACTTATGGATAATTATATATATGTCTATAATGTATATATACATATAGCTTTATGTATATTTATATATTTATGTATTCATGTACTTATGTATTTGTGTATTTGTGTATTTGTGTATTTGTGTATTTATGTATTTTTGTATTTTTGTATTTATGTATTTAGGTATTCATATATTTATATATTTACATATGTATATATTTCTATAGTTATGTATTTATACATTTATGTATTTATATCTTTCTATATTTCTATATTTATACAAGTTTCATATGCTTTGAAGCAAGCTTGCACGGCTTAAAAAAAGCGGGGGGGTTAGGGGGGGGCGCCCCCCCCCCCCCCCCATTTGCAAACGCACGCTTGCAAGGGTTTCCAAAAGATTGATGATTTGAAGCATGTTTGCACGGCTTAGAAAGCGGGGGGGTTGGGGGGGGGGGGGGGGGCCCCCCCCATTTGCAACACAATGCCTGCATGATGGGTTTCAAAAAAAGTTTCATGCTTTGAAGCAAGCTTGCACGGCTTAAAAAAAGCGGGGGGGTTGGGGGCGGCGCAGCCCCCCCCCATTTGCAAACACAATGCTGCATGATGGGTTTCAAAAAAAGTTTCATATGCTTTGAAGCAAGCTTGCACGGCTTAAAAAAAGCGGGGGGGTTGGGGGGGGCGCAGCCCCCCCCATTTGCAAACACAATGCTTGCATGATGGGTTTCAAAAAAAGTTTCATATGCTTTGAAGCAAGCTTGCACGGCTTAAAAAAAGCGGGGGGGTTGGGGGGGGGGCGCAGCCCCCCCCATTTGCAAACACAATGCTTGCATGATGGGTTTCAAAAAAAGTTTCATATGCTTTGAAGCAAGCTTGCACGGAAAAAAAAGGGGGGGGGTTGGGAGGGGCGCAGCCCCCCCCCATTTGCAAACACAATGCTTGCATGATGGGTTTCAAAAAAAAAGTTTCATATGCTTTGAAGCAAGCTTGCACGGCTTAAAAAAAGCGGGGGGGTTGGGGGGGGGGCAGCCCCCCCCATTTGCAAACACAATGCTTGCATGATGGGTTTCAAACTCGAACTCGAACTCGATTCCGCAGCGGTCTGGTCTGACCTACTAGCTAGCTGTAGTTCATGACATATGTCACGGCCGCTCTGTGGCGGCGGCTAACAGCTTCGGGTATGGACAGCAAGAGACGTCCCGCAGGAACCGGAGTTCAACTAGACTGCAGGCAAAACGGTCTCAAGCGCAACAGAGCCTACCTGGACCTACCGTGAACAGGAAAGAAACACGTGCTCGCAAACTCAAAAGGACGGTGTATGTACAAGGGATACTATTCTACGGCCGGTCTCACAGTTCGCTCACTCACAGGGCTAAACAGTGTGGGCACACTTGTGCCGCAGATGTCCTGGGGCCGATGAAGGTGCGGCACCCCTGTGCTGATGGAGCAACGCATGACTGCGTATGGTGACATGGTTGAGAATAGGACTCGGTACACTAAAGAGGAAGAGCACAAAAACACTCAGGGAGAGTGTAGCCATCTCATTTTCTCATCACTCAAGACTCCTTATCAGGGCGACCCGGACATGAAGTGCCGGTATCATGGCTCTGTGGCCGAAAGGTCGGCTTCACATGTGCCTTCCCTGTACATAGGAACAGAGACAAAGATTCAGACAGGGTTGCAAGCCTGTCCCCCCATGCACCCTAGATGGGGGTGCACCCCCACTTTTGTGAGAAAAATAAGCTCTCATCGTCAGGCCGATCCGCCTTCCCCAGCAGGGGGCCTGCGGATGCAGCCAAGCACATAACAGTTGGACTGGATTTCGGGACTTAAGGTTTCAAGCCTTTCCGATGCGACACCGTCGTCCATGTACCAGGCTTCTGTCCTGCCCGGTATCAAGCCAACGGTTCTGTAGTGTCCTGTGAGAACTGATTCACCCAGATGCACAATGATGGAAATGAGGTCATAGGCAAGCCAATCACACGCTATGCTGCTTTCACTTCGGAAGATCGGCAGGTGGACACAGCGATTGTTGAATGTAAGAGGCACACGGGTCTTCCTCGTGACACCATTGGTCGTGGTATATCTAGGTAGAACAAGGAAAATGTGAGTCGGAGCTGTGCAAAGCGCATGCGGTTGGGCCTGCAGGTGCCAGCTAAGGATGAGGGTGTCCAGCTCCCCGTCTTGGATACCTCCAGGTGCTGCCAGAAGCGACAATGGTGCAGCGGGCTCCCTGATTTCAGTTGTGCATCCCTCCTCAACCGCAACTCTCGCCTCCCAGTGAACGAGGCTATCAGTCCAAGCAAGCTTAGGGATGATGAACTGTATGAATTCACTCACATCATGCTGTCTGTTGGGCTGCGCCCAGCCTAGCATGTACACGCGGAGAAACATTGCTGCATCCCAGTGCGTTTTGGCAAGTGCCTTCTGCCAAGCATCGGGTATGCGGCTCCCCGGCCTGAGCTGTGCTTGCCACAGGGTGGCAGTTATGACGGAGTTGATGTAGCAAGTGTTGCCACTATTTTTAAGCTTGAGGCGAGAGACACTCGGCACACCAGCAGGTGGCCGTGCGCTTCCTGCAGCGCTCAGATGTTTTCCAGAGCCTTTTGCAGCGCCATTGCCAGTCCGTGGCGTTGCTGGTTTGGCGGCTGCAGTTGCGCCCCCACCACATTCCACACCGCGCAGTTGGCCAACTGTCGCAGTTTCTGATGCAGGATGTTTGCTCTCGGATCTCGCATGGCTACTTCGATGAGGAACACTGCTTTGTCGCCTTCCTGGGGCTCTTGCTTGGGACGCCTTTGGGCGCAGAACCTGGTGACCAGATCCGGAAGACACAGCTCGGCGACCTGGTTGATGAGCTCCGTCGCCTCTTCCACCTTCAGGCTCTTGGCTGTCGCCGACGGCTCCACCTGTTTGGTGGCCGAGTTCCACTCCTGATACACGAAGCGCTTCTGCTGGTCGAGCCACTGATGCTTCATCGCATTCTCCACGGCCGTGGGATCTCCCACCATCAGTTGGACTCTTGCCACGACCTCTTTCAGCAGGAGGCCCAGCGCAACGATTCTCATCGGGGGGACGTTCTCTCCTTTCTTCTGTTTTTGTTGCCATTCCTGCCCCGCCTTGAAAAGCGGCAGCAATATGGTTCCTGGGCCTTGTTGCTGGAGGTGGAAAGTGAAGGATGTGTCCAGGCGTAGACGGTTCAGGGCGTCCTCCTGCTGCAGCGACAGATTTGCCAGGAGCGTCACCACCGAGTTCAGGTTCTCGTCTGCAATTTGTCGCCGGCCTCCCCGCTGTCCTCGCCGGGCCGCTTTGGGTCGCTTGTTCGGTGCGTTCTCGGTCTCCCGGTCCATTTCTCTCGGCTGCTTCGAGGTCTCTCTCATGTTCGTCGCTAGCCCTGGTAGTAGGTTGCCGAAGACGCTCACCACTTCCGTCGTCATGTTCACAGTGTAGTCCTATCAGGGCACATTGGAAGATCACATTGCATTGGAAGTAATGTCTGGAGGGGGAGGACCTGTCACACCACGGGCAGGTGCCATTTCGGAGGAGTCGGGGCTTGACCTGTGCACATCGCTCCTCAAGTTTGCCGTTGGCGGTGACTGCCCACACGTCCTTGTGTGCCCTAACTATGTGTCGCTTCAGAGCCGTGGGATCGGCGATCCATCGCTTGCAAACACAGCAGTGTTGCTTGAGGGACGACACAACATCGGCATCTAGCAGACTTTTCCAGCCTTGTTTCCGAGCAACATCAAGAACCGGCTTTTGGGCTATGGGAGGCGGCTCATTTGCAGTGGCCTCCTCTGGAGCTTTTGGATTGGTGCTAGTATCTGCTTCGGGGCCGACCTCGGCTCCCTGAGTACTGCATTCCGGATAAAGAACAGGGCAGTATCCTTTTTCAATATGTGCTTTAAGCCCAATCCATGCCCCGTATTTGAATTTACAGAAGGCACACTGGGGCAGACCTTTCAGTGCGTGGTTTGCCGGATCAAAACTGAGCAGTTCTGGCTTATCTTCTGGGTGCTTCCATGCCTTATGCTGTCGGAGGCTAGTGATAGTGCGAAATTGCTGACTGCAATGCGGACAGGTATAAGGGTCTGACTCCTTATCTTCAGGAAGCTGCTCACCTGTATTCATCGAATGGAGTGAGTTGATAGCCAGCGCGAGCTGCGCCCGGACCTGTGGAAGGGCCCTAATGTCGCTGGGGCACTCTGCTGCAACTGTCTCAAGTGCGTCATGCATTCTCTGGCCTTGGTTAGCGAGCGCCTGCAGGGGGTCCTCAGCATTGAGATGCTTCTGGATCTGTTCATTGGTCACTAGGGTAAGATGCGCCGGCTTTTTGGCAATAGCCCGCATCTGTCTGGCAGCCATTGCACGAAGATGCTTACGTCCTGTGGGTCTAACGCCCACCGCCAGTAGCCCGTGCGCTGCTGAGCTCCACACCCCGGCTCTCCAGATTTGGTACCTGGGACGGTTGTGCGTTACGCGTCTGGAGTTGATGGCTTTGCGAAGCTGGCTATATTGACCCCTCGCCTTACGCATACGTAGCTGAACAGTTTTCTCCTGGGCGTCTCTATAGGAAATGACGGTACCTAGGTACTGATGTGTTTTCCTGAGAGGGATCAGAATCTGCTCGCCGTGTTGCATGAAGGCAAGGTGTGGGAGTTTGTCCTTGAAGACTTTAAGTTTCTGCAAAATCCTAATGGCATCTGCTCCCTTGGCGTGACACAGCACGACCGATTTGGTTGCGCTGAGAGTCATACCGTGGTCGTTAAAGGTTTGCACGACTTTTTGGATGCCGCAAATGGCACCCTGAAGGTCTTCGGCGCTTTTTAACGTCCATGCGGCTAAGGCGTCGTCGGCGTAAAAAGTGAACAGCTGCGTTACCCAGTCCCAGCCTAGGCGCTCCGCTAGTGTGTCAATGATAGCAATTGTGTGTGCCACAAACAAATACGGCGCGACCGTACAGCCTTGTTTGATGCCTCGTGTGGTCGTGACGTGGTCCTCATGAACGCCAACTGAGCAGTGATACCTTGCCTCAAAATGGAACTGCATAAGTAGTTGCACCAGCGTTTCGGAGACCCCTAGTCGTCTCAGGCTAGTGGCAAGGGCAGTGCGAGGTACATTGTCGAACGCCCCCTCAAGGTCAAGGGAGAAGCATATGCCTCCTGCGCATTTAACCTGGGTAGCTCCGGCATGAAGGTCATATATGCTTTGTTTGCTCAGGGTCGCATACGCACGTGCCTCTCTCAGGTGGTTGTGCACTCTCAGTAAGGCGTCTAGAACCCCTCTGCCGGCAGTATATGCAAATTGCGGTCGAGTGACCAGCGCTTCCTCAAGAAGTGGTCGGATGTGTTCTCTCAGCAGAGCACATACCGATTTCGAGAGAGGGTGGGAGAGTCCTATGGGACGAAGCCCGGACGGGCGGCTGGGGTCTTTCTGTGGTTTAGGCAACCATACGAGGTATGTGTCTTTCCACACGTGTGGGATGACGCAGAGGGAATCCTCCCCCCAGGATCGCATCAGGATGGGTTCCAGCGTTTTGGCTACCTGGTCACGGCACAATCTCCAAACTGCTGCCGGGGCCGACATCTTCGGCACCCCTTTGCGAAAAGGTAGTTTTCCTAGGGCCCAAACGAGGTCTTTGGCCTGAACAAGAATGGGTTCAGTGACTCGGTGATTGGGCAAATAGTCTTCTCCCTGACAAAACTTGTTTCTGCTGTGCTTAATGAGCTCAGCCAGTTGTTCTTTGGGAGTGAGGATTTCTCCCGTTTCGCTGCGGATGTGTGTGCGCGCGAAGGGTTTCCAGGGAGCTAATTTTCTAGCGCTCATCCACACTTTCCTTTGATCGCCCTTAGCGGCAGCTGCTTGTAGGTCCTCGGCGACAGCCTGCAGCTTTTCACGTTTAATTTTCTTGGCAGTTTGTTTCATCGCTTTAGAGGCCACGCGAAACTCAGTGTACTTTTTCCATTTCCGGAGAGTTTCGATTAAGCTGTTCGCTTTGGTGGATTTCCATTCCTTGTACTTAGCCCACATTTCTTTCGCGGTGTGCTTAAACTGCGGATTTTGCGAAACGCGGTTGTCAACTGCAGGTTCTGGAGGGTAGACGGTTTGCATGTGTTCTTTCACGATCTCATCCACCTGCCGCGTGAAGCTGTGAAGATGCAAGTCAGGGTCCAGCTTCTGAATGTCCGCGTCGATGAGGTGCTTTAACTTCTTAGCCCGGTCATCTGCCAGTGCAATGGATTCTTGGATGCATTGCCTCGACGCCATCGAAGGTTTGACTGGGTTCGGGAGGCGACATGGCGCGACTCTACGGATGTGAGCCTGCACTGGGATGTGGTGATTGGCCTTCCATTTTCCGAGGGCGACTTGATGCATGGGTCTGCTGTGTCTAGCAGTGCGAGTTGCGTGCTGGACCCTACACGCAACGAAATCCAATTGTGTTTTGGTGCCTTGGTGCACGCACGTATGTGCCGGAGTGCAGTTCCACGTATTGAGGAGAGTGAGGCCGAAGTCCTGGAGTATTCCGAGAAAGTCATCTTCGTCAGGCGATCCCTCTACTTTGGCAACCACGGCACTACCTATCAATCCCCTCGAGGTTTTGATGGAGCAGTTGAAGTCTCCCGCAATAATCAAGTCGTTCCTTTGTGGACTCTTCATGATGCTAGACCGTATCGCATCCCAGATTGAGGCCCGAGCTTTCAGGTTCTCGGCTTTGTCAATGTTTGTCCTCCACACATACTGGTAGACATTCAGAAGATCGGAGCCGTTCTGTTGGTGATGTAGTCGAACCGAGAGTACTCTGCCTTGCCTAATAACCCTGTAGCTAACATTATCTTGCTTGCAGATATTCTGATGGATCAGAGTGGCAACTCCTGAGCATTTGTCTTTGCCTGTAGCCCCTGAGGAGACGACGAACCAGGGGCCGGACGAGAAGGTGCGGCACCCCTCCTGTTTCCAGTGTGTTTCCTGCACGAACACAATGTCAAAGTCATCTGGTTTCTCACTTAACCATGACATGAGTTCTTGCCAGGCCGCCTGCGACCCCCCGCTCATGTTCCAGGTGAGACATCTAAGGTGAGATGCTTTGTCAGATTTGGGATGCTTTGTGGGTTTAGCCGGCCGGTCATTCGGCCCCAGCTGGTGTATGCCCCCTGTGGTTTTTGTCAGTGTTTCCCTAGTGTACCATGTGCCCTTATAGTGAGTGCCGCCTGTGGCATAGGCTCGTGCGCGAGCTCGTCGCAGCGATCTCTTGGCGATCCACCCGATGCTGTTGTGGTGATTACGTATTGCCTGGCCAGTGTCTTCGCCCATTCTATTGGACTGTTGGGGCCGATGTTGTGTGGCTCCCACCACGGTACTGGAACCCGTGGTAACCCTCACGTCTGCTCGACCCCCATTTGCTGTCACGAAGCTTCCACAAAGGATAAGGATCCACATCCAGAAGAGACTTCGAAAGCTTGGGGCCCAGCCGCTGGACTTGGGACCAGCGCGGCTCGGTGATGTGCGTCTGGCGGGCTCACCCATCTGTGTTGTAGATAGGTTAGTAGTGCACGTGGCATGTGTGCTGAGGATGTAGGGTCTCCTTCTGTAGCAACCTCTGATTCTCCTGGTGCAGAGCCATTTAGTTAGTCTATCTCTTTGCAGCGAAAGAAGCCTGCCTGCATAACCTTTCCCACCGACCAAAAACACTCCCAGCAGAAGGATGTGTCCCCATCTTAACCTAGCGTACTGACTCTCGGGACCTGGGACATCTCGTCGATCATAGTCCTGCAGCAGAGGCGAGGGGTTGGTGTGTATGCATTGGGTAGAGGAGACGGTGCAACGGATGTGATGATGCAAAACAACCCCCGTGTATGCTCTCTGAGCTGCAGTGCGGTCGTGGTCACGGTCATTGGGGGCCGAAGATCGGCTTCCCCTGGAGGACCGGAAAGAGTGAGACCGAACGATGGCCTGCATGACGAGGTCAGCAGCCGGTGGCCCCTCTGAGCCAAAAACTTCTTCTCCCGATGCCAGGATCCTGACGGCCTTTATACAATGCGGGGCCAGCTTGCCATCGGCACCCCGGGTTAAATAGTAGCCGTTCATTGAACGGAACCAGACGGCCCCCGATTCTTTCGGGGAGAGTATGATTGCGATGTCACAATGCGCGGGGTAATTCCGATATTCACTTTTGTCTACTGACACGCAATGAATGTGTGTCCGGGACTGGGAGAGGCCTCCCGTGATGATGCCCTTCGCCAAGATCGAGCCGTAGAAGTCCCAGTTGGTTGCATGGAGGACGTGCTCCGGCAACTCGGCATCCCCAAGGGGCCGCATGACCGCTTCATCACGTATTCCTTTCTTGGAGTGACCTTGAACCGCCCTGATGTAGAGATCGGCACCGCGCCATTCGAGCGCGAAGCGTTGCTTGTCGTTCCAGTAGACCACCGAGCGGATGTAGTTGAGGGTTGCCCCCTTCTCCTTCATGATGGAGGTACGTAAAAGGTCTGACACCTTGGTCCACCCTGCCTCGTCGAACGTCAAGCAGAGAGACTGATCCAGTTTCCAGTAGAGCTTCGTCGGCTCCCCAAGGGGGGCCGAATCGCGTGCTGGCGTGGGCAGAGAGGTGCCATCACTGCTGGCGTAGGTCGTCTCCGTGTAGATGTTATATCTCTCGACCCTGCGCGGGGAGTGGGGGATGCTGCCAGATTGATTTGGTGGCGTTTGCCCCGTTGGGTAGTCAACCTCCATCTCCACATAGGCATCAGACGAAGCCAGCTCGGCAGTCCTGGTTGCAGGAGCCGTGTTTCCCATGTGCTCGGAGGTCCTGTCCGGCATGTCATCATCTCTGCTGTCCTGGCTGGTTTGGTCCTGAATTGCCACACGGACAATTTGCTCATCATCCTTCAGTTGCTCGGTGGGGAAGTAGTAGTCGAATTTGATTGCCAGGTCTTGATGACTATCGAACCAATGGATTTGTTCATGCAGCGACATGGGGACTCCCTCAAACAGTGCGATGACGCTGTGCAGCATGCCGGCGAACTGGGTGAGGATGGGCTCGAAGTCCGCATCTTTGGACAGGCTCCATAACCAGCATTCCACAGCTGTGCCGAAGGTGGAGTGGTTCGCGTAGTGGAGCTTGTCTCTGGAAATCAGGCACATGGCAAACGCAAGGTTCCAGTTGCCTGCGGCCGGGATGATCTTCAGGGACTCCGAGTGGTGGAAGTCGTCATGATGCTTGACGAAGTGCCCCATTTCGAAGAAAGTTTTGAACATGAGGGCGACCTTCTTTTTGCGCAGGACATTGATGTCATCTTCGATGATGGCCAGCAGGTTCCACTTCTCACGCACGGCTCTCAAGGATTGTGGAGGCACACTGTCTCGGGCAGGGGGGACGAACTGCTTGAGGCCCTCGGAGACATGCTGGGTAGGGCCGGGGGAACGGCTCCCTCTATGGTAGGCCTCCTTTGCTCGCTCGAGCTGCTAGCCTGCTGTCTCTTCTTTGGCGATGCCGGTGGGTCTGGCGGTTTCTGCCGGAACCACCATTCTCCCTGCCACCAGATCTTGAGGTAGCCCTCTTCGTCTTCCGTCGCATGCACTTCGCGCCGGTCACTGGTGTCAAACTGGTAGTCCTCATCATCTTCGTCCCAGTCCTGATGTTGATCCCGGGGCCGAGCGTCGGCTCCCCGCGCATTCTGCCAGTGTGGCTGTCGGCTCTCGCGATCGGCCGCTTGTCGCCAGGGCTGCTGATTCATCTCCTGAGCACGGGGGGCCGCAGTGTCGGCTCTTTCCCTTTGATTGCCAGGGGCATTGCGGCGAGCACTGCGGGCAGCCAGTTCATTGCGGGTGCGCCTCCTAGTGCCGTCGGGCCTGACCCGAGCTCGGGGATATCGATGCCACTTTTGATCTGACATGCTATCGGCAAAGATACCACACATGTATATGCTGATGCAATCAGACGTGGCGTGCATCATGTTCCTGCAGCCCGGCAACCACTCTACAACACGGATCTCCATTCTCGCACTTAGAAACCCCGAGGTCCTCCCACAGGTGCTTTGTGTAGGGCCGAATACGGCACCCGCAGCTCTTCGGTTAGGAGTGACCTGGGCATATAGTCCGGGTTTGGGGCGGGTATGACATCTGCGAGTGTCAGGCAATGGGAGTACATTCGGGTGCAGGGCTATGCATCTTGCTACACCGAGTTTCCCACTTCGGGTACACTGCACCTGGGATGCGAGCATGTTGAGGATTTGATTGGGTATCAGGGCTGGCGTTCCGTGCCGAGCATAGCTAACTGCGACAGGGCACATATTCCACATGTGTCTACGGTGAGGCCCTCGAAGAGTCAAGGAAGGCCTTCGGTAGGTGCCTCTAACAAGCATCAGTTTCGGCCTGCAAGGTCTCACACTTAGCGAGAAGTTCTGCAGCCTTCTTTCGCCTCTTCCTAGGAGGTAGACTTCGAATGTCTCCGAGGAGTCTGGTGATAAGGCCCGCACATGAACCTGTGGAAATTGCGTATGCCACAGCATTGCTCGATATGCCCACCTTGCGACCCTTAGGTTGTGGTGGCGGCTCTGAGTCTGTCGAGAGTGAGTCGTCGGTGCCCGGTCCTTGTGCAGGGCTGGAGGATTGACCTGGGCCATCGGCTTCCCCCGGGCTGGGGCCGATTGTGGGACTGTCGGTCCTGTCCGCTGGGAGCATGTTGGTCTCATGTGCGGAGTCTCTGATTCGCTCCAGTCCAGGAGCCCTTGCGCGCTCCTCGGCACTCCATGGATTCTGTCATTTGAAGAGGAACTAGCGAGCGGTGGTGATGGGAGCTGCAATGAGGGGGGCAAAGATGGAAGCTTCTGTTGGTTTGGGGGGGGGGTTGGGGCTGGGGGTCCTCTCTTATTTCGTGCGCTGGCTTTGGAGCTGGCTCCCCTAGAGGCCGTTGACTGCACACAGTGGGATCTGGCCGACCAGTGCGCCTCATGGCACTGTCGTAGGCGGGGATGCATCTGCGGCAAAGGATGACTGTGAATATCAAGTGCAGAGCGAGATTCATGGTTTGTCTGAGATCAGGCTGATAAGAGTCTTTGCAAGTTGTTGCTCAAGTGCTACACACAACAACGGGAACCTGACAGAAATGATGGCCACCAGCTGAAGTCCCTGTTCTCTCGGTAGAACCTCAAGGATCGCTGGCACAAGTTCGTCTGCAGTATCCTGATTCCACAGCTGCCCTGCGAGGTCCAAGGCACTGTCAATGTCAATAGTGTCTTGACTTTTCAGCAAGCAGTCTGCAACCAGTTCCAAAGCCACAACGCGAATCTGAGTAACAGGCAGAATGGCTTCTAATGGTGAGAAGAGTACAGAAATCACCGAAGGGGCACTACGGTCAGCTAGTGGGGGCCCGCAATACGAAACGCTGAGAGCCGAGACGCTTGATGGGTTTCAAAAAAAAAAAGTTTCATATGCTTTGAAGCAAGCTTGCGCGGCTTAAAA